TCTCAAAAGTTTCCTGACACAATTATCTGGGTAGTGAACAAAACTAAGACGTTTAAAATTTTTAGTGACGATTTTATGATTAAAAAAAAGAAACTAGCTAGAAGTTAGGAAGAGACATGTTAGGATTTGAGAAAAAAGGAAAAGGAGAAGAAACAAGGCATAAGCAGCAGATCGAAGACCTCCGTTTTGTGTTGAAAAACTTTTAACACGGTTGGGTGAAACACTGTGCAAAAACTGGGATTTCAGGTCTTTTTCAAACATTTGCGCTTTCTTTTAGAAAAAAAAAACGGTGCAATACCTTTAGCATTTTCTCAACAAACTTGATCAGTCAATTAATTTTTATTCTTTAATTTTTTTCGTAAAAAGTTTCCGATGAGTGAAAGCTAGCCAAGTTGCAAAGAGACATCGATAAGCCAGGATTTGGGAGAAGACGGAAAAGAAGAGAAAAAAAAGGCATAAGCGACAGATCAAAGCTTCCTTGCCGGCCGGCCAGGGAGGCTCGCGTCGGCCAAGGTGAAAAGAGCAAAAAAGGAAAAGGCGCTGAGCCGATGGGTTGCTCGGCGAGCCGTGAAGAATGCCCCTGCAGATGAACACATGAAAAGACGGCGGGCATTCGTCGTCGCACCCCCAAAATAATATCCTTTCCGCTTCTCCTCCTTCAACTTCTTTCCTGTTACAAAAACAAAGATTTTGCAGCCTTTTGATGGAAAACACCTTAGATTCATATTTTTTTCAAAGTAAATTTTAGAGCTGTTTCGAATCGAAAAAAATGAGATCTAGATGTTGAAAATTTCAAAGATCTCCTTTTATATTAACCACAAAAAAAAGAGAAAGCAAAAAAGGTTTCGACCACGGCAGGATTCGAACCTGCAATCTTCTGCTCCGTAGGCAGACGCGTTATCCATTGCGCCACGCGGCCAGTTGCCGTCCTAAGCCTGTCTGTGCAAGGTGTAAGGTGCCACGTAGTGCAAACTGAGATCGTTGGAGAAAAAATTGTGCGATTTTAACAGATAAGTAATTTTCTACTGAAACATGCGTAGTAACAAGAAAACTTCAACAGAAACTCCGATATATGAAACTACAGCTTGTCGGACTTCCCAATAAGTTTCAAAAATAAAAATTCAAAAAAAGGTATGCCAGTATCTGGATTGAATTGAAGTCACGAATTATTTTTTTATTGTTAAATTTTTATGGATCTTCAGAAGTTCTCAATTTGAAAACATGCACTAGAAAAGACACAACCAACCTGAGGATCCAATCATTTTATACCCAGATAAAAAAGTCTTGATGGGATCCCACTCAATCTTATGATGACTCATTGATTAAGAGCTACTGTTCGGTTAGAAAAGGCGATTGAGTCAGTTCGAGGACAAATAGAGAAAAAGAAATAGCAAAAATCTGTTGGGGTTGGATTGGAAGGAACGGATCTCGTTACAAACAGTCTTGCTCTGCAGACGTCTCTAGATAAATACAGGAGGATAAAAGGCCCAAAGTGCTTAAGATCCCACTTTTTTTTTCTTTTTTTTGCCATCTCCTCACGTGGTGTGTTCGGGGACAAAAATCAGATACTTGGCATGTTTTTCGAATTTCTCGGGAATAGAAAGGGGAGGGCAATGGTCAAAGTCGGGTAGAAGATTTTTTATTCGGGAGTTTTTAAAGACGCAGATCGGATATTTCAACTCTTTTCTCCGTTTTAAATATTCCAGTGAGTTGTGAATGAAGTATGAGGTTGGATGATATGTAAGGACGGGAATATTTTATGGAAAACGTTAGTTTGTGGACTTTTCTATTACAGTTTTTTTTTTCATAAAAGCTTACTTGAGCGAAGCGCAAAATTATGATTTTTCTAGGCCTCCTTCTGCGCTTTGATCTAGCTGCCAGCTTTTAATTAGTAAAAAGTAGTAAAATCGGAGAGGGGGATGGAGAAAAAGAAGTTGAACTTTCAGTTTTTTTTTTCGGTTGCTACAGTATAAAAAAATAAAAAGCCTACTTGGTAAATAAATAAAAAAATAAAAATTCCATTTATGTACTCTTCTAACTGCTTTAAAATCGAAAAATTATAATAATAAACAAAGGAGAACATGATAACAAGGAAGAAGAATATAAGCAGATTGAGACGACGGTGGAAGCCGGCCACACGTAATTTGGTGGTTGAAGGAAGAAAAGAAGAAGAAGAAGAAAAAAACTTCCTGGATGAGTGCCAAATCGGGTTTCGACACGCGATGACGCCTTCCGCCAGTGGCATCTGATTGAGCCCTCACGGCAAAAGCAGCTCAATCAAAATCAGGAATTCAGGAGTGATTTACATTCTCCAGAGCTTGGAAATTTGATCTGGAATATACTTTGCTACTGAACAAGCTACTGAACAGAAGAGACGCAGATTTCATTTTCTCTACCCCCTGATAAACTTTCATGATCTCTCATCATTTTAGCGAAATCTTTGTCTTTCAATATACACTTGGTCAAAAAATTGATTTTTCAAGCTTGAAAAATTGAGTCATGAAGTACTATGCGAGCAAGAGTGCGTTGGAGTTCAATAGACGTAGCAAAAAAGCTTTAAAATTAAGAGACGCAGATTTATTTCTCCCTGACCTCCCAAAAGCTTTGTTACTATCTGAACCGCCTGGACTTTTTCTTTCAAATCAAAAAGAAAACTTAAAAGAGAGTGAAGATTCAAGATTTGTTGGAACGACGGAGGCATTGCTTGGAAATTAGGTTAAATGTCAAGAAACTCGTCAAGCTTTCTAAAAATAGGTCTCGAAACTCACGAATTGAAGGATTTTTTGAGCGTTTCGAATTCAAGTTGAATTGAGTTCATAAATTCGCAAAGTTTTTTTTTTTTCTAGAGCATATATAACAACATTTGAGAAAATCTTAAGGACTATTATCCAAATTTTTATAAAATTTTTTTTTTTGCTATTGGACTATAACGATTTAACCAAAAAAATCTTAGTACTAACTTGACTGTAATAAATGAACATTTTGATTTCAGATCGGCAAAATGGACGAAAGAAGGAAATGAAAAAAAATTTTACCAAGGAATAACTCTTCAATACATAAAATTTGAAAATTTTTGGTATAATTCTGAGATTTTTTTATTATAGTTTAGTTTAGGGCTAAATTATGAAGCTCTACTTGGCGAGAAAAAAATAACTTTTTTTCTAATGAAAGAATGGGGAAGAAAAAAAGAAATAAAGTAGAGATATAACTTCATTATTATTTATAAATATCTACTTTTTCATAAAATTTTTAAAAAAATTTTTAAAAAAATTTTAAGAAAAGGAAAGTGAACGGATTGCTAGAGCATGAAAAAGGCGATAAAATGAAGATTTGAAGGGGAGAAAAGGCGAGAAGAGCTTTCCAATGAGGGTTGGAGATAATCCGTGCGTGGAAGATGAAGCTTACTTTTCGTCGATTTATGTGTAGTCATGGGACTACTTTTTTCCTTCAGTTTTTAGCTAGAAGTAAGGCGAAATATTAAATCCTCCGGTGGACACAAATAATTGATATGCAATTGGGTTCATCAAAAATCGGAGGATTTTGAATGCAAAAATCGTCTTTTTGAGTGGTTGGGAATTATTATGCGATTACATTAAAGTTTACGCCTTGTAGACAATTTTTGATGAGAAACTTCAATATGGAAATCTCCTTCTCTTGCTTTCATCTTTTTTCTAAATCAAAGATCCAAAACAAGGAAACCCTGGAGGATCTTTGCGATAATCGGAAATGCACCTCCCACGCTCACTCGGATATTTTCTGTTACGACCGTCTTCGGGTCATTTCCTTTAACATTTTAGGATTTTAGTCGAAGAGAAGTTTTTTTGTAACTGGTTCTGAGAATGAATTAAATGTTGAAGTAAAGGGATCTCTTGAAGTCACTAGTTGAGAATAACGTTTACAATAAGTTTTCAAATATCCTTGTTCCACTTTGTGGACTCACGAAAATCGTATGATGATCTTTGTGAATGGATGATCACCTGGCCGACTGAAGAGGCTCATGCTCACGCAGCTGAGAGAGTTCCAAGTGTTTGAAGGCCAAAAAACAAACAATCAAACCTTCTTTGTTACATTTCCTGACATTGAGATGGTTGTGTCGAAATCCGGTAAAGGTAAATAATAACGAATCGTTGGATATTTAGTTACATGTTTTTCTTTCGAGAAAAGGAACGGTGTTTATGATCTTTTGGTAGAAAAGGTAGATTTGAATTGGTTGTCAAATACAGTATAAAAAGATTTACGAGTCTTCGAGGATTCAGTTACATGTTTTTGAGAAGAGGAAAAAAGTACGGTTTGTTTGATTTTTGGAAGGAGTGAACTAGAGAACAGAGAATAGATTTGGATCGACTTCATGGTGTATAACAGATTTTTGAGAAATAATTTTCACAAGGGAAGTGTTTTTGGTGGCCGGCTGAACATTTCATAGAACTTTCCTAAAATGTACTATAAGACTTCCTCTTTCTAGAAAACAAATAAAACTCCTCGCAATAGATCTCGTTTTCGAGTTATGAAGCTTCAAAGCATTGTTTTTTTTTTAGAAATTGAACAATTGTTTTAAAAGTAAAGGCTGAATAATGGAATTCAATCACAAGCTTCCATGAGAACAAGAACGGCTCTCTTGATTTTCAAATAAAGAAAGTTATAGGACTCTTTTCTAAATGCATGACAGAAGAAAAAACTCTAGATTGATCTCAAGGTGGATGAGAACGGATTCTAGGTATCAAGTTGCAGTTTTTTTGAATGGCGAACAGTTCTTTCGATATGTGGAATGAAGTATCAAACTGTATATAAAAAAGAGAACACAAAACTTTGAGATGCACATTACAGTAAACTACAACAGATTTTTCGGAATTCAATGACTTCTTTTCAAATGGAAAACGGTTCTTTTGGATTTTTGAACTGTATAAGATCGGACTCCATTCAAAAATGTTCAAGTGGTTTTCAAATACAGTACCACGAAAAAGAACGCCTTTTTTGAGATCAAGTTACGCAATTTTTTGGGAATGGAAACGGCTCTCTTGATCTTTGGACAATGTAAACGAGCAGACTTCACTCAAAATGCGAGGGTTAGGGACAATTTAAGAAGATTCCTATGAGAAATAGAGAGTTTGTAGGATTTCAGATTTTTTTAATAGACATTGGCTTTTTTGAACTTGGGGAGCAAAATAATATACTTTCATAACAATTGATTCTAGCTCTTTTGATTTTTTTGTTCCAAGGACACAGGGAACTTTAGGGTAAATCTTGCATTTTTTTTTTCTCAAGATTCAGTCACAAGCTGTTTGAAAATGAAGAGATTTTGTCGATTATTTGAGCCTGTAAACGGAGAGAGAGAAAAAATTGAAAGTTTGAAGGGGAAGTGAGGCTTTACCAGAAGGTGAGAAAATTAAAATTCTAATTATGATAAAAAAAGGCGTTCATCGAAACCGACAGCTTTTTTGTTTGCTAGTATTTTTGTTTTTTGAATATCAATTTATACATAAGAAGATTAAAATTCAGTTCGAAAATACATCGCCAAAAGGTTAAAACATGGCTTCTATGTGAGATTGAAAAAAAATCTACTTCTGAAACATTAGGAAAAATAAATGAATAAAGGTCAATTTTCTTTAATTGAAATACTGTGTTTTCTGAAATTGCTATTTTTACCTGAGAAAAAAAAAACGAAAATGAGAGGGGATTCGAGCTTGTGTGGAAATGGCGTATGACATAGCTCTTCTGAAATGTTGGCGAAAAAGACTGATAATTCTAGTGAATAATTATACGTTTCGAAAGGTTCTGGCTGACGTCAGTACAGCTCGAGGGGACTTTGTGAGGTTTATGGGAGCAAACCAAATATTTTTTCTATACTTTCAATTTTCGTGAAAGCAAATGGCGATAAGGAAGTGGTAAAGGTTGTAAAAGGTTTGGTTCACTAGGAATTTGAAGATTAAGCTTGAAGAGGTGAGGTGAGAGGAAAAGGGGCGGAACGGACAAACAACGGGAGAAAGATATGATGATACCTTCGATTTCGTGTTCAACACCACATCCCGGAGAGCAAACAGATCAGCTTTGCATTTGCTCAAAAAGCACGTCTCAAAATCGCGGACGGTTCTTTTGAACTTGAGAAAGGATGATATTGAAAGTCTGATTTCGATAGTGCATGGTATGGCTCGAAGCTTCGTGGTTACGCTGCTATTTGGGAATTAAAATGAAGTTTTATTTCTTACAGCTGCGCACGACCTCAAGCAACTCACCTTCAATTTATTTTTTTCAATTTATAAAAGGAACAGAGAAATTGATGTATCTACTAAGCTAGAGGATGCCGTGCGCAGGTAGTTTTTGTCAGAAAAATTAAAGCTGAAACTGAAATTTTCTTTGAAGTAGATTTTTGGAAAAAAAAAACGAACGGAGAATCGTACCATTTTAGACGCCTTTGAAAATTATTTTGCGCTTAAGTGGTCACTCCTGCATCTATCAGTTTTTATCGAACTTCAGAAAACAGTCCAGATCGCAACTGGCTTGCGCCGAAATAAAAAAAAATCAGAAATCCGCTTTAACGCGAGTAGCTTGCAAAATGGGCTAAAGTTAGAGGTCCTACAGTAACCTTCACATTTTCCCGACAAGCTCCGAAAATGAGGACCAATTTTTTGAGCTCTTCTCTCCCATATTGACTCTCTTGTACTTTGTTCGGGGAAGCAACGAGTTGCCTATTTTCAGGATCAAAAAGAACGGACCAGAAAGCAGCCTTGGCTTGTGGCGAACGGTTTCGGTGACAAGTGGATGAAAAACAACGGGGAAACGAGCTCTCGAGTGGAGGAAACGAGCCGTCATCATAGAGAAGAAGAAGAAGATCCTGTGTTGCGCGGAGGAGGACCAGAAAACTGAGCTGAATGGTTTTGACATGTTCTGATCCGGATATCACGTATCAGAAGAAAAGCGCACATGATCTTATTGAACTTTTTCTCATTTCACTCAAAAATTGATTACAGTTAGTTAAATTCTACACTTTGTGCCTCGAAGGAAACTTTGGCATGACGCAAAAAAGTGGAACATAGAAGGAAACTCTATATTTTCACGGATTGGTCTAGACACAATATGTTTCTGTGAGAAGAAAAAAAGGTTTCTAAACTTTTTTTCAATTCGAAAAAAATAATTTTGTGAAGACAAGAGAATTAAATTGAATTTTTCTTTAAAGTTGTAAATGCCAAACTTGACATCGAATCCGAGCAAAACTATCTTTGTTATTCACTTGATTTCTGTTTTTTTCAATAAATAATTTCATTTTTTTGATGATTGTCTGAAAAAAATGGGATGGATCAAAGTCTTCCTTGATTATTTTTTTGTTTGTGGTAACAAATTATCATTATTTTCGATCTTGGGCTTGCCCAAACGACTTGAGACCTTTTCTTGTCCCTTCAAAGAGTCCGCCAAAAATTTTATACAGAAAAACTGAAAATCTCGGTCTTATAGCTGATTCACAGCTACCTTGGGAAGCAAAAAGGCGTTTCCTGTCTGCGCTCTCCCCTAACCAGGCGCTGTCTCTTCTCTTATCGTGTCAGGACCCTTTTTTCAATGGCTCAAGCCAGCCGTGATCCAGCTATACAGATTATTCTGCTCCATTGGTCGCTCTTTCAATCGCAAACATTTTTTAACTCTTTCATTTTCTCTGTTTTATCAGCCGATTCGGTTTCATCAAACACTGCGTGCCTCTTGTGACTTCGACAAGTTTCTGATTAAAAATAGATGTCTCACTTCAGTTTTAACATCAAAAAATCTGATCTCTTACGAAAAAAATGTCGAGAGATAACTATTTGAGACAATCTTTGTGATGTTTCCGATGAAATCCAACTAAAGGAGGAATTGCTCGGGATAAAACTTTTTCTGGAATTTTTGTTCATACCTTCAAAAACGGAGATATGTAGGCAAAATGCTTCTTTTTTTCAACCAATTTTTTTTTGTTGGTAAAGTTGTACCTGTCAAATTCGCATCTTTTTTCACCTTCTTTCAAAACAAATTCACAAAAAGACACCGAAAAATGAGCTCGGAGGGTCTTCAAGGGGCCTCTCTTTTTCAAAATAGTGTCTCGGACTTTGGAAACGCAAATCGGACGTGTTGACCATTTTAGTAGAGTCAGAACTCTTAAGTGATCCCTAGAAATTCTCGGAACGTCCGGAGCGCGTCTGTTACAGTTACCGAGGTCCGAGATTTTTCAAAATTAAGATATCTAGATATGACATTCTAATGTCTTGCCCAACAGCCGTCGCTCACATTCACCGATTTTTTCGAGATCGCTACATCGTTTTGAGCGACACTTGGCTCCAAGCTGTTCTCGAATATTTATCCACAAAAAATGCAAAATCTGTGAGTTTTTTAAACCATATCTTTCATAAATTTGTTTTTTGAGGACCCACAAAAACTTGCCGCACTCGTTTTTGAACAATGGAAGTTCTCAAACTTCAAGGATTCATCGGAGTCCGTTTTTTCGAAACTTGGTCTTTGTCCCAATACCAGTAGAGCTGATTTGAAGAGACCAATCGTTTGTCAGGTTTTTTTTTCGAATAGTTATTCGTATGAAAATTATTTTTTTAAAAGTTAGCCTTTCGAAAAGTTTCCGGTATTTTTTTATGAAGGAACATAGTTACATGCCTAACATTACATAATAGTTGAGGTTTTTTTAGTCTAAAAAAAATTTATTTATTTTTCTCCTATAATTTGAATTTTTTTCTATTTTTTTCAATCAGAACCTCTTTGATGTTTTTTTATTTCTACTTTCGAAGAAAAAAATTTCGAAAAAAAAATTTTTTTCTCATTATTATTTTCAGATAAATAGTATTATTGACGTGGGGTCGTCCTACTACTCACAGTTTTCGAGACTTTCCTCCTGTTCTCGCGTCGATAACACCGGTTTCGACACGATTTTCAATAAAGAAGAAAATGATAACGATCAAGTTTTTGCGATAGTTCAATATAAAACGCTTTCAAAAATTCTAGAAATCTTCGAGGATGCTCAGGTTGGTATTATCTGATGGACAAACGGAGCTCAAAGCGATTGAGCTGTCAAGAATCCCGAACTTGTCTATGTACATCAAACCCGGCTGCAAAGTTTGTCACTTTTGTGATTTTCTAATGGGAAGCTCTCCGAGACGAAATTCGACAAGCCATTTGAAACTTTTGAGAATTTTTTTTATTAACCAGATTTTTCTTGGAAAAAGCGAGAAGCTTCACTTCTCAACTTGTCAACAAGGCTTCAGAAAAAGGCATCAAGGAAATATTTTAGATCTAATTTCGAATAATCTTCTCGTAATGGCACTCTCGAAATTATCTCTCTTGCGTTTCTTTAAGCTCTTCATAATCAAATTTTTATTTTTTTGAATTCGAAAAACTGGATTTTTTTAAGATTGTTCCTCTATAATTTTGTTCATCAACTTTACAGATCCTCATTTGTCCGCCGTTGATCTTGCGCAAGGGAACTTTTCTCCTCCAGCCGGACAACTGCCAGGTTCTCGGTATCGAGAAGAGATTTTTCTCGAAGAAACTATATTCTTGAGGCGGCGAATGTCTTCCTCAGTTGAACCCCGAAAGACCTCTCGACAAGTACATGCAGCTGCTCGGACTCCAGGACAAGAAGTCAGAAATTAAATCATTTTTTGTTGTTTTCAGAGATATAGCTAGTACTAAAAAATGCTCCGTTTTGTTCTTTTCGCGTCATTTTACCAACTTTGATCAAAAATTGAAGCCTTTTCCTTTTCGACTTTTTCTTGGATCTTTGAAATCCTATTAAATAAATGGAAAGGGCGATAAAGGTCGCAAAACGGGATCCTTCCAGTGGTCTTTTGCATTTTTTCTTCTTGTTTTTTTGAGACCGTTTTCGACACTTCAGAGTATGGAAAAAAAAAAGAAAAAATTGATAAATGCTACACTTTACAAATTCAGGGCACCTATTCAAAAAGAAGAAGCTAAATTCGAAGCTCGCAGACGTTCTCCTAGGATTAAAATTCCTGAAAGGCCTCATCAAATAAGAAATCGTTCTCCCTCACCATCAGAGTGAGCTTACAAATTGAACAAGAAGTCACCAGAAAAACAAATTCAGAATGTTTATCGAGGAAGAAGAGAATTACGACGACGAGGTTGTCGATTGGTCAGAAGAAGAGGAAGGTTTTCCTCAGCATTCCCGAAATTCAAATGAAAAAGATGTTCAGAGCCTCGTCGAGCAGTTAGAACTTCGCTTCCTCGATTGGAAAATGAGACGATCGAAGGGCCATCGAAGCGAAAGGCCGTCGATGTCGTCGCCAACACTCCGAAAAGACGTCCGGAATCTGTTGCAAAACCAGTTTTTTGTTGTTTTTCGTGTAATTTATATTTTATTCTGGTTAAGAACCCAATGAATGGAATGCTGACCACAGCTCGTCCTCAATCTTCCTACAAGGACAGTCCTTTGAAGGCCGACGAGGAACCCTTGAACTTTCCCAGTTCGAGTGGAAGGATCAAGATCAAAAAGGAGGTTTATTAGAGAAACATTTTCTGAAATCTTTATTGAGATTTCTCGACACGCAAACGTCGAACACGGATTGAAATGATTCCAAAAAAATTACTCTGAATAAGAACATTTATAAGAAAAAAATTATACTTTTATTCTCAAGTATTTTTAAGGTTGACTTCTTTCACAAAAATTGTTTTTAAAACAAAAAATATTCTCTCGTGGAATTTTATTTTTTCTTTATATCGGCATCTTTATTTGTTAATTATCGTTTTTTTTAGAAATCTGACGATGATATCGAGGTTATCGAACTTGATTCGCCTGTCCTCGCTGCAAAAGCTGTCAAAAAAGAAGTCGAAGAAGTGGTTTAAAAAAATCCTTTTCTGTAACCTTGCTTTTTCAGAATGCTCTGTCAGAACCGTCACCCGAGGAACCGATAATCAAAAAGTTCAAAAAACTGAATAACGTCAGCATTGTGGATATCGTGAAAAAGATGCGATTTTGCGTCGGTTCTCGTCGCGTAAACATTGTTGTCAGTCTGAACAGAGAGCCCATAAAAGTTATAACTTTAGGGGTCGATCGAGAACGTCCTGGACCCACTGAGAATTGTCGACAATCTTTGGACGATGAAAGTTGATTTGAGGGACGATTCCACTTGCTCGGAGTGTTTGATCGACGACGATTGCTTGAAAAACCTCATCGGGATGTCATCAACCGAGGCTATGGTCGGTAATTTTTAAAGGATAAAAAGCCATTTGTTGTTAAATGATCTCTTTTAGGGCTTTTCATTGAGTGCTAAATTTAAATTTTGGTCCAGCCTTTCGTTCTATGATTCTCTTTTTGTCTGTCTACTTATGTGGAGTTCTCTGGCGATTTGCAGACGGTACGTCAGTCTGAGGACAGGGAGCGACGCAAAAACGGTGCGAAACGCTTGAAAGGCGCCGAAGAGCAGTTGCAACGACTGGATTTAGTTCTCGAGGTCCTCTCAACTTGCTTAATCATGTAAAATCGTCCCGTTTCAGGTCGAATTCTTCAACGATCGATCTCTGTTGCCGGTCATTCGCTCAGTCAGAACTATGGCCGAAGTTTTGGACGTGTTTTGAAGTAGGGTTCCTATGAGAAAGTTTGGCTTCTTTGCTGAGTTTTTGGCTGTTTTCAACAATGTTGCAAGTTTTTCCGAAAAGAGCTCAAGTGGTCCCTATAGGGGTCTTTAAATGTTATCCAATAAAGGTTATTTGTTTAGTTTTTCGCATGGAAATGCTTCTCCGAATAGAGTTAATAAAAATTATCGAGTAGCTTGTCTCCAAGAGGGGCCACGAACTAAAACCCCTATAAGGACCGCTTTGGCAAGCTTTAATGGCCCCTATAGGGGTTGTCAAAGCGGTCCTAGGGACCACTATGGAGTTCCTAAGTACATCTCTATTTTGATTTAAAACTCTTCCGTGCTGTGAAAAATCTCACGCGACTTCCAGAGGGTAATCGGAAAAGATTAAACAGATGACTATTTTCAGAATCTCGAAGAAGAAACGGGTAATGAGCTCATCAAATAACAACTTCTCACTACGAAAAATTTTATTCTTCTCACCTATTAACATTGATTTTTCTGTTTTCATAAACTATTTCACTGTTTTTCGTGAAGAATATTGAATGGATTGGTTTCTTCCATTATTTGATATGTTGAAAAGTACTGCAGAAACTTGAGATATGAAAAAAAGTTTTTTTCTCTTTATATAAAAACTTTTTTTGGAAGGATTTCGTTTATCTTTTTCAAAGTTGTTCGAAACTTATTTTTTTGAAGTTTTTTTAAGGCTCTCATAATTTCCACTTATTTTAAGTTTTTTAGAATAGGAAAGATTTCGGCTCTCATTTCAAAATTTTAAGAGCAGCTTTTGTTTTCTGATCGTATTTTAAGGACGCCTGAAATCATTTTCCAGATCCATTGAAGATTCGATTCGGATCATCATTTTGAAGATGAAGACGAAGAATTTTCAAAATCACCGCATCAAAGTCGAATCGGTGCGTATTTTTCAGTTCCGTTCTTTATTTCAGATGATCTTTCTCCGGAAATTAGTTTATGAAGTTCTTTTCATAGCGTCTTTTGCACTTTTCTTAAGCTTCAGTTGCTTTTTTCCGAGAAGCTGGGTGGTCCGGAATAGACTTGTCCTTGGGAGAACTGAGGATTAATACCAAATCCTCAAAAAAGGGCTCATTTTAATGGTCCTCAATGAGATTTCTTATTGGTTTTTTAAGGCTATTGGGACGAAACGAGAGTAAATTTTTGCTTTGAAAAATTTTCTGCGTTTTTTTAGACAAAAAAATTCAGTTCCGATGGCGCGATTATGATAGTGGTTCTTTATCAAATGAAGGGTTGAAAGGATGTAAAAATTGGTTTTGAAGTAGATTATCTCGCGATTTTTTTTCTCCCACTGGTGTTCTCTTTGATTCATTCTGATCTTTTCTCTCTCATTCAAGTTTTGCTATGAATACTTATTTCTTTTCCCGATGTTTGCCTCCGAAGGTGGCTCAATTGAGGATTAAATTTGAAACTTGGTGACATCTTATTTAAAGGGGTTTCTTGAAGAAATCCGTGCTTTAATATAATTCCGCCTGTTTTTTCGTTTATCTTTTTTCTTACAAGTCAGACGATTTTATTCAGTTCAAATCGAGGTTTAAAAGTTAACTTTGTTGCAATTCATTTTGCAGTATTTTTTTGCGAAATTCCAGTTTTTTTTCAACTCGAGAACTCGGTTTATTTATTCGTTCACTCCTTTTTTACAGGCTAGCTTCAAAATCAGTTCAAATCGAGGCTCAAATGTGAACCTTTTTGACAGCTATGCCACAATGATATCATGCTAAACTTCAGACTTTTCCCCAAAAAATTTCAAACTCTTCCTGCAAATGGGCTTCAAAGGCGGCTGCCGGTGGTGCGAGAGTTGCGCCACCTCGCCACTGAGCGGTTTTCGGCCCGATTAATCCGATGAAGATCCTCGTCATAATTCTCATGGAATAAATCTTTCCACTTGAGTGTCTGCCTCGGCGGCAAGGTGTCCTGGGAAAACGATGGATCCGATTTGCATAACTTTATGATTTTATTTGGTTGAGAAAGTGTTTTACTGTCTCGAGTTGAGTTTGAATCGGATTTCAGCCCCAAAATCTACTTCAACCAATCTCCGATAGGTAAAATGTGCAAAAAGCTTTTTGAATGCGCCAGGTGATTTTTTCGAATTGCCTAAGAATCTATACCTTTGCGAAATTTCTGTCAAGATAACTTTTTTACCATATCATTTTTTTGTTTCTCAAAAAAAAACTAGTAGGAATCGAACAGGTGGCATCAAGAAAAATCCGATAATTTGGTCCCCTCCTCATATTCTCACACCAGCCGACAAGACAAAAAACAGACCAAATTAGCGGTTTGACGACTCTTTTTTGCGTGACCTCGTTAGTCAATAATTAACGTAAAGGTGTTGTTTTACCTCTTGTGAGGTTTATACGTAAAAGGATCAGAAAACGCAATAATTTATCACTATTTTTATAGTTGGAAGTTAACAGTACTCTTTGAGAATTTTTGAAAAATTTGCTGCCACTTCACTTTGAGAAAATCCTTTTTCTTTTAATCCTGCCTTTTTTCAATATTGTCTATAGTTCCATTCAAATTCGCCTTCTTTCGAGGGTTGTTCTCAATTTTTCAAATATCTAATTGTTTGCTCAAGGTATAAGTTATTCAATTCAAAACGCAAAACCTATTTCCTCATTTTCTGTTTGACCTTTCTCGAAAAAACAAACTCACCTTAGAATCCAATTTCGCAGCAACTCACCTCGTCTTTTCTTCACCTTGCCAAGAAAAACGCGGCGGATTCGAAATCCAATCAGAAAACCCAAAACGGGAGTGAGTGACATGAGAAATCGGTAGTTAAACTGTTCTAGACAACCGAACTTCTCTCTTATCTTGATGGTTCGAAATCGAAAAAATCTATTTATTGACACGATGATCCGTTAATTTTTACACGTTCCGTGGAGTATTTCGTTCTTATCAGATGGCACCGGAAATGGTGTGTCACTTGTCAATTTCTGTGAGGATTAAAGGAATCGTCTGTCATTTTCCTGCCACAGGCGCGCAGACCGTGACGCTTTGATTTTTAATGAAAATATTTAGTCAATCTACAAAGAGTACGAAATTTCAAAAAGTAGTGTTTTTTTTTTCTGAATCCTTTTTCTGTTGTTTCGGAACATTTTTTTCCGTTGAACACCATTTATTTTCTTTTTAGTCACTTCTCATCGTAGCATATCTGGGCGTTTTACTGTCCGTTTAAGGCAAAATTTAGGCTATTTTCAGTTTTATGATTCCTAGTTCCAATCATAAGTGTTGTCGAAAAATCCTCTACATCTTTTTTATGATTTCGAAGACCATGGACACACCTCGGAACACTGTTTCAAGGTAAACTGCTCGCTCGCATCGGTACCTTAAAGCAAAGAGAGAAGTCGCTTATGGTGCGCTGTTAGAAGATGAGTACCAAACCCTGAGCTCAAATTTTATCTTCAAGACGACCGCGACCTTTAATCTCATTCCAGGAGTTGTATCCTTGAAACGTGAAGTTTGCTGAAAATTCGTTCAATCTCCTTCAACAACTAACAGATAACTTCAGAATTCCCTTCCTCTCACCGGATTGAATCAATTTTCATAAATGCGGTAGTTTGGAACGGAAGCGTCCGAGGGCACAGCTGGCGGCAGAGTTGAAAGACCGGCGACTCCATCGGAATCGGATGGCAAGACGAAAAAAAAAACTACCGCCGCCGCTGCCGCCGTTCCCATTGTAAAGTTTGCGCGAGAATCGTCTTCCTGACAACTTTTTCTGATTGATTCGACGACTGAATGCTGAGATTACGGTAGCCGGCAGATGGCTGTCTTTGTCCTAATTTATTTGGGATTGGGATTTCATTTTTCATTAGCGTTCAAGTAGCTCGAGAAATTGGAAATCGTCTGCATATTGATAAAGATTGAGAATTTAAAAAAGAAAAGAAGTTTATGTGCTCCATAGCTAATCAGAGGGGGAGTTGATAATCAGTTCAAGATCTTAATTGTATATTTTATAATTTTTTTGCTCGTTTATAAACGATCTTAGAAAAATCTAGGCCTGTTTCAGGATCGATAAGCTTCTCCAAAAAAAATTTTGTTTTCAAATTCCAGGGAAACATTTTTAAATTGAAATTGGTGATGTTGATCAGGTTTATTTTGCTTTATTAATAGGGCCTGAAGTAGGTTTAAAAAGTTAGAATGTTTCGAAATAATAAAATAACGTGCCTTTGGAAACTTTCATACAAAGTACTGTAATTTTAAGAGCACAATTTGCGCGAAAAATGAACGAAAACATCAATTACTTTCTAAACACTCTCATTAAAGAATACTGTAACTTTGAGACCCTTTTTTTCGAAAAAGCATTAAAGGCAAACTTCCACCCATCCCGCTAAAACAACAATCACCTTTCTAAACACCGTCATAAAACGGGTCGTTTCTCCGAAACGTCTCCACACGAGACGCGGTTCCCAGAATGACGGACCCCAACATTACCCAATGATTAGAGGGAAAGTAATTATCATAAAGTCTCTGGAGGGGAATCCTTAACGACTCCGCGAGGAAACGGACGAGTCGTAAAATACGGCCGCTGCCTCCTGGCCAAGCTGTTCAGGAAGGATCCTCTGGCAGTTTAATTTTTTAATTAATTTTTTTCTTTTGCCCTATTTTTAGTTTCATCTGAAGACGCTATATTCCTATAGACTCCAAAAAAACATCAAAATAATTCTTTTTTTCAATTATTTCATGTTTATTCAAAGTTAACGATCCTCTATGAGCTCTTGAAAGCATTGAAGCATCACGAACATCGTACAACCTTTTGAATTTGCCGTTTCGAAAACATTTCTGTTCGCCGGTTGAGCGACAATGCACCTGTGTAGGAGAAGGTTGAGCCAAACGAATATTGCCAGTTTTTTTTCTGACAAGGTTGGCGCCAACCTTCTTCTTCCGCTGTCGCCTCGGATATCTCCGAAATTTGGACAGGAGGCTGTCGTTTGAACCTCGCCGTCCTTTCCTTCTTTTTTGGCCTTTGATAATTGCTTTTTAATTCAAAATTTATGTGTCCGAGTGATTTCAGTTGAAAGGTTCGATTTTTGGCCTAATTACTGATAAAAAATGTAGAACGGTGAATTTTGATAGAAAGTAGAATTAAGTCTTTTTTTTTTCACGAACTGCCTTAGCTCGAAGCGAACGAGGTAACTAGAGAGGATCAAACTGAAGAGAATCAGACACACGAGGAAAGTGACTTCATTCTGTTTCTCGAATTGTGATCTGAAAATTCCGCGTTTGCTCTACATTATTCTTTTTAACCACACATTTTTTCGTTTCAAAAAACTCCAAATATCAATCAACAACGGTTTTTTGACTTTTGGCAAATAGGAAACAGCCAAAAAACGTCAACCTTTCAACAGTCTGTCATCAGAGAGAGCCGAGGCTCCGCCCCTTTCGAATCCTTTGCAAAATCGCAAAAGACGGCACTGATGGCGTTCCTCCTCATCTGCTGCCGCTCATATTTCTTCTCCTCCTTCTCTATTACCTGCCGAGGCAAATGGCTAATGGCTTAAGTTTCAGGCAGACCTGTGGCCAGATTGTCTAGCTCTAGTTATATTATAGTCCGACTTCTTTACGAGAGAAAAACTTGGGAGAATAAGGTAGGAACGGCTGAAAATACTTCTGGAGAAATTTTTTATTGAGAGTGGGTTAAGCTTAATTTTAAGAACGATGAAAAAATTCACTAGTACTATTTATTGGATACTTTCTCTTCATTCACTCTCATGGAAAGTTCTTGTACCTAGCCTTCTGGAATTGTCTGTAATTTTGCTAATAAAATCTTCGATGAATTGTTAATCAGACACACATAATCACTGTCTGTGCAAGCTTCTAGTGACAGGGATATCAGTTTTTGAAGTTGCGAAATGGACCTCATTCTGTCTTAGACGCGAAGTTTGAAACTTCATATCTCTGAAACTAAAAGTTTGTGCAGATAGCGGCTATGGAGGCTCGATTCTAAGTCTAATCCGAACTTCTAAGCCTGACTCTGCATGTCAAAAGTTTCGTGAGAAAATATTGTTCAAAAGACTATATTTAAAGCGTTCCTATGCTGCCTGTAGCGGCTCTTTTTGTATGAATATTGGAATTATTCATTAGTTAAATCATAGTACTTCTTATTAACCTAGCTTGACTGACCTGAAGAAGTCTAGTCAGTAAAAAAAAGGTCTCAAAACTCGATGAGACGTTCTTTTTGTCCTCAGTTCTATCCTCAGGCCAACCATTTTTGTTGATTTTGCGCCGTCTCAAAGAATTCCACTGATCCATTAGCTTTTCTTGGAGCCATATGGTAGCAACCTTTTATCACCAACTCTCAATTACTCTACTCCACAGGAATACCGACCGCCGAGCCATAAAAGGTGCTAAAAAAGAAGAGGGGGCGTGGTCGGAGCCAGGTGTGTCCAGCGAAAGATTGTATCAACGGGCTTCCGCTTTTCTCTTTCTCCTTGTTGATTTGGTTGTTTTTCGGCGGGGCGCACTTGCGCAATCCCCTTTTGCACAGCTGGCTATTTGTTTTACGATCCCTTTTTTGTATGACAGTGGTACTTTTTGGCTTTTCTGCTCTTTTGGTCTTTATTTTTGTCAGGAATTCCTTTTCTCATTCTCTTCGTATAGTGGAATGACACTTCAACTGCTTCCGGTATGGTTTTTTGAACTTCTCATTAGAAGACGCTGTTTTCATTTTGACAGGGAACTTTTAACCGGACTTTTTTGGACTCATTGCTTGAAAATTCGTTCAAATCCATTTTTTTTTCAACTGTTGAACGAAGTTTACGTTGATTTCCCGATTTTCATTTCTGCCAGGAAAGCAGTTAATCGGAGTATTCAAAACGCTAAGAAGGTTTAGATTTTTTTTTTTCTTGGCTCCTCTTGACGCGGTTTTTTCTTCGGCTCATTTTCTGAAAAAAAAAAGCCTTTTTGAACTATTTTGCAAATCGATACAATTGAATTTCCAATAATTTTAGTGTCGTTCGGTTTTCCAAGATGAAGGAGAAAAAACTTTACTTTTTCATTCTAATTCCTCTGTTTTTTTGGTTTCATTTATTTTTCTTCATTTTGAGAGATACAGTCTAGCTCCTACAGGGGCTACGGTAACCAAGAAGAAATAGGAGCCAAATATCTAACATTTCGTCTGATTTTTCGGAGAGGGCCATTTGGGCTCTAATCTCGCGGCTGGATCTACCGAAATGCATCATCTGCGCGTGTTTTATTGGCTACTGCCTTTGTCGTCGGTCGAATCAAAAAAAAAAGAGCAGGAGGACCTTTTAACTGAGGTCGTTCTTCACCTTCGTTAATAGCGTGTAGCAATTTGCCTTGCAACTTTGGAAATCAAAGGAAAAATGCCGAAATGGGTTCATTTTGAAGGCTGTGAAGTTTCCATTCGAGAAAAAAGAGGAAATTCAAACGCAAGTATCGTATGAAAAAGTCCCGATTATACTGGTTGAAACTAAGAGTTTCCTATAGATGGAATCAGAGTTGAACATATTTGCACGAAAAAATATTTTTTTTTTTTGAAAGTTGCGGTTTTGAAGGAATTTCGAAAAATAGTTTTATAGTCTCTGACTCTTTTGCTTCCCAAAAACATGTCTCGAATTCAAATTCCTGTCAAAAACCTGCCATTTTCGGACGATAAACAAGAAATTTTCGAATAAAACTTCTGATTGACTTGGAGTAGGCGTTTTTTTCTTTCGCCTTGGTTTGCACTTTTTACGTTGTTCTTGTGTTTCTTCCCCATCAACTGATAAGCATCAAATTTTGCTGATAAAGTTTGATAATTTTGGTCGCGGTGCCAGGCACCAGGCGGCACAATCTCCAGGTTGTCAGTCAAGCGAATTTGCCTATAAAATCAGTGGACAGCCGTTTTTTCAGCGTTTCTTCTTCTTATCACAGGGAGTAGCGCCTTTTCCTCCATTTTCCGTGCATCCAATATGCATTGTTTGGTTCGGTCTCGGAATTGAAAGTCCTAGACAAATTCGGTCCTGCCACGGCATCGCTTTTTTCGTGGGAAAGCGTCCAGTTTTGTTATTTTTTAGCGAGTTTCCAGTGATACTCTATGATTCGGAGTATCCAGTTCAATAGTGAAATGCGTTAGATTATATTGGTAGGTTTAAAAATAGACCGGAGCACTAAACTCTATAGCAAATTTGTTTAAAAAAAAGCCTTTTCGGATGGAGTGGAACATAAACTTTTTTTTTTGAGACAGAGGTTATTGGAAAACGTAGGGTTATCAACACACTGTAACCTGGAAAATGAACCAAAAAACTTCAAAATCGTCATAACTGCTTCAACTTTTGCTCGCTCTTCCCCTCTCCAATTTTATTTATAACTATCCTTGCACAGCTGCTTTTTTTCTCGAGGATTACGGTACTACTCGAGGTGATTTCATTAGTCGCTGCTTGGGCGGCGGCGGCTGCAGTTGGCGTCTTCAATTAGGCTAACGAGTCTCTTGCGCCACCCCCTCTCCTTTTGGACCTACCACTCCAGAACGCCCGTTCTTCTGCCTCCTTCTACAGAGTATTCCTTGATTGTAACTTTTTGATCTCAATTTTTCTAATTCTAAAAAATCTGAGGGAAAAATTCCCCGAATATTATTGATGGCGTCATTAGAAGGGATCTTTTCAATAGGTTCCTGGCGACCCTTGACAAAGATTTTTCGGCCGATTTTTCAGAAAATTTTAGATTTTCTGACTCAAATCATCTTGCAAGAACTACATTTTTGGTTTGATAAGTTTTATTCAAAAAAAAAAGAGTACTTCAGAAGTTTTCTGATTGTTTGAAGAGTCATAGAATTTTTCAAGATCTGGGCACGGAAAGGAATTTTTTATTTAACAGAACACTAATCAAATCTTGTAGTTTAGAAGTTAGGCCTTGAAGGCTCAGAAAAAAAAATCTTCCAGAAATTTTCAATTCTTCTGGAAATGAATCGAAAAGCGACTAGTATTCCGAAGATCAGGGAACTTTTAGAAAATAAGTAAAACATTCCGCAAAAAGGATCAGTTTCAAAGAAACTATCCTCAAGAGGATTTTTTCAATTCAATCGTTTTTTCTTTGAGTATGAGTCCTTCGAGAACAAAAACCTCAACCTCTTCCAGTTGTTCCCAATGTACTGTATTTGTCGACACCATCCCTCCAATCAGCATGAAGATGATCTATCTGAGATAGGGACGAGGTTGGAAGGAGATCTTGAAGAGGAAGAATCCAAGCGGAAAGTTGGCGACGTCTTCCTGGTGCTCAGCCAAGCGGAATCAGAAAGACCAAGGCGACCTGCCACCTTTAATCATTCTCCCCGTCTTTCCGTTCTCGCCTACCTGTTCCTCCCGTCCGTTCCACCGTTTTTGGCTTCTTTCAAGTAGGGTCGCAATTTTTATTTTTAAAAAAATGTTAAGAAAGTTGAGAAAATAGGTTGGAAAACCGATGGGTACTTGTCAAAAAGATTTTTGAGTCTATGATTGAATCTTCGGAAGATAGAGAGCGTTCCGATGGCACGCTTTTTTATTCTCTGAACGCTCTCGTCTACCAGTACTCTCTTACTTTTCTAAAAATCGAATATAAGCTCCGAACTTTACAATGGTTTCAGTCCCAGATCGTCAAAAAGCGAATTCAATATTTTCGCTGAACTCTGTCTCGGGACTCCTTTGAGGACCCTTTTCTCGAAATCGCAATGATCCTTTAGTTTTAGAAGAGATCTATCTTTTTTTAGAGAAACTTATATGTTTATTTAGTTTCAAAATTTAAATGTAAACCATTTTAGGCGGAAGAATTTTTTACTCAGTTCGATGGTTCCTTGAATTTTTCCTTTTCTCTTCAGTTTTGATTTTCGTTTTTTCGCCATGGACGACTGTTTTCTTGCGCTTTTATCAGTTACTTTGTTATCTGTTATGATTGTGATTCGGCTTCTTTCCAAACCTCTCCTGAACCAGAGGCCGTGTTTTAAAACGTTTTTTTATCATCGAATTGAGCCGTGAGTGGTTTGAATTACGAAGCTTATTTTTTCCTGATTCTCAGATTTTATACGTTCGCGGATTGATAACTCTCCTGTGAAAGACCTGAAGTTCGAGTAAGATTCAAAAAAAAAGTCGCAGAAAGTTTTGCCGCCGAGAACTCGTTCACGTACCATTAACTATTATGCGTTTTTGTCGTTTCGAATTGGATGGTTTGGAAAGTCGCCGTTTTCCTCATTTCGCTCAACTTTTCTTCTTCTCTGAAACTGTGCCATCAAGTTTGTTCAACTTTCAGGGATTCTCAGGAGTTTCTTGGACTTTTAAATAGCATTTGTTCATTTCTGAACAATCTATGATAGCTACTCTAGGTGCTCATAATTTGCCGGACTTGAACCGGTGACCTTGAGAACTTCAGAATAAAATTCCCACCAACTGAGCTAAGAACGTCACCATCTAGAGTCCGAAGTAAGGGTTATTAGAATCAAGCCTTCTTCGGAAGTTTCAAAAATCGCAGCTTCTCTTACTCCTAGATTAGGTTTTTCAAAGGAATACTCTCGTTCCTACAGAGAGTCTGGTGAAAACGTCGTTTCACATCAAACAGAAGCTCCAGCTCATCCTCAGACCGTATAGGCATGGTACATCTTTTTCGTTTCCAGAATTCTTCCGGACACATCAAGCTCATCCATCTTCCTTTTCTGGTTTTCGTAAATTTCGGAACGGAAAGAGCCGATTTAGTCTTGATACGAGCTTCTGATTAATATCAAGAGTGTCGTGAAGAAATCGAGCTTCACCTCGATAAAAGAAGCTCCGCCTTCTCCTTCTACTTGTCTTCTATCATCACTGGAGCTATCAGAAGGGACAGCTTCCCTGGTTGTTTCAGGGTCGGATCCGACTAGAGGCCGCTCCTAGTCGCCACTAAGAGTCTCATGAAGACGTCAAGTCTTCGAAAAAAAGACTTGACGTCTTCATCGGACTCTTAGTGGCGAAAAATGCTTCTTTAGCTAGAATTTCACTGAAAGTACGTCCCTGAACATCACCGAAGAGCCAATGAAGACGTCAAACTCCTGAACTAGATGAAAGAAGCTCCACCTCCTATTATGTCTTTATTGACATATGAAAGACAGAAGGACTAGAAAAAGGTCCTCGGCTGCCTTCATGACTCTTGTGAAGACGTCAAACTTGACCGCTAGAAAAAAATCTAGTCTTCTGCTGCAAAATATCCTTGTACGCCACCGAAGAGCCTTCGAGACGTTGAAAGTTTCACACTTCGATGATTGGAAGAAGCTACAGATCTTCTTCTTCATTTGTAAATTTATTTTATAGTCTAACGCTCCTACGAAGACGTTAATCTTGACCAAGAAGAGATTTTTTTCTCATGCTCCTAGTCGCTTCCCAAACTCGAATTTTGCTTGACGAATATCCTTGGTCACGAATTTTTGATCCCATGAAGACGTCAAAAGTTTCGCACCTCGACGAAATAAGCTCCACCTCCTCGTCGCCTCCTATCAGCGCTGAAACGGCTGGATGGACTCGCCGACGACGACACAGAAGGAACAGACAGCGTTGAGAATTGTGAGTGACGGCTGCTGGAGAGTGTTGTCGGGGGGAGGCGGAGGGCGAAACAGCGAGACGGCGATTGGCAGCGACACGCGCTGGGGTGGAGGAGAGATGGATGAGCGGCTCGACTCGCCTGACAGTCCTTCAAAACTTGCCTCACTTCGGGCCTCTGACGGACGGACGGACGGACGGACTGACGGCGACGCCCAAATGACAAGGTATATCAAAAAACGTTTCGCCTCCTGCTGACAGCTCCATATTTCGACCTTGTGCCTTTCTCACTCTGCCATCTCATGTTGTTTGCTTGTCCCGGAAAATCTGATCCGAGTTTCAACTCAGATTCAAGTTCTTCTCTTAATTACTCTGGTTTTTTTAATTCACAAAAGCCTTCTTGAGGGTTATGAAAATGAAAAGTACGTCAAAAAAAAAAACGATCCCTGAGGTTTTTTCTTAGGGCTCTGTCCCGACCTGTCTTCAGCTCAGATTGAAGTCTGATCATATTTCTCGCTTCTTTTTTGAGTTATCCTCAAATTCTGATTGGTATAACTAACTAAAAATTCAAATATTGAAGTTTTTCGTTTTGCCATGGCTCTGTCCCGACTGGATCCGAGTTTCGAGCTCAGATCCTAGGCTCCTTCAGTTTTTGGTCATTTTTGAGGTTTCTTGAGAAAATTCTCAAAAATCGCGGCCTTCTCCTATGCCAAGAGTGTGCCCCATATCAGATTTCATAATTAGACTGTCTCTAGAAGAATTTTTGAAGGCGCAAAATGACCTCCAATACAACTAATGCACTGAATAGATTTGCTGAACCAAACTGTTATCTGCAACATCTTCATCAAAGTTGATTGCCGAATTTATGTGATTTTTACCATTTTAGGTACGGACAACTGCTTTCAAATGAATAGAGCGGTTTTTGACAGAAAAAAAGATCATTTTCCTGATATTTTGATGGCACCTTCCGAGAGTCTGTAAAAAAAATATAATGGGACTTACCATTTTTTTTTAACTGTGGCCTAATTCTACCGAAAATAATTTTCCGAAAAATGAGTCATTCTAGTCGTCTTGAGGAACGTCTCCTCCTTGATATTCCTACAAAACTGACCTTTTCCGAACCTTCAAACTACACTCACCGAAACTGACATCACCGACAGACTGAAGATTGAAAGGAGAGGGGTTGTCGCCGTGTGCGCGCAATTATCAGATATGTCAAAAAGTCAAAAAGTGTTTGATCGAGAGAGTCAGAAGACGCGACGTTCTTCAATCAACTTGTCAGCTTCACACACACGGGGGCGCCTCCGGGCAGGCCGCCGCCACTCCAACCCTACAGCCAGCCCTCGGCTTGTTCATCTCCATTTTCAGCAGTCTCTTGAACTTGGTTCGGATCGTAGGGAATCGGATTCTGATGAGACGCAGAAAAGCTCGCAGCTTTCTCAGTCTTTTTCGTGATTGAGACTGTAATCGATTGGCTCCTGAGATTGTAGTGAGTGAACCGCAAAAGAACCCTTTTTGGGTCTCAATATTTAGACTTGTTCATCTCCACTTTTCCACTATCAGTTAGCGGTCAGTTAAGATATCAATTCTTGTTCAGGACTGTAATCTACTTAACAGACTGATCATTTTGCCCTTAGACGTCCGTATCCTTCCAAAATGGAAAAAATAGTAGCCACGGAAGTTGTCGTAAGCCGTTTCAAAATGTTTTCTCAACCCCAGGCTTTTTTTTTTGAAGATTAAACGATGAAGAAGGCTCTGTGAAGACTTATTGGGCCTTATTCTTCATCAGAGACACCTTTTCGAGTAATTTATGCTAGAGAAAAGCTTCAGTAGCTCTTACTCACAATATCAGAGATTCCACCAAGAAAAAAAAATGGACATAAGATTTAGACTAACCAGCCGAGATCGCATATCTAACTGTGCCATCGGCCGTTTCAATCGCTCTACTTTTTTGCAGAGTTTTCCAGTTTCAGCACTCATTTTTTCATATTTTCCAACACCTCCAAGATTTTTTCCGACTCTGACCTTGGTATTTTTCTATATCCTGTGCAAATGAAAAAAAAATTATTTCACGGGATGAGCTTGCAATTTTTTAAACCAAAAATACATTAAAAAATTTATTTCCGGATCCGATCAAACGATGATCAGACAGTTTTTTTTTTCCTAGCCGTTCTCGCTGAATTTTCGTCCCTCGGCGACATCAGACTTGCATCACGTCAAATTGAGATTGTCATTTGTCAGTTCCGCGCAGCCGAGTTGTCAGTCTCGATGTCGGGGTCTCTGGGATTTTTTATTTTGCTTTTCTTCTATTTTGTGCGGTTTTCCCGCTCGAATTCTTCTTTTTCGTGTGCTAGGTTCATTTGGTCGCGACTTTTTCGTTTTTCCTATCAGATCATTTTCCGATGGTTCTTGTTGTTTTTGGGCTCACAGTAAGTCCTAAAGAAGTCTGGCCAAATAATGGCCTCTAAAGTTGTCCATTTGCCAAAAAACTAGCTATGTTCATAAAGATAGCACTAAACAAATAATTCCTTACGAGACCAATTAAAAGGCAATACCTCAAGTGATCACTTGAAGGTTTCTATGAAAGTTTTTCAAGTAGACACTTCGAAAAAGTTTTTAACGCCGCTGCAACGTTATTTTATGCTTTTTTTTCCTTTCTTAGAGTGGCTCAACTTCTTGTTCAGGTTTTCAAGGTTCTAGAGGTCTTTAGTGTGCCACAACGGTTATCTACAGTCACCTAGTGATGAATGGACTATATTTCAAATTTATCTGGATTCATCCGAAATTGATTCCAGCTCAAAATTCTAATACCTTGTTCAATCAATTTTTTTCCAATGCTTTATTTTCACGATTTTGAAGTAGTTGAAAACCACGTGATAATTGTCTCATCATTTTCCTTCATTTTTCTTTCAAAAAATACGTCACACTGGCTTATGAACAAACAACCTGTACGGAATGTCATCAGAGTGATAGTTTGAAGGGAAAAAATCCATTAAAACCCTTCCAATCCTGATTGACAACTGTTCACTTCAAAGCCCTGTACAGAAAAATGAAAACGTGTCCCAACTTGGCGCCATTCCAAGGCAACAAAGCAGCGATTACTGTGGCCAAGGAATCAGTCTTCATATCACGGAAAAAAAAACCCCCATCATTTTCCTTTCTTTTCCTCGTTTTATCACTCGAAACCTGTCAAAAACAACTGTCGTCGCTGATAGTTCCGCCTGATTTTGTTTCTGCTGGGAATTGGAAAATTGGTTGAAAACAAAACTCCAGTGATAACTGAGATGGGAGCAAAAAACAGCCACGAGACCGTTTGCAAAAGTTTTTGACATACAGTAGGTTCAATACCAGATCACTGTATAAAATTCGAGTAAAAATGAAATTTCAGTATTGTCGACTATTAGAAGTTCGAATCCGACTTTATCTTTCATGGTTTTGGAGAGATCCAGAAGATCCGATTTTCCAGCCCTTTTAATCAATTGAACATTTCGCAAATATTTTTCGAATAAATCCTATTCGTTGATTTTTTTAACTTATTTTTGACAAGCGCTCGCATTTATTACATTAGGTTACTGTATAGAGTCTTAAAGGATTTTTAAGGAGTCTTTCCTTAAATTTTGCCGAAAAATTGGAAACTTGGAGAAACCTGTAGAAATTTTTCAATAATTTTTTTTTCTGTGAAAATTCTTAGCGAAGGAATCTTGCAAAAACAGTTAGTTCAAAGTTGAACTTGGTAAAAGAAGCAAGAATATTTGAATTCTAAGAAGAAAAAGGAGGGAAGGTATAAGTAGGTATTGATATTGTGTTTGGTCTTGCTTGTCACTTGGTAGGTTTACTGTTGAGGTATTGTCAGAAGCAGGCAAACTGCAGGGAGAAGGGCTCGTTTGACAGCTCATTATGAGAGCCACGCTTTGGTCGAGCTTTTCGAGCCTAATTTAGCGTGGCGGCCAAGTGCGAGAAGCGTGGCGCAGGTGCGACAAAAAGGCTGGGCCCGTATTTGTTCTGTTGTTGTTCAGAGTCGGCTCAGGTGAATCCACAGGCCGCTCTTCTCTTTTCTCTCTGGTTTTAGGCCAGATCCTTTGAATTAGGAGAGAAGGCGTTTCAGACCTTTGATTCGAGTTTTTCGTGATTATTTCTTCTCCGCGCATTCTTTTTCCTTTTTTGACACTCTTGCTCAATTTTTGCTTTTGCCCCATTTTTCTTGTGCTAGTCTTACCACTGCTAACTCTTAGGCTCTCATTTATTTCTCATTCTACTGCCCTTTTTTTGAAATTATTCTCGCTCTGTTTTCCTCGAGATTTTGACTCGAAACAGTGTGAATAAACAATTCGTAACCCTTTTTCAAAGTCAAAACCTCAGTGAATTGTTATGATCTCACTTTTTTGAAATCAATTGGAAAAGAGATACTAAATCTGGCAGCTTGACCCATACATGGCTAGACTATTTTTTTAAACCAACCTCTCCTCCGTAATAATTCTAAATTAAAGTCAGTACTACCTCCTGAAGTTAAACTTGCGTCCATTTTTGTCAACACCGTCTCCCTGGGCTCAAAAATAAATTTTACACTTCGTTTTTCGAAATTTTTGTAGGTAACCTCTCCTATTAAACCAATTTAGTCCTTTACTTGCCCCCGTATGGTTTGACCAGTTATTTTTTTTTAATTTATCGATTTTTCGAGCTTTTTAGCTTTTTATATGAGCTGAGGACCTGGTTTGACAAGCTTTTTATATGAGCTGAGAACCAAAAAAGCCAAAGTTGAATTCCTAAACTTTGAAACTGCATCAACTAAACTTATTCACTGAAAAACTGATTTTGCTTTCCCTGAGGCTTTCAAGAACGACTTGAGATGTTTTTCAATCCAATTTTGAATTTATTAAAGTTACGAAAAGTGTTTATTAAAGACACGAAAGTTGACTGGTTGTCCAGCTGGTTTTTGTAATATGCTTGGCTCTGTTTTGCACCCAAACAAGCGTCTTGAGCATGTTTTCTTGGCCTCGAACTCGATAATCATCAGAAGAGAAGGAAGGTACGAAAGCTGGCAGGTTGCCAAGATTTGATATATTTTTGAGTGGGAGAACCACGAGGCGAACGTCGCTCCGACATGACGAAGACGTGGGTCACGCCCAGGGCGATTGACATGTTTGCCCCGGGTTTGGAAATCCTTGGCAGGTCTTCTTCTTCTTCATTCTCCTCTTCAAACAAACAACACCCGCTTCTCAAGTGCACCTTTCTATCAGCTCTATGCTATCATCTCGCTCCGTTTCTGCACTGTGGTCATGGGAAATTTTGCCCCTTTCTGCAGAGTTTTTGACAAATTTCCAGCTTCCATTTACAATTTTTTTTTATACTCTAAGCTCCCTTCTTCATTCGTTTGCAGAAGATTTTTGGGTCTTTTTGGTACCTGTTGGCCGAGTTCCTAGGGGTTTTTCCTGTTGCAGAAATATTGCAGGGAGTCATTGTTTTTCTCAGTGTTTTGGCAACTATCCAGAGCCCTTCTATGTGCGGGGATTTTCGGAGATTTTGGCTTCTGTTTGCAGAGATTTCGGCAATAGGCCCACGTTGACTTTAATTTTCCTGAATTATTTTTTCTTTTCGCACAAGGCTAAATTTTTTTTTCGATCTTATTTTCATATAAATTGGTTTTCGTATCGTCTTCAGCTCAAATCAGTAAATTAGTCTTTGAAAAAAAATAAATAAAAGGTCTTTGAAAATTCACCTTAACGTTCTTCAAATCCGCAGCACGTTGATCTACCCTAGTTCGAAACTAAAACCTATTTCTGAATTTGCCAATGGAAGATCTGGATCGCCTGAGCAATTCTTACCGTACTCCTCCTGCAAAATCCAACCCTGTCACGTTACACAGATTGTCCTTTCTGCCTTGGGCCCATGCACAAAAAAGTCAGGAAATACCTAGGTGCCACTCATCGTCGACATGCAACACAACACCACACCTGTCAAAAAAGAAGTGTTCGGCCCTCCCCTTTTTACCCCTAAAGCTTGTAAAAACTCGTTTTCTTTTGGTCTTTTAATCTTTTTTCGGTTTGTTGTACTGAAAATTTTATGGTGACTTGTAATTTTTCAGTTTGAGGACATTTTAAGGCTTCATATAGAAAGAAATTCGTTTTGAGTCAGCTAAACAGTTGAAAAAGTCTGATGATTATCCTATGAAAATCTATATCTTTACAGTAACCCTATTCTTCACCGCTTCTTCTTCAAAATATCCTTATCGCACCCTTCTTCAAAATATCCTTATCGAACCCGGAAAAAGTTCAAAAATGAACTTATTTCACCATATGGCCCAAAATGGCCAAATCAAAGTTGACGTTCAACGGAATTTTTCTGTCGCTTCTATTTGCCGAGGTTTGAGAAACCACTTGGACAACCTGTCAACACAGCTGTCAAAAAGGCAGTTATCATCCATTGACGCGACCGCCGAGCCATCTGATATTATATTTCCATCAGAGCGGAGACTCGGCTCCGCTGCTTTTCGTACCGATAAGCCCTCATTCGCTCCGCATCGTTCCCAGTTTTGGGGTCTCTCCGCGTCGTGTGTGGTCTTTTTGACCGAAGCTTCTTGGGATGTTCAAGGGAGCCCGGCGATAGATTTATCGGAATTTCCGGCTCGTAAAACAGTTAATGCCCCTTCGAACAGTTCAAAGAGCATCGGGGACGGATTAATTATGAATCATGACGGTTCTTTGCTCTTGCTACGTCTTTTAAGGAACATAGACTGGATTTAAGACTTTTTGAAACTTTGAGCGCGTAAGGCAAACTTCAAAGAATATGTTGAATGAACTATTGAACTCTGACCTCAAAATTTTATGACTTTGGCTCTTAACCTTTTTCATTCTCTTTAGAGCGCACAATCTACGAAATCTCAGCCTTTCTTCAATTTTTCGTTCTGTTCTTCCTGTCCCTCTGTGACATTTTATAATTTCTGTTTTTGCAGCCAAGATGAAGCTGGCCCAGCTGCCTGACGACGTTCTCATCAAAATTCTCAAGTCCACCCCGACAAATGACGTCATCAAGATGAAGAGACTCAGCAGAAGGATAAATGACGTCGTCGAGAGGCACACCATCGCCAGGCCTGAAGTCCAGGAGTTCTGGTAATTTTTATTCATTCAAAAATTTTTTAAAACAAAAAATTATGAATCCATCGATTGTGGTATCATGGCTTTCTAGATGCAGGATCCGTAATTAAAACTCTTAGTTTGGGGTTTTCCATTTATTTTTGGATTCACGTTGGATTTTTAGATTTTTGATTAGTTTGAAAGCATTCAAGCATTAGAATTGGTACAAGTCGTAGATGCAAATGAAAATTACTTCCTTGAATCAATTCATTTGTACAATTTTTCTTATTTCTTACCAACCTTTCTAATATCACTCGAAATCAAATCAAACAAGTTTTCAGCGTTGAATCACGAGTGAGATACGAAAACGCGACGCCAGGCCGATTCCAGCCTCGCGAACGGCAAGGACGGCCCAAGCAGCACACCGTTCTGACAATGAGACGACGGAAGGCCACCAAAAGAATCGAGAGTTTTGACGACGCCGAGCAGGGCTGCAGCAAGACCAACGACTTCGTGAAGAACGAGCTGAGAAAGGTTGCATTTCGGACTCATAATTCAAGAGATTTATGTGCTCTTCTGACGCTTCAAAAGTATGAGTTCAGCAGCAAAATCGATATTTTAAAAAGCTATCTTTAGATTTTACTGACGCTATTCCCGCATAAGTTATAAAATGTTTTTCTCTATGAAATATTCATTTTTCAGGTCTCCATCGGCGAGCGAATTTCCCTGGATGGTATCGTTATCGATGAAGAGTTCTACAAAACCTTGACTTCGAAATGGAACGACCTGAGGTAAATTTCAAAAAAGTTTGAGCTTCGGATGGCTTGAAATGTTCAGCTTCTAATTATGGTTGACTTACAAGTTTTTGCAAAAAAATTTATAGAATTCAAATTTTTTTGATTCAATAGGCTTACAAGTGTGACTAGTGAGTAAAAAAACTCTTGAAATTGCACGATTTCCGTTGATTTTGGCTTGAAATACCCCTCCAGTAGGATTTTCTTATTTTTTAATCAATTTTTCTGAAGATCTTCCTCAAAAACCGTAAGCCTTTTCTTGCAGCAAAGTGATGTCATTCGCCCTGTCGATGTGTACCGTAACCATCGACGCGGGGCTGTTCATCGACCTCGTCTCGCGGATGAACCTTCAGACGCTGATCATCGAGTTCTGCGTGTTCGACTCGCAGATTGTTTGCGACAAGGTCAATCCCGAATCTCCAAAACTTGACAGATTGAAATTGAGGAAAGAAATGGGAATAGAGTTTGACGGGAGGGAAAGGTGAAAAACGGAAAGACAGCTTGTCACATGCACCAGAAAAACGTCAAAACCACCCCGAGAACCGTTTTTCTCGGAAAATTTGACAAGTTTCCAGAGAAAATCTGACTTGTTTGAAAGGTCCTCCGAAAATTAGGGGGAATGGCGAAGAAATGGATAAGAAACTTAGATATAAAACATAATTAATGATTTTCAGCTCTTCCTGTCACTGCCGAAACTGGACAAACTGACGATTCAACCACGTGGCAACGCCTATTTTCCTGAACTGACCAATCGGACCCTCAGTAGTTGGATCGAGAGGAATGCCGTGCCAAAGTCGCTTTCTCTCTACAATTGTGGCACCAATATCACCGTCGATGAGCTCAAGGCGATGCTGATGGTGAGAAATTATGATTCGAGTTGAAAAATGTTGAAATCTACGACTTATCTACGACTTACGACGACGAACAAAATATTTCTATTTGAGTTGTTCAAAGCAGCATGGAAAAGTCTTGAGGCGAAAAAAAAAAGAAAATAATAATTAGAGGCTTTTTTAAACATCTCAGCAATGTATTTGAACAGTCTAAAAATCGGGAAAAATCGTCTGAAAGAAATTTTCAAGTCTTCTTTATGAAACTGCTCATTTCGCTCACAGAAGCCTGTTTTTGAGCTTCATGATCTCACTTTTTTTTTTACTAAATCCCACACATTGACTTTGGAAAAAATTATAATTTTAACCAAAAGTTTCGTGAAAGATCTACAAATTAAACTTTGAGTTGATGTTTCAGAATGAGCGATGCCGAACTGAAAAACGCAAGGTTGACTGGGACCTCGGCAAAGTTCTGGAAATGGGTCACACTGAAGCGGCTCTCCTGTCTCTGGTCTTCGCTGAAGGCGTCAAGATGAGCTCCAGCGACGACTTCAGATCCCGACGCATCCACGTCGTCTGTGAAGGCGTCGACCTTCACTTCAACGTCGTCAGACCTTATAATCAAGCTTCGGCTGTCTGATTTCACATTTTGATCCTTTCTCGACCGGTCTTTCATTCATTGTTTGACGGGGTTGAATTGAAATTGTTCTTTTCTTGATATTCTATGTTAATTGAACGCTTTTTCCTGGATCTTATGCCGAAATAGCCAAGGTCATCTTAAAGATCCGCTATAACAGTTGATTGTCTGATTTTTTTCTGTTTTATACCTACGAGATTTCATTTAATGATGAATTTTCGAACTTTCCGCTTCTCATTGCCTAAACTCAAATACCTTTCGTTTTATTGGTTGGTTTTTTTTTCACCCAGGTCTCGAAATTCCCCCTTGCCACTCATTGAATTCCTCTTTTGCCCCCAAAAATATATCTCAAGCTCCCTTCTCCAATATTCCGATCGACGGGTATTTCAAATTAATAAACGTTTTTCAAGGTTTAACTGTTTAATCGATTTTTTTGAAAGCATAATGAAGATTGGCCAAGTACTTTAGGAAAATTTTTTAAACTATGGAAGAAGAAAAAAAAGTATACATTGGAAGTTCAAAGGAAGAAGGAAAATCAGTCGTTCTGCTTGTAGCTGTCGTTGATAAGTGTGCAAGTAGGATGTTTTCGTCGGAATTTCAAAAGAAAACCCTTCCACCAATCCCTTTTGCTTTTATGAGATAGATGCTCGTCTCTCATTATGAAGAATCTTTCTTTTTTTAATTTACATAATCCAAGTCGAACCAAACTTGTCGTATATTATATGCGTATATCATTTTCTCAGTTACAACTTTTTGTAATTCTTGTCTACTGTGTGCTCCAAACCTGCTCAACCATCTGATTACACCTAAAACGTCTTGCTGCGGTCGTCGATCCGCCTAGGCTTGACTTTTTTTTTGATACGCCTTCATTTTATTCGCTCAAGTCGTTCAAGAACATTGAACGATACTAACTTTTGAGCTCAAAAACGACTAGCGAAACGACAAGAAATGCCTTTAAAAATTAGAAATGCTAGTTTTGCGTCTTATCTTTTGATCTCCAATAGGTTGTTGTCATGATTTCTTTTTTTCAAAATGACCTCTTGGATGCCTACTTCATTTTTACTTCTTCTAGTGGTCATTTTCGCTCTCCTTCCGGCGGCCAATAAAGACGTGCCTAGAAGGGTCAACTTTTTTTCAGGTTGACATCCACCAAAACAGTTTGAGAAAATCTGAACAGTTCTTATGAGTACATTCAGAGCCCTACTAGTAAAACAAACTAGTTTTCAACAAAATCGAGACGAAAATAGAAACGGAAAAAATTGGAGAGGAAAGTAAAAGGAAAACGCGCGCCGTCCCATGGCGCGGGGCGGCTGCGTCGCAGCTCCATCTGTTCCCGTTTTGCACTGAATCAGAATCCAGTTTTTTCCACGACCTTTTTCCTGTTTGATTTGTCATCTCTGGGTTTCACGAACGCCACTGGCGGTTACCTGAGAAATTGCAAATTTCCTTGGTTTTTCATTTGTGTTTTCAGTTTTTCGCTTTTTTGTTTAGCCTTATTTTTGAAGCTTTAAGGTATAACAATGGCTGATCCGGTAGCCGAGTTTCTCGCTCGCGAACAGAACATTTTTGCCGAGTTCGACGGAGCTCCTCCGGCCGAAGGTAATTGAATAAAATGATTTTGAAGTTAAGCTTGGAAAAAAAATGGGCCTTTTCATGATAATATGGAATATTTGCTGAATTAAATAATATTCTTTTTTTATTCATTAAAAGATTTTTCTTAAAAATTGTCCTCGTTTCGAAGCGTTCCGTTTGAATGAGGGACATATGTCATTTTCATCATTTAAAGCGCTACTAGGAAATCTGAAGCAATTTTAGTTTTGAAGCATTTTCATTACTATTCGAGAAAAATTTGTGTATATTATGTTATATATCGCCTTTTGGTTAAGAATGACGGAGAAGTGTTAATTCGTCTTATTTTTTCAATTAAAATTTTCAGCACCTCCTGTGGCTGTGCCCGCTGATGATGAACAGGATGATTTTTGGAGATCTTCAGGTACTTTCTAATTTTTAAAATATATTCTAAAAAAATTTTTTTAAGGACGCTCAACCTGCCGTACATCCTGTAGATTCCGGAGTTGATCTTCAGGGTCTTGAAGACAATCTTCCGGCCGAAGTTTCCGCGCCTGCTCCAGGTACTTTTCCAATTATTCGAATTTCGGTAAATTGTAAGTTTCAGCTCCACTTGTCAATGGAAACGGCCATTTGTCGTCGGCGAGTTCCAAAGGACCTACGCCGGTCCCTTACACTGTTCCCCGTATCGAAGCTGAAAAGATCCGTTTGTGGAAAGAACAACAGCGAGAACTTCTTGAGAAGAAAGGTGAAAGTCGCTCTGAAATTACCCAGAGTTTGTTGTTTGTGATGAAAAAGGAGTCGATGATGTGGTTTCCTGTATGAACATTTTTTTGAAAATTTCTCAATGGGTCATTTACGAAAAATTTTTCCTGATTAACAAAAAAAGTTTGACGATTTTTAAATTAGTCTCTTAAATTTTTCAGTTAGTCCTTTTTGAGATTTTACGCTGGGGAAACTTTTGATGGAATAGATTTAGATTCCAGAATCTTCAGCTTCATTTCGAAATCTATTCCTTTTTTTCTTTTTTTCGAAAATTTTTTTCTGTTGAAAAAAATTTTTGTTTTTGAAGATAAGCGCTTATTTGTGTTATTGCTGTGGAATGATTAAAAATTTTTTTATGAAATGATAAATAATGCGGTTTTTCTTATAAGGTTTTTTTCAATAGTGTGAATTGAACTGAAGTCGTAGTTTGCGAATGTAATTGATACTTTAGCTGTGAAGATAATATGTGAAACAAAATATCCCACAATTTTTTTAAAATAATTTTTTTGAGAAATAATAAAGATCCATTCCAATTTTTTTATCATAACTAAAAAAATGTTTCCAGATGAGGCCGAGGAGAAGAGAAAAGTTGAACTTCGAGCCAACGCCAAGAAAGAACTGGAGGAATGGAACCGACAACGTGAGAAGACGCTCGCTCTTGCTCACGAGGAGAATAAGTAAGAAAGAAACTTCTGGTCAATTTATTTATCTTTTTTTTTTGCAGGAAAAACGAGAAAGCCAACTTGGAGGCTTTTGCCAAACAACAAGACGGCGAGGCTCAATGGGCTCAGGTCAGCTCGATGATCGAACAGAGCAAGTCAAAGAGCTCCAAGGACCTGAGCCGTCTCAAATCTTTACTTTCGGGTCTCAAGGACGTCAAGATTTCTGACAAGTTGGTTTTATTGGCATTGAAGTTATTTAATTTCTTAAGTGTATAGTGTGTTCAGAGACTTTTTTTATGTGATTTTTTTGAAGGTATATGTATATTTAAAATCTCTTTTATATCTGCCATTTGCGCCTTCAAACGCTGCAACGAAAGTATTTTAATCATTTTCTGAAAAAATTTACGATGAGGATTCAGTTTTGACGCTAGATATGATAAATTTTGGATGGCTGTTAATTTCTTTTTCCATTTCAAGGCATTTAAAACATTAGAAAGCTGTTTTCAGTGTTCACGAAGATTCTTTTTATGTAGTTTTTTTATTTTGTAGGGGATCAAGTGTTTTTCGCTAATTTTTTTCAAACCTGGTTTTTTTAATTTGTTATCGAATTCTTACGTTAGAATAAAAATGAATTTTTTTCTTCTCAATTATCAAACGCTTTTTGAGTTTTTTTGAGGAGAAACTACAAGAGGATTCCGTTAGTTTTGATAATATTCTGAAGAAAACTACAATCACTATTTTTTTCAGTCAATTATTTCTGAAGTTAATATATTTTTAATGATTTATCAGTTTTCGAGATTCAGTGAAATTCCAAAGGTTTTTGAGAACCTTGGCTGTCTTTTTGGAAGAGCAAGACATTTTTCGGTTCTTTGTCGCTATACTAAAAACAACGCAATTTTAATGATTTCTTACTACAGTAAGTTTTTCTTCTGCGATTTTTACATGTTCTGCAGGTGAGTGAACGGGGAAAATTTTTATTTTTTGAAGAAAATGAGTTCAAAGAATAAACTATCAAGTAAACGATTTTTTTTCTCAGGTAAGTCCCTGCTCAAAAATCGGATCGATCGGTGTCTCGGCAGTGTCTTGCTGCGTTCCGTTCTTTGTCTACTAAATCATTTTTCTTCATTTTTCGATTATGATAAAGTTATCATATGGCTCCGTTTTATAAACAGTTGACCAAGCATTTCCCCTGATTGTAATATTCTCTCTTTTTGGCCGGACTTTCACTTGTCTTCGATTCTATTTACTCCATTCGACATTTTTTCACGATGAACCAATTTTCGTGATGTCTCTCTTGTAAATGGTGCTGCCTCAGTTCGTTTTGAGATATGGTCCATTCATCGTTCATTCTGTGAGAGAAAGCGCGAGAATATTTTTTGGCGAGCGGCTCACGCGCTTTTAAAATTTTTTGTGACAGTTTCTCTATTGTTTATTGATCATCACTTCTAAACGCGTTTTTCCATCTCATTTAAGAGTGAATGGACTATAATCGCATCATCATCAAAAATATTTATACGATTTTTTTGTTTCATAGTTTCCTAAATATTTCTCTTTTTGTTAAATATTTATTTATTAATTCGTCACTTTCTAAGTTATAGGAAGATTCGACTATCCCTCTTACTCCCCTTTACTCATTGGATTGGTAATTTTTTAAGTTATCTTTTTTTTACTCCTGGTTGTCGCCATTATTTCGTGTTCCGCGTGAATTGCTGAGAAGAACTTATTGTGATATGTAGAGAATAAATATTACCTAAAACATTTTCACGGCTTAAAAAAAAATAATGAAAATTGTTGTAAAATCGCTGTAGATACTTGAATTTTTTTTTGATTTGTGATAATTTTTGAAATTCAGAGCAAAAGCAGATGTAGGCGACGAATAAAAAATTTTTATATATAACAAAAGATGGACCCGGAAACCTCAAATTATGAAGGTTAGCTTTTTGTACTGTGGAGAATAGTTTTTTTGAAAACTTTCGAAGAAGTATTTTATTTTTTGTTTTAATAAATTGAAAGTACATATTTAGGCCCCAATGAGGAAGAGTATTTGGGCCTGGCAGAGAAGCAAAACGAGATGGTTGCCATTTTACAAGATCAGGTCGAAATTTGTAGAGCTGAGCTGCGTGGTTTCAATCGACATTTCCTGGAAAAAGTGCTCTTTTTTAAAAATTTGGACGAGTTCTTAGTTGCTCTTTGTTAAACTGGGAAAATCTTGAGCTTTGTTTCTTTTTTCGTTGGTTGAACGCATTACACTGAATATTAACGATTGAGTAGCAGTTTACTAACAAAGTTGGAAAAAATGTTAAATTTACAGGTAAACGAGTGCGAAGAGTTGAAAAACGCGGTCGCAGAATCGCAAAAGCTGCTTGAAGAGTCAAGAGCTGAAATTTTGGTTCTGAAGGTTGTCTTTCGTTGTTTCTGTTTTGTAATTTATTATATATTATATGCATGTTTTTGTGTTTATTCATTTTGTGCTATACGAAGTGGAAGTTGATCTGTTTATATAGTTTTGGCATATCGCTTAACGGAGCAGGGGTTTGTTTATTTCTAGGGGCGCTTTCACTGTAATTTCAGGGGTTTTGGGTAAAAATAAGGTTTTTTTACCACTCGATAAATAGGAAAAAGATATTTAGGAATATAAGGCGAATGCGAGAATTTTTTTCACAGTAAAGTTCATTGCTGCAAACGATGAGAAAAAGAGAAATATTTTTTTATAAAAAAATTATACTTAAATTTTTGTAATAAATATGAGTTTTTTTCTTCGGAAAAAAACAAGTGATAGTTTAAATGCAATTTTTCAGAAGGAAAACGAGGTTTTTGAAGAACAGCTACAAGCATCGAAGGCCCAGAACGATGAACGAAAAGATTCTTCGCTCAGTTCCGTGACCAAATTGCGAGAGAAAGTTCGCGAAGTACTGGGTTATATAGGAAAAACAAATGAACGACTAATAATCTTCTTTTCTTTGCTTTTTCGGCTGTAAAAATGCTCGCTGAGCTCAGAAAATCTACCGTACGCAGTCCGAACTTGTCCGAAACATTGAAAATTTTCCTCATATTTATTATGTTCTTTATAAATTTTTTTTTTCCGAGAAATTTCGCGAATTTAGCTTGAATTCGAACTTGAACGAGAACGGCGAACTTCCGCTTCGCTACGATTGGACCTCGAAGCAAATCAAGTGAACAACGATGAGGTCCAAAACGCGCGAATATATAAGAGATCTTCATTTTTCCAGTTAAAAAATGAGCTGGATCAATCGCTGCGCAGTAAAAAGGCTACCGAATCGATGCTTCAGGCCAAACTTGAACTGACGACGAAACAGTGCGCCGAATGGAGGGCCAAGTTCGAAGGTGAGTTTGGGAAGAAATAAAAATTGGTAAATAATGAATCATGGGTATAAGAATATTTCAGTATGAATCTGATAAGATCCTCAAATATTTTTATATTTTGGATATAGCTTTAAGGACATTTTTTCAGTTCTGACCTCACGGCAAGATGAAATAGTCATGTCCTTGGAGAGCAGGTTGGAAGTTGCTGCTCAACGGGATTCTCATCTAGAAGAACATGCAAAGTTTGAAAATGATATGGTCATCAAGAAATTCTGTGTTTAGGGAGTTAACTGAAGAAAACTCGGCGATCCGAAGGGAGAAGGCGGTTTTGGCTAGCCGTATTTCGGCTCTTCTCGAAGAAAATGCGAAACTCCGCTCCAAGGTAGTTTCAAAAAGAAAAAAGGGAAAATTTGTCGGAAATGTGTGAAATAGAGAAAAGACTCTTTTTCCATTTTTATAAACTAAAATACCACTGATTGACTGGCTCAGTTTTTGGTACTGAAAAAAATATTTCCTTCATTTTCAGGCCATTCAAAGTGCAAGTTCAAAAACTGGCGGTCATCCGAGGGAAAGCCAGTTGGAATCTCGTAATTTGAACAAAATTCTAGATTTCGATAAGATAATTTTTTAGAACTTCAAAAGTTGGCCGCCGACCAAAGCCATTTGATTGCCGCGTTGAGAGAAGAAGCTCGACTTTTAACTGACCGATTGGCTGAAGAAACGGTCGATTCCAGGTTCATTCCCAAGATGAATCGAAACACCTCAAGTAAAACATTTGCAGACAGAAGATCAAAACTTTGAAAAGGGAGAGAAAGGAACTCGAGTCTCGGTTGGAGAATTTGCTGCGCGTTTGAAACGAAGCTCCTTTTACGTTGACTTTGTATATTTTTGTGAAGTCTTATTGCTCTATCAGGAAAAAGGCCAGTAAAAAAATACTGCACTGGAACTTCTTTTTATGTAAATATTATGTATGAAAAATCTTCAATTCAGAAAAAAGTTCATTTGAACAGTTTCCTTCTGCATGCTCATTTTCTTTTTTTTTGTAAATTTTTGGATTTTTTTCAAGCATCAAAAAATTCAGGTCAATCAATGTAATAAACTCAATTTCATAATACGATCTCATCATTTGCAAAAAAATCATGGAAGCATGTCTTTTTTTGTGATTTTTTTGTATTACTTTTTTTGGACGTTTTTTTGGACTCACTTCTAGGATTTTCTTGCATTGTATTTTAATATCGCATCAAATGAATTTTCTTCAATAAGAAAAATCACATTAAAATTCAAAGGCACGGAAAAAGAAAAAAAAAATCAAAGGTGACTCATTTCGAAACGAAATTTGAACTGCTTTTTTTGCATTTTAATAGCATATTTCGAAAAGCCCACAGGAAGTTTGCACACAAACGGCCAGTTGAGGACATCGATAGTGATAAAAATTGATAAGAGCTCTTCGACTGGTCATTTCTAGGCTAGAAGTTCTAGCGTTTCGGCTTATTCATTTTTTTTTTCCATTTGTCTTTTTTGGAAAATTGAGTTGACTTCATTTCTACTCACGTTCAACTGACCAAATGGCAACTAACCGTGGATTTTCACTGGATGAAGCGACGACGCCGACAAGTTCTGATGAAAATAGACAGGTCGTCTTGAGTTTTGTTTCAAAAAGTAGTTGTTCATCTTAAATAGCTTTGTTTTTGTCTATGCTTTCAAAAATATTCAAACTTTTTTCGTGCATTGAGTAAAAGCGCAGGAGGGTCTAAAATTTTTTTTTTTGAATGCGTAGGCGTTTTTTCAAGCCTTGCACCTTTTGATGAATGATAAAATTCACAAGACTATAGTTCTGTTTCGACAGGGGTTTTCAAAGGTGTAGGGGGTTCCTGAGACGATTCGCTACTGTTCGAACAGAGATCTCTCAGCTCTTCAGGGAACTGATTTGAATAAACTACCCTCAACATGATGATTTTTTATTTCTGTCATTTTTCAGACTACTGACAATAAGAAGAAGTCGGTGGACGTTGGCACTTCGACAACTCGTATTATTATTAGGTTAATTTTTGTGGATTTTATTTTCATTTCGCAACAGTTATTTACCTTCACGACCATTTTGACTTATTCTGATGCTTGTGAAATCGGGAGGAAACTGCTGATTTTTCGCATACTTCTTAAAATTATGAGTAAGAGAGGAACATTGAAAAATCTGGATCTATAATATTTTCGTAACTTTTGGTAGTTCGAAAAAAAGGGATAGTGAATTTTGAAGGTTAGAAAGTGAGAATATGTAGAAACATTGACTGAATTTATTGGAAAGTGAAGTAAGGTTTTATATCGAACAGTTCAGTCCAGGAAACGTCGGGATTGATGAAGAACAGGCGAGCTGCTGCTCCTGGAACCGAATTTGCGACGTTTTTGGAACTAGACAATCTTCATTCATTTCGGCGTTGCGGCCCGTCCGCGGCTACCTAATCCGAGTAAGTTTTGGTTTCTTTTTCAACTGGAAAAATGATGTCCCAGATGCAAGAATCGCTGAAGATCTTCCAATGCGAGCTCGAGCGCAACCTCAAGACCAAACCGGCAACTGAAACCACCTTTCGGCATGTTCACACCTGCATTTTGGAGATTAATGACTTGATTTGTGAGTTCTCGCTTTCATTTAAAAAAAGTTTTATGATAAATTCAGCCCGAAGAAATTTGAATATTCCACCGGACGAGTCGACTATGCTTCGTTCTGTGGTTTACGAGCTCGTCGTCCTCGCCAGGATCATTGAGGAGGTTCTTTTTAAAAGGTCGTGGTCGCACTCGGAATGTCTTGAAGCGTCACGGTCGCGTTGCGGTTGAAATTTCGAGCCATACTTTCAATGCCTGAGGCGCGAATCGTAGTAAGCTTTCAAAGCAACAGGGCCGTTAAGCGTTGAGCCATTCCAAATGCGTTTATAAGATTCCGAAATGCAGCGATCGCAGTAAAAATTACCACTTTGATTAGTTTTCAGGTCGCTAATTTGATTCCGCGGGCCGGAAACACGGAGAAACTGCGGGCGAGAGCCGCGAGTATGGTCACACTCATTGCCGAGCCTGTTTGTTTTCAAGTTAATGAAAATTTCAAGTTGTGAGCTTTTCAGGTGGTTCGGAAGCATTCAGACGGAGAAGTGACCAGAGACGTGGCCACTGGAAGTAATACGCCTGCCATCGATGAGGTCTCTTTCTCGATTGATTCATTTTTCTAATCTTGCCGCTTCATGTGAAGAGATCTCTGAAGGAGCGGATAACGCGGGTCTGCGACATGACTGAGAAACTCATCCGCTACGTCGACAAGAAAACGGAACGCCGCTGGTGGCTCCGGGATCTCATCAATTTCTTGCAGGTTTTCTGAGTTTCAATCAAACTCCTTAGAGCTCACCGTGGTCGAACGTGGAATGGCTCAATGCGTCGCGGTTGCACTGTGGCTGGACCGCGGCCTGTAGTCGACTTGACATTCAGATGACTGCTCCAATGTCTTTTGATGAGTTCACGCACGTCTTTCTGACTGGGGAACGTTTTTTACCCCCCGGTTGAACTTTTGCTGAAACTTTGTTGGAGTGTACTTTAGGACTCCCTGATTCCAGAACATAGAGAAAATTTCTAGCAATAGATCTCGTTTTCGAGTTAGGACACTTCAAAAACCCGAAATAGCGCTTTTTTTTTTTGCCTAATTTGCGTATTGTAGGGACTTTGTAGCTCCATAACTCGGAAACAAGATCTATTGCGAGAAAATTTTTTTTGATTTGTAATCAAGGGGCCCTAAAGTGCACTTCGGCAAAGTTTCAGCAAAAGTTCAACCGGGGGTAAAAAACGGTTCCTGGTGAGTCCGATACGTCAATCCTTGATTTATTCCACGTGCGTCTATGAACTTTCAGCTATGGAGTGTTACCGGTTCCCTAAACGGCTTTTAAATTTGAATTTTTTTGAAATTTTGTAATTTCTATGACGATTTCGAATAGGGGCCCAGTAGTTGTCAAAGAAGGCTTTAAAACAAATTTTAGCCGCTAAAATCTCTTGGACGGTTAAGGAAAGATTTAGAGACGACAGTTTCTTTGGAAATTCAAAAGATTTGTGAGAGTACAGCTAGGGAGCGAGTTTCAGCTGGAAAATGTGTAAAACGTCACAAGTTTTCAAGTCGCTCAAATTTAGAAAAAAAAATCCATTTTAAATTCTAGGTCGCTGTGAAAGTGGCGCTGTTCATATCGGCAGCGATTTCCGTCGCCTACCATAAGGAACAAACGACGACCATCATCACACTCGTCATCACTATAATTCAGGTTCTCAAATTCGAGTAAGCAGTTCTGGAATAGGTTTTCAGGGAGTCGTCGAGGTGCTCGACCAGTACTTCTTGAAAAACACCAAGCCAGAAGATATCCACCTCTCCGTACTCACTTCAATGACCACTAACGCTAAATCTTGAGCTTCGACTAGATAAATATAACTTTTTTTCCTCTCGAAAAGAAGGAGCGTAGTGCAATCACAAAAGAAAAACATTATTAACTAGAAAAAGAGAACCCTTATCTTCACTGAATCTGTTTTTGTTCAATTTTTTTTCAATACCAAACAGACCTGATCCGTAATTGATTTTTGATAGGAAATATAAGAAAGAATCAAAATGAGGGAATGACGTCTTTCCATTATTACCTGGAGAAAACAAAGAATCCACTTGAGAGTAGGGAAAATCGACAATTAACGGAGAATGCAGTTCCACTCCTAACAGTAATGGGGAGGGCGCCTTTCCAGGTATAAATTGAGTAATCTCGGAGGACATTCTCGAAAAGATGCTTCGACTTGTCGTCTTCTTTGGACTTTTCGCCTCGGCTTTCGTCGCCAGCCAGTGGATGGGCCATTGCTCTTGCGGGTTCGTTTTTCTTATTTATTTCTCAAAAAAATGTACAACGACAAGTTTTTTCTTTTTCAAAAGCTCCGGCCAGTGCCTTTCGATAGCCCATTCCGCGCCAGTTTGACACCATTTTTTGTTCGGTTGTATTGAGACAGAAATAAGATTTTTGAAACTTTTTTTCAAGAAAGGGACCAGACCAGTCCATTTTTGGTACGAACAACGTTCAACCTTTGTTAATTTTTTCTTTTTTTTTGTGAAAAAATTGTATTTTTGTATGTATAACGGTTTCATGAGCAAGGAAACCTTTGGAAATCACCAGGAAGAGTGAAATTGAAAAAAGAAAAAAAATTTCCTCGAAAAAGAATTGGAAATTTCCCGCCAACTTCTCCGCCCCCTAGCCTTTCAAGTCGGAATGGATTGACTAGACTGTTCAAAAAAACCTTTTTTTCTGTGAATGAAGTTATTCCTCCAAAATAAAGCTGATTTTCTAGCGCCGGCGGTTGCGGCTGTCCTCCGGCGACGATCTACGTCCAAGGAGTTCCGCCGCCGGCCATCTACGGACATCCGCCGCCGCTTCAGTCGCCTTATCCGCTAGCGGCGCCGATCCTGCCTCCGCCGCCACCTCAGCCGGTCTTCGCTGCGCCTCCTCCGCCACCGCCGCCTCCTCCTCCGCCTCCTCAGCCTCACTACGTGACCTACGCCGTCGGACCACCCCCTCCGGCCCCCTATCCTGGCCTTCTTGGCTATGGTAAACGTTAAGTGAATAAATTGCTTCTTTCCTGATTCGGTTCAAATTATTTGGTCAAAGATTTGGATCTCAAAGAACCAAGATATTTTTTTTTGTTTTATTGTTGACTGAAATTTTTACGCGTGATTATTTCGCGAATAGTATCTTCAAAATAGCTATGAATCGTAAATAACGTGGTGGAGTTTTGGAAGAAATTCCCTAAGCAAGATGGATTTTTAGTTTTGCAAATTTCGGCTTGAAAGCTCATGTTTTGCATTTTTGTCGTTTTTCGCAGGTTGAGAAGCTAAAAACTAAAAAAGCGTTCGAAATATTTTTAAATTGTAACCGAGGCTAGAGCTCGAAGTGAAAAGTAAGTCTCAACCAATTTTTTCTTGTTTCGCATAAATTTTTGGAACGAATCAAATTTTATTCTGTTACTCGAAAGAACAAAATCAAATTTGATACTTAAAAAAGATCTAATAAAACTGCGTAAGGACTCTATGATAACCTTTGCGAAGGAAAAAAAAACATTCAACAGCAACAAGATAATGATACAAGTATGAAATTTTCATGAATATCCTAGAACAAAATCTCCCTCAAGCAAACACTCTGATGTCGCTAAGCGTGAACCGGGGCTTCAGAAACACGTTGGATGCCATTTGGAATGCGTTGACAATTTGCCTGAAGCCTTCGATTCGGCAAACGGCTCTAAAATAGTTCAATTTAGAATTGGAAAACTTGATTTTTGTCGAACCTCGCCGTATTTCCGCCATCGAAAGGCTCCTCAATGTAGATGTGGCTGGCGCCTTGTCTGTAAAAAAAACATTATTTTTGAATTCAATTTCCGCTATGCCTGAATAATTGACACTTTTTTTATAAGAACATTGATTTGAAAATTTCGTTAACACTGTGAAACTTCGAAAAGTCAAAAAAATTTTTTTTTTCAAGAAGTTGAAAGTTGATTGGTGGAAACCTCAATCATGGCCGAAAAGGTCAAGTTTGACTTCTCACACATATTTTTCGCAATAAATTTAGCCTTTTTTTCAAGTTAAGCTTTACGCTGTTTTTTCAGTTCTCCTTTTAAGGTTTAAATTATTTTTGATGGAATCAGTATCATTATCCAGAAGTGTAAGAGTTTGATTCCGCGAGAATCAAATAAATTTTCAATTTTTTTCCCCACTAACTTAATCATGTTTAATTTAATGATACACACTTCGGCAAAGCTCGTCCGTGACGGATGGAAATCGCGTTCTTATTGAAGTTAAAGATGGCGAAATAGTGGAAAAATCCAACCAGAAGCTCGCCCAGCGTCATTTTTATTCTCTGGACGATCTAAATTTCAATAAAATCATATTCTTCATTCTTTAAAAAAAGAAAAAAAATCAAAACCAGGAATGTCCAGTTTTTTTGGAACAAGACCAACTGTTCGAGCGGCGTATCCGATGAGAAAAGGTGCGGGAAGAGGTGCTGGAAATAAGTTCTTTTTTGGAGGAGCTTAAAATAAAGGAAAACCTGCAAATTGGGCAAAACTGCAGGCTGAACGCCGCACTGCAAGTAATGCACAACCATCAAAATCAAGGAGTAACTAAAAAGTGAGTCTTATTATTTTCAAAACATTAGGTTTTTACCTATTTAATGTGCCATGCATTGCGTCATTGATACGGTTCCGAATCGCCCAGTGCTTCACAAGCAAAGCCAGGCCAGAACACCTCACGTCGACCCTTGTATAAAAACATTTTCAGAAAAGCTATTTCTTGAAGTTTTTTTGAACGAATTTTTAATTTCAGAAAGGCTGCAAAGTTTTTGTGTTTTTGTTTTTTTGTAACTCTTTAGGGATTGCTTCAGCTTCCAGGAATTTGAAAAATCACGAAAAAAATTGATTAAAAAAATTTTTCTGAAATTTTTACTACGGGAAAAAGCTGAATGACCTTTCCAACTTTATCTTCAGTATTTTCACAACCCTTACTGTGAATAGTAATGAATGAGGTGAGAATTGTAGATGCCAGCCACATTATTGACATTTATATCGACTTCGAGCTCATTATAGGGGGCCCGCAAATGCATCTTTATGATTGGCACCTTGAAAAAAACAAATTGTTCCTTTTCATCAAACTTTTTGGGACCTTGGCCGGGATGACTTCCCATTTTTCAGTGATTTGCTTGATTCTCGACCGGAAAGGCGACTTGTTGTAGGCTTTTCGAATCCTTTGCAGAATTTTGAGAGAAGCTCTAGAATATAAATCATTTCCTTTTTGATTCAAACCGTCGAACTTCGAAAAAATGTACTCAAAACTGGCATTTCTCTGATCGAATTTCTTAATTTGTTACTAGATTCTTCTCTCACTTGCGATCCGGTGGAGGCATTTTTTTCAATGGCAGAGGATTTTCAGAAGGCGTGAAAAGACAAAGGTCCACATCGGAATTGTAGGAACCACAGCCATTCACCGTAGAGCCGACAGCGAACAACATCAAGTTGTTGTTGAGGAGAGCCTAAAACAATATAAAACTTGATAATTTTTGCGTTCGAAAAAACCTGCTTGAAAAACTGTTGCAGTTCTTGGCGAGCACGCATTTTACAGTCCAAGTTGTCCTTTTTCTGAAAAATAATTTTCATTTTCAAAAATTGGAAAATTCTCGCACTTGGATGCTACTTTTGGTATGATCCCAGGCCTGTTTGCAAAGCACTTCCAGAGACTTTGTCTCACTTTTGACGGCGTATTGAAGCCGTCGCCCAGCGGAATCAGCCTAAAATGTTTTTTTTTTTTACATATTTTTAAACGTAGAATAATACTTACCACTGAAGCGTTATAGTAAACACCCATTTTTGATTTAGAACTTTCAGATTCGTCATCTGCAACTTTTTTTCTGTTATAAAACGAAAAAAAGTTCAAAATACCAGAATTATCCGATAGAGTAATCACTACTAGTTCTTCATTGTTCTCCTCTCCAGCACTGTCGATTTCTTCCAAATCATCAACCTAAAAATTCAATTTTGCAAAATATGATAGAATAATCTTACCGAAATCTGCGAGTCATTGGAAAATCCGGATACGTTAATTGAAGAAATATTTGCCTGAAACATTTTTCTTTCAATTATTTCCCGTTTTAAAAACGTTTTCCGTGGTCGGAGGGTCTATGTTAGAACGTTTTTCATTCGGCTCATCGCCTTCATCATCACTCGCAGCGCCAAAAATAATGTGCTTTCCTGAAAAATTGATAAGTTGATTTTAAAATAGGAATTTAACACTTTTAACGGCTTGCTGTATAACTTCTCCCTCCGGCGATTTTCTTTCCTCCGCTACAGTAACCAATTCAACCGTATCTTTTTGATATCCAGTTGTTAGATGAACTGAGCCTTGATTCGTTTGAGCGTGACTGAAAATAGTTTTTGTTGTTGAAAAGTAATCAAGAAACTAACATTCGAATACTTTCAAAGTACTTCTGGGTTTCGGCTTTCCTGTAAATGTCGATTGTTCGGATCGACTCGAAAAACACGGGGTCAAACTCCGCTTGCGCCGAGGTTGAAGGTTGGTTTTTCGGAAAATTTCTGTGACGACGTTTGGAATTATACTGTAAAAACACCTTTTTTAAGTCGAAACTTTCAATTCACTCTTCTTTGCGCGTTAGGGACGTAACTCTTGTTGTAGAGATCCTCACGATGAACGTACTGGTTGCTTTTAAGACTATGATCAAAAATTTCTTTTCTGTAAAATAAAATTAGTTTAGGAAATTATAGCATTGAACATTACATTATCGCATTCGCAGCATTTTTTGCTTTCCGATTCCGGGGACCCATGTTTATTCCTACAAATATATAAGAAAAATTGTCATGAAGGAGAGAAAAAACAATAACGAACTTGCTTCAAAAAGAAATGAAGGCCCTAGAGGGGTCCCTAATGTGCTTTTTTGGAGCACACATGCCAAAGAAGTTTTTAATGGCGTGCGTCAGGCCGGCCGAAAAAATTATTCTTACTTGTTGAATCATAGTTTAATCAATCTATGAGGAAGAATAAGCGAAAACCCCAATTTTCTCGTTAAAAAAGCGCAAAATTCGACATGAAGAAAATTTGAGCTTTTTGGGCCAGGCCATTCACTGGCAAAGTCCAAAAGGTCTCAAAAAAGACTTTTGGAAAGAAAGGCCTCAAAGACGTTTTTTTCTCTAGATCTTTTCTAAAAAGGACTTTTCAAGGAGTCTATGAAAAATAACTCGGAAAAAGGGTGGAAAAAAAGAGACTCCGAGAAACTTTTGACACCTTTTTAGGAACTTAAAAAGGAGCTTTAGGCTCTTCTTTTTAAAGCCTTTTTGAAGTCGTTTGGACTTTTCCTGTGTATATGGCCTTCCTAAGGCCGGGCCGGCCCACGGCGTTCTTGTCAGTGAAAGAAACTGCAGAAAAAAAAAATTACCAGGGGTGGGCGCCGTAAATCGTACGGCAGCAGTGTTTTGATCTGTTCAGGACCCGTTTTTGGATTACAAGACCCACCCTTTAAAGCTCTCGCAAGATTTACGGAAAGAGTTAGTTGAAAAAAAGTATATTTTTTGCTTTTGGCTTTATTAATACTTCGTTTGACGTTTTTTCTATAAGTACAAGTTATTATCCAGTTCCTTTGACGTAGTTTGAAACCGGTTTCGTGTAAATTAGAGCCAAATTGAATTTGCTGATGCAGTTTGAATTTGTTATATGAATAATCTAAATTATATCTAGTTGTTTCATGGTTTTTCGGATTTAAACAAACATTTCGCCGAGGTTTTTTTTCTGAAATTTCTGTTTTCTATCCATTATTTGTTTTTCTGAAGCTAGGTTTTCAAGGTATATAAAATGTTTCTTTTTTTCATTTTGCTCCTCGAATTTTTTTCTCATTTAATATTTTTTTCGTATTTACAATTGCTTATCCAATGGGAGCTGATTCACCTTCATAATATTTTTTTGTTTTTTTATTTTTGTAGTCAGTAATTTAGAGTTTTTCCCCTTCCGAAATCGTTCCTAAATTTTTAACGTAAGTGAATGTTTTTTTCACATCATATTCTTCAAACTGACAAGATTTCGAACATTTCAGAAGTTATTATCCTAAAATTGCAAATTCTAAAATTGAAAAAAACAATTTTGAGTATGCGATAGTGCGTCTCGATGTGCTTACACCCTAAGCATCATAATTTACGAGAAGTCTTGACCTTGCGTATTAAAAAGAACGCCGTGGGCCCGGGTTTGAGAAAACGCCAGGGCCGATAGGCTGACAGGCCGGCCCTCGCACAAGTCTGATGTTGTGTTCTTCGGAGAAACGTAACGTGTTTAAAAATTTTGAAAAACGCAAAAACATGTATATACATCGACGCACCAACTTTGCTCCAAAACAGTACTAAATTTTGATTTGGAACAATTCTCGTTTTGTCCGATGAACACGCCATAACAAATTTTTCTCTGAGATGATAATAAAAAACATTTCAAAGCTGAAATACTATCGTTGTTAGTTGGAAACTTTGGACCTTATGGAATTGGATTAACTTTGATGTCATAAAAGTACAATTTCAATAAATGGAATAGAAAAAAAAGTCAAAGTTATTCCGCGAAATTCAAAATAGCCGTCAGAGAAAGAAAAAGACAACTAAATTTTGGATTTCAGAGAACGTTGTGCGTTTCGCGGAAATTACTTTGAACACGGCGACATCAAATCGACGCCACGCCCATCGCGGAAGATAATGCCACGTTTAAGCCGCGTTTAAAGTAATAATATAACTAAACGTGGAGAAATTATTTTTCCTGCTCACAGCCACATTCCAACACGGGTTTTCTTCATTTTTTATTTCGTTTCTTTTTCAGTTTCAGACCCCTTGGAAGATATATATTCGAGACATAGTACGAATGAAAGCCTTGAGTTCTTCTTTGGACTTTCTGCACTTCAAAAAAACAAGAATTTTTTAAAAATTTCGAATATATCATCATTTCATTCTTTTTTTCCAACGTTTGTATCAACTTTTTTTCGATTTGAAACGAATTATTTTTTTCTACAGACGTATTCTTTGTTTCTTTTTTTCATAAAATAGCGGAGAAAAATAAGCTTCAAATAATGGTTTATGCGAAAAAAATAAGTTCTGGTTGCTACATTATCGGAAAGCAGCGCGAGAACGACAGCTAGATAATTGCGATGTTTCTTTATAATTTTGTTTGATAAGCTCTTTTTTCTTGCTTCATTTGAAGTAATTTTTTATTTTGAAAGGAATCGATAATTGCATGGATTTTTTTTTTGAAACTTTAGCTGTTGAAGTTTTGAAAAGGAAAATTATGATCTTTCCCAGAAAACATGTATTTTCATGTTTCATCATGTCAGAAATATTTTTCGACAAATACGACGTTCAAAAATAAATGTAAAGATAAACCCGACAAAAAATCAACAAAAATGGCGAGTCTGATCTGGCCAAAATTTTTGATCTAACGGCTGGGAGTCAAGGCGGCCGAGGTTCGAGAAGGATCTCTGGAGTGGCGCGAAAGATTCGTCGTCCCAAAAACAATCGTCATTATTTTTTTTTTTCTCGGTTCTGAGCATGTTGCTGCCGCTCGTCTTAATTTTTGAATTTATTATTGTAATTGATGTTTTTTTTATATAGTTTCATCGTATAATTCCAATTTCGTTCAGCTGTCTTCGAAGTTCCTAGGCGTTGTAATCTTGTTTACTTATTTTTAAAAGCATTTTGTTTTTTTCTGAATAACATGTAAACATGTACATTTTCTGCTTTTTTAAACTACATGCATGTTTTCAACTACCTTTGCAGAGTTTTTGAAAAGCGTAGAATATTTGTCCAAGAATCAGTTGTTAATTTTTATTGATTTTCTTCAGAAGGCCCACCCCCGCTGCCAGAGGACCGATGGATTGCGACTCCGACGACGTTTTTGACGCCTCGACTGGATGGTATCAAATTCAAAAGTTTCAATGTTGCTTTTTGCGTTGAGGAACGTTTGAAGATTTAAATTTTCCATTTTGTTTTTCAGGTATTTCTTGATCGGCTTCCTAAAAAAAGACGTTTCTCAACGTAAAAAGTTTTGTGTCAATTGAAAAATTTTTTCTCTTCTCGAAAGTTCGACTCAAACTTTTAATCCTTATTTTCAGGCCTTTTAGTTTTCACCTCTGGGTGATGTCGCATGAGGCCCGCACATAGATTTTCGAAAAATTCCGTCTTGTTTCACCAGAAGCAACGCAGTCACGCTGCGGTTTCACATCCTTCAAATGTCTTCGAACTTGATTTTTTAAACTTTTTTTCTTACTGTAATTTTTGTAATATTGTTTCTTACTTTTTTCTTGTTTATTAGGGGTCAACTTGTCTAGCCGTCAGCTGCAATGAAGTCTAGTTAACGAATTGTTTTTTTCAAAAGCTGTTCTCAAGTGTTCACTCATTTTCCATTTTCGTTCAAAAAATTTTATTTTTCCATGCCCTCGAGCCGTTTATCAGAAAAAAGGGGTTTTGCAGAAAAAAAAACCAGTTTTCGGCTTGAAATGCTTAAAAATGTTTTTGAATGGTTTTTGAGAAACCTTTCGTTAGAAATTTCAAAAACTAGATCTTTATTGCTACTTTTATAGTTTTTATTTTTTAATTTTGTAAATAACTTTTAGATTTAAAAACGCCTATCAGTTTTCTTCTTTTGCGTTTTATGCTTTTTTAGTTTTTTTTTTCTTTGAGTGTTCAGGTTCAGTTTTTAGTTTCATGCGACATCATCTACCCTTCTAGCTTTCTTTTTTTATATTATGAGTTAAAATGAACTTTCTAGAAGAAGAAAAGATTTTTGTCCGTCTCTTGTCCGTGGGGTGAATGGTGTCGGCGTCTTTGGTCGGTGGGGGCGCAGAAAAAAAAGACGAATGTATCCTCGGATTTTGTCCGGCCAGAGAGAGCATAACGAAAAAGAAGAGCTGTAGTCTGGTGTCTCCTAAAATGTCATGCTCTCTCGCCGGCTTCAGCCGAGCGTACATGCGGCTTTTGCTCTGTGGAGTGAGGGTACTGTGGGGCGAGGCTCCTCTTCCCTTCTAAGCTTGTCGATTCGAAGATGGCGTTCAGAATATTGGGTTGTGTAAAAATGAATTCCGCTTTTCCAAGTTTTGTTTTTCAGATCAGTGCTATATCCAAGCTTCTTATGATCCGAACGGAATCAATAATTCAAATAAAAAAATTTTTCCGTTTACTCTTTTTTTAAAGGATTCTCGGCTTTTTTTCATTTTTTTGTAGACAAAAAAATTGACATTTCCAAAGTCCACGATCTTTTCTCCTGACTTTAAAAAAAGAAATAATCTTTATATAGTTTTTTTCCAAAGAGATTTAAGTTGAATTTTTGTTTTTAAGAGGTTGGAAGCGAGTTCTTGAACTATAATTTTTCCATCCGAATTTCCATGTTTTTTTAGTCTTAAAGGAGAATTTTTATTAATCAAAAGTTCTACATTAGGATATTTTTTTAGATTTCTTTTTATTTTTCTCTTATTAAATGGAAAGAGTTTTCAGAGAGTAGAGTAGAGTCGATAGATAAGATCGTCTCGTTTCGCTCAAGATGATCAATTTTTGTAGCTATAGTGATAGTGAGTATAGGGCGTTTCAAATAATTGACGAACCTATCGTAGACAAGTTTCCGGATTTTCCGTCTGATCCTCTGAAACTACCTCTTCATTCATGAATTTGGTGTAGCTCAGCGTTTTTTTACATTTAAAATTTCAGAATTTACGAGTTGATTCTTAGGTGGTTAGTCCAAGATGTCTGTTTTTCGAGGTTTTTTGATATAGTTTGTTTTTTAGGTTCCTAAATAGATTAACATAGGTTCTTTTTGTCAATCAGTATTGATCGATAAAAAGCGAGATTTATTTGTACACAACCTGATATAATTCCCGACCTCATGGGAATGTACTCAATTTGCTGGTTGGTCTAGTGATTCGGAAACTGGTTTGGTAAACTCACGACGAAGGTTCGGATCTTGATGAAGATTCAGTTTTCATTTAACTTGATAGTTTAAAGGGTTTTTTCGCGTTGAGTCTTTTCGTCGAAACAGTTACATTTCACCAAAATTTCAATTTTTTTCAGAGTTGACTTTCTTTTTTTAACTTTTTTTATTGACCACTTACTGTTTTTTTGCAACCAGAAAAATCCGCAATGAAATTATGGGCTTTAAACTTGACCGCTTCACGAAAAAAATGTTTTTTCTATAAATTCATTTTGTTTTTTTGAATTAAAAAAACTTATTCTGAAAGTTGAACCATTTTTTTATTGATGTTTTGAAATTAGCAAAATTGAGCTTTAGAAGTACATAAAGCAGCCAAATTAAAAGTTCATGAGCTTATTGCGTTTTTTTTTTCAAACTTTTTAGGCTTTTTTTTTTCAAATTTTAGGGAGAGACTTTTGACCTTCGTCAAGAGTATTCCAAGAAAAGATTTAGAAGCTTTGCGTAATTTTTACGTCAAGAATTGTTTTGTTTGTTAAAATGGTCTTATTCAACCAATTAGTAAATTGCGTATACTTGCATGGGCTCGGGCGCCGCCTGACGTTGTCTTGCGAGGTCATTTCTGCTCCTTTTTTACATCACAACTTCCAAGCTTCATCCTGAGCCGACTTGAGCTCGAACTCTTTCCACTCGATCTTCAGATCATTTGAAATGAACATGCAGGAGTTGGGTCTTGTTGGAAAAGTGCTCTTGAATTTTGGACTTTTCAGCTTTTTCATAGTTCATCTGCAAGGCTTCTTTTTTTGAATTCAAATTCGAAGTTTGCGCTTTGAAGTCTTCTCCATTTCAAATCAGTCATAAATAATAGTCGAAAAAAAACTCTGGCTTTTGGCGAAATTGTTCTTTAAAAACTTGTTTTTTTGTACGTTCTCTTTTTCTTTTTTTGTACATACATTTAAGAGAAATTATTTTTTTCAGTTTTTTTGAGTTCAAAATATTTGTATATTGACTGTTTAAAATTGGCGAAGATTTTTAAAACGCAGTTTTTTTCAATTAGTCAAAAAAACTTTTTTGAGAGATTTTTTTACTACATAGTAATTTTTATGTTAACAGCTCACCATTGTTAATTACTGAATGAATTTTTGAGTCATAAGAAATCATCGAAAACATTCATTTTTTTCTTGACAATGATATTTTTCCAAAACTTTGTTTTTCCAGTAAACTTTCCTTTTCAAAAAGCAACTTCATCATGTCTTTTTGAATGATAAACAGAAGGATCAAGTGATTGACTTTAGTGTAGTTTAAAAAAACCTAAAAGCTATTCTTCGAAAAAAAAAAGCCTTGCAGATGAACTTTCAAATTTCTAAGCTTTGCTGAAATGCTTGTTTCAGTTTTTCTTAGGTTCATTAGGATCAATCAGCACTCGATAAATATTTAAAGAAAAAAAAAATGTTTCCTTTCCAAACGGACCTCCAAATTGTGTTTTTTCTAATTAGACTAGTAATTTTTGAAAGGTCAAACTAAAAACTTTTTTTTCACAACCTTAAAAGCTTGATGTGATTGACTTGAGTGGAATGGAGAAGCACAAAACATGAGCACCTTTTCAACATAGCACAAGTACAGCATGTCCTTTCAAAGGGTTTGGCCATCAAATGGAACAGCTTGAGCTCTCAGGATGAAGCTTGGAAATCGTGGTGGAACAAAAGCAGCATGAATGACCTTGTAGGACGATGCTCAATGACGAGCTTGGAGGTAAAAGAAGCTTCGCTTGACAGGACTCTCACCGGACCTCAAGCCACCTACCAAAGACTTGGCCTCGGGCTCCACCGTCCTCCAGAGGGCGGTGAAGACCGAAGTCAAGGCATCCGGCTCGGATCCCACAGCCAGCCTGTGGAGTTTGAGGCTGAGGTCTCTGGCTTGGGCCCTTAAGGCCCTGGCTGGAGACTCTGCCTCAGACTCCAGTGGCGGGGTGTGGTGTTTCGAGATCGGAATGTCAGCCCGGCACCTGAAACCCCAGGTCCGGCAGCGGCTCTGACCCTGCCGGACAAAACCAAGTACAAAAGGGGGAGGAGATTTCTTTATTAAAAATCATGGTTCAGAGTGTCCGGTTCAATGCCGCCCTCGGAGTACGACGTCGTCCGGCATCCATCCCGGCTCGCGTCTCGACCGGCATCCATCCCGTCACATCACTCGACCTGAAACCCTCCCCATTAGCCCCGCTGATTTCCTTCCCTTGTGATCTTGGAACCCTCCAAATCTGGAGCGTCCTGGACCCCTTCCTCTAATGACCCAAGGCCGAGTCCTTTTTCTTGCCAAGGCCTGAGTGAATGGCCTTTTTGACTGAAAGCTTTCGAATAAAGTCTTATTATTATTTTATTTTTTTTTGAAAGTCTCACAAAGGACCCGAGAGAGAAGCTCTTTGAAAAATTAAAAGTCCATCAAGAGCCGCTGAAACTGTTAAGCTCAACAGACTCAATGACCAAGTGAATGGCAAAGATGCCTTTGGACAAGTTATGCAAAAAAAAAGTCGGTCCTTCTAAAATCAATGTTGATGCTTTGATTTGCAAGTCTATGATGAATGAATTTTCATTACAAGTTTTTTGGAGGTGTTTTACTACTGAAGCTTTAATACGGACGTCTCCCACTTGAAGCTCAATGGAAGAATTTTGATTACTCTATTTTTTCACGTTGAAAGCTGACCACGCAATTAATTTCTATGGCCTTGTTCAAAGTAGTTTCCGCGAAGTGCAAAATTATCTCTGACTACCCAAAATTTCGTTAAATTTTTCTTTCTCTGGCGGCTGTTCTGAAAATAACTTTGAACATGGCATAAGTTTTTTTTTGTAGAGCTCAAAGCTTCGAAAAATGTAAAGCAAAAAAAAAAGCCGAGCATGAGTTAAATCTTTTTATCAAGTTCAGTGCGCTAAGTAATTGAAAGAAACTTTCTCAGGGTTCAAAGGTAAGCTCGCAATTTGACAACTTTCCAATCAGTCGGTAAAACTTTGAGAAAATTGAAAAATAAAGTTTTTATTCTTTTTTTGGCTTTAGGTTGAAAAAAATCAAAAAGTGAAGTTTTTGATTCGAAAGCAAAGTTTTTATGAAACAAAAGGTGACCTTATTAGCTTAAAAAAATTTGAAATTGCGAGTTGACCCTTGAAAAACGCTAAACGAAAGTTATCTGAAATGAAAACTACTAAGGAAATACGTAAATAATCAAAAAAAATAACATCTTTTTAGTCCAACTCCACTAACTTTCGAAAAACGACAAGTAAATTAAGTGACCATCAAAAAAGAAGACATTGCCGGTCTAGAAAATTCATCAGAACCTCCAAGTCAACTCTAACATTGACTTTATAAGGACTTGTATTTTTTGCACGACTTTACCAAAGACCTTTTGCTGTCCACTGAGCCAACAAATCAATTGACAATCTAATCTTTTTGAGCAGATCTCGATATATTCGTCAATGCTCATGAACCATCTCTCTCGATTTTCCTATGAGACATTGCAAAAAAAAAAATTGACCTTTCATTCAAAAACTCCCAGTCAAAACTAACGGATAAAAGCGTTCTGTCGACCGAATTCTTCGGACGAAAAAATTCTTATTTCTCAAATTGCGTTGCAGATCCAAACTTTGAAACCGAATTTCAAAGAAAAAAAAAATAAATTCAAACTAGACTACCGAAATTTCGAGGAAAAAATCCCCAAAAATAGTAAGAAAAAATGCTCGAAACACTAAATAAAAGCTTTTTTCATAAAAAGTTCAAGTTTGGATAAATTTTTTTTTACTTTCCTAATTTTCTAAACGTTTTCGAAACAAAAAATAAAGACAAAACTCATAAGTTGTGCTTTTTTTATCGCTGAAATGATAAGAACTTTCATCCGCTAGTGTTTACTATAAAATCATAAAAAAGAACCTTTTTGATAATCTCATGCAATACTTGAAGTCAAATCGCATCAAACCTTCACTCTACAGATATTTAAAATGTAGAAGTTCGTGATAAATTATACCAAAGGTTGCAATTTTTCAAAAAAAATTTTTTTCAATGCATTCCGAAAATTGACAAGTATCTGAAGTTTTGTTCAAAACTTTTTTAGTGTTAGTTTTTTTGCGATTCAACTCTCCAAAAGCCTGGAATTGGAAAAAAATCCAGATCTGCAACACAAAAAGTACAACTAAAAAGCTAAATTTAGAAAAAAATAAAGCACTTTATTGGCAAGAATCCAGAAAGTCGATCGGCAAAACGTTTGCATCCGTTAATCGACCACCCACACAAGTCCCCGGCAAGAAAAAAGCAGCCGACCTTGGGCCATTTTGCCTAGAAAAACTCTCGAAATCAAATAATTATCTACTTTTTAAAAGCTTTCTTTGAAGAAATGAGCAAAAAAAGCTTGAAAACAGCGTTTAAATTTGACTGGAATGAAAATTTTTTGTCAAAGGTCATAAAAACTCGAACTACTCTGTGAAAGTCACCGAAATCTGGAAAAAAAAGAAGAGTTGTTACTACTTTGAAAAAAGTGATTTGAAAAAAAAAGTTGGATGAGAAAAAAGAAATTCTTATAGTTCTAAAAAACTAGAAGTCACTGAAAAAAAAAATTCAAACTTTATTTTCGGACCTCTACTCTAAATTTACTTGAAATAAATCAGAGAAAATAAAAATATGAAAATAATCCTTTTCGTTTCCGGCCACATAGTTCAATCAGACTTGGCTTTTTTTTGCTTTTGAAGAATCTTGTAAGAAATTCGAAAATGGATCGGAAATCTTAAAAAGGATATACTTGAAAAAAGTTCCGAATGAAAAACTGCGGCAAGAAATAGAAAGAAATCTTTTTTTTTTCTTTATTTTCTAAATTAATTTGATTTCGAGAACTTTCCTGAGTAGAATACGCCCAGCCGCCCCAGTTTTTGGACGATTCCGATCCAAAAAGGAAGGGAATCGAACAAAAAAAGTTTAAACAAACCTAAACTTACTCGCGTTTTTCAGATCCTGTAGACGGGCCCTCCGATCGAGTCGTTGTCGATTTGTCCAATACGCAATTAAGCCTTTCTGGAAAATTCTCAAATTAGCAACAGTAAAAAAATTTTTGAAACTCATATTTTTAACATAGGAAGCTTGTGAAACCGTCGCGTAGTTTTCCGTTCGTCCAATTTTCAACGAAAATTCCTCAAATAAGAAATTTTTTTCATACTGAAAAGCCTAAATTCGACGACTCGACGCGAAAACTCGATGGTAAAAGTTCAAAAATTAATTATTCTTAATTACTAAAATTACAATAGTGCAAAAGTTCTGGAGGGCAGTTTTCTAAAAAAAAATCCTGAAGGAAAGTTAAACAAAGGCGCAGAGGTAAAATCGTTGAAAGATTCTTTGCGAATAATCGTTTCCATTGCTATTCGGAACACATCTTTCGAATAGAAAAACAATACAACGTCTGAAAACTTCAAAAAAAATTTTGAAAGATGTAAAACCATCGATAAAATTGAAATAATACGATAAAACCATATGAAAACCATCGATTACAATAATAAATTTAAAAATAAGACGATCGGCAGCAACACCATGCCCAGGACGGAGAAAAAAAGAGAATGACGATTGTTTTTGGGACGACGAATCTTTCGCGCCACTCCAGAGATCCTTCTCGAACCTCGGCCGCCTTGACTCCCAGCCGTTAGATCAAAACTTTTGGCCAGGTCAGACTCGCCATTTTCGTTGATTTTTTGCCGGGGGTTTATCTTTTACATTTATTTTGAACGTCGTATTTGTCACAATCATTTCTGACATGATGAATCATGAAAATACATGTTTTCTGGGAAAGATCATAATTTTCATTTTCAAAACAGTTTCAACACCTAACGTTCCGAAAAAAGTTCCATGTTTTTGATCGATTCTTTTCAAAAATCAAGAATTACTTTAAAAGAAGCAAGAAAAAGTGCTAATGAAACAAAATCATGAAGAAACATCGTAAATTTCTAGCTGTCGTTCTCGCGCTGCTTTCCGATAATGTAGCAACCAGAACTAATTTTTTTTTTTTCGCATAAACAATTATTTGAAGCTTACTTGTAGATGCTTCCTCATGTTTCGAATGTTTTAAGAAGTTAATTGAGGAACAGCTGTAGAAATAATTGTTTTTAGTTTTTTTAATATTTTTTTAATGGATCACTTCTTATTCTGGTTCAATTTTTTTGTCAGATCTGGTATGAAAATTTTTTAGAGTCTTTATCCTTAAAGGTTTTGGTGATCTCGGTTTTTTCATCAATTTTTAATTTTAGAAAATACTTTTAAAAAATAATGATTTATTTCAAAATTCCGATCTGACATTCTTCAAGCTTTTTTGTTATGAAATTCCAGGCAATGCCGTGTGAATTAACCATAGGTAGGGCGGAGGTCGCGTTCTGAAATAGTTAATTGGCTTGTCTTTTATATGAAGCTAACTTTTCCGGCATATCGTAACAACGCTGTTCCTCCGGGATGTTCTTTATAATAAGGTGTTAGGTCGTAAACCTAAACTTACACTTCAATTTCGACTTTCTTTTTCTTTCAAACTGACCTTGTTGCCGTAGATTATCCATAAATCATCGTGGGTGCAGTGACGAGCCACTTCATTCGCAGAGAAATACTTTGTCATTTTTTTAAATAAAGAAAAAAATTTTTTTGAACGTAGAAAATGGGTTTTTTTAGGAGGAAAAAGAGAATTTCGCTAGATAAGCAAATGAAGATATAACCCTCTGCGTAATATCTCTCTAGATCGATAAACGGAAGGATGCTGTCGCATTTTTGATTAATTTAAGCTTTGCGGTGAAATTCTCTTCAGATATGCAGCAGAGTTCTATTTCACTCGATTCAAGAGTATGCATTTTTTTGCAGTTTTTGTTTCAATGAAAAATTTTCCTAAGTTTTTTTTTTGATTTCACGAGGCATGTTCGGCTATCTCTCTCTTTATTTTGTTCGGTCGAAAAAATGGAATTTTTTCGTTTTTTTCTGCTGCTTTCGTTTCTCTTTGAGCCTGAATTGATACGATTTTCTTCGATCTTTCTATGTTATATAAATTTAGTCGAATAAGAAAAAAACGAATAAACCATTTTCTCGAGTAAAAATTAAAGCAAATAATTTATAATCAATTCACAAGAAAAGCACCAGTAAGACCTCGAAATCTTAGACAACGCAAGAGTCAAATCGGTACGAAAAATAAAAAAAATTAATTAGATTGCAATGCAATTAAAGAGAAGCATTGGCGACAAGAGCGACGCCGCGTTCGTAGAAGATAGTCGAAGAGGCGATTTGGAAGGCGAGGGGCGAGATGAGCTGACGTCGGTCGCCGTAGAGGTAGAGCGGCATGCGGACGCCTTCCGCGGCTTCCTAAAGATTGAAACTTAACAATTTTGTTTCTTTTTAATCAGCACATCAACTTGGCGTATATTTTTGCACGGGATCTTCCCACCTCTTTCAAAATGTTTTTATTCTCAAGCTTCTAACCAGGATGAGTACAAGAAGCAAGTCGAAATGTCTGTTCAGTCTGCTCAGAAATCTTTTCTGGAGGTTCTTGAAAATCACATAGGTACCGATTTATCTTATTGAACCTTGCAGTGAATTTATTAAAAACTTTCTACGTCTCTTTCTTTTTTCCTGATAACAGTCCTCACCCTCTTCCAGCTGAACTCGACAGATCCGCAGGGGCTCTTGACGTCTTCCGAAAGTTCCAACGCGTTGCCGCCAGAAGACTTGGCGCCGCGAATCTCGATTCCTGGAAGTTTGCAGCATAAAATGTTTCCAACTTGATTCAACACTACCAGAAACTCGGAAGGCGTCAGCTCGATCAGTACTACCGATGTGAACGTGAAGATTGAGCTGTTCGAGGGACCAAGTGTTGGCTTGGGCGACTTGTTGGCGAGTCGCAGTCACGTAGGCTTCAGGAGAGAAAGTTCCACCCAGCCAGACTTCTTCTCTCTGAAATGTCTCGAAAATGGCTTTTCCATTTGAAAAAAATAATCAAAAAATTTGATTCCAAGGGCTGAAAAAGAGGAAGTTCTTCTGCTCATTTATCGTTATTGTTGGTATTCTGAGCTACTTACTTGGCAGATTACTTAGAGGACTGATCTCACCCAAAAATACTCTCATCGAACCTTTTTCCAAACAGTACCTTCAAGTTAACGCTGGCTCCGATGCGAATGAGCTGCTTGAGTCTTTCGTTCAGGTCCAAGATCCAGTCCATGACGGTGACGTCTCCGGGGACCGTGTACCTCAGCCACGTCGTCGGAACTTGTCCCTTCTGGAGGCTAGCGGCCAAGGCGCGCGTCTCGTTGTTCTGCTTCCGCTCGGCACGGCAAACCGCAGAGATCTCCTCCAAGTCGTGGCGAATGTCTTTAAGCAACTGCGCTCCGAGGTTAATTTCGCGTTCGAAGAAGCGGAAGAGCGGGTCTTTGATATTGTCGACGGTCCGGCGCATTCGAGTGATCTCCTGTAAATTCTCGGAAGTTTGGAGCACCGTGAAGACTTTTCACTGGAATTTTTTTTTAAAGAATGGAAGTTCTTCCCAAAGCTGAAAGTTTCGCTACAAGAATATAATTTGACTATAAATGAGGTCATTCCAAGGCAGACCAATGAATAATCTCCTAAAACGGTGTGCTCGTTTTTTGGTAGAACTATTTTGAGCCACCCAGAATTTTTGTCAATCTTGGGGTAGGACCTTGGGCAGGAGCTGGAGCCATTGCTTAGCGAGTTCAGCCAGCTGAGCCATCCACTGAGGCTTTGCTTCCTGCTCGCCCTCACCGGTGAACGCCAGTTCTTCGTCGGAGACTTTGAGCATGTTGCGGAGCATCGCTTCTCCTGAACTGTCTCATAAACTTTGAAGGTTCTGAAGTTGACGAACCGCGTCTAGTGAGCAGCACCTTCTCCGCGTTGTTCGGAAGGCCGAGCCAAGCTGGCAACTGTAAATTCACAAATGTTATTGGAAGCTCGTCCAGCTCATTCGCTCACCTGCTGACTCTTGATCGACTCGACCCATTGGATAATTTCCTGCTTGGTGGAAAGATGTGGCGTGCAGAGTGGGGCATCTCCATCGTATTTCGAAATCAGAACGTGATCGGTCTTGAAACTTGTGGCAGTGAAGAGGTTCTCGAGGACGCAATCAAGCAAAACCTGAAAAATTCGCATTTTGAACGTACCGTCCATCGTTTTTCAAGTATGCCCCAAAAAGAGACTAAAATATAAACGTAAAAAGATGATTAAAGTACGGGGTTGGACTTCTATTGAATTTAATCTACACTTTCATGAAGAAAAATGAATTTTTTTCTACGTAATTTTTGTCAAAAACTAGTCTAACTACTTTATTCTAATATCTTTTTGTCATGTTCATGGAAAGTCAATCTCACAATAGTTTTTCAACGAAGGCAAGACTAAGAAGTCAGACTGAAACTGGCGAAACCGAGAAATGGTCTGAAGAGACACCAGAGACCTAGTAGAGTCTATCTTTCTCTGGAGTTTCTTCAGGCTCCACTGATCTCTCGTTTAAAGTATTCTTTTTGAGCTTTTTCAAATGTTTCATTTCTTCTACGTACTTGATCAAAGTGATTATCGATCTTTCCACCGTAGATGCACTGGCTGAAGAGTGTTCGGAGCGTGGCCCAGGGCAGCCGGTCGGGCGAGACGTTCTTCCGATCCTGGGCGACGGCATTGACGGCGGCGTCGAGAGTGTCGCAGGCAACACGCAAATCGGCGTCCGAAAACTCGTAAGCCTTCGACCACCCCAGAGGAGTGTATCTGAATTTTATCGTTTTGATTGAAACTTTGAGTGAATTTGAGAACCGAAGGCGTTCTTGAACAAGAGCGTGCAGCCAGCAAAGAAGGAGGTATAGTTGACTTCTTTCGACGGGATCTTTGGCCAGACGAGCCGGAGGAATCGTCGCCAGGGAGCGGAGCAAGTTGGCCTTGAGTCCAGTGGCAGGTTCGAAGACGACGATGCGGGAAGCTCGCAGGACCGACGCCGGGAGCTGAAAGAAAAGAAATAAAGAAAAATTATGATGTTTCCAAAACATTTGGTTACTAACTCTTGTTTACGTGTATAATCATTCAGAAAGATAGGATAGGTAATTTATTTATAACTACATATTTTTTCTTGGTGCCCTCATCAAAAATGTCATTTTTTTTTCTAGCTTCACCTTCGGATGAATCTCAGCAGTCATGAATAGCCGGAACTGAGCATGAGGCTTCAAAGTGTGGAGTCTCTTTTCGAGTTGAGCCAACCAGGACGGCGCCAGATGAACGTTCTTAAGAAGGACCCAGCGGCCAGACTTCGAAGCGGCGGTGAGAGCCTGGAACAAGGTGGATCAGCTTCACTTTCTATTAAAAAGCCGTACCGAATCGGCTTGGTTGAAGCCTTCGGCCGAACCAATAGCAATGGCAGTCAAGGAACGGTTCGTCTCAACAGCCAAGTCTTCAATCTTTCCGGAAGCGTCGTAGCCGGTCGCCGAGCAGAGAAGGACCGGAGCCGAAGGAGACACCTCGGCTTCGATGATCGACAGCAGATCGATGACTTTGTCCTGTTGCATGAAGTGCTCTCCGAAGGCGACGTTGACCAGCCGATGGGCCGACGCCATCAGACGGTCCGACCTCAGGCAGTAGACCACGATAAGTTCGTTCAATGCGAGTCCGAGCGGTGCTGGAAAAGTACAACTTTTAAGAGGAAGATTTTCAGAAGTCTTACTCAATTTCTTCTCCTTGTCTTCCCACAGGACAGGAACCGAAGATTCGGGGTTGTCCATGTTGATCCAGGCGGCGATGGCGGCAGCGTTGTCGGAAATTCTCTTGAAGACGTCCTCGAATCCAGGTACTTTTTGGGCCTTTGTCAGCAGGTGATGGCTGTGCGGCGTGATGAAGTCGAGTCCAGAAGGAATAGAGGAGGTGTCTGAATCATTTGAATGAAAACTAAAGAAAGTCTGAGAGATTGAAGCTTGACTGTGATGATTTCAACATAATATTCTATTTCAAATTCTCAAATCTACCAGAAAACAATAATGGAAAAATCGAAAAAGTTCAAACTTTCAAGAGAAGAAAATGACCAGAGTTAAAAAAATTTCTTCGATATATTTTTCTAGTCAAAGTCCAAAAATCCAAAATGAACCATTCTTGGCCGGGAAAAGTTCACTCCTGCCGAGGAGCAAGTCCCAGTGTTGGTCGTAGCTCGGCTGGCCTCCTACAGCTCTGATGTGGATTCTCATGAGAAGCAAGGCCAATAGGACTTTGTCCGTGTGAAGCATGCCGCCGGAAACGCGTCGGAACACCGTCTGAAAGCAAAATTCAAAGTTTCCGCTGAGTTTGAGGAAGAGAAGGAGAAGAGAAAAGCTATTTCAACATGTGATGTTTTTTTGAACCTGGAAAAGATTGGCGGTGATCATCTGCAGACGAGCCGAATAATCCTGAGATACGCCGAGTTCAGGCGCCTTGAGGACACTGGTGAAGATATTGACGAGGAAATCCAGGGAGTAGTGGTAGAGGAAGTGGATCTGAAGTCGAAAATTGGGAATTCAAGGTTGATAATTGATGATCGACATCATTGAGCTGCTGAAGAGTGTGGTAGATCTGGGAGCACGAAATGGCCAATCGTTGATATTGAGCCGAGACGGCGTCGACTTCAGCCATGACCTTGTCCGTTTCAGCGGATTTCTTCGCGACCTGAACTTGATGATATCTGTTAGGATGCACCCAAATTGATCAAAAAATTATTCTGATACACATCCAGATTATATGAAAGATCAAGTCTAGACACTCGTTTTTAAAGCCGCTCGAAAAATTGTCGTTCCCGCAAAAAAAAAAGTTTCCAAAGCCAACAAATGCGCACCTCAGCAGCCTCCGTCTTCAGCTTCTCCAGCGTCTCAATGACGGAGTTGTCGTCCAAAATCTTTCCTTTGCTTTCGTTGAGCGCTGCGAGCAAAGCTTTCTCCAAATGTCGGAGTCGGACCGCGAATTCGCCCTAGTAGTGAATTTTCGAGTTTTTCCTTTGTCAAGTTGCCAACTTGAAGTTTCAGGAGGTCACTGCGCTTCTTATCGACATCAGGCCTCTCGCTTCGGAGGACTTGGTTCAAACATTGGCTGGCCAAACTCGAAGAAGTGACAGTGAAGTTGACAAAAGTCACACGGGAGCAGATGTCCGGCGAGAATTCAATCTGAACATTTTTCTGTTGAACATGTATTCTCGAGGGTGAAAACCGTAGAATCTCGAGTGATGAGGAAGATCTGGAAGGCCGGCGACAGGTCTATGTCCTGGTCTCCGATCGTGATGAGAACACGGCCGCCAGTTCGTTTGACCTGATAAATTGATGGATTTTTGCTGGGAAAATTGATGGAACCTCTCGATTGAGGACGGGATTCAAGATTGGGTCGTAGCTTTCGACGTCTTGCACAAGCAGCGAGTTACCGAACCGCAACGCTGATTCCAGGCTCTTTCTGAAGGAGAATTGTTATGTTATGATTGTTTTAAACTTTTCGTTGGGCTCTCAGCTTCCGAGAAGAAAAAAATTTTCAAGAAAAAGAGCTTTCTCATAGCTTTTTCGTCTATTTTTTTTGGAATAAACCACAACTAAAACTTATGCCTGTTCATAGTCAAGTAAGCTACAAAATAATTTTTTTTTGAAGATTCTAAAGCTTCTGGTCGACCAAAATGCCCTAAGGGACGCACCGGAACGACTCGTCCAAGAAGGACGTCTTCTGGATGTTCTTCGACGCGTACTGCTTCATGATAAACTCGACGGCCTGACCGGACGGATCGATGATCAGTGGGAACCTGTTGAACCGTTGAAGCATTATCGCGTTCTCAGTGCAGAGATCGTCGACCTGAAAATTTCAATTTTATGATGCGAAACCCTTTTTGTGCAAAGTACAGGAAGAGAGTTCTTCTGCCATTGGAGTCGGTCATCGACGGTGCTCAAATATTCGATGCGAGCCAGGTCGTGGCGGAAATGGACGCCGGCGCTGGCGACGAAATCGTACCACTTCATGAACAGAGCGTCTCGAAGCTTAAAGTTTGAAAATAAGGCGCAAAGAAAGGGGTTTTTTTTTCCAAGCAATTGCTGAATTCGTGATTTTCTGAAAACTTGCTCAAAAACTTCCTGAAGGTCTGAAATAAGATATATATGATCTCTACCCGCCCAAATTTCGCAAATGTCTTTAAAACACTTCAAAAGTTTGCATTGGACATCGGTGGGATTTTTTCCTTGACTTTCATAGAAATTTTGAGATATCCAAGGAAATTACAAACTTTACACCGAAATGACCTGGGGAGAAATTTGGTCAAAACTATGTAAACTAAGTTTCTTTTCGAATTCAGATTTCTCCGAATGCCACTAACATGTTGATCGTAGTAGCCAGCGTAGGCGAGGAAGGCCGAGGAGAGCAAGGCGTCGCCGATCAACGTCTCCATCTGCTGGGAGAAGCCGTCGCAGCCGCCAGACCATCGGTCGCGTTCCGATCGAAGTGACGAGAGAAGCTGCGTCGATCGAGCCACCTAAAATTCTCATTTCTTCCTGCTTTTTCCGATAAGAATCCCTTTTTTATGCAACGAAATATTGAAGAAGCTTTTTTGTGCCATGGTCTCAACAGGTCTTCAGAGATTTACAAAATTCTTCGTATCGTTTTTTTTTCCAACATTTGATATTATCCTGGGCAGTTGACTTTACAAAAAAAATTGGAGAAAAGACACATTTTGCTAATCTTCAAAAAAATGTTTTTCTTCTTTCAAGAACCACCAAACTTTAAGTTCATCTTTCTCATTCAATACCTTATCTTGGACAGTCTGCAAACTGCGCTTGATGTCCTCGGCTTGTCCGATGAGCTGGGCGTATTCGGCCGTGTAGGCGGCGATCGACTCTTCCAATTGCACGATTCGCACTTTCACCTTGAAAAAACCCTCATAATATTCGTTCCAGTCTTCGGTTCCACTTCTTCTCCCTCCTTGGTCTTCTTGGAGGCGTCCTGTTCCAATCGCTTCAGCTCGTTCCTGAGCGGCTCGACCCGATGCAACATTTGCGAGTAGAGAAGTTGCGCCTTGGCCCATTTGACCATGGGTCCGCAGGCTTGCGAGGCTCTGTTGACCTGAAATAAGTTGAAAAGTTGAAAATTTTGTTTCAACTTCAAAAAGGGTCGTCTCCTATGTCTATTTTTTCTGCATACAGCAAAAATCGAAATTTTTTTTTTCAGTATTTTAAAACCTCTATCTGTTCTAGTTACTTCGATAGTTGCTTCCAATCAACGGTTTTTTTTTTGCATTTTCTATGCTTGGCTCCTTTCTTACTTTGTCAAAGTCCCAATCGGGATTCTTGATGTACTGCTCCATCTGGCGCAGGATGTCGGGCGATATGTTATCCGTGTCGAAAGCCAAGATGCGAGGCATGAAGTCGTCCTTCACCATCACACTGCGGATCGCCTCAAAACGGAAAGAGATGAAAACCTTCGGAAAAGGTCCTTAAAAAGACCTTCCAATCGGTTCCGACGTTCTCTCCGAGCAGGATGCAAATCGCCTCGAGGGCCAATTTGACCATAACTGGAGGACTGGCCATGGACCGAACTTCCACGAGCTGGTTCTTTTTGATGCCTTTCACGGCTTGCTGAGCTTCCTCGACGGCTGGTTCGACCTGAAAATTCAGATTTACTCAGAAAAAAAAAATAGATGTATTTTGGGTTTCAAAGTGGAGAACTTTCAACTTGCAGTTTCGTAAATTTTTTTTGGCTTCAAACTACGATAGCTTGGACGAAAATGTTTCAGATATTTCTAAAACTCTATTTCGTTTCTTGGTAGGAATCAACTATTCAATGGTTCTCACCGTTTACAAATCCTCGTTTTCTGTTTTTTGAAATCAATTTTTTTTTAGCATCAGTGAAATTTCACACTTCAGCTGTATAAATTTCCAAGTTTAAGCCTAATATTCTAAATATTGAGGTGCAGAAATCCTAAATGGACTTTTTCGATCTAGGTAATGGAAAATCATCACACTTATTATCCTCTATAATGACAAAAGCGTTATTTTCTGCCCCAGTTAGGTTTTTTTTTTACCTGGCTCAAGTCCTTCTGAACTTCCGTTTTCTTGGTCGCGATCTCGGTAAGTTGAACGGCAAGCTCCTTTCTCAGTTGCTCTGACAACTTCTTCTCATCTTCAGCCTAAAAAAGTCATCATGGGAACTTCTAGATGGCTTTCGAGGTGGACCTTCTGCTGATCGGCGAGCATTTCCTTGAGCTTCCGCTGGGCGGCGTCTTTCTTCTCCTCGAGTTCCTGGCTCTTCAAGTGCAAACTCTTCTGCAGTTCTTTGACTTGGTCCTCCGTTTCCTTTATCTTGTTGAGACCGATGTTCAGATGAACCTGAATTTTTCTTAATTAATTTTTATAATTTTTATCAAGCCGAATGAAAATTTTAGATCAAATCTAGTCGATATAATTATTCTTCGCAACTATTCGATTTTTAAACCATCGAAGTAACTAACTTTGAGAGCACCTAACTCTAAAATGTTGCGCCATTTCAAACTTCTCTTCGAAATTAAAGTTCGAAATTTTTCGGAATTATTTTCTGTAAGAAAGGAAAATGGGCCATTGCTTTCAGCGGCTTTTTTCATACTGAAGAGAGTATTTCTACAATAAATTCCGAAAGTGTCAGGAACAATCCTGGAGACCTTCTCCTCCTCCAGATCGCGCCGTTTCTCGTGGAAGACGTTGATGAACTGCTTGATGAAGTCGAGGAAATGCCGTGGCGTGACGGCCATCACGCGGTGGCCCTTCTTCTGCTCCGAATCGTTGAGTTTCTTGACCGTCTTGTGGACGTGGACGAAGGTGTTGGTGATGGCGTCGCGGTAGGTTGGAGATGAGGGCAGAAGTTCGCAGGACGGCGGCAGGGCAAGCGGCGCCTCGTAGTCGGTCCTTTCCATGTCCACCGTCTTTGTCAGTTCCGAGCCGACCTGAAAAAATCGCCCTTTTCTTTTCTCTTCTTGCAGTTTTTTCTACAGCATTCAGTAAAATCTTTTTGTGATTTCTGTAACTACTGATCCTAACAAAAGTGATGGACAACATCCTACCTGGTAGAGGGCATTGTCGGACCAGTCACCGAACCAATTCAACACGCAACGGTTGAACAAGGCGGGGGATGTTGAAGCGCGTTCTCTGAGGCCGCTTCCCGATGGATTCATCGTGAAGACGACGTGAAGGTTTCGCATCACCTGAATAAGTTTTTTTGCTTTAGAATTTTTAGACGGAGCTATTGAGAGGCGCCCTAACGAAGTTCAAAGTCCATTTAAAATTTCAAATCTTTTTTCAGGATCCCAATCTTTTTTTCGATCACTCAGTGAAGAAACTAAATTATGCAATGTATCTCTTTTTTTTAAATTGAAAGTTATTTTTTCTGATTTTTTGTGCTCCATTTTCCCAAGATAAGCTTTCTCTATGGGCTCGCCCTCCTCTTTTCTCTTTCTAGGCCTAAAATTACCTGAGTCGTGAACCACTTGTAGAGCTCATCGTGGCTGTCCAACATGAGTCCCTGCCGTTGAGCGCCTTCCTTGATTTGAGTCATCAACGTCGTGTGTTCGTCGCCTTCGAACAGACCGGGAACCTGGAAAATTCGATCGTTTTCTTCTGGTCTTCGTCCATTCCAAGGCGACCTCTCCGTTGGCAAGAAGGGTATTGAGCCTTTCCAAGAAACCAGTGTCCAGCATGTTCGATTCGTCCATGATGAAGCACAGTTTTTCGTTTCGGCAACCTGCTCTTCTCAAAACAGCTCGCATGTCTTCATCAAAGTCAGCCGCAGAGTATTTCGAGTGGACTTTTAGCTGAAAAAGAATGAGTTCATGCTTCATTTAAAATTTTCACATTTTTATCTAATTTTTTTTCGTGATGTTTATACGAAAATGGCTTTAATAAACGACTTTCGTTTCAAAATCATTGGATTGAATTATAAAAGCGCAGAACTTATTTGTAGACCCTTTACCCTCTTATTTTTGTTCTAAACTTTCGAAAGGCACCTGGAAGACACTGAGGCCGTTCAACCAGGCGACGAATCTTGACAAGGTCGTTTTTCCGGCTCCGGCCGTTCCAATCAGCAGCAAGTGTCCCTGAGACTGCCGATAGATTCGATCGATGCGGAGAACATGGTCGAGCATCTGATCGAAGAGCACGAGTTGAACGTCGAGCTCCTCTTCGTAGAAGCCTTTGAGTCGGGCGGAGACGTAGTCTTTGAGCTCTTCACGGGACACGGGGACGTAGTTCTTGGACAACCAGCAAGAGTAGAGAAGAGGTCTTTTGAGGGCGTCGTCGATACGGCAGGCGTTGCCAAAATACTTATCGGCGGTGGAGTCAACGAGAGAGTCGGTCCAGGCGCGCTCCTCGTCGGTGACGAGTCGATCTTGGAACAGGCGGAGGGCTTCGTGGGCCCAGAGGCGGACCAGCTGCTCGGCGTTGATCGAATCCAGTGGAGCGATCGCTTCGCTGATTCCTCGGACCCAGCGCGTCAGTTCTCTCGGCGAGTAGACGTAGTGGGGCTGTTCGTCTTGGGTGAAGTGCTCCTGGCTGGCCAGGTAGACGTCGACCATCGCGTTGGTCAACGCATCAGCGAGAGAGCCCACACTCGGCGTCATCTTCAGCATGGCTCTGGAAATTGATATATTTTAAATTATTTGAAAACCAGCCGATTTGTTTGAATACTCAGTGTCTTATTATTTTATTCCTAGAAGATAAACCTCTGTCAGAGACAGAACAGTTCTTTTTAAATTCTTTCAAACGCTGTTTCAAATCTGTTCAAGCCTGACAATCTGAATTGAAACGCTGTTTTAATAAAAAAAAAAGAAACCTTAGTTTAATTTCTTATCCTAATTGATTGCAAACCTATTGAAAGTGCCGTAGATCTGAATGAGGGACGTCTGGCCGGGATAGTCGACATAGACGACGGGGACGTGTCTCAAGAACCGGAGGCTCATCGGATGACGGCCCGGATCCGTCGGCGGGTTGCAAGCGCCGACAAACTGGATACGCTCGAGCGAAACCCAGCTGTGGTCGGAGGAACGGTAGAAGCCATTCTGAAACATGACGAGAAGGTCATAAAAACTCATAACTACGGCTTGAGTCATCCTAGAAAAAATTCAGGGGAAGTTCAAGAAAAAAGGCGCCCTATACAGGATGATTTTCTGAACTATTGGTTGTTCCTTTTCGCAGGCTAAACTTTCCTAGACGCTAATAAGTAGTTAAGAACAAGTTCGAACCAATTCGACAAGCTGCCGGAGGAAGCTGATGACCCGCTGAGTTCCGTACTTATCCGGCGACGGCAAGTTGATCTCATCGCAGAAGATCACCAACCAACGCGACATTTGGACCGGCGCCAGGACGACTCCATTCGGCGTGCGGCTGGAATCGTAACTTGTTTAGTTGAGGGAGTAGCGGTTTAAGTGAGAAGTTAAAAAAAAACTATTACATGCAGGTTAGAAGAAGATTCTGAATCTATGCGAGAACTAGCAAAAATACACTATGATTGAGCTCATATTGGGTAGCAGATAGAGATTCTTTCGACTACGAGTGGTCAGCAAATTTTTAGGCTCTTGCGACAATATTTGAGTTCAAAAACAGTTCATCGTAGCTCAAGCGAACATCCCGCCCTTCAGTAAGGAATTCGATTCTTTTTTCAAACTTAGTTCTTTTTTCAAAGTCGCAGACCGTAACTTTCTACCCTGATGACTTTGAGAGGTCCTAGGTTTTCTCCCTCAGAAAGTTTGAACAACGAATATCAATTTAACAAGAACCATTCAGAAGCACAACGAAGATAGAATTTTTTCGGGAAACAGCTTCAGAAAGAGTTGAAAAGTGAACCGATATTCGCAGTAGTGATCGAAGGTGCGCATGAGGAGCTCCGGAGTGGTCGACGAGGAGAAGTTGACGTTGACGACGTCCATATCCTGCTGAGACCTCAGTGCAGCCAAAAGTGTCATGGTCTTTCCAGAACCGGGAGGTCCGCAGAGGACCAGGGGCTTGTGTTCGGAGAGCCAAGCGGCGAGGAGCATTTCATGTCTCACTGTGTCGACGGTGGGGACAACGAGGTCAGCAGCAGCCACGCGATGAGCTGCAATTTGAGATTATTAAGAGCACTGAAAAATCAAAAAATTATTCAGAACAGATCCTGCGCTAAACGACTTCGGTTAGCTCAAAAAAATCAGGAAAAAATAATCTTACGCCAAAAAATTATGGGACTATACAAATGTTGAATGTGGTGCTTGTTTTCGCAAATTGCACTTAAAAATCAGGAAGTTTTTCAAGTTAGTTATTATTTTTAGAGTGTTCTCGACGCATAATAACTTTTTTGAACCAAAAAACGTTTTTTTTTTCAATTTTTTAGAGCCTCTTGTCCTATAGATATTTTAAGAAGAACCAATTAAAACACAGAAAAAAGCGTCGAAAAAATAAATCACATTCAATCTCAATGGAAGGAACTTTCGAGAGCCACGGCTGCCACTCGCCGTTCATCTGCACTTCGAAGTCAATGAGGCAAGCCTGAAATATACGGTTTCGTGAAGAATTTTATGAGCTTTAAAACCTGTTGGTTGGGAGGCAAGGTGATGGTGGTCGAGTTTCTGGTGAAGTCGCTCATTTGCTGACGACTCTTCCATTTTCCGTCTCCACTGAAGGCCCAGACGAGGTTGGTGAGCATCGACCGGAGCACGTAGTTGACGATTTCCTCTTCCTGAATGGAAGATCGTTATTCACGAAGAAAATCGCGATTTCATTCTGAATTACTGAGGTCCAGTTAAATTATCTTAACAGGTTCTACCTGTGTCATCTATTAGTTGTCCGCTTATGGATTTTTGAAACTCTAGCTGAAGACCACAAGCGCTCAATGCGAAAATCATGAAAATCCATATCTCAAGAAACAGATTTTACATAGGAAACATGATCGGCCTAAACCGGTAAAAAAAAAAATCTAAACATGGATTTTGTCCTTGTATTAACTCGTAAAATGTCAAGGCTTTACAAGAAAAAAAAAAACCTCTCAAAAATCTATAAACTTATTCTCAAAACGTTTGTTTCATTACGACATACTCTCCGAAGAAAATTAAACAAAAACATACAGAAACAGTATCGTCAAGAAGACCGGCGTCGTGTTGAATCATGCACCGGATCGAGTAGCTCATCATGGCGAAGAACGAGGAAAGAAGTCGTTGGGAGGTCGGAACCATGATGTGGTCGAGTTCAGCGATCGCGAACTTCAACGCAGCTGGGACGAGGCCATCTAGAAATAAAAAAGATTGATGATAATTTATTTAAAATAAAGTTAACTTGGGCAGAAATTTATTTACATCACGATTTACATGTTCGGCGTGGAATCTTAAGTGCTCCAAATCTCTTGAAGGTCACAAAAATGCGATTTTGAAAATTCTCACAATGGAAGAAGGGGTGTTGATTCGTTACTTAAGAAAAAAAATAGTGTACATTTATCTTAATATATTTTTTTCAAATATTCTTAAGAAGTGGTTCTAAATGGAGCCAGCGCAATTTAGAGCTTTTACTCTATTTTTCGGTTATCATGCTCTCATTTCACCAATTCTCTCCTCCTCAACTATTTCAAGACGGATCCAAACTAAACCCGGGGCGAAATTCGGCTGAAGAACCGAGTTGGCGACACGTTGGATTGCGATGGCACGAGTCGGCGCGGCGTCGTCAGCAAAAATGTTCAGAGGCGCCGAAGAGAGAAGAACGGCGTCGCTGTCGAGAGAAACGCTTCGGAGCAACTTGAGGTACCGCTCGAACAGCATTTCCGATGTGACAACCTAAAGAGAATAAGAACGAAAATTTTGGTCCTCTCTTGTTGAACATACTTCCTCGCTGAACCAGACCATACCGCATCGAGATACGGTAGCCAAAGTAGCATACTTCAAGTCGGATACCTAAAAAAAAAGAAGATTTTCTATTTTCTGAACGTGTGGATCCGATTCCGCGAGATTTTGAAACGTTTGAATACTTTCTTGAGGGTCTATTGCATACTACAATCACCTGCGCAAATTTTTGCAATTTTAATACCGAAATCTTCTCCGCCTCTACATCGGCCTTTCTGATCGGGTCATACTACTCCTTGGAAGTTCCAGCACCTCAAAGATGATGCGGACATTCGGCGGGATCGCCAAGCGCTCTCCATTCGGCAGGGTCAGAAGCTTGTTGTCGTCGAGGACCGAGTTCAAGTTCTCGACCCATTCCGGATCGACGTCGCCGTCGAAGATGATCCACTGCCGTAGTTCGCTCTCGCCACGGACATTGTCGATGATTCTTCAAGAATATTGTATTTTTCTTCCTTATTTTTCGAGAAACCTGCGAATAACCGATGTGAAGAGTCCGTCGGTCCATTCACGCGTGTTCGGGTCCATAACACCATACAAGGCGTCTTTGCTCATCGCCTTTGCGTCGATGACATGAGCAACGCCTTCCGTCTTTTCCCATCGCTCCAAAGCCTTGAAAAATGAGTGTAATCATAGATTCCAACAAGGGCTACAACTTTATAGAACAAGCCGCTTTTCGTTTATTATCGTCCATTTTCAAAATAAAAAAAATTCCCATAGTAAGATATGCCAAGATTTGAGCTCAGATTTAAAATTTCAGTCTCTGAGGTTTCTGGGGCCCTTATAATCCCCGTGATTCAGAAAGCTTTGAATTTAAATAAAATAAAGATAACATTTTTTTTTTGTACTCTGAGCAATTAGTCTAAATCGTTTCTCTACTCAAATTTTTAAAAAAACAAGAAAAACATTTTTTTTGCGAGTTTGAGAACTTACTTTCCGTTAAAATTATGATTCAAACTATCATGGTTTAACGAAATTTAAACTGGACTTGATTCAAAGTTTTTTTCATGACCTCACATGGGAGGTCATTTTAGCGTAGGGTTCAGAATTTTTTATAAATTTGCTCAAACAATCTTTGATGGACTGGAAATCGATCCCCCATAGTCGCTACCTGCACAAACTTTTTTTGGAGATATGATTTTTTTCAAAGTTTTTTTATCTTTAACCATGTGAGGCCGTTTGGAAGGAATGTGGCCGCGCCACCAACCCCTTCATGGCAGCTAGGAGCGTGGTGCAGTGGCTAGCGTGTTAGCTTGCGGAGCCTATGATGAAGGCTCGAATCCTTTTGCCGCTAACTTTTTTTTGCCATTATTTTTCAAAGAATTTTTCCCAAAAATTTTTTGCTCAAGATCTTTATGGATTTTTCTGAAAATTTGAAAAAAAAAACATCTGGATTAGGATGGAAATGGCGTTTGGAATTTTTTTTTTTCAATAAAACTCGGATGACGGGTAAGTTTTCATATTCTGTAAAAATGTTTCTGCAGAAATAAGGCTAGAATTGGCTATTGACATATTGAAAAGCCACTGTCATTTATCACAACCAAGACATGCGAAGATCTTTGATGAAGGTTCAGCGCTTTTCTGAAACATTTCCTGCTGATTTTCAAAAAATAGTCTCTGATGATGTGAAGTCTGCCACAACTTCAGAAATTTCTCATAATTTTTGTCAATCAAAAAAAGCGATTTTTAGAAAGAAATTAGCTATTGGACTTTTTTGGAAAGGTTTTACTCATGAAATTTCAATATTCTCATCAGAATTCCTAAAAAAATAATGGCAAAAAAAAGTTAGCGGCAAAAGGATTCGAACCTTCATCATAGGCTCCGCAAGCTAACACGCTAGCCACTGCACCACGCTCCTAGCTGCCATGAAGGGGTTGGTGGCGCGGCCACATTCCTTCCAAACGGCGTCACATGGTTAAAGATAAAAACTTTGAAAAATCATATCTCCAAAACAAAAAGTTTGTGCAGGTAGCGACTGTGGGGGATCGATTTCCAGTCCATCAAAGATTGTTTGAGCAAATTTATAAAAAATTCTGAACCCTACGCTAAAATGAGCTCCCATGTCAGCTCATTTTCTGTTCCTGCTCCCACCTTGAGAAGAACTTTCCAGGCCATCGTTTTTCCACATCCGCTGGCTCCGACGAGCATCAGGCCATGGTTGAGGTTGGTGATTTGGTAGAGCTGCAGTACTTTGTCGAGCCAAAGAGCACCGAGTTCTCCAGATGTGTCCGAGTGAACGAGAAGTTGCTCATCGCACACCTTGGCCAGGTGCTGGCGCAACCTGAGACATGGATTCAGTTCATTACAGTCGGAGTCGGAAGAGTATTACTCAGTCATCTGGTTGGGAGTGTAGTGGATCGATGGGAAAACGTCGGAAAGGAGCGAGAAAAGCAGGGCGATATCCTCGCTGACCAACTTTGGAACCAAAGTTTCGCAGACTGATTGGATCAACATCTGGAACGTCAGTAAGTGTGAAAAAGCTTAAAATCTAATCCTATGAAAAGTAGCAAATTCGAAAAACTAAAGTAAAACAGTCTGTCAAGGATTTTCATCATTAACGGAATGATCATAAATTCCGCAGAACTCATATTCTGAAAATTTCTAGAGAGTTTGAAAACTTCGCGAAAGTCTCGAAATCTATCGGCTTCATTGACCTGCTGTTCAGCAACGTCTTCCAGAGCGGCCGAGCCCAATTTGTCCAATTTGTCGCGTTTGATGTTACCAGCCGACACGAGGACGTATTTCAAGGCACGAAGTCCGAAATCGTAGTGACATTGTGCGGAAAGTTGCTCTTTGCACAGGCTAAACAGGTTCAATCGTCAGTTTCGGGGGGAAAACGGTAACAAACATGAAAAGCGGCACAATCTTGTTGGCCAGAACTTCGGCGGTTCGGAATCCTTGGGAGAAGAGCATGACCTGGAAGAAAAAAAAATAAGAAACTAAAGCCATTAATTTTTTCGGGATTTTTTTTTCAATATTTACAGCTCATACCTGAGCGATAAGCTGCCGGTCGGGCTGAGTCATGGCCAAGCTTCGGAACAACTGCTTCAAGTTGTCGGGAAGGTTCGAACGTCCCGAGTAGCCAGGATTCATCGTGATGAAGATTCCGATGTTGGCGTTGACATTCAGTCGCTTCCCAACCAAATCTACAGACATGTCTCCGCCAGCTCGGACGGCTTCCTAAACGTCTAGGTGACTTTTTTCATTGGCAGTAAAGCAATCAAAAAATATGACGAAGATCAAAGATATCATATTCATTTTCTTTTTTTATGAAGCACCTGGATCGTCTGAATCTGTTGAGAAACTGCCGACAGCATTCTTTCTTCGAGACGATTGAACTCGTCGAAACATCCCCAGGCGCCGACTTGGCACAGACCGACGAGGATTCGGCCCATAGCCTGAAGAACTTTTTTTTTTCGGGAATAAAACTCAAATTTAGCTTGCATCATCGAAAACGATACCAGTTGATTTAAAAAGAAAGGCTCAAAGCCAGGCAAGTCGTAAAAATGTGGACCTGATTAATAAAGTTGATTCTATTTTTTTTAATTTCCAGATTTTCCGCAATAAAAAGTTTGAAAAAAAAAATCGGCTTATACCTTTCCAAAATGCTCCTGAAAGTTAAACTTTCTCTATCTCTTAATTTAAAAATTTTTACTTCAGAAGAGGGTTTTGTAGCGATTTTTCTTTTTCTTTTCACCTGGAAATCGAAAGTCTCATCACAGTTGAAGACCAAGACGAAGCGTCCGAGTTGATGGCCGAGGGCTTTCACCGACTCAGTCTTACCAGTACCGGCAGGTCCGAAGGGCGATCCTCCGAGACTGAAAGCATCGTTTAACACGCATTCTCCCAGAAAATCGAGCAAATGCGAAACACTTTGGTACAAAAATTTCATCTTGGTTCATGAGAGCTCTTCTTGCTATCATAGATAGTGAACAACCTCTTGAATATTTAGAACCAGGTTTTATTAGGCTCCGCCCACTTTCAGGCTTACTGTAGAAAAAACACCGTAAAAACCAAACTTTTTTCCTAGTGGAGCAAATCGGTCCAAAACCAATTTTAAAAACAAAATATGTTCCCATATGAACATTTATAGTTGTAGAACTGATCTGGAAAAAAATTTTTCTTTCAAAAAGAAAAAAAATTAAAGTTTTTTTGAAAAAAATGACGATTTTTCGCAGTCTTTGAGCCATAACTAGTACTAGAACCCCCGAATGCCTGGATTTTTATTTTTTCAATCGACGCATTAGGGTCTTGTGAGTAGAGGAAAAATGCCTAGAAACTTTGAATCCGGGTGATCCAGTTGACCTCCATCTCGGAGAACGCGGCCAACTTGAAAATCTCAGAACCTTTAAAAATTTCTATTTTTTGTGATAGCCGGATTCTGTCTTGTTTCTTTTTTTTGTTCAACATAACACAGCTTGCTGCAAAATTACAGCTCAAAAGTAGTGAGCTGCAAACCTTTGAAAAAAAATTTCTGACGTTTTTCTAATTTTTCGTTTTTTCGGCATTTTCAAACTTTCCGCTCTAACTAGTACTAGAGCCCCCGAATGCCTGGATTTTTATTTTTTCAATCGACGCGTTAGGGTCTTGTGAGTAGAGGAAAAATGTCTAGAAGCTCTGAATCCGGGTGATCCAGTTGACCTCTATCTCGGAGAACGCGGCCAACTTGAAAATGACTAAATTTTTAAAAATCAGTTACTTTCTTGAGAGCAGGATTTTCCCTCAATTCTTTTTGCCAATCAGACACAGTCCACTCAACACAAAATGGGAACAAAAAAGTTATGGCTCTCAAGCATGACGAAATTTTTCCAATTTTTTTCCCTTTTTTTCGGATTCATTTTTTTCTGTCTTTTTTCCAAGTATTGAGCTCTACTGGATTAGGATACCAGGAATGCTCCGAGTTTTTTCGTCGTACTGATCCGCTACATCTTCTCAAGTTCTTTAAAAATATTCCCAAGCTCTGTTTCCGGGTGATCCAGTTGACCTCAAGCAACCGAAGCGGTCGACCTCGAAATCGGGCGAAATTAAAAAAATTTTTCCAAACCGTTTTTTTACTTCCTAACCAGTAGTCCTCATTATCTGGAGGGTTTTTCAGTGTAGTTTCCACCAATTGCTTCATTTTTTGGTTTTTTAAATTTTTGTCAGAATTTTTTCAAATTTTTGACGGGGCGTTTGTCGAATAATCTGGAATTCCCTGGTTTTTCGCCTAAAAAAAGTTCTAACTTACGTAAAGCCACTACTTACGAAAAATAGTGAATACTATTTTGTGAAAAGTAAGAATCTTGTTTGTCGATATCAATTGTTTGACTTTTTTTGAGCTTTTTCAAAATGAATAATTTTTTTGGATTTTGCACGGAAAAAAAATGTTTATGTTTTCCTATTTTCGAGGTTGAACAAATTTTCTCATACAGAAAAAAAGACAAAACTATTTCAATCGAAAAAGAATCTAAATTTAAAAAAATTTTTCATTAGGTGAATAGAAAATTAAGTTGAAAACCGGTCGACTTTTTTTAGAAAAAAATTGAGAAAGCGAAAAAGTAGACGTTTATATCCCCTATCAAAAAATAAAAAGCAGAAAGTAGACTTTTCTTTTTCGAGACTGGTTGTTTTTTACAAGGAAGTTGATTTCACTTTGCGGTTGAGAAATTCCTGTAAGTCAGCCAGGATACACCTAAATGTACCAGATAGAGATCCTGCAAGGCGTTCAGGTTAAAACATTCAGGATATTTTTCTCGTACATCAATGAGTATTCTGGCAATTTTCTAAGGATTCTTAACCACACAGTAAAATGCCTTTCCTTGTGAACAAATTTACTCGAGTAAAAGCGCGTTTTTTGAATTTTTTCCTATTATAAAATTTAGAAAGTTCACTGAAAACCCTCCAGATAATGAGGACTACTGGTTAGGAAGTAAAAAAACGGTTTGGAAAATTTTTTTAATTTCGCCCGATTTCGAGGTCGACCGCTTCGGTTGCTTGGAGGTCAACTGGATCACCCGGAAACAGAGCTTGGGAATATTTTTAAAGAACTTGAGAAGATGTAGCGGATCAGTACGACGAAAAAACTCGGAGCATTCCTGGTATCCTAATCCAGTAGAGCTCAATACTTGGAAAAGACAGAAAAAAAAAATGAATCCGAAAAAGGGAAAAATTGGAAAAAAAAAATTTCGTCATGCTTGAGAGCCATAACTTTTTGTTCCCATTTTGTGTTGAGTGGACTGTGTCTGATTGGCGAAAAGAATTGAGGGAAAATCCTGCTCTCAAGAAAGTAACTGATTTTTAAAAATTTAGTCATTTTCAAGTTGGCCGCGTTCTCCGAGATAGAGGTCAACTGGATCACCCGGATTCAGAGCTTCTAGACATTTTTCCTCTACTCACAAGACCCTAACGCGTCGATTGAAAAAATAAAAATCCAGGCATTCGGGGGTTCTAGTACTAGTTATGGCTCAAAGACTGCGAAAATCGTCATTTTTCAAAAAACTTTAATTTTTTTCTTTTGAAAGAAAATTTTTTCCAGATCAGTTCTACAACTATAAATGTTCATATGGGAACATATTTTGTTTTAAAATTGGTTTGGACCGATTTGCTCCACTAGGAAAAAAGTTTGGTTTTTACGGTGTTTTTTCTACAGTAAGCCTGAAAGTGGGCGGAGCCTAATAAAACCTGGTTCTAAATATTCAAGAGGTTGTTCACTATCTATGATAGCAAGAAGAGCTCTCATGAACCAAGATGAAATTTTTGTACCAACGGTTATTCGAAAATCTCGGAGAACGTGTGTTAAACAAAAATTCGTTCGGGATCCAGTTCTACCGAGAGTGAAGAGCCTGGGTCATGGTCAAGAAACAGCGATCCGTGAGTGGAGTTCTGACAAGACGTTCCTGGATTCCCAGGTACTCAAATCCGTAGAAGAATTGAGCGTTCGCCATTTTCACGAGACAACGTCGCACCGGGTCCGTCTGAACTTCATTTGTTGGAAAAGGCTTTTTGGAGCGTCTAAAAGACCTGGTTGGGATCAAAATAGAAGCGCATGCACTGGAGCCAGCCGAAGTCGGTGGCGCTTCTCACGTTCTGAGCCGTCAGACGACGGCAAGTGTCCCTTTTGTGGACCAGTTCCGTGATCTGAAACATTCGAAAGATCACTTTGCCATGAAACTTTGTGTAGAATGAAAAGGATGTCTTCTTATAATAATATTTGAAAATCGTTTGCTATTTTTCTATGCAATTCTACTCTGTGGCTTAAAATTTCTAATGATGAACTTTCCTGTGTTTTTCAAACTTTAGAGTCTCTGACACATTCGTAAATTAGAAGATTTTAGAAACTTTTACCGTTTCGAAGACGCAGAGCTAGGAAAAAGTGTTGTTTGGTATAAGAATCATGAGAATTCTACTAGAATACCACAAGCTGTGAATTGAAAATTCCAGCGAGCTACAAAAGGGTTTTTTCCCTTTCGTTTATGGATTTTCTTTTGAATTGAATTCATTTACACGAGGATTCTTCCTTGCTGTGATTTTCCTTGTATTTTATTCATTTCTTTTTTTCAAATGGACCCCGCACCAAGGCTTCGATCTTCTTTCTCCTGATCGGCGGCTGTTCCCGGAGAACCGAGTCTGCCAACAAGGCCAACGTCTTCGAAACCGACGATTCCACGACTTCAGGCAACTTTTCGCTAGCAAAGGCCGTTTCCATCTCGTTGTTCCACCAAATCTCAGCCGTCAGACCAATGACTTGGGCCTGAAAAACTCAAAGGTACAGAAAAATAAGAACTTTGATCAATTTTCTACCGGAAAACCGTCGAGCCATTGCATGTAGGCGTCAGGCTCCACCGTATCAATGTCCAGCTTGGCAAAGTGGGCAAGAGAATTCGATAAGAGCCTAAGAATTTAAAAAAAAATTTACAATATTTTGGTGAATTTTACTTGGACAAGGTGTTCTTCATCTCGTTTTCGAGAGCCTTCAACCAATCGTTGATCCGGACGTCTTTGATAGGAACAGGCCGAACCAACTTCACATTTTCGCCTTCTCGGCTGTGAAGAGCGGTTATCTGAAACATGCTCATAGATATCAATTCATGGAAATCAGAAGTATTGATGAGAAGCCGCCTTGATTCGCAGCCCTTGAAAAGGCTAAACGCGTAACAGCTGAAAAAAGCTATTTACAAAGACCCAAAATGGCTCAAGCTTGCCCATTATGGAGTCAAACTTATTGAAAGATTGTCAAAAATGCTACTTCCAAAAAGGAACTGTTTTATGCCTTTAGAAAATTCTTCTAAATTTTATCTGAACCCTACCATCTTATCCTCTTCGCCAACATCGATTGCCGTGATTCCCGCAAACATCTTCTTCAAATGCTTCTGGATTCGTGAGATATCCTTGCTGTTGCCCATGATTTCGAGCAGATCTTCATCACCGACAAAGTAGAACCTAAATCCTCAAATTAATTTCAGAGATTATCTTCGATTGTTCCAGCTTGGGATGTAGATGCGCAAAAGTGAGACCGAAATCAGACATTATCAAGTTTTGGAAAATAACAGCAGAATTAAATTCATTTTTCAAACTCCTCACTTTGCTTTCTTATGAGAGAACTGAAAATTTTCAAGAAGTTTTCAAAAAATCGATGCTAACTGAAAACCCAGTCAGTGCCCCTTGCGCATTCTCGAGTCATCAATAGACACAACTTACCTCGGGAAGGACGACCGTTCTCTCTCCAGGTACTCTCCCAAGGCCTTCTGGATCTTGGCCAACATGTCGGCTAGTCTTTCCAAAAGTCGCTGGGCGCCTTGCATGTGGACGACGTCGAGGATTCTCGGCGAAGCCGTGACTTTTTTCATGAGGGCGAGGAATTCAGAGGAGATGCTGGCGAAGCGAGAGCTCTCGAAGGGAAGGAGAGTGGCGATGTCGGCGGATCCGGCGAAAAGTCCTTCCAGGTAGACCCAACGGCGCTGGACGTCGATCCAGACGTCAAAGAGGGCGCTGATCCGATTGAGCTTCTCTTCCCACGAGGAGGCTTCCTCCTCGAACTGCTTGTAGTAGGGCGAGAGTTTCATGGCGGCCAACGAGTTCTGGTGCTCCTTCAGCTTGTTGAAAAGCTCGTCCCAGCCTTTGATCAACCGCGTCTTGTTCTGGTAGATGACCAGCTCGATTTCATAGTTCTGCCAGAATTCGCGGACCTTAAATTTCAGAGAAGTTATAGTTATTCTGATTGGAGCAAACTTGTTTGAGGAACTCTTGGAGAGCCATTTCTCCCTGCGCCATCAGCAGAATTTCTTTGATGACCTTCTCATAGCGTTGAATGTCAGCGTCCCAGACCTGGAAAAAAAAAATCTAAATAAGAAGAAATTTTGCAAAGAGAGTCGTAGGACTTGTAAAGGACAATATTTGCTGAACAAATGAAATGAATAGACAAAAATTTTTGATCTCGATTTTTCAAATTATGGACATTCATAAGGAAATGAAGGAATCGTAAGAGTCCTGAAAATTTCTAAAAAACTTGAATTTTCCTGGTTATAAACTCAATTCAATGAAGAGAGAGGACTTGTTGTCCTAATGAGCAGATAATCATTTTTTCGAGTTACTTTTTGAATTTTTTCAAGGCGGGCTTCAAAGTGAACCGCCTTTTCCCTATCACAAAATGTTCTCGGGTCGATTTCATTCAGCTTTTTCAAATTATGATGTTATTTTCGTTCGATTTTCTAGCTCTCTTCGTCGTAAACTAGGAGAAATGGACAGGAGAAACAATACCTGTCCTAAAGTTAGTTCATTGAGATTCCAAGTGACGCGCAGTTCCTTCATCATCCGCTCCCAATGCCGTTCTTTCAACGCATCCGATTTGAGTTCCGACACCAGCATGTTCATCTGATACAGTTTTTATTATATAAAGTTTGTTTTTCGAATAAGGATTATGTGAGATAGTCGCAGTCTATGGTCATTAGAATTCTGATATTCCCACATCTTGAGAAATTTGTGATTCACTGGTGCTAATTATTCAATGTAGGTGCACCTGAACGTTTAGAAGTTAAGTCATTTGAAATCCGAAGGAAAAGCAATCAACGTCAATTGAATATCCCTTTTCATCTAGGTTTTACATAAGCATCTCCAAAAAGTGCTACTGAAAAAATAAATGCAAAAGTACTGATAAAACTGCTCACAAAGTCGCTTTATCTCACGTAAAAGTGCCAAGAACCTTGCTGTAGTTGTGCATCATCTGCTTGGCGTGCTCGTAGCTCTTATAGGTGCGGCATTTGACGGGCAGATGTTTCAGCTGGTTCATGAGCTCATCCAAGGACTGTCGGATCTTGCGCGGCTGAACCGACAGCCACGTCTTATCCTTGATCTCGTCGATGCCGGAGTAGACGGGCTGGAGGGCCTGCCAGACGTCCTTCAGATCGGCCAGCTCTTCGGTGGCCACGGCGAGGCTGTCGTTCTCCGACGGCAAAAAGTTGGATTCCGTCATGTCGAGGGCGATCCTGGCCTTGCGCATTTTGTCGCGTTCCTCGCTCAGCTTGTTCATTTTCGCCTCGAAGGTGGCCAAGGCGGCAAGAGCTTCCTGGGGTCTCTGGGAGCCTTCGACCGGCTTGCTCTTGTCCCATTCGGACAAAGTCTCGCGGGCTCGCTTCTCGACCAGCTCGTCCTCTTCCTTGATCTTCGTTTGGAGGTTCATCACCTGAAAATGAAGTATTCTTTGCCGACGAAAGAAAAGGAGAACAAGCTGATATACACGAAATAAATTTTTCTCCCTCAAGGCCAAGGTTATTTTTTCCGAGGGTTTACTTCGTGAGGCTTATTTTTGGTATTTGACTATTCCTACAGTTCTCCTGACCTGTGACTGGATCGAAGAGTCTTTTCTCATCAGAATTTCGCTGAAGGCCGTCCATTCTCCTTCAACATGTTCGGCGTAGAGCCACTGGGTCGGGAATTGATAGCGCTGCTGATTCAGAAGGCGTTGAGCCGATCGGAATTGGTCAACCTAAACCATTATTATATATTTCGTGCTTTCAAACCGATTTTCCATATGAGATGAACTTTCTTACGAATGAAAATGTACAAGTTATCAAGAGACATTATTCTCACCGCTTCCTGTCCAACTTTCGTTTGTTTTTTCAGCGTTTGAACGTAGGTGATCAACGAAACAGCGTCGCTGGTTGATCCGCCGTCCACAGTTTGATTCTCGAGCTCCTGGCGCCATTTCGAAATATTGGTGAAGAACGATTGCATCTCTCCTCCTGAACTTTTACGTTTTTTTTTAATCATTGGGAGTTAGATGACATTCACCCTTTTTACAATAAAAAAGTTTCTCGGAGTAAAAATCTACAGGTATGAATCACCGGGCAGCATACATTTTAAAATATAAGATTAACTTTCTGCAATCTGGATAAAATATGTTTTTCAGAGTGTTGAAATTGTCGTTATAAAAAATTAGGCGTTTCGTCATGCTCCTTGTCGACCACAGGTAAGGCTGAACGGCAAGGATCTGCTCTGAACAATGTTTCTCTGTATCATGCTATTTCTTGACTCTCTGACTACGAGAAACGACGAAACATCATGCGACATCTCAACACCTTAAGGCGTTCAGAGTGCTTTTTTGAAAACTTGCCTTTTTTTCAACATTTTCTTAAAAAATGACTTTTAATTGGATAGTTCAAAGGTATATCAAGCTTGTAAGAAAAAAAATTTTGCGCAAAAGAGCCTCGAAAAAAATCTTTAAAATCTTGTTTTCCGCAGCCTCCTGGATTGGTTCATGTAATCTTTTTTTTCTTAAGAGATCAGAATAACGTTGGACCTAGTGCAGCTCCGAACTTCTGCAGAACTTCCTTCTGCCAATAGTCGTATTTGATCGTGATCTTGGACTGCACCCGGCCGTAATCAATCACAATTGGAAAGATTTTCTTCTGGGTGTCCTAAAAAACCACAAAATCATTTTCCTCGCAGTTATTCTTTTGAATCAGTAAACCTGAGTATCGAAAACAGTTCGGCTCTTTCGGATTTCCACCAAAGTTTTCATCCATTTGGTCAGATCATTTCCGAGTCGATCGTACAAAACTTCCGCTTGCAAATCCCACAGAGCCTGATAACGAAGCCATTCGTTGACGTATTCTTCGACCTGAAACAGAATTATATCTATTTCAGATGACGATTTTGAAGAGCACCTCTTTCATGATCTTATTGATGGTCGAGTAGGCATTTTCGAGTACTTTCAGTCCACCTGGAAGCTGGCAAAGAATGTCCTTGTAGGTGGAAACGTCTTGATCGCGATTGATGGCGAGCTGAAATTATAAAATTGTGAAGTTTGAAAGCTTCATTTAAAACTTGCAAAAACCAAGTAAGGATTAAAATCTCCTACAAAAACAAAGAAGACTTTACATTAAAAATAAAGAACGAAGACCGAATTTCGAAAAACTCAGTTCTATACATTTATTTCACACTTTTCTTTCTAAATTTATCCAAAAAGAGCACCTGGAATCTGGTGCCACTGATGCGCGGCTGACTGGTGCAGACCGAATGCCACTCGACGAGCTGATTGATGAGACCAGCTCTGGCTTGCTCGATGTTCGGGTTGATGTAGATGGTCTGCGCCATCAAGCGGATTTCGAGGAAAATCGGCTGCACCGGCGGCAGGGAAATGTTCCGCTCCCTGTACTCGTCGACCTCCTCGCTTCCCGAAAAGACCAAAGCCCAGAGATGGAGCGCGTCTTCGACTCTTCGAGACAGTTTGGCTTCAATGTCCTTGTCGAGTTTCTCGATCCAATGTTGGAGGTTGGAGTAGTTGCCGAGAGCGAGTTGGTCGGCTCCTTTTTGAATTGATGCCAAGAGGCTTCCGATGGTGGCGGCCGAGTATTGGCACGTGTCCAGGGCGGCCAGGTCGGCTTCGACTTTTTTGACGACGTTGAGAAGTTCTTCGAAGCGGTTCATGTAGTTGGAGACAGTTTCAGAAAGTTTCAGGACGTAGGAGTCCATTTTGTAAGACTCCCAGGGCAGGGTGTTTCCTTCGGTGAGTTGCGATTGAATCTCTTTCCGTAGGCTTGCGAGAAGAGGCTCGACGCCCTTGACGCCCTCGAGTCGGGCGTTGATCTGCTGGTAGGTGTTGACCGACTCGATGAGCGATATCGCGTGGGGATGCACTTGGCTGGCTTGATGGGCCGCGTTGACGATCTTCAGCGGGACACGATATCCCATGTTCTTCAGGTTGCGGACTTCCTTGTGCAGCGAGATGCTGTCCGAGCTGAAGTTGACCTTCAACTGCAGGCTGACCTTCCCGTCCTTCTGTTTCTTCTCGATCGAGAAAATCTAAAAACGGGAATGTGAAGTTATGAAAAAAATTTCGTAAACAATTTTTTACTTTCACTTTCACTTTCATCATTAAATCAATTTTTATTAAAAAACTAATTGCAAAATCATGGATTTTTCATGATTGATACGATTTTTTTGAAATAATTTGTGAATTTAGTGTTTTTTTCAAAGGAAAATCTCAGTTAACCGACTAAATTACATTAGTTTTTTTAATACATCTTTTTCTGATTTTTCTATCGGGGTTCAAACCACTTTTTTTCAAATATCACGCTAGAGGAAAAAAATGGCGAGAAAAGAACTAAGAAAAAAACATCCCTACTGTTCAAGCATTCTTATTTTCTCTCAAGAAGACGACGAACCTTAGGAGGAAGACCCAGGTTTTTGGCCTGCATGACGGACGTCCATTCGTCGAAGAGAGGCTGAGTGTTGAGCTTCTGTCGGAAATTGTCGCCTTCTTGTTTCAGTTGACGACCTGGAAAGAAAGAAAAAAGTGAAATGTAAGAACGTTTTGAGAAATCTTTGGGAAGTTTTTTCATGAAATTTTTTTTTTTTTTGAATAAAAGGTTGTAGGAGCATTTTGGAGAAAATTATTTAGATCGCCTTTTTATGAGACGTTCTCTTAATTTGTGAGTGAAATTTTCAGGAGGAGCTCTTGTACAGATTTTATTTCTGGTGAAGTCAAGAGGACGTTTCAGAAGATGATCACCGCAAATGGGCCAGAAAATGAACCTTCGACATGGTTTTCCCATCCTTTGCCGAGAACGTCTTCCACTCTTTTCATGTAGAGCTGAAGTTGGCGTTCGATTTGCCGGATCCACATGATGCTGGCGGAAAGCGGAGGGATGTCCAGAGTCGGCGTCAGAGTGGCGCTCTTGTTCTCCGCATATCCCTTGGTGAACTTGGCCTGAACTCGATCCCCTGGTGAAAAGTCAGATCTTTTTGGGTATAAACTTGAAGCTTGTCGATGTCTTCCTTCACACGCTCTATCAGCTGCGTTTGATACTCACGAATGGCTCCTCGAATGTGGGGACGGACGAACAAAGCATTGAAACGACTAAAAAAAAACAAATATAGACCAGTTAGAAAAATGTAGGTCATTCTACTTGTGAAGACTTCTTCCTAGTTTCTAGAAAATCTGTAGAAGAGTTGTAAAAGTTTCTCAAAGTCCACTGAAATTACGCTGTCGGATTTATCTTTAAAGCGACCATTTTGAACAGCAAGAAGGCTGGAAATACTTTTTTTCAAAACGCCATTTTTCAGCTTCAAGACGTTCCAGCATGATTCAAATTTCCAAAAATATCAATAAAACTAGTCAATCAAAGCTGTTGAAAATCACATTTTTTCCTTTGAAACCGCTATTTTTCAGTTTCAAGACGTTACAGCATGTCAAAAATTCCGTTGATAACGATCTTCATAATTACCCGAAGATGCTGAACATCTCTTTGGCGTTTCTGGCCGACTCCAAATGATCGCGAAGGCGACTGGTGATGGCCGTCTCCACACGGCCAATCTGTTCTTCGTAGCTAAATTCAGAACAAGTTTTTTCGAAGACATTTTCCAATATCGCGACTTTCTGTAGGCGTTGTCCCAGGCGATGCTGTTCTCGACGTCGAGGCAATCGACGCCTTTGAAGAACTCGTAGGCGAGGTCGACCTGGATGACGGGCGTGATGTCGCCCTGGGAGCTCGGCATCGACGTCTCGGCGCCTTGTTCCCTGGCCGGGGTGCCGACCGGACGCAAGACACGGGCGATGATTGTTCGGAATTGCTCGTGTTGTCTGCAACAAGAATAAATTTAAAAAAATGCTGCGTTTAAAAAAGCAATCTTTGAGCAAAAACATGGTAATTTTCTGGTTCAAAGATAACATGCTTTTCTGAAATGAATCTAATAAAATACTGAAAATAAAAAGAAAACGTTAAAATGAATGAATGAATGAATGAATTTATAAATTTGGTATAAATTCCTTAAGCTGGACCTTATAAAAAGCAGTAACAATGAGATTTTTTTAAATTAGGTCCTTCTATAAAAAATAACCTTCTACAGAGCTAAAGATCTCATTCAAAACTTCAAAAGTTCCTCTTTTCAACTCTATAGAACCTCAAGTCAAGATAGAAAAGCGTAAAAGTCAAATAAAATATTTTCAAAGCCCTCAGAAACTCGTTTTTCATAATCCTCTTCTTGTTCCTACGCCTTTGTACCGCTTTTTCTCATCCATTTTCATACTATTCTTTATTTTTCTTTCGTCAGTGTATTTTTTTTTTCATAAATCGCGGATATTCTGCTTCTCGGGACCTTCTGAACTGCTTGATCTGGTTGAGCCGCGCCTCGAGTTTCTTGTGAACGGGCGTCACTTTCCATGACAACTTCACCGGATCATCTCTCTTTTTCTTGTTGATATCGCGAAGCAGCGTGATGAACCTTAATTATTAGATATTTTTAAATTTCTTTCGTCCTTATGAAAACAAATTTCGCGTTCAAAGTAGTTTTCGAGCATGAAAATGAATAATTTTTTGGTTCAAAATGTCGTCACGTTTGAGTGAAAAGAGGTTGGCATAAAGAAATCCTGGAAAGTCAGTAATATAATGAAGTTTCAACCCCAGGGAGGTAGTTTCGGCCACAATAAAACAAGTTTTAGCCTGAGGGAGATAGTAATAACTTTAATTAAGGAAAACTTGGGCCGGTAGCCTTTGAAAAAAAAAATGCAAATGTATGAAGCGCTGTGAGGTAAAAATGGGGGTTTAAAAATTTTTTCTCGAAAATCCCTTTAAACGCGGCAAAATAAACAAACTTGTCGTATTCATCGTCCCATTTGCTGAATAATGTCGCGCATTGATTCATAATCTCGTCGAATTCAACGATCGAGATGTGCATGAGTCGGCGCGAAGACAACACCTGTGAAAGTTATAATGAAACTTTGCCATTTTTTCCTTCAAACCTTGAGAATTTGAGTGTTCAAGTCGCGTGAGATCGCCTCAACCAAGCGCAAAGCTCGTTGCAGTGGATATTTTGTCGACCTGAATATTTTCTTTTTGTTTTGAAAGATTATCAAATTGGTTGCACGGGGAATAGCTCAAAAAAATCAGAACCAAATCAAATCATGATTATTCCTTGATTGACAAAATCTTTGTGAGAAGTTCAAAAAAACGCGAAAAAAAGCTATAATTTCTATTAAATAAAAAAATCAACGTATCTAGTTTTTTTCTTTTGATTGAGGATCAATGAATTCTGAGTATTATTTTCAGAAAGAAAACTCTGAAAGTTTGAATGTTCATCTTTTGAGCTCACTATTTCAATCTTACTTTTTCTCCTTTCGAGGTTTTCATTGAAATGCCTAAATAAGCCTCTACAGAAGTTCATCATTTCAACTTCTGTTTTTCCGTGTCCCTCAGTTTTTACGAATCCACTAGTTTCTTTTCACTCGATTCCCACCTCAACTTCTTGATGTGACTGAAAATATTGGCCAAAGCGACGCGGATCTTCTGCAAATCGGTGGCCGAGACGAGCTCATTCAAGGGGAAATCCTTCATCAAAGTGTTGTAGTCGGCGACCATCGCGATTTTCTGCTTGAGACCCGTATCGCTGTCGAACCCGACTGTCGCGTGGAACCGCTTTCCGCATTTCAACGCTTCCAGGGTCAGAGAGACCTGAAAAATAAAGTTATAGTTAAGGCATCGATTAAAAGGAAACCGCATCGAGTTATTCCATTCATTCCACTTATTTCAAACCAAATATTTAAATAGGGTACGATTTTAAACTTAAACTATTCTTCAAAAAATAATCTTCTTTCACAAAATTTCCAGTCGCTGCAAAAAAAAAAACTTTTTTTTTATCGTACTAATAAAGAGAGGAAATTTTTAGCGAAACTAATGATATAATCACTGCGAAATATGAAATATTGAACCTTTTCAAGCTGTTTTACGAAAATACATGCCTTTAGAACTTATGAACTTTCTAGAAAATTTCCGGGATTTCTGAATGATTCGCTTTCAAATTTGGATTTTATTGCAAAAAATTAAATTTATCAAATTTCTCTTCCGATCTGACGGAGCAATTAGTTTCTGAAAGTGATGATCGAAGGGTCGATAGAACCCCTTGAGTGCCCCCTCTGAATTCACCTCCTCTGATTCGCGTTTTTGTAAAATTTTCTGCAGAGCGCGCTCCAAATTCAGCCAAAACGTCATTTCTTGAATAGAAGTGCCGGAACTTGGGTCTCTTTCGAGATAAGTGACCTGAAAACTCAATTTTAAACTATGAAATGCCTGCATTATCAAAAACCTTGCGGATCTCCTTGACCCAACGATTGCAGCCGGCTTGAAGGGCGTTCAAAAACGTCGCGTCTTCAACCAAATCCCCAAGGTCATCGATCTGAATTTCATTTTTGATCATTAATTTCGTAATGATCGAAACCTTAGCCTTCCTCCCCTCCTTGTTGGCGTTCTGAACGGCCGCTTGAATATGAGGATTGAAGACCAGATTAATTTCCGGGATATCGATGTTTTGTTGGAGATGCATCAAGGCGACCTTGAAAATTAAATTAGTTCGTGAGACTGAACTTCGAGAACCTCGGCCTCATTCAAATTCTTCTCGACGGCCGGTACGAGTTTATCGCCGTCCCGTTCGCCTCGGCCACTTTCTTTGATAAACGATTTGAAATAAGGCCCGATCGCCTTCCCAATCAACAATATCATCGTTTCGTAAGGATTTCCGCCGTTCAGCCTGTAAATTCAGGGAAATACGATGGCCAGAGAACGAATCGTAACAATGAAACTGAACGAAAATTCTTTTTCCGCTCTTTTCTAATCATTATTCACAGCTTTTTTTCTTCGAAACCTACTTTACTTTTAAACGTAAAAATCACTGGAAAAGTGGTTATTGAAAATTTTAAAAAGGCAAACTTTCAACGGGGTTTTTTTTTGGATCAGAAACACAGAAATAATCTAATCATAATTCTGCTCAAAGCTTTGAGGACGTCTATATTTTTCGCTAACGAAGTCTGAAGGCTACACTTTTGTTCGAAAGAAACTGGGAAGACGGACAAGATGCTGTTAATCTGAGTGGCGATGGGTTTGTCGGCCTCGACGACGTTGGCCCTCTTCAGATAGAGGACGGAAGTGCATCTGTCCGGCACGAAGGAGACGTCGTTGTGGACGTTGAAGGCTGCAGTTCCCGTTTCGCTCTCATCAATGTCTTCGGCACCTTGGTCTGAAAACACTTGCATTTGCAATTATATTCTTCTCTTACACATCACAGTCGCTCAAACTTGCTAAAAGCGTCAGAAATGTTGAAAACCCCTGAGAAAATTATCACTAATACTAAAAAGGGACAGAAAAGAGATTTGAATGTAGTTTCTCTGAAAAACCCTTTGGAAAGTCCTATTTTACCTATTCTATAAATTTTCAAATCATCTTCCATATTCACCTCTGATAACAACCCGTTCAATCACCAAAGTGGCAACTTGAGGATCGCCAATAAAACTATCGATGTTCTTGCTGGCGGCGTCGAGAGCGTCCTCAAGCGAAGCGCAAGCCGAAGAATCGAGGTTCAGATGGATCGCCGTCGCTTTTTTGACGTAGTCGACGAGCTCGTCGTTGGCAATCAGCGACACCTCTATAGGCATTGCTGTGGACGTGGTACTTTCATTACCACTGTCCATCTGTAATTTTTCGATGATTCTCAAGCAAAATGTTCAAAAGCGATTATGAAAAAACGCGTATAAAACGAACACAATCAAAATTTATAAGGAGGTCATGGGGCTTTACAATACAGACGTGAGTGATAATTCACTATATATAGTCTATTCCGCGCCAGCTTGTCACGTTTTTGTTACAGCCAAAAAGATCGTATACCAAATTAGATCAAAATTCTGTTTTTATAACGGCAAGCACCAAAGGTCTTGAAGAGAAAGTTGGTAAAATTTGACCTGGCCTTTTGGCGGAACGAAAAACGTGACAAGCTGCCGCGGAACGGCCTATATCCCTTGAACACGAAAAAGGCCGATTTGGTCGAGAGCAAGCCACATTATGTTTACTTTCGGCAATCGGCCAAGAGAGACGCAGGAGCGAACGCGGGAGGAACGTGGTTGCGAAATATCCCCAAAAAATGCTCCTTAATATCAATAGGATCTCGCAGAGTTGTCGACGGGGCGACCCGCGGTTTGAAGAAGTCGCCCCGGGCGATCCGACCCGCAGATTGAGAATTAGTGAAAAAAAAGAGAACAGGAGAAAAAAAAAATTATTACTATAGCCTATTTCGGAAATTCAACATTTTTCCGCCAAAAAAGACCGTATAGCAAATTTAAACGAATTTAACCAACTTCGCTTCAGGAAATTTGGTTTTGGTTTTTATTATTTTTTTTTTTTGCAGTTTTGAAGAGTTCCGAGCTAGGCGGTCACTTTTTTGAAGAAAAGCAGAAAAAAAATGCTACCCTTTTATTAACAGATTTCTTAGCAATTCTGCTTTTATAACAGCAAGAAACAAACGTCTTAAAGCGAAGTTGGTCAAATTTGATCTGGACTTTTGGCGGAAAAAAGGCGACAAGCTGGCGCGGAATGGCCTATAAACGTTGAAAATCTTCCATATTATCTGTATAAACAATTGAGAATAAACATGAAAAGAAAAAAACCTGAAACGATTCAAAACAAAAATTTTTTTTTACTTTTAAAAAGTAAAAAAACTTCAAAAAAATGAAATTTTTGAAAATTTTTCAGATTACCGTAATCGCTGATGCGGACAAGGCGCTCGACCTTACGAGACATTTCAATTCATAAAATTCATGGAATTAAGAAAATAACCAGTTTATATAAATTTTTATTACAAAAAAAGCCAAAATATACAACAAAAACTATTTCAAAACTTGAACTCTTGCGGCGACACGATTCTGAAGTGCGGCGAGTTCAAGACCACGGAGCTTTCTGAAATAAACTGGTATTTAGAAAGAAAATCGTAGAATCTCACTTTTAATGTTTCTCTTGTAGGAAATGCAAAATAACTTGCATATTATTTCAAAACAGAAAGTGCGATAACTTTTTGTCATTAGTAATAAAATCATTGTAGCCATCATTCCATGAAGACCGATTGAGAATGTTTCCAGGGTGGCGAGAGCTAGAAAGCTACTTATAGAAAAAAACACGATTTTTATTTTGTTCTTACCTCGCATCGGGAGATTGAAAATGAAGAGAATAAGAGTACTGAAGAAAGGTGTCGTCAGGAACAATAATGGCACAACAAGCTGAAAATGAATAATCATTTATTTCTGATACTGGAAACTGAGATTTTTCTGTGCTTTTCCCTATTAAGTCCTGACTTTTTGCTGGAAAAAGGAAAAAAAATTTTTTTGAAGCAACCTGGCAACAAAGAGCGTAGAAGAAAGTTTTTTGCTGCTCTCGGGTTTTCGCCGAAATGTGACTTTGAGGTTTCAGAAGATAATAAGATATTCTGGCGCAGAAAAAGACGCAGACAACGCTCATATAAAGTATATTGCTACAGAAAACCCATATCGTGCGGTTTGTGAGGTCGAAGACAAATGAGGAGTTGGTGAAAATCTCTTCTGGAATACATCCGAGAAGCTGAAATACACCTTTTCAAAGTTCACCGGGATATAATTATACCTGGATGATACTTTCCTTGGCTTCCATCTGATCTTTGGGCATGAGAAGTAGCAGAGCATACAGCGGAAGACAGGTGAGAAGGAAACTAATTATGAGAAATAAGTAGCGCTTCCGCTTGCTAAAGCGGAAACAACTGACTCTTGGAGTGACACAGAAATGGCGATGTTCGAATAAAGAAATCATAGAAGTTATCAGACCTGAAAAAATTGAACATTTGTCAACGCTCGAGAAAAAAAAAACTTTTGACAAGCTCTACTTTCTATCGAGGAAAAACCCGATATTTTACACTCCTCAAAGACTTCTTAATTTGATCGCTATATATATTGAAATCAGCGGGAGACAATGCCTCTTATAGCCTTCATCTTTTATTGCTTGATTCTCACATGATTTTTATAAAGTTTGAAGTGTTTTTCATTTAAAAAAACGCTTTAAAACACAGGTAAGAGGAGTAAAAATGAATATAAACTCACAAGGAGACACAAAAACCATGAGGCCGATTTGAACATTTGGTGGCATTCCCATAGTTTGGAATAAACCGATGAAGTAGCCTCCCCAAGCAGGTACATAAAAAAAACCGGGACAGCGAAAACAGAGGCCAACATATCTACGGCAAAAAGTCCTGAAAAGGAAATTTAACAAAAAAATTTCAGAAAAAGAATTTACTTGAATATATATTTTTCAATGAATTTTTTTCTCACCAAATTTGACAGTTGAACAGCAGATACTTGTACTGTTGCAACATGTTCGGCGGAGATTTGAAGGCGATACAATAGAAAGCGAGGATATTCAATGGAAAAGTGATGCCGAAAGTGATAAATTCCGCGATTCGAAGATCGCTAGCAGGTAAAATACTAAAGGAATCGCAAAGGGTCAGCTTCATGAAGGGTTTCTCTAAAATCGACTGACTGATAAATGAGTTTTTTTATTATGTGAATTGGGGACAGCTGAATTTCGACAAAAAAAGTTATATATTAATTGGCGGAACGCAGTTGGAACTTAATGAGTATAACTTCTTAATCAAATTCCAGTTTACCACTGTTTTTCTTATTAAAAATTCTCACCTGCCATTTTTCTAGTAATCAGAAACAAAATCCTTCCACAAACGTTTAAAATTCAAATGCAGCCGTTTTTTATTAATTTTGTGCTCTTTGAACCCCCGAAGAATATAACTGCATGTGATTTTTGAAAATGAAAATTTAATACAGCTGTCTTTTCAAAACTGAGGAAAATGTTGTGAAATCTGAAAAAAAAAACAATATAATCTTGAGAGAACAAAAAAAAAAAGACGAAAAAAACCAAAGTCAATCATATTTTTACGTTAAAGAAAGACTTGACAACTTAACCTAATTTGCGCAAAATTTATGAAATTATTAAATTCTAGGTCTACTTGTCAAAAAAAGAAAACATTTCTCTATAGAAACGATATGGAATCACGCTTTCACTTGAAGAAAGTAAGTCCATTAGAAAACAAACTTGGACTTTTGAAAAATGTAACTTTCAAAAGAGTTCAACCCTCATTTTTTTTTTCTAATTCTTAGTTTTCTTCGATAGCTTTCGAGTTCTTTTCTCATATTAAGAAGCATGGCCAGTTAAAAAAAAGTGTATCCGTGGAGCGCAGTAGGTGTAGTGCATGGAGGCTTTTTTCTCATTCTGCTCGATAAATTTTAATTTTCCTTTACATGCATTTGAAAAAAAAACATGCTCATTATGCAATCTAACGAGTATATTTTTTCTTGAACCTCACAAGAAAAGACGAAAATGACGAACCAAGTTTGAACATTTAGAAAAGCTCATAAAGTTCGAAACGAACCAATGGAATAACCACCAAAACCGGGACAGTGAAAATCGAAGCAAGCATCTCTAAAAGTCCTGAAAAAGTTATTGATTGAAAAAAAAAGTTACGTAAAGAATAAGGTTAGCAAATACTCACAGTCATATCTCTTTTAGTTCAAAACAGACATTTTTTCAGCTTTTCGATCTTTTTAACTGAAGTTACACATGACAGAAAAGCATCCGATAAAATATTATAATTCAATAAACGCCAGATTTTTAAGAAAAATAAAACGTATAAACCTTCATTCACACGCACTATTTCAATTTACCGAGCCACAATCTCGGAGATCCGGCGATCCTTTGAACCATGGCTCAAAATATTGTGAGTCAGTAATAGTTCAAAATACTTGGATAGAACGCAAGAAAAGCTTCGAAGATACTGTAGATGTAAGATAAACTAAGCTTTTATCATTCCGATCCCTAGTAAGTTGCGGAGTAAATTTATATAAAAACTAGTTTCTATAACTGATTAGGAAGCTTCTTTCGATTATGTTGTTTTGTTCAAAAAAAACAAAGTTTTTTTTTTATCGTGAGAGGAATCGAATGATTTTTCAATTTAGTTAAAGGAAGTAAGATGATTATCACCTTTTTACTTGTTTTATTTTCCCAACAAAAACAACCTCATTATGGCCCATGAACTCCACCATACACTAACTTGTATTTTTTGTTTATTTGTGATTGCCAGAAACTTGATTTTAGAGGAATCGAACGAAATTTCTTCTCTTTTTGTGAATAAAGGCGATTTTTCATCACTTTTCTTTCTATTTTTCTCCAATAAAATCCTCAACAACTAATTTTCGAAAAAAAAACAGACGAACTCGCCCCAACTTGAAAAGCCGTGGTCGCACGTAGAATGGCTAAAAGCTTCGTGATAGCTTTTATGCTCGGAAGCTTTATCTAACAATTTTCGATGCTCTCACGCGCAAGTCACTTTGGGTCGGACACTCATTAAAATCGGCCGTTACGCGTCGATCCATTCTACTTACGATTTAGGGCTGTTACCTTTTAGTTGAAGAATTAAAAGTAAGATTTTTCATTTGCAATGTTTTCTTCGTTCATTGTCTTCTTAACGTTGATTGTAAAAATATTCGGATTTTCGTTCCCAATATAAAACTTAAATCGTGGTTTTGATCACTTCTCCATCCGTTTTTATCAAAAAGCACCTCTTCAAAACCAAGAAAACCCACAACAAAAGTTATTGTGTGCCGTTGGCCGCAACCAGTTTCTTTTCCTTCCAGTCAGGCCCGGATTGCGGCCTTACACACTTTCTGTCAGCCGTTGAGGGAAAATCGTAGGCGTGGCCACGGCCTCAAGGCTAAACAAAACCTGCCATTGCATTTTCTATTATTGTTTTGTTGAGGTTTTCTATCAAAAGTACGCTGTTTTCACTCCTGAATTGTAAAAATTTTCGATTTTTTAAAGTTAAATCTGAGCTTGACAAACCATCTTTTTCCTGATTATACTTCAATAATATAAACTTCTTCATACATTTTTTTTTACAATGCACTGATTTCGGAATCGTCACAATGTACAGTCCATTCACAGCTGATTTGTCAAAAAAAAAAATTCTCATATGAAACTTTTTTTCCTTCTCTAGCTCAGTTGCGATATCTTTCGTTTCACTAAATTGATCAATTTATTCAGAAATTGGTTATGATTGATTTTAATATTCGAAAAGTCGAAGAATTAACAGAAAAAAATGTTTGACACGATTAAAAAATAACTAATAATGGATTTTCTTATATTCTAGATCACAAAGTATATATGCAGAGAAATAAGAAAATACGGAAGTTCAGGAAGTCCATGTTAATCTCAGTTTGAAAACATATTTAGCAGGCTGATCAAAAATCTCCTTTTGAAAAATTCTCTCTACAGCTGTTTTCCCTATTACGTCTGATTATATCAATTTGGTCATAAGAACGAAAGGAAAGACGGGAAAAACTAGATTTTTTTCAGTTGTTTGAAGTGAGAGAAAGGCAATGCCATACCACTTTTTGATGGTTTTCCTTCTCAAGAAATGGTATAGCTCGTTTTTTCAGAGTATTAAAGGCGGGGGTATAAAAGTAAAGCTGAAAGGGCTATTTCGAAACTCGTCTGTGCTCCTTTAAACACTGTGAACAGCTTTTTGAACAGATTCGTTGTCTTTTCGACAACGTTTTCTTGAATTTGTCTCAAATTAAGAGAAAAATAGTTTTCCAAAATTCCCCAATCATCCTAATCACAGGAAATGATGTTTTGGGCCGTCTTTGATCACTCTCCTTTCACTCGTTTTTCGTTTCTCCTATCGTTCGTCAAACACTTTTACTTCTTCTTGTTCCTTTTTTCTCGAAAAACTAGACAATTGCGTGTCATTCTACTATTGCAACTTGTTTATCACCTGTCTCTTCTCATTGATCAAGCACTTTCAAACTTCTCTGAATTAAATGAAACACTTTAGATAACTTTAAATATGGCTCCAAACGCTCCGAACGAAATCAAAACTACGACGCCAACGTCGGACGAAGCAATTTCCGAGGTTTTATTTTTTTGATAATCTCTTTCCTTCCATTTCGAAAAATAAAATTACTTCAAAAATTTTTAAAAAATTTTTTTGTAATTTGCAGGTTCGAGCTCAAGTCTCCGACCTGATCGATCGCCGCTACGATACGAAATGGAACATTCTACGATGGCTTCAGGGAAATGAATACAACGTTTCAAAAACGGTGCATCAACTCAGAAAACATTTGAAATGGCGCAAAGAGCGAAAGTAAAAAAGAAAAAATAGTGAAAAAAATATGAGAAAATTTTCAGACTGGATGAACCAGAAAGCCAGTCTTTGTTGCAGCTGAGCAAGGTATTTTTTCCATTTATTTATTTATTCATTTTCTTTCTGTGTTTTTTTCTTGACCAGTACTAGTAACGCCAAAAAGAGCTTTTTAGGGCCCATAAAAGATCCGAAAATCTTCTGAATAAAGGTCTTTTTTTAAAAAACTTCAGATCCGCCAAGAGTACGCTCCTCTGTGCATTTTGGGAAGGAATCGAAAAAAATGGAGATCGATTGTTGGTTTTGGATCAAGCTGGTTTGATTTTTAGCGTTTTATACTCTGCTTTCTACCAATTTGTACATAAAGAACAGCTAAATTTGGCCAGTCATAGAGAGGTTGAGATTAAGCGATTTTTCTAGAACGGAGAGGGGTCTGGAATTTTAAAAAAAGCAGTAAAGTCTATGAAAGAAACAAGTTTTTCATTTTTTTGGTTATTCGTCTTTGTCCTCTTTTCTTTCAAATTTCAATTTTTTCTGTCTTTTCTAACTAGAGAACGGTATTTTTTTTTGGGGAAGTTGTATTTTCCTATATTAAATGGTTTGATTCCAAACCCATTGAGAGCAAGGTTGGTGCTTCGAAAAAAATTTTCTTGGTGAGAAGGGTCGTCGGCCCTTAAATTCGGTCTGTCCAAGTATGATCCAAGAAAAAGAGTCTTGAAAACTTTTTAGGCAAAATCGACGTGAGTGGAGTGATGAAGGGCGTCCAGCCCACCGAATATCTTCACACAATGTTCAGAGACTTTGAGAATATTCAGAGGCATCTGATGCAGGTTCTTTCGAGTAAAATGCCATAATTCGAACATTTATCAAACAGATGGAAGAGGAACTCGGTGTCCAGTGCTATATGGACTATATTTTCGATCTGGATGGCTTGTCCTTCGATCCGACGCTTTTGGGAGTTGTCAATGGTCATTTTTTTCTATTAACAATGTAATCTGTTGAATAATTTTTACGAGGGCTTAGCTTGAACTATCAATACAGCAGGAAAGGCTCTAGGTTTCAGGATTTTTTACATTTTTTTCTGTCTCTTTGAACACTCTAGCAAGAATTTCCTGTAAGGTACTGTGAAAGTTTTTAGTGGCCTTTATAGGGTTTCGACGTTTTAGTGGCCACTATAGTAGTCAAATTACAGGGTGACAAATAAATATTGAAACGCGTTTGAAACGTTATAACTTTCTCAAAAGTCAACCAAACACCACCAAACTTGGAACAAATTTTATTCATACAATATAGAAACAAAATTCAAGAATAGTTTTCAAAACTTCCTCCTTTAGCTTTGATAACGGCCTTCAGTCTCTTCGGATACGCATCGATCACGGCACGAGGGTAGTCGTCGTCGATTTCGTCCCATTTCTTGATGAGCGCGGTCTTCAGAGCTTTGATACCTGGGTAGTTCTTAGAAGAGACCTTCTCGGTCAGATATATCCACACGGCATAGTCCATCGGGTTGAGGTCGGGCGAGGAAGCAGGCCAATCAGCAGCCGAGATGAACTCGGAAAATTGGCGCGATACCACTCTTGAGTCCCTTTGGCACGATGAGCGGGGGCGCCGTCTTGCTGGAAGGTCCATGGTCGGTTTCCGTAGTGAGAATTGGCTCAGGGCAACACCCTCAACTTTAAAATCTACTCCCTGTAGTATACTTGGTTCACTTTGACTCCAGGATCCACAAAAATCAGCGGAGTTTTGCCGTCAGCGGTAATTCCGGCAAAAACCATCACGGAAGCCGGATGCGAAGTTTTATTCAGAATTTTTTCTTTTTCACAGGCACTCTGATAGTCAGTAGCGATAATCCGATGATTTTGGCCGTTCTTGTTCGCCTCCACAGTGAAGATTTTCTCGTCGGTAAATAGCGTCGTCAGATGCGAGCCATCTTACGTGCCAGCGAGCAGCTTTCAAGCCTTTTTCATCCGCAATGTCTTGTTTTTTTGATTGAGGAAGGCTCCTTTCTGCATACGGTAGGGAACCATCTTCAGCTTGTCCTTGACAATAGTTCTTATCGATTCTGGACTCATTTCGTATTCTTTTGCCATCTTTCTCACGCTTCGTTCCGGAGTGCGTCTGATTTTCTCTCGAACGGCTTTGACGGTTTCTGGAGTCGTGACGGTGACTGGACGTCCCCTCTTTGCATGTCATCTGAAGTACCGAGACGCCGATAGCGTTGTGCAGTTCGAAAAACGAGAACACGAGACACTTTCAGCTTTTTAACGATCTCTGAATTTGTCATTCCGCTTTTGACACAATCAATGATTGCGGTACGGTACGGAGATGAGGCCACCATTACCTGAAAACTGAAAAGTATGAGCTGTAACTTCAAACACATGATAAGTGAGCATGAATAAACGAAATAAACAAAAAAATTCAAAGGCCAGTCCTTTGTGCAAAAAGCAGCAATCAAACAAAAAACGGTTTCAATATTTATTTGTCACCCTGTAGTGGCCATTATAGAGTTCTAAGAGTTACTGCTAGATGACTAAAACTACTACAGTTGCCACTAGTGAACAAATTAGTGGCCTCTATAAAGGTGGTTCTAGTGGCAACTTTAGTGTCATCTTCAAGTAGTCCTAGCTTCTAGAGTGGGCACTGAAAGTTTTCCCAATATATTCTTTTTTCAATTTAAAATTTTTTTAAGGTCCCTTCCGAGTCTCCTGGCAATTGGTCGGTCAACATTATCGCGAATTTATCGACAAGTTTATCGTCGTCAATTCGCCGAGTTATATCAATGTTCTATGGTATAATTTATACTTTTTGATTTTTGAGTGACAAATTTCAAAAAGCACTTTACTTTCCTGGTAAACGTTCTAATAGTGAATCCGAGCTGGTTTGAAATATTTTTCCGGAAAGTTCCTCGAGAACGTTAATTTTCTTTTAAACCCTAACCATTAAAAAACTCGTAATTTGGAGCATAGTGAAATTTCAACAATCCTACTGAATTCCTAGATTGTGAAGTCTGAAAATCGCCACTTTTACGGCTAAAAATGATTTTCAAGCTCCAATTTTTTGTCATTGTCTTCAAGCTGCGCCCGACTTGAACCTCATGAAAAAAATTCTTTTTTTTTTGAAATATAATTTCTTGAGTAAAAAGAGTTCCCACATAACTCTCTCAAACCTGCACCCTGTTTTCTGAAGGTCCGCGATTTCGCAATTCGTCCCTGAACAGTCCAAAGCAAGGATCGTCTTCGCCGGAGCCAGTTGGAAGGAGGAATTGTTGGAGATTTGCGATGCCGATTGTCTTCCTGAAAAATTGGGCGGTACAATTCCGGACAATGAAGTCGTCAAGTAAGCTGGACAGTATTGATTTACCTAAGTTCTCTTATAGAGAAGTAAAGCCTGTCCCGAAGGAGCTCTACTGGAAACCTCCGACCGGATATCCGACCTTGGAAACTATGCACAAAATCTCCATTTCGGCTTGTAAGTTAACCTTGGATTCTGGAGAAGGGAGTAAGCTAGAGATCAGCAAAGGACTGAAGAGACGCCAGAGAAAGTAAGAAGACTTATTTCTCTGGCGTCCCTTTACGCCGTCGTGGAAGAAAAATACTCTAAATATTTTTTTCAATGGTTTCCCAGAAAATGAGAAATTTCGAAACAAAAAAAACAAAGTATTATTTTTTGTTCAATTTCAGCTAAACACCGAACTCTCATCTACAAACTGGACGCCAACACCGAAGTCTTACTGTATAATCACAATGAGAACGACATCACCTTTACCGTATACTTTTCACAAAAGGAGGTACTCTTTTTCAATGTTCAGGAAGCACTGATGAACAAACTCTACTTCAGAACGCCAAAGACGAAGAACTGGAAGTCGCGATCCCAGCCATTCCAAAATGCGGCCTCCCGGCCATTGATTGCTTCGATTATGTGGCTGAACAGACCGGCTATTATTATATCAGGTTAGGACCATTTTGAAGATGTTTTTTTTTAAATCTTACACTGTAGATCCTAATCGTGACAAAACATTTTGGTATATTTTCTACCAATTTACCACCGTTTCCGCTGGTTGAAAATAGAATTTCTGGGTTACTGTAAAACCTAATCATGCCAAGTTTCTTGGGAAACCAATGTTCTTTCGAGGTCTTTAACAAGCAGACTTTAAATCAACCAAAATTCAATAATAATTTCATATTCCACAACTAGCAGTTGTGGAATATGAAATTTGATTTTTTCACACATGTTACTGTACTCCTTCACGGGACCTTTCATTCATCTGTTGAATAGAACCACTGATTCTTCAAATTTTGTAAGAATCCGAACTCTGATTTCATTTCGATCTATTATATTAAAGGCATATGGGCAGTAAAAAACGGTGTTTCAGTTCAAAGCAGTACTTTGTAGAGCTTTTCATTGCAAATCGAACCGTGAACTTGGAAATGTACCAAACTTCCTAGTTTTGGAGAAAAAATAATTCAAAGTCGGAGAGAGGAAAGGTTGAGTTCCCGCGGAAAGGGCGCTTTGCAGTAAAGTTGCTCTATGGACAACAGGCTTCGCCATATTCCGGATTTTCGCTTTTTTCTTCTTTTCTTTCAATTTTAAATTTTTTCTGTTGTCACCAAAGTTCTTTTCGTCACAAAAGCTTTTTATTCATGTATAATTTGCAAACTTTGATCGCAAAAATGCTTTTCTGGTGAAAAATGATGATTTTACACAGGTTTCGATTGGGATAACGATTATTTGTGTTTTCTTTATTATCACTGTGTGTTTTCTGTTTTCTTAATCGATTTTTCAGAGAAGAAACCCTTAATTTGAAGCAGATACCCGGTTATTTCTGACAAAATGCGAGTCTAATGAGACGTCCGCAACATGGCGTGCACGGCTACTGTAAACATTTGTCCGTGGACCGATCCAAAGCATTTTTCAAAATTAAAGGCGGGAAAGTAAAATCGCGTTTTTCTTCAAAATTAGTCACATCAGTAATTTTTTTGAGTACACCGTTGGAATCGCAAAGAAAAACTATATAAGATACTGCTTTCACCTGAAACCCCGTTTTTTACTGCCCCTATGCCTTTAACTTTTCTTTGCACCTGTTTTGCTTTTAATGAGCTTATTATTTTTCCGAGAACCCCAGATTAGTATTTTGAAAGTTCCCATGTCCTAAGTTTTCACATTTCTAGTACGTTTTTCGCGATTTCACGATTTGAAAAAGCGAAAGAAAAAAGCGGGACTTCTCTTGAGAAATCTTAAGTCGCGGCGGGCGGATAATATAAAATATCATAAAACGATAAAAAAAAGAAATTTCCTCAATATTTTGTTTTCAGACTTGCAAACGAAGCTTCTTGGCTGTTTCCGTCAACATACCGATTTTTCGTCGTTGAGAGATCTTCGGGACAAGAAATTCAAGCCATAAATCAAAAAGAGAAATGGATCAAACAGGCTTTCAAAACAAAGAAATGAAACCAATTCTATATTTGTATATTTTTTTCTGTATATTAGTCTGAATTTCGTTCTTTAGTCGCAAAAACGTGACTCCACCCCTTGTTCATAAAGGCTAGAAGCTCATTTTCCATCTTTATTCTCGCTGTTTTCTTTTTCAGTTTATTCTTTCAATTTCGTGAGATGAATTTTTGATGTACTGTGAACAGAGTTTCATTTCTGCAAGAAAATAAGCCGAAAAGTGTAAAAAAAATTTATATTCTTGTTCATTCTTTTTTTACCAATAGCTGGTGATATTAAATCTAATAAAATAGTGGTTTTCTTATTGATACGAACTTCGCGCCAAAAAAGAACATAAAATCAAATTGATCACGTCAAGAATAACATAGAATTCCCTGTGGAATTCAGGAATTTTTTTCGATGAGCAGCCGAATTTTTAATTGTTATCAGCGGGCGTAGTTTACTCATACCTATCTTAAATCGAGCTAAACTTCTGATTTTTTTTTCTTGACTTTTCGATTTTCAATTGTAACTTGAACGCCATGTGAATTGAAAGATGATTTCTATGAAGGTCTTTAAAAACAATTTCAAAAGGTATTTGGATACTCGATAAGTTTAAAAAAATATTCTTGAAAGATTCAAGAATTAATTTGAAAGTTTAGAAATTGATATTTATTTATTCTTCATGTTTTTTACGCCTGAATACAAAATTTTCTTATTTTCTCTTACTGTAAAATCAATTATTGTACGTTGATTTTTTTTTAAGTAACGTGGAGCAAGAGCTTCTTGTTTATAACAATTTTAGGATTTTAAAATTATTTTTCGATTTCATTCCAAAATGGCATTAACAGCGGAAGATGTTCTTGCCACTTCTATAATTTTCCTGGTAAGTTTCTTATTTTTCGATTCCGTTTCCAACTTTTATTACAGTTCGCCACCGCCGGCATATTAACGAACGCGATGAGTATTTTCGTCATTTTGAGAACTCCAGCCCTTCGAGGAGCTTTCGGAAAAATTTGTCTCTCTCATTCCATTGCCAATAGTGGACTCATGACCATTTTCATGGGATGGTCGATTCCTTTCACTTTGACGTGAGTAATAACCCAGAAACGGTATGACTTGAGTAGATGAGTTTAGGTCCCAAGATGATTCAATCGGTCCGTGGAGCCGTTATGCTGGCGCGGTTGGTCTTTTTTTTTAATTTCTTATCCGAAATTTGTAGCGGCGTAACGTAATATCTCACATGCCTGTGACTGCAGAATCATTACAGCCATTCTTCAAATTTATTAAAATACTTTGTTCGAGGTCATTTTCTCACAAAATTTTCACAGCATTGGAAAAATGGTTGTAGTAACTCTTCGGTTCTAACAATTCTAAATGCGATCATGACTCTTCCTAAAAAATGAATGTATACCAGGTGATAGTCTTGTTCTGGAGCGCCTGTGTTTATTCTCACCTAGCCCTCTCATTCAACCGCTTCATCGTTTTCACCTTTCCTTTGAAGGTAAGAGTAAACGTCGATTAATATTCAAGTTTACTCCTTCAGATGAATAATCTAATAACTGAACGCTGGACAGCCGTTTTCATAACAATCATCTGGACAGTCAGCATCATACAAATTATCCCCTTTTTGTTATGGGGTAACCTTTTTCTTCGAACTACTTAGTCATAGCAACCGTAATCCCTTAAAAAAATACCTTCAGAACAGTGCTATTTGGCATTCGACACTAAATATTGGATCTGGACGTACGGGGACAAAACTTGTGGGCCGGTAGCCGGGAAAATCTACGGCTTGTACGTTTGGTTGGGCGTTATGGTTGTCGTGTCCTGTTTCGATATGATCTCTTTGTCGAAACTCAGAGCAGTGAATAGGGTTGTTTAAAAGACCAAAAAACAAAACAAAAAAAGTTTAGAACCATGGTATGCTTGTAAGTCAACGTTCACGGATGGAAACTCGCTTCTTTTTACAGGTTTTTTGTTGATAAAATTTGGAACAAGACTTTGATTTCTATGAACTGGCGTAAAAATTTAAATTGTGTTTTAAAATAGAAAATGAGCGCAAGGCGAAATTGCAAAACAAAGTTTTTATCTACATGAATTAAACCTTAACTATGATTCTCGCTACCTCTGGCGCTACCGGCTGCGCCAAATGAACTTACCTAGCAAACTTGCCGCTCTGCTGTCATAGCCTTCCTACTTATTTAATAGAAAAAGATGGAAATTCATCGTTTTCCAGCTGCAATTTTTTTTTAAATGAACTACAGCTTTATTTTCCGATTATTCAACTTGAATCCTCAAAAAAGACGGTTTGATCGAAATTTACAGGCCTGCCTTCAAAACGGGCTCTTTGTCTTCGCAATGGGCAACTTTTACTTTCTCAGCCGGCTTTGGAATAGCCGTTGGGGCGTTTTTGTCACTCAAACCGCTGGTTGGCAAATTTCACACGTTATTGATGGGTAGGAAACTTTAATAATAACTCACCTTTCAATTGAAAACTTCAGTTTGATCCTGGTTTTACTTCACGGCAGGCTGCGAAAATCCCAAGTGCATTTGCAGACGCTCAGCTGAACCTAGGAAATTTGATTCTTAAATATATTCCAAAAAAACTTCGCAAAAACAAATATTTTAAAGTTTTGAACTGTTCAAAGAACTTTAGCTTTTGATTTTTATCATCTATGATGTAAGCTCAAGTTTGCGACGAAATTTAAAATCCCCATTAAGATCTCGCTTACCTTTTTATTTATTGGTTTTTGTGTCGATTTATGAAATAGAAAGCTTGTTGGACAATAAATATTAAAATAAAGTGGTTGTGGATTTCAAGCTGCAGTAAATTTCAATAAAACACAAGAGTCAAAACGAATTGAGCACCATAACTCTTAAATTTTCTATTAACAAAATGTAAGAAACTGCAAAATTCTATAAACAAAATACAAGAAACTGCAAAATTTCAAGAAAAAAAATTCAATTTTTTAAACAGAATAAAGCCAGAGAAAAACTTATAAAACCTAACCCTAAATAGGACGCAGCCAAGCTGCGTCTAATCCTGTCTCTAAATAGGTCTGAACAGCACAGTAACGGCTCTGAACTGATTAAATTAGGTCTTCAAAATGAAAAAATCAGCGCTGACACAGATAGTAAAAATCTTGAATATTCTTCAAAGTGGTTGACACATGATATGATATGAAAATGGAGAAAGTCCTTCAAAGACGTAGGCACTGAAAAATTTTTTTTGATTTTGCGGTTGATAACAAAACTTTGTTATCAACCGCGTCGCTGTGTTGACGGACTTCAAAATACAGTAACTCCAAGAATTTTTTTAAACTTTTAGTTGACCTTCTCACCTTAATTAATTCACTAAGAATAACTGCCGAGTAAAACGCGAGGAAGGTGGCGATACATTGACAAACTCGCAAACATGTCGCTTTTTTTTAGGCGCGATTCACTTTTCTCTATTCCTCATTCTTTTGCCGCTATTTTCATTTTTCTTCAGATGAAACTCTTTTTGTTGACCTCAACTTCGACTTTCTCATGCGGAAAAAAATTGGAAAAAAATTTTACATTTTTTTTTCTGATAAACCCCCAGACTTTCTCAAAAGGTGTACTTCGACCTCTTCGGATTATTACGACTCGGGTATTAGCGACAATAGCTTCATTGTGATAAATATATTGGAGTTCTTCTTTCCTTTATCATTCATATATTTATATTTATAATATATATAATATCTGAAGAGCAAATGTCTTTCTTGCATTGTTTAAAATGTTTGTGTAAAATATAGTTGAATGAAAAGTTTTCTAGTTTATTTGTTTGAAAGATTAATTCAATGATGATATCTCACAAAAAAAAAAGAAAAGTTTGAAAGAATAGCTTTCGTCCAACTATCAAAGATCATTTGATCTACGAACCGAAATGAACTTTTTCAATTTTTAATTGCTTTTTTCGAAATACTTTTCACTTTATTTGATCACTTCTGGCAGTTTCTGAGCGCAAAAGCCTTCTTATTTTTAGTATTGACGAAATTGAGACCTTATTAAAAACCGAATTTTTTCTTCTTTTTTTTTGGTTACTGTAATCAAAATGTATGCGGGCATTTAATCGCACGCCAGTTTTCTTTCTTTCAAATGGCAAATATACTGGAGCACTGGTGCGCCGAGATTTTGGCTCTCATATTATAATTTTTCGACATGATTGTCTATTTTTTTCTTCTCCGCATAGACAATTATTTTTATACTCATTTTAAAAATTTCGATAAGCCTTATCTAACTTAAATATCTTCATTAATTCTTCAAATTTCAGATGAATGAAACTCGAAAAGAGAGAGTTGTTGGGCGAATGTCTCGCGTGGACGTTAAATTTGCCTATATTGCTTCGGATAAACTGGGAACAATTTACGCACCGCTAGCGACTGCCGTTGCAACCAATGAGTACCTCCCAAATTTGACACTCCGATATAAGTGGGATCAAAAAAAGAAATGAAGATATGACAATTTTTCAAGAGTCGGTGATTTGGTACACGTTATTGCTCAACCGCAAAATAGTAAAAATGGCTGCGGATGGCTCGCTTGCAAGGTAAGACTGTGTGAAAAAAAAATATATATATAGTCGAACTTTAAAGGGGTTTTAGCCTGATTTTGAAAAGGTCTCGAGGAATAGATCCGTTTTCCTTGTTATTTTAGGCTGTATTAAAATTATGATAAACAAAACAGAAAATATTTTTGCAAAATCGTTAGTTATTCAAAACGAAAAACACGATAATTTCGAAATCGCTGAAATTACTTTGAACACGGGATAAAAGCCAAAGTAGCCTGAGTAATAGACGTTCAACATGTTGTTTGCATTTCTCAGTTTTTTTCAAGTTCCTAAAAATCTGTTTCAAAAAAGTATTATCTTCGTCAGGTACGGCATGTAAAATCGGAAGTCAGTGCTTCTTCGCCAGAGCCGAGTCCTACGAAAACTAAAAATGAAGCGATCCCAGTAACTTCATCATCTTCTTCTTCCTCTGTATGCAAAGAAGAACGGGCAGAATTAAAAATCGTCACCGACGATGAGTACCATGTAAAATATTTTTTCGCGATTCATAGTTGATTTCTGAATTCAGCTGGCTTCGGTTCACTACTTATCCGAAACACTGGCGTATGCTATGCACGAAAGTCTTGGCGCGATTTTCGTCCCAGGCTGTGCTTTTGGAGATACTGCCGTAAAACGGCTTAACGCTTATTTGAATGTAGGTAAGTTTCTAGCTAAAATAAAGTGCAGCTCAATATTTACTTCTTGCTTGCTAGCCACTATTAAGCATAAAATAAAAAAGAAATTTTCCAGGAGATCAATTACTGTTACAAGTTGAAAGTCAAAACGAGGTGAACGGGTGTAGATGGAGGGCCGTCCACGCGGTTCCTTACACGGCTCACGATAGCCATCTTTCAGGTAGATACTAAGTTATGAATATCCATTTACTTGTTTTGAAATTTGAAAAAAAAAACCACTTTGAATTGAACTAGATAGTAAAGCAGCGCGCGCAAAAAAAAGATCATGAAAACTCTTCTTCTTCTGACGCCTTTGTACCGTTTGAGCGGCGTCGACGCCCCAAGTCGGTTAGCCGAGGTCCTATCCTGATATCACTGGACTGGCTCTAGTGACATCCGTCATTTTGAACCCCTCAGTTTAGACATTCAAAATTTTCTCAATAAATACCAATCATTCTTACAATAATGAAAAATTTTTCAGGTTACGGGCGAATAATGGAATTGAGCGAATACTCGTGTCTAGTTTTCTCAGCCGCTGTAGAAGACAACGTTTAGTGAGTTTTTTTTCAAAATGGTTTTGTTAACATAAATTTCAGTTGTAATATTCTCACTTATACGGGTGGAGACGACGGTAAAAACGCTGAGAAACTTACCGACGTTTTATCTTCAGGTATTAAGAAAAATAGTTACCTATAGACGAAAGTTCAGGCGATGTGATAATTTTCACGGCCGAGTTTCGTGACAACTGTTTCCGGGCTAATGACTGGTATCCCATTAAGAAGAATCGACCAAAGGCTCAAAATAAAAACGCTGTTGTTAAGCCGTCTGTCGATTCCTTCACACAAACTATTGAAAATTTAGAGGTTGGGGAGTTCCATCTTGAAAAGATTACAATACTATCGATTTCCAGGTGTTAGTCCTTCGGACCTTCGAGTCAAAACTACCCGATTTGCTCAAGGATAAGCCAACCTTACTCGAAGAGATACAACTTCTATTATTAAACGAAAAAATTAAAACCGAGGCGATTCTTCCCTACAGATAAAAATTTATTCAACATCGATCTTTTACACGCTTATAATTAATTATGTACACATCAAAAATTGTTTGAAAGTTTCTTTACGTCTTCCATCGTGGCGCTTTGTTCCTGTATTGAAAAAAATATTTTCCTCTCATGAGTTCTTCACTTTTTCAAGAAAAATGTCGGCCTGGGGAACAATGAAAGGCTTTTTACAACAAAAAAAAAATGATGCTTCGATTTTTATTTCACCTTTTTCACGAAGCAGCTGCTTCCACTCGTCCAAGCTAGAAATGATCACCAGAGACCGTCACACAGCGACCTGCAAACTAGTAATATTTTGAAGATTTAGTTGAACGACGAAAACTTTTTTCTGGGACATGTCGGCCAGCGGAACTGAACGACAGTGCTGGAAGGAGATTCCAGAACGTCTTTTTCCGTTCCGCAGAGCCTCATTTTCTACCTATCGACTCTAGACCCTTCCCGCTATAGGGTCCACTTAAGAACGCGTCAGACCAAGTAGATCCACTGGGAATACCAAAATGAACCATTCCACGGTCTGACCGCCGCCCAAAGAACAACAGGAAGAGTCACGCACTAATTTTGAAAATTTGGGACATCTTAAAACCATTAAAGGAATTTAGACGCAAGAAAGGCTTAGGCTTAACGCGCCAGAAGTATTCTAACGCAAGTACGCGAGTTTAGGTCGTGGGATCTTTGGAATTTTCTGAAATCGGATTTGTTTTTTGTTTTAAAATCACCTTCTCGAACTGCAAAGTTTGCTTGTTTCTGCTCCAACTCGAGTCATAGACAACAGAGGATTCAAGGCGTCTCAGCTGTCCTTTTCGTGAACCTTCTGGCTTCTCCGGGAGATCTGAAAGTAACCACTTGAGTGAATAATCAAAAGAATCGGAATTATCTCGATATTGTGAAAAATGTCGGCCAGCAGAACTGAACGACAGTGCTGGAATGAGATCCCAGAACGTCTTTTTCCGTTCCGCAGAGCCTCATTTTCTACCCATCGACTCTAGACCCTTCCCGCTATAGGGTCCACTTAAGAACGCGTCAGACCAAGTAGATCCACTGGGAATACCAAAATGAACCATTCCACGGTCTGACCGCCGCCCAAAGAACAACAGGAAGAGTCACGCACTAATTTTGAAAATTTGGGACATCTTAAAACCATTAAAGGAATTTAGACGCAAGAAAGGCTTAGGCTTAACGCGCCAGAAGTATTCTAACGCGAGTACGCGAGTTTAGGTCGTGGGATCTTTGGAATTTTCTGAAATCGGATTTGTTTTTTGTTTTAAAATCACCCTCTCGAACTGCAAAGTTTGCTTGTTTCTGCTCCAACTCGAGTCATAGACAACAGAGGATTCAAGGCGTCTCAGCTGTCTTTTTCGTGAACCTTCTGGCTTCTCCGGGAGATCTGAAAGTAACCACTTGAGTGAATAATCAAAAGAATCGGAATTATCTCGATATTGTGAAAAATGTCGGCCAGCAGAACTGAACGACAGTGCTGGAATGAGATCCCAGAACGTCTTTTTCCGTTCCGCAGAGCCTCATTTTCTACCCATCGACTCTAGACCCTTCCCGCTATAGGGTCCACTTAAGAACGCGTCAGACCAAGTAGATCCACTGGGAATACCAAAATGAACCATTCCAAGGTCTGACCGCCGCCCAAAGAACAACAGGAAGAGTCACGCACTAATTTTGAAAATTTGGGACATCTTAAAACCATTAAAGGAATTTAGACGCAAGAAAGGCTTAGGCTTAACGCGCCAGAAGTATTCTAACGCAAGTACGCGAGTTTAGGTCGTGGGATCTTTGGAATTTTCTGAAATCGGATTTGTTTTTTGTTTTAAAATCACCCTCTCGAACTGCAAAGTTTGCTTGTTTCTGCTCCAACTCGAGTCATAGACAACAGAGGATTCAAGGCGTCTCAGCTGTCTTTTTCGTGAACCTTCTGGCTTCTCCGGGAGATCTGAAAGTAACCACTTGAGTGAATAATCAAAAGAATCGGAATTATCTCGATATTGTGAAAAATGTCGGCCAGCAGAACTGAACGACAGTGCTGGAATGAGATCCCAGAACGTCTTTTTCCGTTCCGCAGAGCCTCATTTTCTACCCATCGACTCTAGACCCTTCCCGCTATAGGGTCCACTTAAGAACGCGTCAGACCAAGTAGATCCACTGGGAATACCAAAATGAACCATTCCACGGTCTGACCGCCGCCCAAAGAACAACAGGAAGAGTCACGCACTAATTTTGAAAATTTGGGACATCTTAAAACCATTAAAGGAATTTAGACGCAAGAAAGGCTTAGGCTTAACGCGCCAGAAGTATTCTAACGCGAGTACGCGAGTTTAGGTCGAGGGTGATACAAGTAAAAAAAATAATATAATTGAAAAAGTAACAAAAAACTCACATAGTGTGGACGTCGGACATCGGAACGGCATCGTGGCTAAAAAACATAGAGGATCTGTCTTTTTATAGGCTATTTTTGAAAAAGACGCCCGTCGTGTAGGCGTGTCATTTGCCTGTGGCACAGTTCACATGTCGCCCTCGCTGCGAAAAGGATTCTTTACCGGTTGTTGACACCTGTAAGTCGTCTCTCACAACCCTAAAGTGTCACAAAGAGAAAAGATTCGAATATTAACGCATCGGAACAAAGCGAAAGACGTGAGGGAACGAAGAGAAACACGAAGAATGTTTTAATACATGTATTTGAATGACCTACCGAGAAAATTTGGAGTAAAACACTGAAACATACTGCCACAAATGCGTCAAGCGTGAAGATAAGTAATGAATAGACCGATTAGGTTACTTGGTCTCTAAATCATTCAACACAATGGGTAAAGTTTGAAAAAACGAAAATTGAAGAATTATTTCTATTGAGGAATTTGAAAAAAAGCGTTTGGCGCAAAGAAAGTAGAGCGCGAATGCTCACTTTTAAATTTTCACAGAATTTCTGGAAAAGCGAGCTTTTGTTTCGAATTTCATTTCATTAAATGAGAAAGAAGGCAATGTCCATGAAAATTTACATGGGAGGAAGCTCTGAAAAATTCCAGTAAACAACAATAATCAATTTTTTCTAAAAAATTAAAATTGGAATGACCTTTGGATTATGCTATTTAAAAAGCTATTCCTTTGAACTTTTTCAATTCTACGAAACTGATAAAAAAATCGAAAAAAACAAAAAAAGCGTGAAGTCGTAGGAAAGCAGCGTCCCTACTTTATTTCGACATCGCTGAAGGAAGCGAGCTCGTCAGCTTCTTCTACCAAGAAGTTTGTATTTTAGCATGGAAGGTTTACAGTTTCTTGTTTAACTTTCGATGAAATTTGGTCGAAGTTTATTCCAGGACCTTCTTGTTACAGAAAATTTTTTTTATTTTTTCGTTTTTTCAACACTTCCTCATTCCTCAAAATTTCCGTTTCTCATCGAGACGAGATCTCGCACAACTCTGTTTCTGAATAAGGAGTTCCTCCATTTGCCAAGCTTCATTAAAAGTCAAACAGGGTCCAAAGAAGTTTCCTTTTGAGCTTCAAATTGATTTAACGGCCACTCCTTTTCTTCAGATGTGGTTTTGGCTTCTCAACGTTGCATCTCTAACCACGCTATCAATCTCGATCGTCACATTTTGTGGCAAAAAGTCTTCGAACGGAAAAGGCGCTGATAAAGTTAGTTTTCCCAAATCGAAGTGTGACTTTTACGCGCTAATTTGAAATAGTTTCAAAGTTCAAAGAACACACGTCATTTTGCAGTTTCACGATGACTTTCCATTTTTTTTTTCTATGAAACAAAAAACTGTTTCATACAAAAGCGCATAAAAAAAAAAGATGAAACTTCTTTGAGAAAAGTGAAAACTTATATGAACAACTTAACTAAGAAAACTACCGGCTTTCAAGTACAGAGACGACCTTGAAGTTTTTTTTACACCTGGTCCATTTTAAAAACTCAGAGCGGATATGTTTCCCTTCAAACCAAAGAATGGTCAAAGATGTATATTTGATAGAAAATGAAAAACTGTATGAAGATGGGCTTCATAGAAACAAAATAAGATGTCAATTCGAGAGAAGCTAAGAAAAATCTTAATTTTTTTCCTTAAGTTTTCTCTCTACTTCAAACCGAACTTCTTTTTCTTAAACAATAAATGATCCAAATTCGGCATCACTCGTGTAAAATCAGCGGTGGTATGAAAAAAACACCAGCGAAAAATCAAACGGCGATTTTTCCGATTTTTTCATATCGCTAGGGAACTTTCCGACGGACACATTTCCGACGAAACTTTTTCCGACTTTTTTTCTCGATAAACTCTTCGTTTTCAAATATTCCTATATAAAGTAGGTAGTTGGTCCATGATTAAAACACAAAGAAACAGGAATAAAAAAATGTGAATAGATGTTTTACAAACCGAAAAAAATAAGGGAAAAAAGTCGGAAAGAGATCCGTCGGAAAGTTCCCGAGCGATATGAAAAAATCGGAAAAGTCGCCGTTTGAATTTTCGCTGGTGTTTTTTTCATACCACCAAATCAGCACATATTGGAAGCCGCTACTTTGAATTTACATCAAATTACAGACATCTATGTCTGTCGTATCGACGCCTTCTGCAGCCGCCGCTCCGGCAAAGGAAAAAAGCGTTGAAAAGACGAAGAATGCGACACCAGTGAACTTTTTTGATCACTTCTCAAATTAAAAAAAAGAAGTTTAAATCCCTTTCATTTCCAGACAAAGCCTCAATCCGAGAAAAAGTCAAAGAAGTCGACGAAATCAAAGAAAGAGGACAAGGACGACAAGGGCGATAAGGGCGAAAAGGATGCCGATGCTGCTGCTGGTGCTTCTGACAAGAAAAAGGATAAGGAAAAGGATAAGAAGACCTCTACGGTGAGCAATGATAAATTCGTGTTAGATGATAGATGATGTTTTTCCTGAGACCCTTCTTCAACTAAAACATTAATTGAAAATTCATTATCTTCTTTTTTTTAGTCGACTGGAGAAGGCGGAGAAGGTGGCTACGGAGGATATGAGAACTGCGCGGATCTGACGCCTGAAGAACTGCAAAAAATCGCGAACGCCCCCAACCCGCCTGCTTAGAAACTTGATTCCCGAAAGATCGTCCAGAGATTGGCAATAAAAATGAGCCCTACAATCATTTCAGTCTATGAGGTGTTTCAAATCAAGAGCAAATATTCAAAAATCTTTGCTGTGGTGTTCAAAAAAGCAGACGATTAGATGCCATTTTTCAACTTTTTTTTTAATCTTTCAAGGACACCATGCAAAGATTTTTGAATGCACAACTCCTGCAAAATATTTGAAAAGTGTGAAACTTTTAATTACTTTTGACTGACAGGTGCGAAGGCTGGTTAACTGTGAAAAGTGCCTCAAAAAGTTTCCCACTGTAGCTGGTGTTATATAACACTGTTGCCTCTGGCACATTTCACAAGCTATTGCCCTTTTGAATCGAATGTCTCAATATCTTTCTGAAGTGCCCAAAAAAGCATGAGAAAAAATAATTTCTGAGAAAACTCAGCTTCTACCGAAACGCAATATGAAGCCGAATTGACGCTTGAACACTTCACATAGTTGCAAATAGAACTGAGGCGCTTTATTTTGAACGAATTTGTTTGAAATAAATCGAGGTCAATTTTCTCTGCTACAAAACTTTTAGCTAAAATTATTTTTTTGATGATAAATTCACCTGAATTATCCGTTCTATTATACGTGCCTACACGGTAGCAGGCCGCGCGCATCAAAGAGGAAAGCTCTCCGGAAGGGTTTTGTAGCTCGAAAAGGTTGAAAAGCGGATTAAGCTATACAAATTTTGTTCATTTTTTTTTTCAAAAGATGGTGACATTCTCCTCCATGCTTCTTGAACACCGCAGAAACATTTTAAGATTTCAATGAAAAATTCCAACCTCCATGCCTTCAAAAACCTATTAAATGGGTTGTACATGCCCAAGCGAATCGAGAAAGAATATCGCGATATTCCAGGAGGTATATCGAAGGGTCTGAAGGTTACCGATGGTACCTCGAGTATGCCTCTCAGGACTTTCAGAAAAATGCGATAAAATGGAGGTTATGGTTCAGATAGAGCTGAACATATACTGGATGTCCCCGATTGACATATTATGGAATATACATCAGAAAAACAATTGACACATAGGAAGCAGAAATTTAAAAAAAAACCTCCTGTGTTTAATTAAGCTCGAAAAACCATCAAAAAAAAAGCAAGAAAAATAATGTAATTCAGATTATTTCTATGATAAAAACTTCAAACTGCATCAGCAAATTCAATTTGGCTTCAAGTTACACAAATTATGTTTCTACGAGAAAACAAAAAAGATACAAAACCGCGGGAAAAAATAGAGTGCACAAAAATTAAAAACTTTAAACTTTAAAAAGTTCATTAGTGTCTCCACTATCTCTATCTTCTGCGTCAGATGACTCAGAATTTTATACAGAATAAAAATTTCATTCTCTGCAAAAAAAAAAACGTGAACTCGGTAGCAAGGTGTCATTTTTTTGATATCGAAAAAATGAACACTTACAAAAAACCACGTGGCAATGCGTCATTTCTTCTTGTACGACCTGGGTTCGAATGTCATTCTTGCTTTTCTCATCACCCCGTCTTGCTTCTGCCGTCAACGTCAAGATGAGTTTTCAACCTTCATAAAATTTCTAGTTTTCAAAATAAGTATCTGAGTTGTAAGCGCTAATAGATTAGGCCCGCGGGACTCCCGGAGTGCCGATCCTTTTTGCTTGCAAATTGGATACGCAAAGTCACGCCGAAGCCCATTCCGGTGGCCGAAGCACAAACTGTTGGCAGCGCGAAACTGACAAAGCGATGATGGGACCCCCGCGGGAAATGCCGTCACGGCTTTCGGCGTCTAGGATTTTCTTAGTTCTGACAAGGCCGAGCGGAGCTCTAGCGCACCGCCTAGTTAGTTCTTTCTGACTGGATAAAGCTTCCCTAACTTACTTACGACTTTACAAGCTAATAAGTCAAAAAATATCAAAACAAGCGTTTATATCCTCTTTCTCAGCATTTGAAAGGCTTTTATATTTGAAAATTCAGTTAATCGAGATGACAAGAATTCCGCCATCCTTGATCAAAGCCGCGACGACGTTGTCAAACTAGTCCATGGCAGACGGATTTCGATCAACTACGAGGTCGGCTGAACAACACCAGGTACCAGCCCAATGCTCTTAAAAGCAGCTGAGGGTTTTTTTTTCTGTGTTCAATTGCAAAGGAGAAAAAAAAACATTAAATTCACAATGGCTGAAATCGCTCCTCACTAGTAAAAATAATGAAATTATCGTTTATTCAATGCTTTGTTCAAAGTGATTCCACGAAATGCAAAACACCCGTTAGAGAAACAAATAGATAGTTGAGAAACAAAAAGATAGTTTCGCAGAGTCAGAGATAATTTTGCATTTCGCGGAAAGGACTTTGAATACGGCACAAAACTGATTGACATTGTTCCAAACAGGCTAGACCGGCTTGTGCGAGGTCAGATTGTCAACCTATCGGCCTCCGTCCATTTCCTTAACTTTTGATAGACTTTGGATAAAATTAAGAAAAAAGTAATTTATTGGTAATATTTTTGAGTTAGGATGAAAATTTTTTTCGAAGCCTGGCTTGGTCCGATCCCCGCAAGCTGCATTGATTCAGCTTCCATTCACTCGTACCTCGGTAACGCAAATCGGACTCGTCCCAGACGTTAATTATAATTTCTAGTGAACATTTGAGAGTGCTGAAGCCGCTAAAGGAATCACTAGAAACGCTCAGAAACGTCTGGGGCGCGTCCGTTCCGCTTTACGAATGTCCGAGAAAAGAAGGTGTGAAAAAGCGCGTACGAATGATGAACTTTTTTTTAATTTAACGTCAGGCCGAGCTATGGGCCTTATTTTCAAAAAAAAAAGCCTGCGCGGGCTTCGAAAGAAATTTAAAATTTCATCAAAACATTTTCACCGAAAAATTGTTTTATTTTTTTTAATCATAGTTTTTGTTGAACTCTAAGTGAAAAAAAAAAATCAAATATAGCCTATTCCACGCCAGCTTGTCACGTTTTTCTTTCCGCCAAAAAGACCGTATACCGAATTAGATCAAATTTCTGCTTTTATAACGGCAAGAAACAAAGGTCTTGAAGCGAAAGTTGGTTAAATTTGACCTGGCCTTTTGGAGGGAAGAAAAACGATAAACACGCCAAGAATTCTCTGATAAACACGCCAAGAATATTTGTGAAAAAACGACCGTTAAAAATTTCGAAAAACAAGGGCGTAAAATAAAATGCAAAGTACGTGTACAGTCGGTGCATACAGAAAGATAACAAAATTTACACTTTTTGTTGAAAAAATTTACTCATCATTTGAAAATAAAGAGATAGTTTATAAGAAACTTCATAGATTGTGTTTATCGTGCTCAATTTCTGGAGAAGCTCTGGAATTGGATGATGTTGGCGTGTGACGCCTCGGACTTTCGGCTTTCTCTGGATGCCGTGATGTTTCTCTGTTTTTTGCGACGGCAGTGGTTGATGATTCTGAATTTGTGATTCGAAAAGCATGCGAAAGCGTAAAATAACCTTAAACAAATTTTCCACACAGTCGCGCGATAACGCGCAGTCTTTATCGTGACAACAACGACCTGAGCAGATGAATGAGTGCTCATGAGGGTGATGGCGACGTTGAAATATTCTGAATTTTTTTAGCTTGAGAAAAATATAGAAAAGTTTCTAATTTATGATATTTTAACAACAATAATTTTGAAAAAGGTTAAAATGGCCAAAAGACTGTGAGCTTGACTCCGATTGCAACGCGACCGCGGCGTTTCTATTCATTTCAACAAGAGCAACTACAAAATTTTAAGAATGTGAGTTTCGAACAATATTATCCCTCTGAAAACTATACCTTCTCCACTCTCGATGTTCAAGAAAAGAAGAGTCATGAGGAAAATGACAGGGAGCAAAAGCGTGACGAAGACGACCATGAGCTGTCCGGCGAGGCGCGATAACGCGCCGCTGGCCTTCGACGCGGCAAAGTTTCGCAGTCGGTGGAGCATCACCAGCGTGTGAATGGCGAAACCGCAGCTCAGTGACGTCACCGTGAAGAGGAGGGCGAAAGCGCTGAAGACCGAGGCCGTCGCCCATCGGTCGTCTTTGAATCGATGCAGGACAAATATCGCATTTTTCGTAGTTGTATTTTCAGTGAAGGTTCTAGTGGAGTTCCAGTCGTCTCCTAGCTGAAACTGAGCTTTGTTGATTCATTTTATCTGAAAATATGTCTGCGAAAACCATACAGGTAGCCTATTCCGAGCCAACTTTACACGACTTTTTTCCTCCGAACAACAGAATCCTTTAGTTTCGATGCGCGCGGCCTGCCTCTGTGCATGCGCCTTTATAAAAACGGAAGTTTATAAGCTAAATTGAAAGCCCATGCACAGGGACAAGCTGCGCGCTTCGTAGAAAAGGGTACTGTAAATCTGACAAAAAATCGTGACAGAGCGAGTGTCAAAGACAGTTCTTGTAAGGCAGCCGGATGTCGATCGATATTTCGCCGTCTCTTTCGGAGCCAGGAAATTTTCAAAACTTATGTCATTTTTTGCAATAGTTCAGAACATTTCTCGAGGTAAAAAAATAAGTTAAGTCTCAAAAAGTAAAATTTCCATTTTGTAACCGAAAAACAGCCCTAATATGATCAGCCACCTTGTACAAGCTGATGCGGAATTTTCAAGAGAGACAAAAAAACTCAGGAATAACCATTATCCTCATTTTTGATTTTTTTTTTTTGCCAATTAAATAACTAACCTCATCTTTGTCGATAGTTCTTCCAAACGACATGACCATCAGAGGAAGGTTGAGAAAGAGGGGCAAAACGTGCAGGAAACCGGCGATTGTCCAGAAATACTCGGAGCGTAGTTGATGCTCCTAGAGTTCTTCGAAATGATCGCAGAACTTCAAGCAACTTTTCATGTCCTGTTTGAAGTTCCATTTTGGACTCAACTAGCATTTAGAGATCGAAAAATTGTGAACAAAACTTTACCAAAAATAAATTACTAGGTTTTCAGTCTTACTGTTTATGCCGTGTTCAAAATAAAATCCGCGTAATGTAAAATTATCTTTGACTCTCCAAAATTCAGTTATCTTTTTGTTTAGAGTTCCGCGGAATCACCTTGTACACGGAATTGCATCATAATTTTCTTCAAAATGGACCGAATCTGGAACTAGTTACTAGACCACTCACTCTATTCGAAGATGTAGAAAAAAACATGATTAGTTTTTTTTTTCATTCAATTTCCTAAACCAACCGCTTCAACAGACGCCACCGCCCTGTGCTTCTGAATGTAGCCGCAGGTGAGGCCAACGGCCAGCCACGAGAGCAGAAAAACGCCAAATATCTATTAAATAATCCTTTGAAACGATACTCTTCAGTTTCTACCATTTGCTCGTTAAACGGGAAAACTCCTTGAAGTAGTCCACGTGAATGTCCAGTCAATGAGGGCAGGAGAAGGACCGGACGAACCAGCAAAGCGACGTAAATGTCGAATATCAAAGCTAGGGCCTGAAAAATATGAAACTTAGGAAAATGGAATAGGATAAAAACGTATAAAGCTACGGGGATCGAACCCTGGATTTCGGAAAGATAAGAAAAGCTGTCCGCACCGCATTTTTTAAGAAAAACTTCTCATTTCGCTTATTAGTTAAAACTATTTTTCTAGAAGCGCAGAAGTCTTTTTTGACCCTGAATAACAGAAAAAGCTCGTCGCTCCGAGAAACTTATATATTTGGTTTTTGTTCTTTTGAAGACCCTTGTAATGATTTTTGTACTGACCTGCTCTTTTACTTAAAATTAAGTCTGATAGTAAAATAACCCAGAAATTCCGAGCTACAAGGCAATTTCAGATAGAACAATTTTATTGACACAAACCTGAAGGTACAGTAAAAAGATGCGAATTGTATAATCGTGCATAGAGACAAAAGCCGTCAAATAGAATCCCAAGACATTGAGAGGCACCGAAACGGACAAAATCGTGTTGAAAACCGTGTCCATCACGACCATGTCACCCTGGAAAGACTAAATTTGAAAAAAAAAACCGAGCAAAAAATAAAAAAGAGATATGATATGAAGTGTTCAAGCTGTTTCCGCCGAGCTAATTAGTTAGTTCATTAATTAGCGTGTTTCTCGAGAAATCAAATCAGTTCAAGCAAATGGCGCCGTCTCCAAGGGACGAGAAAACGATGAATAACCCTAGGTTTCTGATATGACTGAGGAAACCCGGGTTCTCAATCTGGAGAGTTTATTCATGTGAACTTTTTTTTGAGTCCTACACTTTTTGGTTCACTAAAGTTTGCTCGATTTCTATGAAGCTTACTAAAACTTTGAGTACAAGTATTGACGTGATTGTTTCGGAAATCTGTTATGAATGAATTTTCAAGGATTACTTTGTTTGAGACTTCGAAAGTTTGATAAATTAAAGAAATAAAATTTATACTTGTTGAAACTGAAGAAAAATGAAATCTAATTCTTATTATTTAAATTGCAACTAGAATTTTTTAAAGAAAACATTCTTATTTGTTAGTTATTTCACGACAGCTTTCTCATAAGTTCTAATGAGCCTAATAAAGTTTTATGGGAATTTTCGGCACGAACACCCCATAACGCTGTTGTAGAAAGCCTCTAAAAGATTATTTTATTTGCAAAACTTGAACTTTTGAGAGACTATGGGAACAAAAAATGAATGACGTCAATCATCCTGACGGAAATAAATAAACGAGATCATACTTTTCCTTGTTTTGATGAAGTTTTTTTTTATCAAGAAAGTTGATTCCGAGGGTTCTAAACGATCCAGTGAACTTTTATGAGTGATATTTATTTTTATTTTTTTTGAACATTGAAAAACTGCGAAAATTATTTTGAACAATCGGAAATCTTTTTTTTTTCTCAATTTCAATGAAAGTTTCGCGTTCTTTTTTCAAAGAAAGTCACCTACATGTGCGTTCGAATTTCTTTTATCATTTTCAGTTCATTTTTTTACAGGTTTTCAAAACGTGTAGTAATATTTTTCCAAAAATTGAAGCTCTAAAAAAATTGTTCTGTATTAAGAAAAAGATACAGGAAAAAGTAATGTTTTTTTAAAGTATGAGTCCAGTCTTTATTAAATTTGATAACCGGCCAGACTCCTCCATCCATCTTAAGTTTTTTTGTGCCATTTCTTAGAAAATTTTATCTTGTTAATGAAATGAATACTGCTAAACTTTGAAAAAAAATCTTCAAAAAAGTACACACAAAGGCCAGTTATTCTCTACTCCAAAAGCTCCGAGAAGCGGAAAAAAACTGTTGATAAGGCCAAGATGGCCTTTGCCAATGGATAATCAGGACTAACTAGGTGTTTCTAGGCGGGGGCGTCGAAAAGAAGCCTTTCTAATTAGACTAAAAATGAAAGACACGAATCAGGGAAACGGAGTGAAATCTCGCTCTCATGAAGACTTTATGCAAAGCAACTTTCGGTGTTGTAACTACAACTCCTTGTCTTTTTTCAGAGAAATACGGCGATCGTAAGAGAATATCGGACGGGGAGAAAAAAGGCTGAAAATTTTCCCACCGACGGACGTCATGCTCATTTTGTAGCCAGCAGACCTCACCTCAGCTTCTTACTTCTTTCACTTTATTATTTTGGAATTTATTTCAGTTCGGATATCTATGACAACTTGCGAAATAGTGTGTGTGTGCGAGGAAAATCATGAAGATTCGGGGGTTCGACGCTCGACGATGGAAAACGCGACGCAAGCCGCGACGCATCCGACGATCCCAACGGCCATTTGATACGATAGTGAAACGACTGTAGATCCGTACATCACGCAGCTCGTCAGGGCTGTCTGGAAAATACAAAACTGGTTGGTAAAAAGAAGTTTTCAAGTTCGGCTGAGCTTTTGAAACTCAGTAGGGAGTTTCAGAAAACTTTCTATGATTTTTTTCCTGTAAAAATCAGAGCTTTGATCATAAACAGTTAAAGGGAGACCAAAACAAGCTCGAACAAAAAAAAAAAAACTATATTTACTAAAACAGAACAATAAAGCTGGGAACTTCGAACCAATGAATGTGGTCTCGAATAAAAAAGCAGAAGCATTAAAAAAACCTGAACGAATCGGAAAATGGCGAACGCGGAAGTCGCTTGTAATGGGAACTTCTCGCAAATTATCGTGACGATTTGCTGACACCAAACCGTGTCCGCGACTCCCAACATGAGTCCGACAATCAAGCTTATCCAGATCCTTCAAATTTTCAATTTCATCATTGCATACGAAAACAAATTCTCAACCTCGGTTCGATCAAAGGACCAGAAGCTTCAGTTGTCCTCAGGGAAGCTTCCGAGGGCAAGCTGGCCCAGATAAGAATGAAAGCTATTGAGTTAACAAAGGCGCCAAAGAAAACAATCATTTTTCGTCCGATGGATTGAGCTTTTTTACCGACAAAGTAGAAAGATAGGGCTGCTGAAAATATGAGAATTATTTCATATTAAATGTTTTCTTCACCTCCAACCTGTCCAACGCCAGTTGCGATTGAAACGAGAGCCAAAATAGATTTTGATTGAACCAAAAGGCTTTTGGTGAAGGCTACGGATGTGGGAAACACAACTGAAAACATTTCCCAGAGTTTCCAGACTTTTAATAATCATTCAGCAGCTCAAGGACGCACACGGAATGGCTCGACAAGGCTATTTTCAGGCGCGACCGACTCAAAACGGTTTATGAGCCTGGGCATCAAAAAACGGTAAAATAAGTTTACGCGCAGAAGAAGACAGTGATGCCAAGCAAAATTTCTAAGAAAATAATTAAATATGCAATTCTAAAAATCGAGTTACAGCTGAGGTTTCACTTTTTTTAAAATGAACATTATTGAACTTTATTCCAAAAGAACTTCGAAAGAAGAGCTGGCGGCTCGCAAAATCAATCTTCCCAAATATTGAGCAAGGTAAAAATTGTCAAGTCGGTTGTTCCTTCTAAACGCAACGCGACCGCGATACTATGAGCCATTCGCAGTGCGGCCAAAAAAAAAGTTTGAGAACCTGCCCAAATTGCCATCTCGAAGCCAGAAAAGGCAAAAACGACCGACAGTAACATCATATCCGCTGTGAACATTAACCGAGTTGTTTCACCTGTTTTGGATTCTATTATGATCTAGTTTCGAAAAGGGGCTTACCGAGGAGTTTGAAGTAGGATTTATCAGAAACTGTAACGTTGACATTTGGCAGAACGGCCGTGATAACGGTAGACACGATGCAACATGCGGCAAAAGAAAGGAATATAATTTGGACCATTGACCCCGAATATTTATTCGTGTCGACGGAAAATTCGAAGATAGAGAAGAGAAAAGTTCCTCCGGCTATCAATCTGGAATAGGGTTGAAATTATAATAAGTTGATGATCCGGGTCGTGTCAGGACTTATTAAAAAAAAGGCGGTTTTTTGAAAAGACTGAAGCAGCGTTAAATTCACTGAAACCATGAAACCGGCTTAATCACGGTAAAAGGCACAAAAAAAAGTCAAGGTTCACTTTCCGCTTCAAGAAACTCTCTGATACGCTGTCAATACTCTTTTATTGTCAGGCGCTTTTTAAACAATCGATTCTTCCAGAAGTTCGTTCGATAATAGCTGATTCTCAAACAGTAAAAAACTTTTTCTCGAATTTTTTTTTTCAATAAATTAAGAAAACTCACGCAAGCTGGGTCAACACCAAAACAATCGCACTATTCCTATCCAAATTTTTCTCGGTGCTATTCTGAGCAATATAGCTTCCCTGGCCGATCCAGAGAACTGAAAAACAATTATTTTTTTTTTCGCGACGGGTTTTAAAATATTCAGTCTGACGGAATTTTTTTTCTCAAATTAAAAAGTGCCTCAGAATACGGTCGTGTGCAATCTAAATTTTTTATCTTAAAAATTTGTAGGTTTTTTGAAGGTGCAGCCAAACCGACAGAAACGGATCCTTCGAACTTCGAAGTTCGATACTATAAGTCCATTCCTTCCCTATTATGTATTGGCATCTTTGATTGAATCAAAAACTCACGGGAAGCACAAATTCCAACAAAAACGCTCGTTGCATATAAAAGATACGTGTTCAACCATAGGAAGGACAACTGAAAAGCTATTTTTCGTATTTCGAAAAGAAAAAATCTGAAACTTACGCAATAAGCAATGTATCCAGAAGTCGCGAGACACATGGCCCATTTCGGTGTCAAAATGTCCACTAAAGGTGTTGCTATGAAGTTTCCGAGAGTAAAAACTGCGTAGACAACAGATAAACTAAATATTAAAAACTTTAACTATTTTTTCAACTTATGATCTAGGAATACCTATAGTATCCAGCGTGCGGATGAATATTCAAACGATGCGAAGCCGCTTCGACAACCGGTTCAACAACGAAACCTTGAAAAAATGTCAAAATCAAAATTTGAAAACTATTGTGTCGACAGGATGCGACCCAGGACCTTCTGGAACTCCATCTAAAGACTGAGCTATCCTCAAACAAAAGTCCAAAAACCTGCAGTGTTGTAAGCGACACCTGTGAAGAACATCGCGACGCCCAACATCGCCACATTCCTCGTTGACCCGTACATTACGACCATCTTAAAATTTATTAAATCTTCGAAAAAATCAAAAAACGCAGCGAGGTGACTGTAGTATTTTGACAACATAGGCAAAGTCGGCAAGGGTCGAAAAAGGCTCCAGAAAACTTTTTCTTCTATGGTGAAAAAAAAAATGCTCTTATGCACCATTTTTGCTGCCTCTCCATTTTTTCCACCATTCATGAGCCTTTAAAATCTATGAAAAATGGAAGGCTTGATAAAAGGACTCTTTTTGCTGCCTTTCTGTGGCCTTTTTTGAGCTTTCTCCCTTTTAGGGTGATTATCCACAACTCAGACTTTGCCCGAGAAAGTATTCAAACAGAAACACTGATTTTAAAAGCAGCACTTCGATTGAGTATATTCAAAAAAGTAACAAATTGAAAAATTTTTGTGAAGCTTGAGTTTCTTGAAAGTTAGTTCATTCATAACTTGTTAGGCAAAAATAAAATTTTTTGTGTGCATCTGCGAGGAAAAACATCAAAAACTTCATGAACGGAAAAGTTTTGAAGGAAAAGACGGGAAACAATTTTGAAGAAAATTATTGGCACGAAAATTCTGAAACACTTTCTGAAATTTCGGAATCACAGAAAACTTTATATGAACTGAACAGCTCCGACGAAAAAATAATGTCATATTTAAAGAATCGAAAAAAAAAAATCAAAGACTTTTGTGGATCTTCAAAGCGGGGCATGAAAAATAAAACTCCAGTTGCCATCGAAAACATCAAAAATCCTTCAAAATAATTATAAGTCTTCCCAAAGAAAAATAATAAAAAAATAGTAGAAAAATTTTTTTCAAACAAGAAACGATTCGATTTCAGAACTTCCAAAAAAAAAAAACTGATAATTTTCACTTTTTTTGTTGTTGTTGTTTGGGTAGTGTGTGCATTTGTCACGTGACCTGAAATTTCCTATTCAAATACCGTCTCATCGAAAAAATAAACAGAAAAAAGTGGCGAAAGATTGAGAAGAAGGAAGTTCCAAGTGATGTTAACTAGAAGCGGTGAGTTCAGAACACGCGACGCCGAAGAGAAATTGATATATTTGTCGATTAATCGAAAAAAAAACGTCAAACCAAACAGGTTCCGTCAGAACAGAGATTCGTTCAAAAAGGGGAAAAAACTTCCGATGGAGATTATTTGAGAGCAAACTTCATATTCGGAGGATAAACTATATTTTTTTTTACTAGGACCATAAGATTCGGCTTCAAAATTAAAAAGAAAACTTTTGAGATTTCGTTGAAACTTGGAAACGTACTTCAAAGCACCTTTGTTTTAAAATGTTTCACGTATATCGTCTTTTAGTCACTTGAAAGCTTCAAAAATTGCATTGAAATTTGCAAGAAGAGAAATTTTGGGAGTCTGTGAGGCGTAACTCGAAAAAAAAAACAGAAAGGGCGAAATTTTTTATGTAGATTAGATTCAAAGTGGTCTGAAGGAAGTAGTTTTTTTCTTGATAAATGGCTTAAAATCCGAAAAATTCGAATTTCAACATCAGAACACAGGTTCGTATGTGATATGTGTTAAAGTTTAGACTGAAAACTTCCGTTCTTGAATTTCTATTTCCTAGTGTTTTTATTCATGAATGAGTCATAGTGGATGAATCCTAAGCCTCAGAAAAAAGGAAAAAAGAAAATAATTTTCTCATGAATACACATAGCAAAAGTTTTGCCCTTTTCGTTTGGAGTTTAGTACTTGGAGTGGGATCACATTAGAAATACTCTGTTCATAAAATAATCTCACAGTCGAGCTTCTTTTTCATCGAAAAGTGATGTAAATATTCTATATTATTTTTTTCAAATACGAGGATAACTTTTGTCACTCTCTTCATCAGTAATTCGCAAGTTCAAATTTGAAACCAGCGAAAATATCACCTCCAGCCAATTTAGTCCATTTCAAAAGTCCCAGTGTGTGCCAAGAGCATTCCCCAGTTGAAAATTCTCTGTGGGTTCTTCAAAAAAAAAAAACTTTTTGACGTAGTAAAAATCCGACTGACCTACTCAGTTCGTTTCTGGCTTCGATTTCAATTTTTTAAATACGAATTTTTTCAAAGACATTGTTTCAGTGGAAGATCTCCCTTATTGGTTCAGAAATCTACCTATTTCCCACGTTTCATCATCACTTCCCGAGGACAAAGGTTGCCATGTTCCTAGACTATCTGCCTGCGAGTTTCCCACAATATGATCATTATTTTTAGTAGTTTGAATGAAAGACTTTTCCATTTTCTCGTACAAATGCTATCGGATGACGAAAAAGTTCTTTTCTCCCATTCTTCAATTTTTCCTGTTTAATTTTGCTAATTCTTGACACAAATTAATCTTTTTTTTCTATTTTCTTGAACAAGCCCGAATTGATGAAGTTGGTCAGTTTTCCACGAATCAAGAAAACAAAAAGTCGAACCCAGACAGAAGAATGGAAAAATGAACAAACAAACAAAAATTTTCAGTTCGTTTTCGTTTTTTCAAAGAATTAGTCTGTCCCGTTGTTCCGAGAACTTTTTGGCCCCAAAAAGTGAGACGAAAATGTAAAGGGTATTCATTAGTTGTCCAAAATAGGAATAACAAAGAAGAGGGGCTCAATTGAAGGCTCAAAATGTCAAAAACAAAAATGTCTCCATTGAGATTTCAGCTCTCAGAGTTTCATAAGAGTTCTTTTTCCATTCGACTTGGTAAAATATAAGGTTTTCCTGCCATACTCCATTCGCGAAAATTTGAATCGATTCGATGGCATGTAGAATGGCTCGACGCGCTGCGGTTGCGCGGCGGTTCGATTTAGTAACAAAAAAAAAAGCAGAATTGAAATAGAAATCGGCGCAAGTTTCTTTGGGTCGGACGCTTTTCAAATCGAACCCTTGTTCCATCTCATTTGGACCGTGTAATTTTTCTTGAATTCAGAAAAGGCTATGGAACAACTGATAGCCTACGGATCAATCGAAAGTATGCCGCTTTACAACTGCAGGTTAGTAACTTCCTCGAAAGGCATATTAGAAGGTCTTGGAGCGAAATTTGAATAGTTTCAGTGGCCGTACGATGGAGGAATGGGCCGAGAAGCAAAGCCATCGACACGTTTTGGCAGGGCTTCTCGACGTCGTCTACGGAGCGATCGTCGAGGTATTAGGGAAAACAGAAGTCTTTCGTTTTCATGTTATTTGCGGATTTTTTGCAAGCCATTCTTTGAAGGCTTTTCAGTAAAGAGCTCAAATGAGCACTGATTCAGAGAAGCTCTTGCACCTTTTCAATCTCTTGAGAGATCTACGGGGGTTCGAAAGCGCCTATTTGCAAAAATACCAAGAAAAACTGGTTCAAACTGTGTTTCTCTCGAATTTATGTCATTTTCATGGGCGTTTTTTTGTGAAACTCTAAAGAAGTACTGAGTGAAACTTGGAAAAAACACTCAAAAACAACGTTAGACCGTTCCAGCAGTCCCTGAAGCGCTCGAAGTAGTACTGCTTCAAACTTCTCAAGTTCTAAAAAATTTCATGTGGTAGTCCTTTCGAAAGAGTCTCCGAAACAATCCAACTTCAAAACTTCCTTCAGATCCTCTACATTCCCTGCGTGATGGTTATGCTCAAAAAAGAATACTTCAAGATGTCTTGTTACAAAATAATGGCCCTACTCGGGGTTGTCGACATGGCGGCTGTCGGTGGGAAAAAGTAGTTGGAAAAAGAAAATTGTTCATTTTTTAGTGATAAGTTCCCTTCTCATGGCTACCTACTCATTGAGGGTGCTTTTTTCTGTCAATATCCGTATGTGATTTATTTCGCCGGATTTATAGGCCTTGGTAAAACCTTTGAAAATTAAACAGACGAAAGAAAATGACGCTTTTCAGGATTATGGTGCTCGGCATGCATGCTCAGTTTGCTATTGGCTTTGAATCGACTGATGGAAATTGCTTGTCAAAAACATTTCGAACCTCTTTTCAAAAAGTAATTTTCAGTGTTCTTAAAATCTAACAAGGAAGGTCATTTCCGTTTGCGGTTGGGATTACCCTAAGAAGTCCTCCTTGATGTACCAAAAGAAGAAAGTCTCAAAATGCATAACTTCTTAGTTTCTGAAAAGGGACACCTCAGAAACAAATAAAACCCTCAAAGCCCAATGAGTTATTTTGAATTTTTGACACCGTATTTCCCGAAAATTAAGAAATTGTGAAAGTTGACTCTTTCCGAAAAACTCTAAATCAAGGAGAAATCTCAGGAAATTCAAAAATTGGGAACCGAGTGAACAATGTGTAGCTTTGGGTTGAAGAAAACTTATAAGAGCCCGATTTTGAAAGTTCAAAATTTCTTCACCATTCTTGAAACGAATAATTTTTTCCAGTTACCGAATTTGTATCATCATGTTGTTACCAATCTGCTACGGTTGCTACTTTACGTTTTTCACTCGCGGCACTATTTTTTCGTCAACCTATCAGACCCGGTTTTTCGACCCATTTCTTTTCGAGAACCGAACTCAAGAGGTGAAAAAGCTTGTAAATAAATTTGAAAAGAGGATAATTCTTCCAGTACGCCAACTTCGGTCACAATTTCAACAACTTCTCAGTAGTTGTGGCCACTACGGCCTTGTACATGACTTTTTGTGTTGCTGTGGATTGCAGAGTCAAAGGATTGAGCAGTCAAAGAATGAGCTTCCAGAAGCAGGTAGGAAGTATGAAAGTCAGGAAGTTCACATATTTTTCAGAATAGATACAGCAAAAAGGGATTGATAAGAACTAGGAAAAATTGATCGCAACGTATAAGGAAAAAACTATTAGAGAAAGAAAATGAATCTTTCCAGATCTTCCTCCAATCATTCCTAATTTGTGCTGCCAATCTTTTCGCTTTCCTAAACCACGCCATCATGCAGTTCGTTCCCCTTCCCGCCTGGTTCACTTTCATCGCCCAAGCTGCTTGGCAAGTTGGCCACGGTATCTCGAAAATTTCGCTCAAACTGATAATTTATTGAATGAATTCAGGTTTCCCAGTCCTTGTTTACCTTATCATCAATAACACGATTCGGAATGAGATTTTTGGTTTCTTCGTGAAAAAGGTAGGTAGAAGTAAAACTCAGAATGGTTTTGCTGACCGTATTTAAAGTTAATACCTTCAAAATCGTTTTTGAAATGAGAATTTGAAAAAAAAAGCTGCTTTTTCAATCGGTTATGATGCGAAAAGGTTTTCTTTTGGAATGGCTATTTTGCCTCAAAAAATCACGTTTATATTGGATAAGTGGCTTTGAAATTTATGGCTGTTCAAACTTAATAAAAAGAGGTTTCACTTCATGAAATTCATTTGAAAAAATGACTCCCTCAACCTTTTTCAGCAATCGACAGTAACACCTTCTGGAGTCGATCAGAGAAGTTCTGGAAGAGATCATCGAACTAATCGCTCCATTTCTTGAAGTTAAATCTTCCCTTTTTCATGTCTTTGAAATAATCATCCCGTGAATAAATAGTTGCGAAAGTTGTGTTGGTTCTTCGCAAAGAAATGAACGAAAACTATTTTCAGAAGAAAATTTCCACAACACTAATGATAAACCTTTCTCATCATTCGTTTTTTTGAAATTGATAATTAATTGAGAACTAATTGTTTTTCAACACGCGATGAATCATATAATTTTTCCGACATAAGCTGATTACCGTTTCTTTGAAAAACGAGACTCCAATTAGGAAGTTTTACTCAAGAAAATCAGAAGCTTACGAAACGTGTAATTAAGCTTTTCTTGGTCTCAGTTTGTTTGTCTTCTCAAGATTTTTAAATGCTTCTCTTTTTCATAAGTGAACGGCTTTTTTTGCTTTTTGGCTTGTTCCAACTTGAGAAATTCCGACCAGTCTGTTCTCTATCTTTTCTCTCCAAAGATGAAAATTAACCCTGAATCGAGAGATGAGAGAGCGCAGATAAACCAGAAGATTTCAAGCCATTTATGATATTTTCCTTTTTACAATAAAGGTGCAAACACTTAGATTTTCAAATGTTGTTGAAATATAAGAATAGAAAGCTTTGATTCCAGATTAAAGCATTTTAGTTTAATCCTTCTTTTTTTTTCGATGATGAGGCTTTTCAGAGATGGAATTGATAATCTTATAACAGCAGCATACATACGGTTGAAATTTTTTCGGGTCGGAATAGAGCTCTTCAGTGTACTAAGTAACTAACTCTGGTACTCTGAACCTTCATTTTTAGACCTCTAAAAGTCATGAATCAATTGATAGCCCACGGATCGATCGAAAAAATGCGGCTCTACAACTGCAGGCTCGTTGTTATCCGTCAAAGGGAGGAAGTCATCAATGAAATACTTTTCCAGTGGTCACACCTTGAAAGAATGGGCCGAAATGCAAAGCCGCCCTAATGTAAAACTGGGAATCTTCCATGTTATCTATGGAGCTATAATAGAGGTGCATCAGAATCTTGTGAATAATCTTCAAAAGAAGTTTGAGGTCCTCTACATTCCTTGTTTGGCTGTGATGATGAAGAAGGAATATTTCAAGCTTTCCTGCTTCAAAATCATGGTTTTTCTCGGCCTCATCGACATGGGAAATATTGGTTAGTTGTCTTCTATTACTTCATGTTCCGAAAGGTCTTCATGGTAAAAAAAAATTTGCAAATATCTTCTACAGATACACGCATAAAGCAAATAATAATAATTTGCAGAACAGGTGAGAGAAGAGACAGTGCAGGTAAGCGAGAAACTTACAAACAGTGACTTGATGAGATCAAATTTATTTTGAACAGTGTTAAAAAAAAGGCATCAGTGACTAATTTTTCGTTTTTAAAAGTCTTCATTACTGAGTGACTGTGTTGTGAGAAAGGCCGCATTCAGAATGGCTAGTAAATGAAGAGCGAAGGAAAAACTCTAATGGGTCTGTATTGTGATCAAATTTTTAAAAATTTATTTACTTCAGTGCTTTGGAAAAGTCCATATTCGAATAAGTATGAGTTAAAAAACTGATTTATATTTTTCCGATGCTATTTTTCAACTGTCCTGCTTGATATCCTCACTAAAAACACTCCAATTTCAAGTAGCAAACTCAATTCTGCACGGATCTTGGCTCATAGAAGGCGTCTTTTTCTGCCAGTACCCTACCTTAATTTACATTGTTGGGAATTTCGCGATTGGTAAGTCCAGGAAATTCTTTCAAAGCCCTCTAAAACTTTATTGAAGGATTCTGGACGTGTGAATGTATGTTGGCACTGTTGCTAGCGGCAAATCGTGTTCTGGATGTTCTATGGAAGAAGCAGTTTGAGATCTTATTTGGAGGGTTTACGGGAAGGATCCCAGAAAAATGAACGACATTCCGAGTTTACAGAAAATTCCTGAACATTCTCTTCTTGTTGCCAATTATCTATGGTCTCTATTTTATCTTTTTCACAACTCCAGTCATTTTCAACTCTCTATATGAGTTATGGCTTTTCGATCCTCTGGTCTTAGAAAACAATGGTAGCGAGGTAGGAGAATTGATAAATAAGCCTTTCAAAGAAAAAATTGATCAGTACAATAATATTTCGCATTCTGTGAACAACATTCTGATAGTGGTAGCCACCTGCTCACTATATTTGGTCTTTTGCTTCGGTATCGATGGTCGATTGAAGGGACAGAGCAACCAGAGAGCACGATTCCAGAAACAGGTAAAGTTGGAGGGATTTCAAAAAAATTCAAAAGTGTCGCAAAACACTTTGGATGGGAATTAATATTTTTAAATTCCGGACGTTTTTACCTTCAAAACTTTAATTTTTGTTACACGTTCCTGATGAAGTTCGTTTAGTTAAATTTCGTTAAAATCATGAAAAAATAGTATAAAAATTTTTTATTCAAGGAAAAACCGACTTAGCGAACTTCATCCGTGAAGCGCACATTTTCCAAGCTTTTTTCAAGGCTTTTTTTTCAGATTTTCATACAAACGTTCCTTATTTGCGCCGTCAACTTTTTCGCTTCCATAACCTACGTTTTGGTTCAATTTCTCCCGGTACCTGCGTGGTTTGGAATGGCGTCTCATGCAAGCTGGCAACTCGGCTCAGGTTTTTTTTTTAGGAATTATTCTAAAAAAAAATTGAGAATTCTCCAGGTTTCCCGGTTCTGGTCTACCTAATAATCAATAACACCATTCGGAATGAAATATTCAGTTGCTTTAAAAAAAAGTAATTTTTGAGGCAAAAATTTCTGAAAATGAGAATATTTTTTGCAGAAACCGACAAATAACTCGTCGGTCGTTGACCCAAGAATTCATGGAATGTATGTTTGAAAAAAAACTTTGATGTTTGTGTGATTTTTTTGAATAATAAAAATATTTTATTCGCACTCCGTTCTTGCAATGAAATCACGGAGTGCAATTTTTTTGATAAAAAAAGGAAACTTCCGTTTCGTCGATATGAAAGACTCAATAACCAGGTCCGCTTACGGGATCAAGGATATCAAAGGCTTCATATCCATACAATTAAGCTTAACTACGTCTCAGTTTGTTACTCTGCTCTTCTACCAATGTTTGCAAAATCATCTCTTTCTTCATTTTTCACCAGGAAGTTGGATAAGTGTCTTTTTCATCTGACCTGTCTGCGCCCTCTTTTTATCTTAAAGACTAATTTATTGACGGCCCTTTTTGAATCTAAAAGAGTCATCGAGCGGTTGATAGCCTACGGATCGATTGAAAATATGCCACTCTACAACTGTAGGTTCGTTTTTTATATCAAGAAAAAGCAATATCAATAAAAATTAGATATTTCAGTTGTCAGACCTTTGAAGAATGGGCAGAAATGCAGAGCCGCCCCAATGTAAAACTAGGAATCATACGCGTTATCTATGAAGCGATGACAGAAGTGATGCGATTTCTCAAAACTTCTGTAACTTTTTTCTTTCAGATTCTCTAATTTCTTGTTTGGCTGTGATGATGAAAAAGGAATATTGCAAGCTTTCCTGCTTCAAAATCATGGCGGTTCTCGGTCTCATCGACATGTGCAATATTGGTTGTTTCCTTATATTTTTCCAAATTTCAAACCATGAAAACTTCACGAGTATAATCAGTTTGAAACAGCTGTCATTTTCGAAAGACTCAAGTGTCAAAGTTAGTAAACGTCAAACCATAGAAAAAGACCTTTTGTCCGAGAATCTTTAAAAAAGTTTCTCTATTCTTCTTGGTCGAATGAAAAGTCCGAGGAAGACTAGGAAGGACAACTAGAAGAGCATTTCTATTTAACAACATAAATTGACGAATCTTTCAAAGAGAATTCTACAGAAACTAATGAAATCCTACTAACCGTATAGGTAGACTGTTTTGCACAGGAATTTCTATCATTGCTCTTTTTGTGAATAAAATCCTCAATTTTATCCATTTTTTTTATCTTTCGAAATCGAACGAATAAATATCATTATTGCTTGAAAGAACCGGGCACGCCGTAGCGCAACAGGTTGTGTGCCTGTCTACGGTTCACAGGGTCGGTCGCAAGTTCGATCCCCGTCTCGACTCAACCAAGGTGTACAAGAAATATTGGTAGTGGGAAACCACTTACTTACTTACTTAGAAACTTAGATGGTCCATCTTCCCTTTCGACCTTTTATTGTCTTTTATTGTCTTTTATTGTCTTTTATTGATCGAAGCGTGGACCACACGTTTTCCAGGAGGTTTTATGCAATCGGTCAGCCAGTGTTGTCGTCCTGGTTGACTGGTATTCTTGGGAAAAACTTCCATCCATGGTGTTGAACATGTTATAGCATAATTGTGGTCTGATCATCTTTTTTGCCTTGCCAGGGCTAAAAAAGACCGCCCGTTCTGTTAGCAGAAGCAAGCCGAACTGCGTGACCGGTGTACCGTTAGCCGCCATAAATGACGTTGCCTCCCCATCACCGCGTAGAGGTGGTACTTGAAAGGGGAAACCACGACTTCCAAAATCCCTAGCCTTCACACACACAAGGACGGATAGGTCACTCGAGCCAGTCCACTGATATCAGGATAGGACCTCGGCCAATCGACTTGGGCGCCGACGCCGCTCAAGCGGTACAAAGGTGTAGGTAGAAGAAGAAGAAGATTGGTTGAAACAACCCCTTCATCAAAGAAAATTATAGCGTAGGGTTTTCTGAGTCAAGTTTTGTGACTTTATTGCAAGGTACAAAAAAGTCTCCGCTGCCTAACATGTCTACGATAAGGATAATATTGAATTTGCTTTTTTTTTATTGAATACTTTGTGAAAAAGTTTAATCTGCTTACAAGATAGGTATTTTTTGATTGAAGTGATGAACTTCTGTTACTATACAAATTTTTTGTCTTGAATTCGTAAAAATTTTGAAGTTTGTTAGAGTATGAAACTCGAGAAAATTTGGAAGTTTTATTAAATTAGCTTCAAGTTTTCGCAGACTTCCAGAGAAATTTTTCTTAAGCAGTTAATTAGAATTCTCTATGAATTCCTATCGAATTTTGATGTTCCTGTCATGGAAAGCCTCTTCACTTATCGAGAATCAAAGGCTTCTATAGCTCCTGAGATCTGGAGAGCCAAAACTTTTTTTGAGAGAGTTGTGTCCGTTTCAATTTTTTTCGTTATTTTTTTAATTAAAATTACAATGTTAATTTAAAAAAAAGGAATATGGAAGGAAATTTTTTTTTCTCAGAGCGACATGGGAAAATGCGATTTTCTTTTTCGCAAGGATCAACGTCATTGAGGCGGATTCGAATCAGGTGAATGGAATTGCTTTTTTTCTGTCAATATAAGGCAATACTGTCAGAAAAAGTCGCATTTTCGAGTTTGTAGCAGTTTATCCGTTCTGTTAGGGTATTCCATAAACCATTGAAAAAATGGGTACACTTGGTTAACTATAACGGATAAGTAGCTGAAATCATAAAAATATAAATTTTTTTTTTTTCATAAAAACCATTTTATTCTTGAACTGTTGAGTATGGCCTGTGTACCACGACTTGGAATTTCACCAAACGACATTCCGCTGTGCCGCTGCGCGCCTTAAGGCGTTCCGCTTCACGAACGCGCGCAGCGGAACAGCGGAATAACGTTCGGTGAAAATTCATGTCGTGGCACACAGACTTTAGAATTTTCTATGATTGGAACTTTGAAACTTCTTAAAAAATATGGAAAACCCTAACAAATTCCTCGAAAATGGGAAGCTATATTGATGAAGCTTCCTATTCTTCTCGAACTTCATCGTCTTATAAAATGTTTATTTCGCTCACAGACAGATCTGTGGCGTGGAGGCTTTTATTCACAGGCTTTTATTCACAGGCTTTTATTCACAGGCTTTTATTCACAGGCTTTTATTCACAGGTTTTTATTCACAAAATACAGAAAATCCCCCTTCAATAATTTCTTATAGAAAAACGAAACCTGAGAAACATCAAAATGTTCTAAAGCGGTTTCGATAATTTAAAGGTTTTTGCAAAGTTTCGTGTTCCTATAAAAATGCAAAAAAGATTGCACACGACAAAAATCGAACTTATACAAAGATTCAGACTCGTACAGTACTCTCCCTTGATTTCTTCTAGAACCTTTTCCACAGAACCATATGAGATTTTGCGAATAATATCTCTCTTTTACGAACGCTCTTACCCTGCCAGAATGGCGCACGGTGCGGTCTAGCTTTTTGCACTTCGGTGCGTTACTTGGGCCTGCACCGTGCAACATTGGTGATTTTTTGGTGCCGCACTGGTGCAGCACGCTGAAAGCACTGTTTTGACACCTATGCACCCGTACTTAGAGTACTTCATTCGATAGACCACCAAAGTTCAACTCAGCCCGCCTAATTTCCTGTTTCAGTTTAAAAATACCTTTTTCATCGAAAGGTTAGATTCGAAACCAAAACATATCCAAACGGAACTTTGCTATGACTATAATTAAGCCGTAGATTCGATTTTGCCTCCACTTTGATGAAATCACCTTTTGACTTTTTGTCTCGCTACTTTCCTATCTACAATAACTATAAACAACTTGAAAACAGTCTGTCCTTTCTACACACTATTTTCTCTCATTGGCAAGACGATAGAGACTCGAAAATAGCACGTAATAAGGGGAGAGCCCAGAAAAGCCCGAAAATTTCAAGTCATGCTGATGTTCGGGATAATTCTTAGGACCACGAAAGGCATGGAGCAGTTGATAGCCTACGGATCGATCGAAAACTTGCCACTCTACAACTGCAGGTTCGTTTTATGCCCCAAAAGCAAGGCCTAGGATATTATCAATCAAGTGGAGATTTTTCAGTGATCACACTTTGGAAGAATGGGCCGAATTGCAAAGTCGCCCTAATGTCAAACTAGGGATCCTTCATGTTACCTATGGCGTCATGATAGAGGTGATAAGAGTTATTTTGAAGAACCGTCAAATTTTCAGATCCTCTACATCCCATGTTTGGCGGTAATGCTGAAAAAGGACTACTTCAAGCATTCCTGCTTCAAAATTATGTCTTTTCTTGGCCTCGTCGACATGGGCAACATAGGTAAGTGTTTCATTTTTTTTTTCGATTCTCTTTCAAGTGATATACATTAATGAAAAAATACTTTTCTGCTCTCCAAATGCATAAATTGATTTCTTCTAAAAGCCTTTTTTGTTTCGAAACTCGACCCCACGTGCTTTCTTTTTCGAACGGGGTTTCCTACTTATTCTCATAAAGCCGTTGAGAATGAGAAGAGAAAGGTTCGCCAACTCCAAAAAAATGCAAAAAAACGAATATGTAAAGTTTGGTCTATCGAATTGTTAAATTACTCAAGGCAAAGGTTTAGTTGCACTTTTTTTTCAATACTAGCGACGAAATCAATTTGAAAAGTTGCTTATTCTCGCAGAAAAACTGGAAATCAGAAAGAAAATCATAAACAGATTCTCATGTAAATCGGAAGGCTGAAAAAAAAAATTATTCTTAGAGCTGTTCCTCACATTCTTTTTTAAGTTGCAAACTCAATCCTGCACGGATCTTGGCTCATCAAAGGCGTATTTTTCTGCCAGTACCCAACTTTTCTTTACGTTTCCGGAAGTTACGTAGTGGGTGAGTCAAGGAAATTCTCTCGAATACTTCTGAAAAAATAACTTGAAGGAATTTGGGCCTGTGAATGTATGACGGCATTGTTACTGGCTTCGAATAGAGTTCTAGACATTGTCTGGAACAAGAAATACGACTTCATATTCGAAGGGTGCGTCAATAGAACGTTTTAGATAAAACTAGGAGATTTCAGAAAGTTCCTGAAAGTACTTTTTTTGCTGCCAATCATCTATGGCCTCTATTTTTTTTTCTTCACGACACCTGCCATTTTCAACTCCCTTTATGGGTTATGGCTTTTTGATCCTCTCGTCTTCGGAACTAAATCAAACGAGGTGAGAAAACTTGAATGAATTTTCAAGTAATTCATTTTCCAACAGTACAAGAACGTATCGCATTCGGTGAACAATATCCTGGTGGTATTGGTCATTTGCTCATTATATTTAGTATTTTTCTGTGGTGTAGACGGCCGATTGAAAGGACAGAGCAACCAGAGAGCGAAGTTCCAGAGACAGGTTTGGTCCATTTAGCACCGATTTCACCTCCTTTTTTGGCTATTTTTACTCATCAGATCTTCATCCAAACATTCCTAATCTGCGCCGTCAACCTATTCGCCTCGACCGCCTACGTTTTCGTTCAATTTTTCTCGGTCCCGCCTTGGTTTGGAATAGCGGTTCATACATGTTGGCAACTCGGAACAGGTTTCTTTTACTCTTTCCATGAAACTTCAAATTCTTCAGGAGTCCCAGTTTTTTTCTACTTTATGATCAACAAGACGATTCGGGATGAAATATTTGGCTTCTTCAAAAAAGTGAGTGTCAGAAAAATTTAAATGATGATCTTTTTTTTTGCGGAAATTGATGGAAAAAACGTCGTCTATCGTCGAGCCGAGAAGTCTTGCCCTATATATGTGATAAAGTTTTCAGTCAGAATAAATCGTTAAAACTTTATCGACCCCTAAGTAGTTGTACTCTTATTAATCTAAGCTAAAAAAAATTAACGACTCTTTTAGCAAAAAAAAAAATCTCAATGCAGAGCAGTTATATTGAATCTATCAGAACACGTACTGCCCAGTGCAACCGACTGAAAAACTACTTGCGCTGAAATATATCCTATAACGCTAAAAGTCGATCAAATTTAAAACCGGCCATGCAGCTTTTTCAAGTTTTCATAAATCAAAATAGATGTTTTTCATTGATATATTTCGAAAAAAGAGCTTTCTATCGCTAAGAAATCAGAGGAATCAAATTAGAAAGAAAAATCAGCTTTATTTCAATGAAATAATCATTCCCCTGTGAATCAGACCCTCATTAGTATTTCTATCGAGCTTTGAAAATGGCTAGTCTCCGTCAGAAGTTGTTTTTGCGACTCGAATTTCTAGATTCACAGGTTTATTGCCCTCGGAGTTATTACAAAGAAACGATTTCAGCTGACTTTTCGTCCTATATCACCTGACTCTCTTTATTATTATTAGTATTATAAGAAGTAATTCAGCTCCATTGTTATTTCTGAAAAAAGCCATGGAGCAGTTGATTGTCTACGGTTCCATCGATAACGTGCCTCTCTACAATTGCAGGTTCGTTTCATAATCCATCTTGCTAAACTCCTAACTCCGCATCCTTGAAACTAATGTGAAAACCAGAACCAGCCGGGAAAAGATTTGAAGTGGGAGATCAGAATCTCAAGGTGGTTGAGCTTCCGATGTTTCTTTTTCATTTTATAGTAGAGTTCTCAAAACTTTTTTTTTTTAAAAAACGCTTCGCGTTACCTTTTCGTCGCAGTAAATTTATCAAATATTATTGAAGACGACAAAAGTGTTCGGAAAAAAAACCAGATGGAAAAACTCAACTTTTCAAAACGCAGCTTCTTTGAATCTTTTAATTCCCGCTAAAAAACACTTCGCGGTCGTTACGTGTTACTAAAGTAGACTTCCAACAACGGTGTTTTGATTTAAGCCTAACAGACCATAAGTATTAATATTTCAGTGGTCAAACTTTTGAAGAATGGGCCGAAATGCAAAGCCGTCCTAATGTAAAACTGGGAATCTTCCATGTTATCTATGGAGCTATAATAGAGGTGCATCAGAATCTGGTGAATAATCTTCAAAAGAAATTTTAGATCCTCTACATTCCTTGTTTGGCTGTGATGATGAAGAAGGAATATTTCAAGCATTCCTGCTTCAAAATCATGGTTTTTCTCGGCCTCATTGACATGTGCAACATTGGTCAGTTCACGCATAATATCTTCCCTGGGACGTAAGATAAGTAGAACCACATCGCACTATTGTTGTTCCGTGTTCAAAGGGATTTCCCTGAATTGGAAAATGCTGTCAGAGATTAGAAAAACAACGGCGAACTTCGTGGAACCGATTCAATTACGGAACTCAAATGGGTTTCTTTCAAGAAGCGTAGTTTGAAAAGCCAATTAAGTTTCGAAATAACTATTCTAACAAGTACTAATTGCTTTTTTGAGCTTTTATATAAATAAAGAGAATTAAAAAAATTGGTTATTAAGCTGCGAGCTCAATACTGCACGGATCTTGGCTCATCAAAGGCGTATTTTTCTGCCAGTACCCAACTTTTCTTTATATCAGTGGATGTTCTGCACTAGGTAAAAATATTCTCCTAAAAACCTCTTAAACGGGCGAACTTTCAACCGAACCCATTCTTTCCAAATCGGTTAATTATCAATCCGAATCGGATATATTCAACCGAATCCTAGAAAATGTCCAAACAAACTTCCGAATCAGGTTTTCTATTCGAATCGGCCAAAAAAAAATGAAACCAATTTTTATTCAAATTTTTTTTTTCTATTCACTTTTATTTAGAATTACTGTGTAATCAGAAATTTAGTGTGACTGCGTCTGTGAAAGATAAAGGTAGTACAGGTGAAGCCCATCAAAACTTGAGACTGTCCAAACTATTTCTGTAGCTCAGATCTCAACGTGAGTTCATTCCAAATTTCAGTATGACGGAAGTAATTTGGAAGTAGAAGATGGAATACACCAACAGGTGAAGCAGTCACACTAAATTTCTGAGTATACAGCGAGTCTTAATGAAAGTAAATAGCAAAGAAAGAAAAATTTGAATGAAAATTGATTCATTTTTTTTTATTTGACCGTTTCGGATAGAACACCCGATTCGGAAGAATATTTGGACATTTTCAAGGATTCGGTTAAATATATCCGATTCCAATTGATAATTAACCGATTAGGAAAGAATGGATTCTGTAGAAAGAAGACCTTTATACGTTTCTTTTCAAAGGGTTATGGGCTTGCGGATGCATGATAGCTTTAATGTTAGCTACTAATCGAGTATTGGATATCGTTTGGAAGAAACAGTTCGAATTCTTATTCGGAAGGTTTGGTCGATAACCAAAACCTGAATAAATAAAACGAAAGCTACAGGTACTTTTTGCACATTCTCTTCGTTTTGCCGATTCTTTATGGTCTCTATTTTTTCTTCTTCACTACGCCCACCGTTTTCAACTCTCTTCATGAGCTGTGGTTCCTGGATCCATTGGTTTTTGAGAACAGATCAAATGAGGTACAAAAAGTTAATGATCTTGATTTCTTGATTGATTTTTCTCAACAGTACGCCAACATGTCGCATACTGTGAATAATATCCTTGTCGTAGTCGCGACTTGTGCACTATATTTGATATTTTGCTTCCGTATCGATGGGCGACTGAAAGGACAGAGCAATTCGAGAGCACGATTCCAAAAACAGGTATAGCTATTCACAATAGTCGTGCAAACAAGGTTCAATAAACCAGCTTGAACTACTGATGAAAAAATCTGAAAAAATTGAGTCCGAATGAGAACCCACTCTTTTTAATTTTTATTAGTTCCCTCGTTTATAAGTAGAAACTATATTCAGTTTCTCACTCAAAAATTTTTTTAAAAGTTAAAATTAGGTAAATCATTAAGTTAAATTTGAAGGATTAAGTCATACATCGGCTGGGTCGACCCCAGACTTTTGCGGGCGAAAAAAAATTGCATCAATTTGAGTGTTTTCTAAGATTTAGGTATCATTTGATGGCAATTTTTTCTCCAAAAAAAAAAAAATTTAACAGTGAAATCTGAATACTGTAAATGCCGCATCACGTATGTGTATCCAAAAACAGACGAAACAATAAAAAAGAAAGAAAAGAAACTTGCGAACTATCTTCATAAATGGCAAATTCGAAACTTTCCTAGGCTACTAGTTCAGATCCTCCTCCAAACTTCTCTAATCTGCGCAGCCAACCTTTCTGCCTCAATAACCTACGTTTTCGTGCAATTCGTTCCTGTGCCGGCTTGGTTTGGTATGGCGGCTCATGCAAGTTGGCAACTCGGCTCAGGTTTTACCGATTTTCAATTGAAAGCGCAAAGTTTTTCCAGGGTTCCCAGTTTTAGTCTACCTGATGATTAACAAAACGATTCGGAGCGAAATTTATGGCTGCTTCAAAAAAGTCACGAGTGGAGGTTTTGAAAAATTATCGACCGTGTTTCAGAAGACCACGAATCACTCATCTTCCATCGAGCCGAAAATTACTGGGATGAATGTTCAATTAGAGACAATAAATTGATTGAAAAACAAATAAAAGACCCGTTTCGTGAGGATCAAAAAGAAATTCGATTTTTATTTGTGATAAATCGTTGAATATTGAAAGATCTCAATAAAGTTTCATGTTTCATTTCATTTGTCTAAATCTGGCTAGAATTGATCAAAATGGTCTTTCAAATGTATATTAATTGGTTCATTTTTGTTTTCTAGCGCTGGAATGTTGCAATTGATGGGCGAACGTTCGAACGTGAAGCGGTTTATCAGAACTCTATAAAAAAAGCAAAAAAATGATCAAAAAAACTGAAGGTCTTGTACTTCAGGCTGCGTGGCCTGGCCCTTATTCAAAGTTTTTCCTTAAAAAAAATAATTTTTTTATTAGTTTAACCATGGTTTTTTTGAACTTGAGGTTTAAAAATTAATCAAAGAGTAATTTTTTGCCGTTGAAAAAACCTGATGTTTGATTTGAAGATAATGTGTTTTCGATTTTTCTATTTTTTACGATCATGTACTTTTGTTATCAAAATACACCCACATTGTACCTAGACCCCAGAGAATATATTGAGACATTATTTTATAATTTCCGGAGCCGAAAATTGAGAAGAAGAACGAGAACTTGACTTTTGAACGGTTTTTAAGCCACTTTATGTGGTAGGATGGTATACAAAGAAAAGCAGGTACAAATATTCTAGATGAAATTCGCGAGAATATTGTTTTCTGCTTTTTGGGGCGCGCCGTAGCGCAACAGGTTGTGTGTCTGTCTACGGTCCACAGGGTCACAAGTTCGAGATCCGTCTCGACCCAACCGAGGGGTTTAAGAAATGTTGGTAGTGGGAAACCACGACTTCCAAAATCCCTAGCCTTCACACACAAGGACGGATATGTCACTCGAGCCAGTCCACTGATATCAGGATAGGACCTCGGCTAATCGACTTGGGCGCCGACGCCGCTCAAGCGGTACAAAGGCGTGGGAAGAAGAAGAAGGATATTGTTTTCTGCTTTTTGACGATGATGTACTCCTGTTATCAAAATACATTCATCAAAGCTCTAGAGAATAGCTTGGCAAGCCTTTTAATCATATCTTAAACGATATAAATAAGAAAAATTTAAGCTCCGCGGTGAAAAAAATCTTTCAGTTTTCGGTTTGAAATCAGTTATGGAGCAATTGATAGTCTACGGTTCAATTGAGAACATGCCACTCTATAACTGTAGGTCAGTTCAAATTTAAATTTCAATTGCTCTGAATTCCAAAAGGCCTTGGGATGTCGCGCTTCATTTTGGCCTCTAGGAAAGTGATTCCAATCGGAATTAATTCTCTAGTCGCACCCGACTCTGAGCGACTTTTTTTTCCTATGCTACAAGACAGGGCAAATACTTTGTATTTAAGTGCTTTGAAAAAACTTCATTTTGTTAAAAAAAAAAATGGTCTCGAAGCGTTTCCAATCGTTCTCAATGATATTTTTTATTTTTTTTGTAATCTATGCGTCTTTAAACTACCCAGTGAAGAATTCAGAATAGAAAACTAGTTTAGTCGAGCCGGAAGGCTGGTTTGCGGTATTCTTCCCCAATAATTTCTCTTATACGTACTAAAAGTGTTACGTTCAGTGGTCATACTTTGGAAGAGTGGGCCGAGAAGCAAAGCCGCCGTAACTTTAAAACGGGAGTAATTGACTTTATTTATGGAATTACAATGGAGGTGAGAAAATTTCTAATATCTTTTAGAAAATTCCAGATTCTCTACATTCCTTGTATCGCGGTGATGATGAGAAGGGAGCATTTCAAAATATCGTGTTACAAAATCATGGTTTTACTGAGCTTCATTGACATGGGCTGCATGGGTGAGTCTACTCAATCACACCCTTCATCGCAAAAATTTCTGAGTTGTCTGCGCTCTCTTCTCTCTCATAGACCAAGACATGAACATATAAAAAGAGGAAGAGCTCAAACAAATCAGAAAATTTCAAGCTGAGAATGATTTAATACAACGGAAATACCGAAATTTGGAGTTTTTAGTGGATAGCTCAATACTACAAGGAATTTTTCTCATGAATGGCTTCTATTTCTGCAAATACCCGACATTTTTCTATGCTTGTGGGTCTATCGGATTAGGTGCAGAACGTTGTTGTTTCAAATGATTATAAAACTCCTAAATTCCAGGAGTCTGGACTTCTGAATGTATGACGGCCCTGATGTTGGCCGCACAACGAGTTTTGGATTTGGTGTGGGCGAAAAAAGTCGATTTTCTTTTTGGAGGGTGACAGGAAGTTGAAAAATCATTCAAGGGATCCGATTTTACAGTTACCGATTATACCTCGTCTTTTCGTTGCCTATTATCTACGGACTGTATTTCACATTATTCACAACGCCCGTTATTTTCAATTCAGTTCATCAGTTATGGTTCCTGGATCCTTTCGTCTTTGAAAACAGATCAAACGAGGTTTTAAAAATTGAAATAATCTGTTGAATCAAGTTTATGAATAGTACGCCAACATTTCGCAAACTGTGAATAACATGATCGTGGTGGTAGCCACTTGTACACTATATTTGATATTTTGCTTGAATATCGACGACCGATTAAAGGCTCAAAGTAGCTATAGAGCAGAGTTCCAAAAGCAGGTAGGGTTATTCGGATGCCATATTCTCAGGCGAATCCCGGGAAAACGTTCAAGCTTCTGCTTTCTGTTCCTTGAAAGACAACGGAAGCTTTCCAGTAAGTAGTCAAATGCCTTCCACTTACCTTCCCAAAACCTCTACTTACATTCCAGAAATCTACTGGAAGGCTTCTGGCAGGCATTTTCTTTTCATTTCAAAGATCTTTCATCTACCTTCTGAACATCTTTTCAAGGCCTTCTGAAAACTTTCTAGCTTCCATTCACCTTCCAGCCTCTTGCTGGTTACCTTCCCAGGATTCGCCCTAGCAGTATTGTCACAGATTGCCCACAGATTTTCGTTTTTCCCTTTCCAAGAGTTTCTTAACCATATGTTCAAAGCATCCAAATATTCTTCTAGGCTATTTTTGTCCATGCCATGTTCAGATGTTCTTGCAAACTTTCCTAATATGCGCCGCCAACCTATTCGCCTCAATCAACTACACTTTCATCAACTTTTTTCCTGTGCCAATGTGGTTTGGCCAGGCGGCTCATATGAGCTGGCAGTTTGGATCAGGTCTCGGTTTTTCTTCTAGCTTCAAAATTGAACAATTCTTCAGGGTTTCCCGTTTTCGTCTACCTAGCGATCAATAAAACCATTCGAAAAGAAATTTTTGGCTGCTTCAAAAATAAGGTTACTGGAACAAAAATTGTTGAGAATAAAAATAATGACTTTCAGAAATCACCAATTTCGTCAACTATTGACCCGAAAGGTCCTGGAAGTTATGTCCAATGAGAAAAGGCCAAAAAGTACTCATTGTATTTAATGGATTATGGAAATAAACTCAAATATTGCTACGCGCGAAATTTTCGCATTAATGCTTTCATTTTTCTATTTTATAGGCCATTCCGCGCCAGCTTGTCACGTTTTCCTTTCCGCCAAAAATGGCCAGGTCAAATTTGACCAACTTTCGCTTCAAGACCTCTGTTTCTTTCCGTTATAGAAGCAGAAATTTGATCTAATTTGGTATACGGTCTTTTTGGGGGAAAGAAAAAAGTGACAAGCTGGCGCGGAATAGGCAATATTGCAATTTGAATTGAAAATGAGCGTCTATAATGATTTCTTTGGCTCAAAGATTTGAAAAATAGCTGGTTTTGAAAATGGCTCAATGCGTCGCGGTTTTTCAAACAGTGCGATGAGAAACCACTAGAGGTTGCGCGACCTTTTTATCTTCATTTTTTTCTTGAAAAAAGCTGCGCGCTACTGGATATGGCGTACTTACTTGATGATTCGAAGCATTTCAAGCCGCAAAGTAAGAAAAATCCCAACTATTGTCAAATATCTTTTCTTTTTCCTTGAGTTTATTTTTTCATGACCTTTTGTTATCAGAGAAGAATCAGCTGGCGCCGGGTCCCTAGAGCATAACTGAAAAGGCCACCTGATTTTCTCCTTCGATCCTAAAAATATTTATCGGGAAAAAAAAAGATTCTGCAGTCTTTATTTCAAAAATCTTCATGGAACAGTTAATTGCCTACGGTTCTATCGAAAATATGCCACTCTACAGTTGCAGGTCAGTTCCAACTAAGGTAATTCCCCGCTTCTCTAACTTTCTGGTAACAGCTGCGTTCGCGCTGCGTTTTTGTCTGCATTGGCGGTAGATAGAGCACCCGACATTCTCCATGCACTGTTACCAAAGCTGTGTTTTCAAGCCGAATCAAAACAAATTGAACTAAACTGTTACTATAAAAATTACGCAATTTTTTTGACCTTTTTGTATCTTAAATTCATGATACCAATTGCTGGCTCGATCAAAAAGCCAATAAACATAGTTTCAAGTCAATCGCTTCGCGACCGTAATGCATTGGATTAAAACTTTCTTAAGAAACAAATTCCTCAACTTTAGTGGCCATACTATGGAAGAATGGGCAGAAAAACAAAGCCGCCGAAATGTCAGAACGGGAACCATCGACTTTGTCTACGGAATTGTAATAGAGGTGCAATAAATTAGAGCATCTTCAGAAAAAATATAAATAGAGATTTTAGATTCTCTACATTCCCTGTATCGCGGTGATGATGAGAAAGGAGCATTTCAAAATATCTTGTTACAAAATCATGGTTTTTCTCAGCATCATTGACATGGGCTGTATTGGTAGGAAAATCTACAATTTTTTCACCCAGAGAGGATCTTCCAGTTGATAGTTCAATCATACAAGGACTTTTTCTGATAAAAGGCGTCTTTTTCTGCCAATACCCAACAGTGCTCTACGTTTCGGGCTCCATCGCAATGGGTACACTTTTTTTCTTCTTCAAATTATTATTAAATACCTACTTGAAGGAATTTGGGGTTGCGAATGTATCGCGGCTCTAATGTTAGCTTCAAACCGAGTTTTGGATATACTGTGGGGCAAAAAAGCTGATTTCCTATTCGGAGGGTCGAAAAAAGCCTGACGAACATACCGATTTCGTTGTTACAGGTACCGATTGAACATCCTCTTTCTATTGCCCATTTCCTACGGTCTTTATTTCTCTTTTTTCACTACTCCGGCCATTTTCAACCCGGTCCATGAGCTATGGTTTTTCGACCCTATGGTCTTTGAAAATAGGTCAAATGAGGTTTAAAAAACTGGAAATTTCTTTTTCAAATGCAGTTTTGCAGTACACGAACATGTCGCAGGCGGTTAACAATTTTCTAGTGTTAGTTACTACGTTTGCACTATATTTGGTGTTTTGCTGCAGTATCGATGGAAAGTTGAAGGGACAGAGCAGTCAGAGAGCTCAATTTCAAAAACAGGTTAAGGCAACAATTTTTGGGCCTTTGAAATTTTTTACTCCACTTGTCTCAATATTTGGGCTGAATAACAAAAATTCACGTTCTTATCCACCCTGAGTCAAACTCTAGCCTGCAGTCTTGAAAAGGGTACATTTTTTGAGCTTTCCCTGTGGAGCGCAAATGCCCCTTGCTACTCGGCTATTTTTCCAGATTTTTCTCCAAACTTTCCTAATCTGTGCAGCCAATATGTTTGCCGCAATAAACTATGTCCTCATTCAATTTCTTCCTCTTCCAACGTGGTTCGGTCATGCGGCTCATATGAGCTGGCAGTTTGGTTCAGGTATTTTCTTTCTAAAAAAAAGGTCATTTCACGTTATTGTTGGGAATCACCCGAAATTTAGTTCGATAACTCTTTGATATACCAGACAAACTTTCTGTAAGCCTCACTCTGCAAAACTCCCTATTTCATGAGAAAGGAAATATCAAAGCCCACGAGAAAGCCATTAAAATGCGTTTCAATAAGCTTTAAGACAGCTTTTTTCGATGAAATTTGCAAGTTGAGACTTTCAGGAGTTTCATAAAGTACAATAAGGAAAAGTCTGAAATTCTGAACAGACTCCCAAATGTAAAGTTAAATAACTATCCTACTGAACTTCGAATTTGAATGATTCTTCAGGATTCCCCGTTTTCGTCTACCTTGTGATCAACAAAACCATTCGGAAAGAAATTTTCGGCTGCTTTAAAAGGAAGGTCGACTTTTCTAGGAAAACGCTAGTTTACAAAGCTGTTCTCAGAAATCTCCGAATAACTCGTCTACCATTGAACCGGGTCCTGGGGTTTATATTCAATGAAATACGACATTGTGTTCAATTCAATTCAATTTATTCAGTCTTCAGAATAAAATAGAGAAAATCTCTGCTGAATCATGGTATAATCGAAGAGTTAGGCGTCGGCCCCGGTTACGATCCACAAAAAAAAAATCCAAAATATGCTCTGTATTTTCGTGTTTGAGTGAAATAAATAAATAAATAAATCGTTGTCCAATAAGTCCCGGCGTGACAGCTAGAGTTGGGAAATAATGTGGGCCCGTTGGTAGTGCCAACGAATAAACTGCTTCACCATGTTGGAGCAGTACAGCGCCCAGCTTGTCTAGGGCTGACGGGCGTCGGAATATCCCATGAGAGAGCGGCAATGAGACCGACCAGTCGACGTGATGAAATGAGATAAAAAATTAAAAAAAAATTGTTTTTTCAAAAAAATTTTCTTTCTGTATTTATCGATCTTTTCCGAGTTAGAAAGACAGATATAGCCTGTGTACCACGACTTGGAATTTCAACAAACGACATTCCGCTGTGCCGCTGCGCGCCTTTGCGAACCTTGGTCGCGCTTTTAATTTTTTTTTTCTTTTATTAAGGTACTCTATTTTCATGTACTCCCCCAGCAATAACAGTCAATTGAACGCGTGACCTAGATTCGAAAGACGCTTCGCGAACCCACGGAGCGAAACAGCGGAATGTCGTTCGGTGAAATTTCTAGTCGTGGCACACAGACTATAAATGAATGACACTAACACTAAGAATAACTGCCGAGATAAACGCGAGACACTGGCGGTACATTGACGAGCTCGCAAACATCTCGCTTTTTTTCTCGCGCCGGTTTCGCATTAGTCTGGGCGCGAGCTCGCATTTTCCTAGGCGCGAGCTCGCATTTCTCTCGCAATTTGAAAATTTCCGAAATGCAAGATAAATGCGAGATGGCGCCGAGAAAAATGCGAGGTCGCGCCGAGAGAGATGCGGGATCGCGCCTAGAAAAAAGCGACATTTTTGCGAGTTAGTCAATGTACCGCCACCGAGCTCGCGTTTATCTCGTCAGTTATTCTTAGTGGATAACACAACGATTAGATTTGTTTTTCTCGAAAAATGACTCCAAATGATGCCATTTGACGTAGCCTTCGTTAAAACTGTTCAAAACCATTGGGAATTTCGCATTTGTTCTCAAAACCTTGAGGTCAATGTCCTCATGTTATTTCGAGCATTGGGTTCCACTTAAAGTACCTGCTTGGAAGCCACCTGATTTTTCTGAATTAATTTGGTATTCTCCATTGTTTTCTTGGCTCCAGTTGGTGATAAATAATGGAACAATTGATATCCTACGGATCTATCGATGAAATGCCAATGTATAACTGCAGGTTGGTTTTTTTATTTCGCAATTCTACAGATAAAAAATTTTTCTCAGCGGCCGAACTATTGAAGAATGGGCCGAAAAGCAGAGTCGTCCTAATATCACACTGGGAATCGTTGACTTGGTCTACGGGATCATAATCGAGGTTTCCTTTTAAAGCTTTGAGAGAATAAGAAATTTGAGGTTGTATTTGAGCCCTACTCCAAACCAGAAAAAAACATTCTTCATTCCGATTTTGCTTCCAATCGATTCTCTTTATCTTTGAAGTGGATGAAATGAAGGTTCTTTGAGACGTCAAAATCCGGCTAATGAGAAGTTTCCTCTGTTTTGAAAACAAAGATCAGAGCACTGTGAAGCATGTCTCAGTGAATTCTCAAAACTTATATTGTTGTACTGCCTCTCGGAGTAGTTTCGAACCTTTGCAGATTCTCTACATTCCTTGTATTGCTGTGATGATGAAGAAGGAATATTTCAAGCATTCTTGCTTCAAGATCATGGTTTTCCTCAGTTTCGTCGACATGGGCTGCATAGGTACAAGTTCTACTTCAAAATAATTCATGCAAGACGACTTGAAACGCTTTGGCGGCCTGTAGAGAAGTTCAAAACGCGCTGCGGTCCCGGCGGTGACAATCTCCAAACTTTTCAATGATGTCGCGCGCAAGTCGTTTGTGGTCTGGAGCGCCTCAGACAAGTCGCTTCACAGCCAGAACGCGCTGACTTGTTCTCAGTGCGGCCAACGTGTTTCAAGTCGGGGAGAGCCAACAAAAAATCTACAAAAAGTCGGTTTTTCAAGTTATCAGTTCAATTCTGCATGGGATCTTCCTCTTTGAAGGCTTCTTTTTCTGCCAATCTCCAACATTTCTCTATTCTTGTGGGGCCATCGGACTAGGTAACGTTCTCTTTTTTTTTTAATCTTTGTTAAATTACTACTTTTAGGGGTCTGGACTTGTGAATGCATGACAGCATTAATGCTGGCTGTTAATCGATTCCTGGATGTTGTTTGGAAAAATCAATTTGATCTTCTTTTCGGAGGGTTTGAGCCCGAAAAAATAATTAACTCGAAACATAAAATTCTGATTCTACAGACCTTTCCTGAAGCTGTTCTTATTGATACCTGTTTTCTACGGCCTTTATTTCACTTTCTTCACTACACCCGCTATTTTCAACTCGGTTCATCAATTATGGTTCTTCGATCCCCTTGTCTTTGAAGATAGATCGAACGAGGTTGGAGAAATTGAGAATTTTCTTCTTGAAATATGAATTTCGAACAGTACGCCAACATGTCGCAAGTGGTCAACAACATCCTAGTCGTAGTGGCGACTTGTACGCTTTATTTGGTCTTTTGCGTCAGCATCGATGGCCGGCTGAAGGGACAGAGTAGTCAAAGAGCTCAATTCCAAAAACAGGTAACGAAAGAGGACTTTACAGTTTTTCACAAAGTCCACAAGGGAGGTCTTTTCTTTGTAGTTTAGAACTTCCTATAACTTTACCCAAACTATGAATTTATCGATAAAGACTCCTGACAGTCGCTACTAGGTCAACATTTAAATTTTGGAGTCTCCCTCCTTAATCGGTTATTGTTGGCCACTTTTTTTCAGATTTTCCTCCAAACTTTCCTAATCTGTGCGGCTAACCTTTTCGCTTCTTTCAACTACGTTTTCCTACAGTTTCTGCCTGTCCCACTTTGGTTCAGCATGTTGGCACATGCAAGCTGGCAGTTCGGATCAGGTCTGATTTCTTAACTTTCGAAGCAATTCAATGTTTCTTCAGGATTCCCAGTTTTCGTGTACCTGATGATCAACAAGGCCATCCGAGGGGAAATTTTCAATTTTTTCAAGGGAAAGGTTGTCTAAGCTGGGAATTTTCGAAAACTTCTAAATTTTTAGAGTTCACCGAAAAACTCGTCTGTCGTCGATCCGAGAAGTCCTTAATCTCAATAATTTGTTCATTAAGTGTTAAATTCGAACATTTGAAGATAAAGTTCTAGAAAAAGATCAAAAATTGCTTTGAACTCAGTGTTTTGAGCTTACAATCGTTGTTTTGAAGTTCACAGGACCGTCGGGAATTAACCTTTTTCTAAAAATTCTAGAGACTTTTGAAAAATTCGGAGAAACGGTAATGTCCTTGTGTTATCCCGTTATAAATAGCAGGTGACTTTGAAATAACGTCTCACCTGCCTATCTCTACTATTATAAAATCCTCTCCTATAGCTAAATTCTTCGCGTTATCAAATCATGGAGCAGCTGATGTTCTTCGGCTCCATCGAAAATATGCCCCTCTATAATTGCAGGTTAGTTACTTCTTTCACCAGCAGTGAAGCTCAAAACAATATAATTGATATTTCAGTGGTCACACTTTAGAAGAATGGTCCGAAATGCAAAGTCGTCGTAATTTCAAACTGGGAATCGTTGCCGTTGTCTATGGATTTTTGATAGAGGTGGGAAAGCCTCAAAATTCTCAACCCTTCAAAAAATCCCAGATCCTCTACATTCCTTGTTTGGCTGTGATGATGAAGAAGGAGTATTACAAGCATTCCTGTTTCAAAATCATGGTTTTTCTCGGCCTTATTGATATGGGTTGTATAGGTGAAATATTTATTATTCTGCAAAGACTTGAAACAGTCTTGTCTGCGCTCTATTATTTCACGTTTGAAGTGAGCTTCCGAGCAAAATAGATTTTGAAAAAAAAAACAGGTTTATCTCGAGGGAGGCAAAAAAAAAAAATGGCGGGAAAGTACTAGTTACATGATGTAAAAAAAGAGATTAGCTCCGATGAGAGATTGAGAGGCTCCAGACAGGCCTTACACTTTTATGTCGCCAAGAATCGTGTCTATAGTCTGTGTGCCACGAGTTGGAACTTCACCGAACGACATTCCGCTGTTCCGCTGCGTCGCGCAGCGTCTATGCGAGCCTCGGTCTCGCTTTGAATTGGTTCTCATTTCTGATAGATGGACTGTTCCACTAGGAACGCGTGTTGGTCGAGTTTTTCAAATAAAATAAAAATAAAAGACGCGCAAAGGCACGCAGCGGAACAGCGGAATGTCGTTCGGTGAAATTCCAAGTCGTGGTACACAGACTTATACCATATTTTTATAAAACCCTTGATGTTCCAGTTCAAAGTTCAATTCTGCATGGCTTTTTTCTCATCGAAGGCGTCTTTTTCTGTCAATCTCCAACATTTCTCTATTCTTGTGGGGCCATCGGACTAGGTAATTTTATTTCTTGAATACTCATTATGAACATTCAAATTACTCATCTTTAAATTTTTATTCATTTTTTTATTATGTGTGCTAACAATCGTTTGGGTGCCAAAGACTCGAGCTTTTTTTCATTCGAAATCTGTATCTCATTTCCTACCTTCATCCCTGGTCACTTTTCATGAATTAATATAATATTACAAACTTAAAGGCGTCTGGACCTGCGAATGTATGAGTGGTTTAATTTTGGCGCTAAATCGCGTGCTGGATGTTGTGTGCAAGAAACAATTCGACTTTTTATTCGGAAGGTTGAGAAGTTGAGAAAAGGTTGAAAGAGTTATACTTTACATATGTATAGGCGTCGAGTGTACCTCGTTCTATTGTTTCCTGTGATCTACGGTCTTTATTTCACTTTCTTCACAACGCCCGTCATTTTCAATTCAGTCTATCAGTTATGGTTCTTCGATCCCCTGGTCTTTGAGAATAGATCGAATGAGGTTGGAGAAATTGAGAATTTTCTTCTTGAGATATGAATTTCGAACAGTACGCCAACATGTCGCAAGTGGTCAACAACATCCTAGTCGTAGTGGCGACTTGTACGCTTTATTTGGTCTTTTGCGTCAGCATCGATGGCCGGCTGAAGGGACAGAGTAGTCAAAGAGCTCAATTCCAAAAACAGGTAAAAAATGATCAAGAAACGTTCTGCATCGTAAAATATTTTATGAGTGTTTACCTTCAAAAAATGCAGAAAAAGCTGAGAAAATGAAAAAAAAAAGAGAAATAGAAAGAAAAATCAAGTCCGCTGAATGTTACGAAACCGCAGCTGGTTTTGGCAAGATCTGATTGATTGAAACCTTGAAAAAAGTTATCATAATTTTTGATTCAGATTTTCCTCCAAACATCCTTAATCTGTGCGGCCAACCTTTTCGCTTCGTTAAACTACGTCCTTTTGCAATTTGTTTCTGTTCCTCTTTGGTTCGGTTTGGCGGCCCATGCGAGCTGGCAATGCGGTTCAGGTATAACTATTCGTATTTTCTGAGCATCCGCAAGAATAATGATTGCAAAAGTCCGTTAAAAACCGATTAATGTCTTCAGGATTCCCAGTTTTCGTCTACCTGACGATCAACAAAACCATTCGAGGAGAAATTTTCAACTGCTTCAAAAACCAGGTTGTTTTCATTGATTATCTAGATCTTTGAAAAAAAAACCTACTTACAGAAGTCTCCAAACAACTCGTCTACCATTGAACCAAGGACTCCACAAATTTAATGAATTGTGAGAAATCAACCAACTTCTGTTGTTAACTTTCAAAGAATAAATTGATGCTATTGATAAAGGGCTTATCTTATTCAACAATCTTTTGCAAAAACTCATAATTCAAAAAAAAAAAACTCAAGCATTATTACCAATCTGACGTTATCAGATACTTTTTTTCTCAGGTGATTATCTTTCTAATGATAAAGTAAAAAAATTCGCGTTCAATTTTTCGAAGCATCTTCTATTTTTTTCTGAAAATGACGTATTTGCAAGCTTGAATTTTTATGCTGTTTCCGGAAAAACTGATTAAAAAAACTTTGATTTTTAAAAAAAATGGGTTCTGGGAAAAAAATGTTATCTCATGGAGTTTTTCATTGAAATTTTAACAGTCTACTCTAAATCCATGAAAAGTTCTCAATTCCAAAAAGTCAAAACGAAAATCTTGAGATCGAAATTTTGAAAGTCTACTTTTCTGGCTTTATCATCACATCAAATTTAGGCGCCTCAATTTTCCAATTTTTAATTATCAAAGTTAATTTCAAAAGAGAATCTGATTTTAATTTAGAAATCACTGCTGAACTAGATCGAAAAACATATTGAGCAATTTGACAAACTAGCTGTACTGTTTTTTTAAAAAAAATAATATGAAGTTTGACAAGTCAGAATTAAAGACTTATTGCGTTTTCAAAGAACTTCAAGCCTATTTTAAATTTTTCCAAGTTCAAAATTTGTCTAGGTCTTCGTGACGTTATTTGATGTTATATTTTCATATCAAAATACAGTTTCAGATTCACGATTCGGAAAGCAAAGCAGATGAAAAGGTGAAATCCACAGATCAGACAAAAACGAGTCTTTTCAACGTCAAACGGTTTTCAATGAACTAACATCAGTTCAAAAGTTTTAAAGGTCATATTTTCCTTTCAAGGCACCTGATTGTCTCATTTAATTATGGATCTTAAAATAAAAAGGCAGCTTTTCCCTTTAAAGAATTTCCAGAAAGCATTCCAGTCTATATCCGTCATGGAGGAGTTGATAGCCTACGGTTCCATTGAAAATATGCCGCTCTACAATTGCAGGTCAGTTCCAACTTCAGTTCTCACGACTTGGAATAGTTCGACATGCGTCGCGGTTGCGCTGCGTTTTAGTTATTCGAAAAAAGTTGAAACTGATTTTCATTGAAAGACTGCATCCGACCGAGAGTGGCTTTCGCGCCATCTTATACAGGGTGCTTTGTTTTGTGGGAGCAGGTCAAAAAATGTCGAGGTATTTTTGTTTAAAACTTTCTCGGAAATGATGCGTTTTTTTTAACAAAATAATTTTTTTCTTTGACGTTGAAACTTTTATGAAACTTTGACATGGCGTACTTATTACAGGACTTATTCAAAAGTCGGAAATTGGTTTTATTTTTGCTAGGATCAGGATTTCCTAAAGTACGAATTCAACACAAGTTCAATTGGTGATTCCAAAATTGTTCTTATTAGCTGCGTCCGAGTTCTAGCGGTTTTTTTCATGCAATATGAAAAATACCGCTACGCGAAAACGTTTTTGATCATTTCGCAACCGCGACGCGTCGATTTTTTTCTTCGTATCCATAAAAATGATCCATTTTAGTGGCTATACTTTGGAAGAATGGGCCGAAAAGCAGAGTCGCCCAAACGTCTCACTGGGAATCTTCAATTTCATCTATGGCACGATAATCGAGGTGAAAATGTTGAAAAAGTTATTCAAATATTTTCAGGTCCTCTACATTCCTTGCCTGGTAGTGATGATGGGAAAGGAGCATTTGAAGTTATCTTGTTATAAAATAATGGTTTTTCTTGGTTTCGTCGACATGGTCGCTGTTGGTGGGGACGTAGGAACAGTTCAAGAGCCCAATTAAGAAATAACTTCATTAAAAGATAATTTAAGCGCAACGTACCTTCTAGTTTATATTTTGCTTTTCAAAAAATCAAAAGAAACTTGTCAGTTTTCTGGTTTTTTGCTAGAAAAAAGGCTGAAAAAGAACAAATGAGATTTTTGAAAAGGCTCTCTTAAGTGACAACAAAATTCAACTGATAAAATATTGACCTACCTGTCTCCTCTCAATCCCACAGTGTCTCTCCAGTCTTTCATTTGCTGTTCATTTGTCCATGATCTGTGATAGAAGAGAGCGCAGACAGGTCCCATTTCTCAATTAATGACGAATAATGTAAAAAAATAAACGTTTTATTCAGCACTGAGCTCTCTCATTCATGGAATTTTTGACGATAAAAGGCGCATTTTTCTGTCAATATCCCACATTCATCTACGTCAGTGGATCTAATGCCTTGTGTAAAATAACTTTCATAAGAAAATTTTCCAAATTTTAATAATTTTAGGCGTTTGGATTTTGGAATGTGCTTGTTGCTTGCTTCTGGCTGGGAATCGAGTGGTTGAGGTCGTTTGGAACAATCGATTCGATTACCTATTCAAAGGGTCCGTTCATACTACATGAAACTGGTCGCAGGGGGAATGGCTCTACATGTGAAGGAGCAACCGACCTGAAAGGACTCGCGCGCTGAGACATCGCAAAATGCTGATAAATATAAAGCCGGCAGCTGACAACATTCCAGCCGCAACGTTTTGATCAACCCCACTTGCGATCACGGATTTTGAACCAAATATTCACAAAAAAGATACTTCTAGGTATCGATTGGCCATTCTATTCCTGCTAACCATCTTTTATGGATTATATTTTTGGTTTTTCACGACCCCGCCTGTATACAGTTCCAAGCACCTGACCTGGATCCTTGATCCAGAAGTCTTGGAAGACGAATTCAACGAGGTTCTCATGCTCGCGGTCGCATTTGTAACGGCTCAAAGCGTGATGGTTAAGACCGACCCAAAACGACTCTCGCGCATGTTCATCAGCAATTATTTAAAAAAAAAGTTGCCAGCCTGAGCCATTTCAAATGCGACCAAAAGTCAGTCCGAAGAATGTATAACTTTTAATCCAGTACTCCAACGTTTCGTGGACCGTTAACAACATCTTATTTGTTATTTGCACTAGTTTCTTGTACCTATCTTTTTGCATATCGATGAACGGTCGAATGAAGGCGCAACAGAGTATTCAAAGAGTCAAATTTCAGAAACAGGTAAAATTTTTAGAAAAAAATACGAAGATAGGGTGTTGTAGAAAGCGAAAAATAGCTTAGTAAATCAAGTCCATTATCAATTAGGAAAAAAAATCACAGGCTATGATTTTTTTAAATGAAAAAAACTTTGAAATGAATAAACCTATTATTATTATCGCAACATTTAACCTGAATAATGTTCAAACTTTGAGTTATCCTTTTTTTAAGGCTCAAATTTTTTTGATTTTTTTGTTAATATGTTACCTCTACTCTTTTTCCTTTCTCCGCCTAATTTTTTTCGCGACATATTTTTTATTTATAATTCAATTTTTTTCCGTAGAGTGCCCATTCGCCTTTTTTTTCTCCTCTTTTCCTTTTTTTCACAAGATCTCTTTTCCAGATCTTCCTACAAGCCTTTCTAATCTGTTCTGCTAACCTTCTCACTGCAATCAACTATGTTTTTTTGCAATTTATTCCTGTTCCTCTTTGGTTCGGTTTGGCGGCACATGCAAGCTGGCAAATATTGTCTGGTTCGCTTCTTTTTATCCTTATAAAAAAGATTTTAAAAGTTGAGGAGTCCCAGTAATGATCTACCTCTCGATCAATCACACGATTCGGAATGAGATTTCCGGCATTTTCAAAAAAAAGGTTATCAACTGACAGAAAGATAAGTCTGAACATGCATTCAAGAAACTCAAGGAAAATGCAAAATTACTGACAGGACCGATAACTGATTATTGAATTACTGAGAAATGACAAAACAAAGTTTTCAGAAAACCGCGGTTTGGTCTACGGTGGCTCGTTCGGGAAGCATTTAATCAAGATAATAAACATTTTTTCTTCCATTTTCTTTCACCAAAGTTACCTTGTTGCACACTGAAAGCTTGCTTGATATAGAATTCTTCACAATATATCTCAGCAAACTTTTCTCAAGCATTTTCTTTTTTCTTACCTTTTTCTTACATTCTCTTACCGATATTTTCAAAAAGTGAAAAAAAAAAGTCCACAAGATCCACAAATTACATATTTTCATGTTCTTTGGATCACGTGGATTAGTGCGACTATTTCGAGAGTTTTCGCAATAAAAGCACCGTCATTTATAAGATAATTTGATCACAAAAAAAGATTTAAAAATGTTCAATATCTTGGTGTTAGCAAAGAGGGCAAGTAGAAATTAACATTGGTTAGACTTTACACGAAGACTTCCAATTTAGACAAATTTTCTTTTCTGAAAAAATGAAAAAATAATGCAAAAGTTCTAAGAATGAATTATGAAACACTTTCCCAGATAAATTTAATGTATCGCCCTCCCTGAAAATAGACAAGTTAAGAAGTAATTTTTCAATCGGAAATAGTTAGAATACTCCGAAATTTGGAAGTCTCAAGCTTTTTCTAGAAATTAATGAGTTTTTTGTTGCTTTTTCCCTTTTGGATCTTATAAAAGCCCTCTTTTGCTTGACTAGACTTTACCTTCAATTTTGGGAAGAAACATTTTACTTTTCCTTTGTAAATCATAGTCCTTGCCATATATGAGACATTAAGGTAGTTCAAAATAATGCTGAATATATACATTTAAAAATAATTGCGCGTTTCACCTTCTATTCGCAGGTGCACAGCCCACATTTCCCAACAAAAATGACAAGGAAACTACTAACTTCAACGGGAAAAATTTATAACTTAATAGGAGAGATCAAATCAGAAAAGCAGTTAAAATTAACTGATAATCAAATTTACAAGCTATGAGTTCGAGAAAAGAATAAAAATAAAAACAGATTTTTTTCAAAAAAATTTAGGAATGACAGTAAAAACATTATTGACAGAACTGATTAGGGGAATTCTTTTTATGAACTTGAGCTTTAAGAAAAACTTTAACACATTTTTTAGATATACGGAAATAATAAATATTTTTAATACAAATGATATGTAATATTTAAATTCATTCCAGTTTTTTTCTTCAAAATTATCATTTTTTTGTTGCCAGACTGATTTTTTTCTTCTTCTTTTTTTAGAGCTCTAATCACTTGAACTTTTTGAATCCCAGAAGGAATCTAGAATACGCTCACAATTTTGAATATATTCCGCAAAAATTTCAATTTTTCTTCTTCTCACGGAGTTAAAAAAAATCTTGCCGGAAATTAGAATGCTTCTTTTTTGAGAGGGTGAGAATTCAAATTTGACAATGATACTTTCTTCGAAAACGATCACTAGTTATTCTTTTTGAACTTTTATTTTCAAATCCTCTCGACTTATTTTTTGCGTTTTTCAAGCGTTAAAGTATTTTTTTTTTTTGAAGCATGGGTGAAAACTACGGTATCTGTTTGATATTTTTGATCCTAAGGAACATTGATTTTGCCTCTTTTATCGAAATAATCAACAAAAAACAAAGCTCCATTCAAGTTTTTCGTCTTTCGATCCATTGAGAGGGCGGGGCCGCGCCCACTTTCTTAGTGGCCAAAGAGATATTTTGAAAAAAAAAAGAGGGAGGTTCTCTAAAAGCTTTTTATAACTTCATTCTTTTCTTGGATCATTTTTCAGAAAATCTCTTTTTACCTAATAAGTTTGAACAATCTTTTTCAGCTCTGAATTCATTTTCTGGCGGAAAAACTTAAAAAATAGCCTACAAAAGCTAAACTTTCCCACGAAAGTGTGTGTTTCCATTATCTCTCCGTGTGGTAAGATGTCTGGTTCACTACAAGCTTACGAAGAAAATATCAACTCTCCAGATTTAGACACATGAATAGAAAGATTATCCAGAAAAACGTGTACGTCTAAATGTTTCGAGTATTCAACTCGTAAAATCGTAGACACTTTTGTTCGAGGAAATCAGATATAAAAGGGATTATCTTAGAGTAAAGAACCAGATGGACCAAATCTTCAAGTACGGCTCGGTTGAGGCGATTCCGCAGTTCAATTGCAGGTTTGTTTTTTTCTTTTTTGAATAGAAAAATGAATGAATTCAGCGGAAAAACCGTCGAGGAATGGATAGCCCTTCAAGGAGTTCCTCATATTGGTTTGGGCCTCGGAATCATGTTCTACGGAGTTTTGATTGAGGTTTGAAACTTCACAGATTCAAAATACAATTATCTTTTTTTCACTGTCAAAGTTCTATAAAAGCGCCTCAAATTAATGTTTAAATTCCAAAATTCAAAAAAACTAGTTAGACAGAGCGCGAAAAAGAGAGATTTCTACAGTAATCTTCTGAGTTTCCAAGAGAGGTTTAGCTTTTGATGGAGTATAAGGATTAGATAAAGAAGTTAGAAAAAATACGGTTCGCGAAAGATCAACAAAATTCGAGAGAGACGTCAGAGATACGAGAGTTCCCTCACTTCTCTGGCGTCTCTCCAGGGGTTCGTTGATCTCTCGCTCTCCTTTTTTCCACTTCCTTTTGAACACTGATTCTTCGGTTTATTTTTCATCTGTCACTCGGAATTGAGGAAATGAAAAACTCGCAAGTCAATGGCAATATAAAAACCCGCAAACTCGATAAAATAATGCAAAACTAGATTTTCCAGTGTTAAAAGCCCGAAAAGCTGAACATAGCTCTGCTCGAGAAGAACAAAAAGAAGCAAAAAAAAAATTTTAACAAGTATCCTAGTCTGATAAAACTGTTCAGTGATTCAGGAAAATAAAAAGCAGCTTTTCAAATTCACTGCTCCTTCCTTCAAATAAAGATAATGAATTAAAAAACCACTTCTTCTATCAAGAACACAAATCAATTGCTAGAAAGGTGTTAGTTATAAATGAAAATAACTACTACTGAATTATTAAAAATTTATTTAAAAGGTTTATCGAATCAAAAGTTCTTCTCTTTTAGATCCTTTACTTTCCTTGCCTCGCGGCGATGCTCAAAAAAGAGCTTATTCGTCTTTCCTGCTTCAAAATCATGTTCTTGTTGGGTGTTATCGACACTTGCGCCATTTGTGAGTTCATTATCAATATATGGTCGCACTTGGAATGGCTCAAAGCGTTGCAATCGCTATCAAAGAGAAATTTATTGCTGTTGGATCAGTTGGAGTATTGTTGAAACCTGATTGAATCATTAAATCATGAAAAAGGCTCTTTTTGAGTGGCATAACTCACTTCACTATAAAGCAAAAGTCTAGGATCTTTCAAAAATTAAGGTTCAGACAATTCTCGTCAAAAGTTCAACTTCTAACACAATTGTTCAAAAGTCGTTCTTTATGAAAAGCGCACAAGAAACGGCTGAGCCATTCCCAGTGCGAACATGGCGACTTAGTTATCAGTTAAATTCAAAAATGGTGTAGGCATGAACTCGGTGATAACTGGATTTTTGTTGATCGACGGAGCGGTTTTCTGCAAGTACCCGACGCCGATCTACTGCATTGGAGCCACTGGTTTGGGTCAGTTGAACTCGTTGAAAAGCTTTTTTCAAGTTGATCATCTACAGGCTTATGGTGTTGTGCTTGCATGTTGGCGATGATTCTGGCTATCAACCGTCTGATGGATATTATTCATCCGAAAATGTTCCAGACCTATTTCAAGGGGTTTGCATTCAAAATTCGTATATAATCATACGGTCGCCTAATGTAAATTTTTTAAATTAAATTTCAAAACAAATGTCGAATCAACTTTTTAAAAAAATTTTTCCAAATCAAATCCTAAAAAAATTAATTTTTTTCTACCAATTTGTTCAGCTACCGTACGATCTTTGTTTTGATGCTACCCATCGCCTACGGACTTTATTTTATTTGCTTCACTCCGAGCGCCGTCTTCAGTTCTAAATTTGTCGGCTGGTACTTTGACCCTTTTCTTTTCACCGACGGCCGATTTGTGGTAAGTCTTTTTGTTTTTGTTTTTTGAGTTTTACCTTATAAGATTATCAGGATTATGAAAGACAGCAAAGAATAATTTAAAAGTGCTTCCCTCCAAGGTATTTTCGACTCATATCGCTTCGATTGCCTCAAAGAAGGGAAAAGAAAAAAAAAAACGCACCAATATCAACGCACGAAAGTAGAGACGTTGAAATGTCTAATTGAACTCGTTGAGAGCTTTGTGAATGAGTAGGAAGGATAACTGAAACTTCCGCAGTCGGTAAAAAAAATTAGAAAAAAAAAGGTATTTACCGTGAAAAATATGCGAGCACGAATGACATTGTCCTATGCTCTTGGAAGTGGACAAGAATCCTACAATCGAATTTAATACGTCAATAAAAATCCAATTGATAAACTGTAAAACAAACGGAAAATAAAACAAACTATGTCGAAAAACATTTCATTGGTGAATGCGGTCACCGTGTTGGTAGAAACCAGGAATACCGTACAACCGCGTCTTTTTTCTGATTTTTTTGCTTTTATCTCATTTCTAAAGAGAGAAATTTCAAAGTTTAGAAATGATTATTTTTTTTAATTGCTCAAATTAGAAAGCAAATATTATCAAATCGATTTTTTCAGTATTCCAATATTTCTCACACCATTAACAATGTTGTGGTGGTGGTGTTTTCGACGTTCCTTTATGTTGCCTTCTGCTTCGTTCTCTGTACACGGCTCAAAGGAACACAAAATCACTCCAAGTTCTACAAACAGGTTTTTGATAGATAATAATAGAAGCTGAAGGATTTTTTTTCTGAAAACCGTTTTAAGGAAGTTTTCGCTCTTCAAATTTAATTTTGAGACTTTTGAGTGAACTTCAAATTATTATTTTTTGAGTTTTATTTTTAATGATAATCTGAATATTTTTTCTGAAGATTTTCCTCCAATCGGCCCTCATTTGTACCGCAACATTCCTCGCCTCGGTCAACTACGTTTTAATGCAATTCGCTGGAATGCCAATTTGGTTCGCTCTCGTTGGCCAGTTTGGCTGGCAAATGAGCCATGGATGTCCCGTTTTCATCTACATTTTTTTCAATCGAACTCTCCGCAGAAACATCCTTGGACTGTGCAATTTGACGGTTATTTATCAATCCCTCAAGAAAAAAAATTAAAAAAATTTTCAGTACGATCCGAGGAAAGGAAAAGTCGGTTCGTATCGGCCAAGAAGTAGCTTCGGCACTGCTTCTGAAGATCCTAACATGATGATGTATTGAGCAGTGAAATGAAAACAATTCATTTTATTATTTGTATTGGTTTTTTTTTTTTGTTTCAATCGAGTTAAGAAGAATAAAATTGAACAATACATCTTTTAAAACTCTTCAACTAAACCCTAAACGTCTGAAGATACATAATTAACGGAGTTTTTCCTCCATCGCCAGCAGTTTAAAAGCTTGACAATTTTTCATTTCGTAACGCAGTCCAATTTTGTTTTGCAAAATAAGTTCAGATCAAAATTAAGAAATAAATAACCCGGAAAGCAATGAGGAATTGTTATTCCGTTTTAGAAAGCTTCTATTTCGAAGTATATCCTCTTTCAGGTGCGATTCGAATCCGAGGTTGTTATATATTTTCTTGAAAAAGTAATTACTGTAGAAGAAAAAGATGGTGTATAATGCGCAACAAGCCCAAAAAGCATTTTTAAATTACGACTCATTTTGAAAAATCTTATTTTTCCGTAAAGTTTCCAGTTTTAATCATTTTTTTCACTTTTTATTTTTCATCAATTTTTTTCATGGTGTGCTCATCGGACAAAAAGGAAAAATTGTTCTGCAACGCAATAGAATGTTCCAAAAAAAGAAAATATTTGTGGTGTTTTTGGAGCAACTTGGTGCGAACACCTTTTTTTCGTTTTAAAATTTTTTCAAAACGCAAAATATTTTTCAAGACTGAAGTCTTAACAATTTTTGAGGATAACTTTCGAAATTCTTGATTCTCATTTTATTCGTTCAATTTCCGATCGAAAGTAGCATTTTACTCGTCAATTTTGCAACCTGTTTTCGTGTTTGCTCTTTTCGGCAAAACTTTCGATTAGTTTGCGTGCTTTTCTTGCCCTTTCGCAGTCTCTCGCCTCGTTATTCAAAGAGGCTCGAGGTCCCAAAATAAACTTGCTCTTCTAAATAATTTTTTCCCACGAAGTTTGCTTTATTTAGAGTTAATGAGCCGAAAACTGAAATTCGCTGTTACAGTTTGTACAGAAGATTCTTGTTGAAGCGTTGAACTTAAATGACCGGAAATAATTTCGAGAAGGATTTTACGTCTTGAGACTCTCACAAAGTTTGTCTATGCGCCGTTGCAAACCACAGGAATGATTTTAAACATAATACTCAAATGTCATGCGATTATGTCGGCCCCGCGACACTTTTTTCGTTCTTCTCTTTCGCCTAGAAATCTTTTTTTTTTAGTTTTTATGAGTTTTGATGTTTACCTATTTTACCACAATTGAAAATTTTATATATTCGAAAAAATGAATGTATACCGTTTAATTCAAGCTTCAAAGTTTTAAAAGCCTTATATATCTAAACTTTCATTGAAAAACCTCGATGAAATTAATGAACATTCATTTTTCTGATGCATATTCGGATTAAAAGAGACTTTCAAAAGTTCCTAGCTTTGATTTCTAGACTTTGAGCTTTGAATAACGAGTCAAGATATTTTGGCCTCAAGGGAGAATGTCTCAAATTTTCGGAAAAGTTGCCTCGTCGCGAAATTTACCCGATTTGGAAAGGATTTGAGAAAATTTGATTTTTTCCGGCGATTAGAGTCAGTGGAAATGCGCTTCAGATCGCAGCTTGATGAGAGAACTTTCTAGTATTCGTGGATACTATTTGTTTTTCTTTTGACTTTAAAAACAAGCAAAAATTATCAATTTATCAAAATGTGACTAGTTTCTCATTTCGCTTTTTTTTTGCGTTGAGAGTCATTTTTTGATGTTTTTTTTCATGACTTGAAAAAAAGCGCAGGTTGACTTATGAGTAATAAAATGAAATTTTTATGCTGATTCAAAACATCTCGGTCTTCGTCAATAATGATAAGATTTCAGACAGAAAATCATTGTTTTTCAGTGACTCATCATGGAACTTGTATCCAAGTTTCAAGTTTTGAACAGTTTCTATTTCTTTTTTTAATCTTTTGGATTACTATAAGAGGTTCTAAGAACAGTATGGCTTCAGTTTCACGTATCAATTCGAAGCGCCAAAAAGCGGAATTTTTCCCGAATATGCAGTATTTGTGTACTGGGGCCGTCATGGTATTGTTCATTAGGACCCAAGCAATTGATTTGCTTTTCGGTTTTCATAAACACAGTCAGGGATCGTAAAAGCTGACAAATATTATTCAACTTATTATAGCCATGACTTGAACTTTTTTGATTATTTCTCTCGATCAGAACCATATTTCGAGCAGGTGTCATGTTTTGTTGCGATATTTCACCTCGAGTTCATTTCCTCTGAACTATAGTCTCATCAATCTTCCCTCAACATGAGAGAAAGAAAAAAAAGTGAGCTCCGAAAATTTTTTCGGGTGGTGTAACATGAGGGAGGATCTCTCACGAGGATAAATTTCACCATTTTTCGTCATTTTCTTTGAATTTTTCTTATATTTATTTTTAGAAATTTCTGAAAAGGTTTGAGAATGTTTTCCTGGTTTTTTTATGGGCTGGAATGATTACTTTTGATGTTAAAATCTAAAAAAGGTTCAGACCAACTTATGAATCAAATTCATCACGAACATACTAACTTACTAAGACTGATCTGAATTTTTTTACCCTTTTTTTCAGAGGAAAAAAATTTTTAGAAGAAGTTGTACATCCGCAGTTTTTCTCGTTAGTTTCCTTTAAAAAAATCTATTTGAAGGGAAAGTATGGAAAATAAGCAAAAAAAGTAGGTTGCGAAACTTGTCCCGCTAGCGTTTTTAAATTAACTGTAATTTTCTCCGAACTAAAAAAGTTGTTCTGCTTTTTTTCGACATAATTTAATGTTTTTTTTAAAGGTTGTTTCTGAGCTGATTATGACTTTTAAAATTTGTTGCAAGTCTAACAACAGGAAAACTGGTTCAATTTTCGAACTAATATGGTTTTGGTGTAATTTTGCGCTGGCAGGAAAATGATAGTCCTTTTTCGAGACCAAAAATTTTGAACTTTTGCACTCTATGCGTAATTTGAAACCCAGTAAATTTTAGGCCGGTTTCTGAGAATTTTCCATTCCAAACGAGGTTTGGAAGTTACTTTACCCATCTTCCTATTATTTTTGTTTGAGCCGGAATCTTTTCTTTGATTTGCTTCCAATCTTATTATTTCATTAATTTTGAAATTTTTAAAAGCTGAGAATTAGAAAATTGTTTTAATTGAAGTAAAATCAGCTTTGATAAAGGATTTTCGGTTGAAAAAAATAAGAAGCAGGCAAAAAAATGCAGTAGAATGCAATAAGTTTGACGAAAAAGGATTTTTTTAATTTTTTTGTATTTTTTTATGAAGTAATTTTTCTCAAATCGGTTTTTCCTGCAAGTCAATTTTTCACAGAAAGGGTAACTTTAATGTATTTTTTTGTCAAGTTTTGCCGGAAAAAAACCAAATACTGTGTCGAGTTTTAATGAAAAACTGGCTCAATATTTTTCGAAATAACTTTCATCATCTCTTTTTTATCGTTTTGAGTCGTTACCTTTAAAAAAATGATTCCGACAGAAATAAAAATATATGGAAAAAAAGAATGAAGTTTCTCACGATTTTTGTACAGGAAGATGCCTTCATTTGGTTGAAAATGAATTTTTGTAACTTCTGTTTCTCAATTTATTTTAGCTTTACTTCTCACTCCTTTTTTTGTTTATTTTTGCTGCGGTAGTCTCTCATTATTGAAATCGGCGTGGAGAAGTAGTGAGCGAGGGGGGACGAAATCGACGATAATTGAATCGACGCTCGCTTGGATGAATGCCAACGCCATTTCACGTCCAACATATGCGCACTTCGACCCGCTTTTTTCTTTTTTTTTGAAGTTTCACTGCTTTTTCTTCTTGTTTCCGTTGTCTTTACACTTTTTATGGCCACTCCTCGAGCGGGGATTCATGTTAAAGTTTGATTCTTTGGTGTTTTGCTAGGTAAAAATGGATAAAAAAAGATAAAAAAATTGAATGAGTTATGATTTGTGGAATTCTCGTTTTTCGTTTTAAATTTTTTTGAAAAAAAGCAAAAATGAACGTTAAATGGAAGATTTTTTTGCGGCTTGCATATGAAAAAAAGTCATAATATTCAAGTTTCTCGAGAAAAAAATTAAGTAAGATATGGTTTAAAATGTAAAAAAAGCTTCGTCCTTTCTTACACTTTCCATGAGTTCTATTCATGTGATAAATCACTGAATCGCATGTGAAACTTTTTGAAAAGAAAGAAGTGGCGTAGAAATTAAATTAATGAGAAATTGGATTCCAGAAACGGAACTCCAGGAACATGAAATCGTAATTGAAAGTAAAATTGTTAAGAAACTCCTGAATTATTAGGAAAAGCTCGAAGATAATGGATTTTGAAGACAAAATATTGGAGAATCTACAAATGAGTCACGATCGTTTTTCGAAAGCTTTTTTTAAGTGAATAAATCGAACTTCATTCAAAAACTATTTTGCTGGAGAAGTTCTTGAAACTTTAAAAATTTTCAGAGTTGGATAAGAAGATTATTTCTCAACAATTTGAACTTCCTCTTAATTGCTCTGTTTTTTTGTTTTCTTACACTTTCTTCAAAAACGAACAGCTGTTATACTTGAGTGGGTCCGTCACTAATTTTGAGATGATTTGTTTTGAGAAATCTTGAGAAAAAATTTTTTTTATGACTCATTTTGAGCTCTTTTCAGTGGTTTATGACTTCTAAATGCTTTTTTTCGAAGTTTCTTTGAAAACTTGAGAATTTCTTGAAGTATCCGTTGCTTAGGAACTTTTGAATTGTAAATTCAGAAGTTTTTGAGCCTATTTTGACATGTGATTTTTTCCATCTTTAAGTTAGAATCTTTTGTGTGTTGTTGAACTTATAATATTTGTCATTAATATAATTGATCTCAATTTCAAAATTAAAATTTCGAGTTTCTAGAATTGTCCAGAAAAGATTTCTCAACTAATTTTTGACATTTTTTTTTAAATTTCACCTTTTTTTATTCAATTCTAAAGTTGAGCTGTATAAAAAGTGTGTATCATCTAGATGATGCATCTTTGATTTGTTGAGTTGAACCTTGTGAGATCGATCCTCTTGATGAATATATTCTACGTCGTCGATACATCATTCATAATGCACGACGGCGTGTGTGTGTGTGTGTGTGTGTGTGTGGGTCGGCTGTCGAACTTTTGAGATTTATTTTCTCGCCCCATTGGCTTCCCTAGTACTCATGATTTTTTAAATTTCTATCAAAGATCTTGAGGATTTCGAGGAGACGTACTTTGATAAAATGTTTAAAAAAAGTTTAGAAGATGATTTTCAGTTACATCCGGATCACTAATGAAGTTGTAAAAAATGATAAAACTTTTTTATGCTTATACTTTGTTTTGTGGTGGTATTTCTATGTTTCATCCGATTTTTGAACTAATGTATGAAAATTCTTTGTTTGAAAATTAATATCTTTGGCGAATCTAGAAACTGATGGCTTGAGTCCATATTTTTGCAAAAATAGCTTTTCCTTCTTTCTCCACTTTTGACTTTAAGTCGACTTATAGTGTCTCTATAACGCCAAAGTCCTTATTTCCTCGATAAAAAAGTGACATAACTTCAGGCATTATAACCAAAATCAAAGAAAATACATGAGAAAGTTTTTGAGGCAAACGTATTCAAAAAATTCAATTTGCCTTCGAATTCTTTCCCTTTTTTTCTTGTCCACGTGCCTCGTCCAGCTCAATTCTTTGAACCCTTAGGACCTCCTCTTCTTCTTCTTCTTCTGCTTCAATTGCTCACCAAGCTTTTCCTTCTCAATTTTCCTTTTTTTCTCCCTTTTTGCGTTGCGTTTTTTTCCTCCTTGGAGAATGTTCATGAGAAAAGTCTAAAAAAGAGTTCAAGAATAGAAGAAAATATCCACTGGAATTCAACAAACGAATTTTATGTATCATTAATTGTCATTAAAATTTCTCCATTTTCACATGAAAATGGTTCAAACTGCTCAGATATTCGTCAGATTTCGTTCAAGTTTGTGCCGTGTTCAATTTGATTCCGCGAAATGCAAAATACCCGTTAGAGAAGGAAAAGATCACTAAATTTTGGAGAGTCAGAGATCATTTTGCGTTTCGCGGAATCAAATTGAACACGGCATTAGTGCTTTTTCGGCTTTCATCTCTTCCCTGTATTTTTTTTTCTCTGAATACCAAGAATATTTTCGATATTAGAACAAAAATTCAATTTCCTTTGAGAATTTTTACTCACAAATTTCGCCGTTTTCTCGGTTTTTAGCTTGAAAGATCATATAATAGTCTGAATATCGCGATTTCCCTAGTCATCTTCTCATTTTTTGTCTTCCTAAGTTATTATATTGCTTTCTTTCTTTCTTTGCTTATCCATTGACACCCTGCGGAAACCATAGAAACCGGAGTAGAAAAAATGGCCCAAAACTCTCGCTTTTGATAAATTGACAAGAAAAGTTCTATATTCCCTTTTTTAATCGTCTATGATATTCTATAGGAAATTTTCAAGGCTTCGTGTAAGTTATCACTTTTATTTCAATTTAGGAAATCCACTTGTGGCTTCATAAATCTTTGTATCAAAATTTTTTGAAAAGAAAAGAAATATTTATCGACCAAAATCGATAATAGTCATCGTCGCTATTATTCTAACTTTTTTTCGAATTCTCGCACAATATTGTTCAAAATTTCAGACAATGGTCCAATGCGGCTCCCTGACGGCGCTATTCAAAAACGATAACTATAATATTTATAGTGTACGTTTGTCTGTGAGTTTATCTAGGGGGATGATGATGAGTGGCTTGGTACATTTTCAAAATAAAACATCTCTAAATAAAGTTGAAAAGGACATTTTCGGGCTCTCAAAAAGGTTTCAGGAGCTTCTGCGTGATTTATCTGTTGTTCTGTGAAAAAAAAAACGCTATTTTTTGTCGAACGCTTTCATGAATGCTTATAATTGTGATGGTAAAATTAGGATCTGGTCTGATTTAGAAGATTGGGGGAAAAAACAAGTAATCGAGGTCTTATTCAAACTAGATTTCAAAAACATTTGCCTGATTTTTAGCCCAGCCGAAATTATATGACCTCTGAGAACTTCGATCTTTTTTTTTTGGTATTTAATATTTTTACGCTGTTCTCAGAGTGAATAGGTTGCAAAGCACCAAAGACATTTTCGGTTTTTACGGAATTTTTGAAAATAGAAAAGCTTTTTCTTTTGCTTAATCTCCTGTCATTTTTACTCTCAGTTTCATTTTTTTCAGGAAGATATCGAGTTGGCGCAACACATTGTTTGGAAAAAGAGAAGAAAAACGATATATACCATAATTTTGGGACTTTTAATTGTTGCTGTTATCGTTGTCATCGCCGCCTCCATAAGATCCGACCAGAAAGTTGCAACTTACAGAAGGTTTTTCTTCTCAATGATGTTCAAAAACCATCAAATTCAGTTGGACTTTTTTCTGATTTTTGCTGAAATTTGAATCAAAAAACAAGCTTGAACTCTAGTATGATCAGCTGGAACATGATTTTGATTAAAATTTGATATGATTTGATATGGGGTTTTGAATTATTCTTGAGGTTTCTGTGCAGTAAATGGAAGTTTTCATCGATAAAAATTGCTTTTCAAAAATTCATTCTACTTTTTCTTTCTAAATGGGTTTAAAAACGCACAGACTAAAACAAAATTCAGAATATTTTTTAACATGACTCTTTTGAATTTGTTCAATCTCTTGTTAAATTATGGCTCAAAAGAACATCTGAATTGTCTTCCATTTTTCAAAAATAACGTTATTTTTTGAATTTCAGAGAAGACGATCCCTTGCTTCTACCTTTAATAAAAGTCTCACCTGCCGCCAAGCGGCTACCAATTTCTGGAGATTTATTTTGTTGGGTCCAATCTTCAACACTTTATCATGACACCAGGGTGAGCTCCTGCGGAAATGTCCGCATTTTAATTTCTTGGATTTACAGGCGTTGGCGATCAATGAAACGTGGCTGAAACGGTGCGATCACGGCCAAATCTTCACTTCGGAGCCTTTCAATGACGACCGGATACCGTATTCCACCGTTTTTGCTGGTTTAACCGGAGAATATTTATACAATAAACCAACAAAAAAACTTCAGGAATTCCCGATAATTATTATAATTTGTTTTTTAAAAGCCGATACGCCTTTTATTACATTTATAAGTATGTTTCGCAGGACTTCGATTGGTATTTGAAGGTGATTTTTTCGATTTTTGACTAGATTGAGATAATTTTGGTAGCATTATTGTTCATTCATACATCGGCCACACTTTTCGATTTAAAAGAAAAATCCAATTCAAGTCCAAATTCATTTTTGAACGGGAACAAATCCGTCCGGAAAGGATATGAATTTTTGAAGTTCAATTCCAAAAAATCGAAAACTTCATATCTTTTTTCACTCTTGTTTATTTTGGTATTTTGTGGAAGATAATGAGAACCAGTTTCTTTTTGATAGGGGTTTTTGGTTTTTTGAACGCTCTCCGTTCAATCTAAGGATGGGTTCCGGTTTAGAAAGAAATAAATAAATAATTTAAAAAAAAAGTTTTTTTCGTTAATTTTTGTAAAACTTTATTTTTCTTGAAGAGTGAAGGAGAGGAAGAAATGTGGTGGCAAGGGTTTATTTTTAATAATTACATAAAGGTGAAATGAAAGTTTTCAGGCTGATGATGATACCTATATCATTGTGGAACATTTACGCGAGTATTTATCAACTCTTGATCCGAACGAGGCTCATTATGTTGGCTACCGACTCAAGCCTTATATGGTTCCAATCATTCTTCTTTCGTTGAAGAAAAGACTTATTTTGAAGGAATTCGGGTACAATGCTGGTGGCGCCGGTTATGTCTTGTCCCGGGCGGCAGTGAGGACCTTCCACGACGCCCTTTATCCCAATGAAACCCTCTGTCCCGATGATATTTATGAAGATGTCGGCATTTCGAGGTACTGGATTTTGACCTACATTTATATATTCTCTTCAGGATTTTAAAGTTTAACGGAAAAAGTCGGAGGCTTGCCAAAAAAAAGGTTCTATTATGCTGCTTTTTGCGCTCTCCCAGCAGCCTATCTTGAATCTTTTTGCTGCCTCTCCCTTTTTCACATTTCTCGCACTTCGGTAACCCAAGTCGGACGCGCTCCGCACCTTTCTGAGCTTTTCTAGTGCTCCCTATAGCATTTTTGAGTGATTACTCGAAAGGCTCAGAAACTTCCGGTTCGTCCTACTGATGTCCGAGCTTTCTGGAGTTTTGAAGTTCTAAAAAAATTAGAAAACTTTATAGCGGTTTTTTAAACGGAGATGACACAAACTCTGAAAATTTTGATTTTAAGACTGAACAAAGTTTTTTTTAAAAGGCAGTAATGCAAAGAGATTATTGTCGCAACCTAATAATTTCAAAAATTTGTAGCGTTTTTATTGTTGTTTGTACAGAACTTTTTTTTTAAATAGCTGAGGCTGTTAAAGATTCTGCTTGAGTAGTTCATAACTAGAACGAGCAGATCCTCAAAATTTGTTTTAGGAACTTGTCTTCTCTATTATTTTCCACAAGTTGTCGCTGAAAAATTCCTGCTTTATGAATTTATATTTAAAGGGAGAAATTTCCTGTTTTTTTTTTCATTTTTTTAAACTTCTATTCAAAGAATTGAAAAAAAAATTTTTTCAGGTGCCTAGCCAGCGCCGGAATCTTCCCAACTGACACGCGAAATTCGAAAGGCCAAAATCGGTTCAACACCTTCACACCGAGCGACGTTTTCCACCAGAACAAAGCCGATGAATCTTGGCTTTATTATGGAGAACATGGGGTGATTTTCTAGTAGCTTGATAAATTTCGTGTACATTATTTTAAAATTTCATCAGCCTTCAAAAATCAGAATTTTGTGATTACAGAATCGGCGTGAAGGAAAAAAAAACCAGAATTTTGAAAAGAAATCCATTTCGTTCACGTTGACATCGATTTTTTTTTGACATATAATCAGAAAACTGCTTTATCTAAAGTTTTATATCCGTAATTTTTTAGGTCAGAGTGTTTAGTGAAACGTGCGTTCTACAAAACAATTTTTTTTTCAAAAATTGATTTTTTGTGGTTTTTTTTTCTAAATCTCAATTCGCAATTCAACCGTTCCGCGTTGAGCCATTTTCCCTACGGCGATGTATTTTTTCAAAAACTGAGAAACTATTTTCAGGGCTACGAAGCGTTTGCCAACGATGTCATCAGCTTCCACAAACTTTCGCCTGATGAAATTCGATTATTCGACATTTTACTTTATCGTACCGATCCGCCTACTTTAAAGCATCGGAACAGGTTTTCAAAGTTCCAAAAATAAATAAATAAAATTCAAAAAAAAAAACCGAAATTAAAACTGGATTTACAGAAAATCTAACAGCACCTCGTCCTCACGGTGACCCGAAATTATTGAGAAACTTATTGTCCCCCGAAAAAAATCTTTTAATTGAATCCCAGGCCTTCACGGGTTTCCCCCTCATATCAAAAAAGCTTGTTATTCTTCATTGTAACTTTTTAAAACGCTTCAACAACAAAAAAATAATCAAAATGATTAAAATAAATTGTTTTTTTTAAAACTTAGTATAACGTGAAAGAGTTCGTTGTTATTGAATGGGTCGAAAGTTCGATCCTGAACGAAAAAGAAGAAAATTGAGATGTTGAAAAATATTCGAGTGAGCGCCTTGCCGCATTTTTATTTCTGTCAAAATTTTTTCTGACTCTTCAAAAGTTATTTATCTTTTTCACTTTCTTACGACTATTTCGAGATTCGCGGAATCACTTTGGTCACGGAATTTTTGATATTCTTTTTCTTTTTGAAAAAAATTTTTTTCTTCATCTTTTTAATATCTGTTTTGTGAGCGGCCACTAAAGTGTTGAACAAGTTTGCTCACTTGAGGAGCTACTCCGACAGAAAATTTTGAATCAGTTTTTTATTTTTATTTTTAGAAACTTTAATAATAACAGAGTGGAAGTTCAACATCAATATCAAGATTTTTTAATTCTTAATACTTTTTTGAAGCATGTATCCGATATTTTTTGGTATATTCGATATGGTTTGATCTACCAATCCGTCTCGATTCACGAGTTTCCCTTTTGAAAGAAATTAAACGAAATTCATGAAAATTTTATTCCTAGAAACCAGGAGAGTCCATACAAAGCGGAGTAGACATGTGATCAGAGTAGAAAAGATGTCGGAGGAAGGTTTGGAAGTCTAGACGCTCAGGTACATCTGAGCAGGAGCTTCTCCAGATTTGACGTGGTGTTTCAGGACTGGATAAGTCGTATCCAACTCGGTGGTCACCTCGGAAAATCCTTCCAAACCGCCGCGCTTCCTTTTTTTCACCTCCATAACCGAAGACTGCGTGCTGGTGTCATCCTTCAAAAGGTACCGTTTCATCAAATTTTCGAATTTGAAAGTCTCTAATTTTCTCTTAATGGAAAGACCGGAATCAATATTTGTAAAATTTTCTTTAAAAGAAAATTTTTTGGACGATTATTTCAGATGTCTCGCGCAACCGTTTTTATGCATAATTTATTTGTTGTTATCAGGTTTTTTTGGTCCGTTTAATGTCCAGATTTATATCAGAAAGTTCAAAAAAGTATTTCTATTTATTTTTTTGACACGTTCGCTCTTGTACACTTGGGAGTCTCTTAATCTCATATTGATTCAACTCATCATATTCAAAAGACCAAAAAAAGTCATTAAAAACAATTTGAAAAAGCCGCCGATTTCTGCACCAGATTTGATTGCGCGAACGTGTGAAACTAAAGTAAAAAAGCTCCTTACGTTGATGTGGTGGCGTGGCTTGGTTTTCTTCTTTTTGGACAGCGCTTTTCTGTAGCTTTCGAACAAACAGTATGAGCAGCAGAAGACCAATATCAACATAAACGCCAAAAAAATGACAGCATAAGATGCCAGACCTGCAAGAGATATTTTTAATTTGAAAACAAGTATTTATTTCGTTTTTTGGCAGTAGTAAGGGTTCAGTGAAAGTTTCGAAGTTCGAACAAACTTTTCCAAAAGAGCTGCTCAATTTTAGATGAAACTCCCACTAAGGTGCTACCCACGCAGAATTTTATTCAAAGTTGATACCAGAAAAACATTTTTCTAATGATTTTTGTCTCTCAGTCCATTTAAAAAGCTCAAGAGCGCTTAGAATGTAGCTTTTCCATAATTGTGTAACTCCTTCATAACTGGGTGGGAGGCGATTTTTTTGCTCTTGTTTCGCGAAAATCGCAATAATAGGGCTAATAATTTATCATACCTATCAAATCTCAGAATTTTCCTCAGTTTTTGAACAAGGGAACTTTTGAAGAAGAACAAGAGAACAGACTCTTCTTGATTTTTTTATGAACGCGTACTTGTGAGCCTTTTGATCGCACATAACAATTTCTTGCAATAGTTTTTGTTTCATGTCTTTTCAAAAGCTTCAAGAAAGACTTTTACCATTTTCGGGGTAATTTTCAAAAGTTGAAGCGACATGTTTCGAAAAAAGATTCACTGCGAGATTTTTTTTCGTCTGGGTTAGAAAAAGTTCTCTTTGTTAGCAAAAGACTCACCGTCAAAAGGACGAACGCACTCATTCTCCAAGGCGTCCTTTTTGGCCGCCTTTTTCGCACTTTCACAGTCGCCCATATCCTGCGAAGAGCTCGACGACGTCTCCATTGCGTAGTTTCCTTCAGCGTCTGTGTTCGTGTCAGCATTCTGAGTCGTCGTCTCATCCGACCCCAGCGGCGTCAATTGGGCGCATTTCGCCAGTACCTGAGGATATTGTTCAAACTCGAGTTTAATCAATCCATTTTTGAAGGAACGAGGAGTGAGAGTTTTCATTTCTAAAAAATTTGGTGAGTATAATATTTTAGATAAATTTCTCATCTACTACTCCCATCCACAATAGAATATTCATTTCTTCATGAAAATCAGAAAAAAAAGCAACAGAAAAACTTTAATATAAAGTTTTTGAAAGGGATCGATATGGCAGCAAGACTTTGACAAGGTCGCAGCAAGAAGCCTTGGCTTTGTATATCCATATTTTTGCGAAAACGATGATTTTGAATTGGCACCGAGAACCACTCCGCACGCTCAATGTGAATGCCGCCCCCGGTGTTTCACGTTGATATTTTTAGAAATATTATTTTCTCTACCTCATACGCAACTTTATGGAGCCGCTCCTTCACGTCCTCGGGGCACTTTCCTTCGATGACAACAATGTTTTGGTCCTCACAGTAAAGTGAGACGTCCTTCACCTCGATTTTTTTCAAATTCACGAAGGCATCTTTATGCAAGTCGACATCTTTCAGGAGCACTGCCGGTCCTGCAAACACAACTATATGAGCATGGAAAGTCAGGACACAGATTTGAATCAGAGGAAGAATGAAACATTTGAATAATTGTCACATATACTTGTGCAACCCATTTTTCCAGGTGAGGTGGACTTAAAAAAACTCGAAATTGGAAAAATAAAAAATATTCTTTACGTCAAGGAGATTTAACCAACAGTAGAAGATGATTTTCAATCTCAGAAAAAATGAGTTTCAACCTCTAGAGGTAGTACTGGCTTCAATTTAGGAAGATTCGTGAGGAGGGTTGTCGGCCTTTATGTCCTGCTCTAAGTAATATCCGCGAAGAACAAATGAGACAGTAAAAAAGATAATGCAAGTTTTAGAGAATCAGAGGACACTTGTATTCTATGGAAACTGCATTAAAAAATCTGACCATTTGTGATGTCCCCAGAAATGATCTTTTTTTGACGAATTTATCTTAGGACGAAAAATTCAAAAATGAGAGAAAAAACGAACCCCGTCTGCTGTGAAATATTTGTTCCACGACAAAAATTTCTAATGGCTTATTGTTCTTGATTACAGTGAGCGTGCTGATGTTGATTGCACGGTTCAAAAAATTAGCAACATCCTGCGCTGTTCTGAGAGACTCTTCGACGTGGACCGGTGCGTCCGTGCATTTGAGTTTATTGCAGCCGGGAGGGATGGCGTCGCCAGTTGGGTAACTCAAAATCAACCTCTGGCAGCATGCATCTGCAAAAATTGCTATTGCTTTTTTTCTATAATTTACGATAGGTTCGAAATTTAATAACTGTTAGTAATTTCACGTCGGCTCTTTCCTTTTGGAAGTGCAGATGTGTGTTTACGGTAGCTTTTTTCATGTTCAAAAACGGGATCGTCTTGTGGCTCATTTTTGGAGAAAACTAGATATTTATAACACCGTTCATCATAGAATCTTCTAAGAAAAGAAAAAAGTAAAAAAATATTACCTTGAGCAAGTGATATTGATGCGAACGACGAGAAAAAGAAAATTGCGTTAATCAGCTTGACTGAAATTATTTTTAACTAGAATTTCAAATTTAACGTAAAATCTGTACATATTTTGAATGTCAAGACGATTAGAAAAGAGACATTGCCTGGTCGGTGGAGAGCGCAGACAGAAACCACGCCTCCTCAAAACTAGCCGTTCTCGTCGGCTTTCAGTTGGAAAATATTTTTTAACTTGTTTCGAGCAATATTCTCGAATATAATCACACAGTGCAGACAGAAAAGATTTGAATTCGTTTTTGTATGAAGTAAATTAGAGTTTTTGTTAAATCGCAAACCGCTACTCCCTGACGTCACTTTATGACATCATTCGTAACACAAGAAATAAGCGTAATCAAAATATTTGTCTATATATTTATTTTTTTACGTGAAAAAAATTGGAGAATGAGAAGAGCCTGAGCTGCGCCTTTGCATATAAACTGATTGCGTTTTTCAACGTTTTGACTTTTGTGGATGAAAATTTTACAATATTTTTATAAAATATTATTCCATTTTCCTATACTCAATTTTTTAATGGGAGTGTCATTAACTTTATGAAATGCCGATGGCTTTCTTAAGCCCATTTTATCATGTTTTCTGAATTATTGCGAATATTCGACTACACTGGCGGAATCAGAAAACTGTTTTACGATGTATGAATAAGTATGAACAATTTAAGCGAACATGGTAATTTATTATACTTTTAATACTAAGAATACCATCTGACTAGTCGATACCATCTGACTAAAACAACCAATAAATATTGATGATGATGATGAATGGTCAGTTTATCATTATTTTTCACTTGGAACCGTTTATCAACGTATATGCTATGTATGTCAATTATCTATAGATACAGGATAAATCAGCCGCAGCGGGGGTTTGGGGACATACATAGCATATATGCGGCAGCCCCCGATGTCAAAAAAGAAAAAATCAAACTTCCGTGTATTTTCTACACTCGAAATGGTAGCTCTCTCAATCGGCCGAAACTACCCTGGAGTGTACACGGGGTCCGTGCCCGAGCCCCACCATCATCGCAGTGCCCGTACAAGAGAAACTAATGGATCTACTTGTGGAAGAGCGAGAAGAAGGACCGTAAGATAGGGACCGCAGGCGTTTTTCGAAAAAGATTGAGGATGAAAACAGTTATGACGAAAAATGTGGCGTGCCGCGCACCATTTTTTAGTACTGAAATTTTGGTATTATCCATTTTTGACATTTTTCTCGATTTTTCTTCTAGAATAAGTTCCGATACTTCGATTTCAGCCCTCTATTATTATGTAACAAATCAAACAGACTGCTAAAATGATAACAAATTTGCTAGTTTGCCGAAAAAGTCGGTATTTTCCAGAAAACAAAAAACTGGCGCTTGCGGGCATCGAACTGGCGACCTTAAAAAGAAAATTCGCAGCGCACGCGCTGCGCCAAGCTGTCAAGTCTGGCGAGGGGAGCTTCCATCCGCCTTACCCTTGAGCCGTTTGAATAGTACAGATTGTCTATTTCAAAAAAATAAGAACTTGGAGTAATTCAGCTATTTTTTTATCAGAATATGTTCGCAAATCTTTACTCAAACTTTCCGTTGAAATTCGCTTCGAAAAAACTGTTTTTTTAGTGCTTTTTTTGCCTCGTTTAACGATCGCTGCATTAAAACGGCCCCGTAAATTTTTTTGGCAGAGACGAATTTTTTTATTTTATTGTTTTAAAATTACCGTTACTTGTATCAAAATTATTATTTAAAAAAAAGAGTGCGTTCGACCTGAAAATACATGAAAAAGCAAAAAAATGACAAAAATTTTTTTAGTTCAATTCACGTTTTTTTGTACGACATTCCGCGAGAACGCATCAAAAAAGCGTGAAATTTTTTTCAAACGAAAGGAAAGCTTTTCTGTACATGTGTTTCAGAATTTATTATCCAGTTCCACATATTTTGCAACTACAACAAAAGGAAAGTTGAAAACCAAAAAAAAAGCCACTTTTTCATCGCGAAAAGGGGCGTGGCTTTGCGGTCCCTACCGTAAGACCACGCTTTCAATTCAATCGACTACACGCTTTGACTTCTTTTTCGCCAAAGGTGGTTGTTCGTTATAGCTTTCAAAGTTCTTGTTCACAGCCTAGTCGATTCCATCGACTAAAACAACCAATAAATATTGATGATGATGAAAAGAGGATTTTTAAATGTGATATCTTCTCATGCGACTGGAAAAGTTTTTACGTCGAATCTAATTTTATAAATTGAAACGAAAAATAAAATGACTGCGTGTGCGAATTACCAAATGAAGATGATGTCATAGGGATTACGTCAGGGAGTAGCGGTTTGCGATTTAACGCGAAGTAATTATTAGCCACTCTATTTAAAAAAAAATGGAAGCTCTGCGAATTCATAAAAAATTTGGCTTTTTGGTTTGCGAAAATAATAAGTCCTCGTTAAAAGAGATTTTTTTCTGGGGCAAACCTTTCTAAAGCGATTATCAACAACTACTTCATACAAAACTTAAAGAGTTTCTACATAGTGTCGCCTATCTTCTCGGAGCAGAAAAAAACGAACATTTATTCAAATCTGGACGAACTCACCCATTTTGAAACCGCAATTTGATGAAATGAAAGAAAACTCCAGCTGTTTCTTTTTTTTATAAACTTTCTTTATCAGCACGTGGTTTCAAACATTTTTTTGATGAACGAGTCCTCCTTTTTTTTTTTTTTGATATATTAGGAACATTTTTCAAAAACGTCACCTGGAACAGACGCAAACTAGTTATTGCAGTTTAAGTTTTATATTTTTTTGATCATATTCAGTATTGGGTTAACACTCTATTACTAATGAAAGCTAAATCAACGATTCTCTCTGGCAGAATTGAAAAAATAGACTTGAAAAAGAAGACTTTCGAGACTTCAAAGACAAAATTTGGATTTTCCGCTCTCACTAGGGCATGGTCGCCGCTCGACAACGAGTTGAGAATTGAGACTTTGTGGGTGGGTAGGTCTAGGTAAGAGTACTCGGAATCAGAAATAAAATTCTGCTAAACCCCATAGGCAACCGAGGAGAAGCTCGTCGAAATTTTCCCAGCGCGTATATCCCCGCGCTCGGAGCCCTCAGCTAGCGACTGGCGACGTGGTGTAGTGGGTTGTGGACTTGTGCATTGTCAATATTGTGACCATGGTTCGAATCCTTTTGGCGGAAATCGTTTTTGCCGGCTCATAACTTTATTCCGTTCACATTTTCGTGAGATTTATTTCAAAATTTTACATCAAAACTTGTAGAAAACTTATTTCTACTACTTTCGTCATGCCACGTTATTACACTGCTCCACATAATTATATATCCACCTCACGGCGTTCTGCGTAGTGGGAGAAAATGTAAAATTTTTGAAAATGTGGAGCTGCTTGGAAGGGTTGCTCCACCTAGATTTACGGTAGACAGCTTGCGCGCGAACATTTGAATTTCTTTTTGCTCAAGTGCTTCACGTGATTTTTCATGTTTATTTCAGCTGTATCTTTATATGTTTTGTATTTTTCAATATTAACTGCTGTGTTTTGACCAAATTTTCCCTTTAAAGCAAAAAAAAAAAGCCTTTCAGCAACATTTTTCAGTGTCAAATTAAATTTTTTTATTCGAATCAATCAATCTCTTCATTTTCGCAACATCAGAATGGTATGGCGATGTTGCAGAGGAGAAAAAATACCACAAGGTGGATGAACTAAACTAAATCTGTAAAGAAAACTTTTTTTTTATTTTCAGCAAGTCGGGAAAGACACATAGAACCACAATAAGTCATTTTCGGCACAAAATTCCACGTTTTTCACTCAAAAAAAGGACTTCAAGCAATTTTGAGGATGAAAGGTATGAAAGTGTTCAGAAAATAAGAAAAACTTTCACCCAAATGTTTTTTTGTCAACTAGAAAAGGAATTGTGAAAGGATCGATTTTTTCCACGTCTATAGTTTTGAAAAAAACGCTATTTTTTTCGAGGAAAAATTATTTTTTTGAATTTAATGAGTATGCGAGTTAGCGTCGTTCTGTGTATGCACAAAAGACGTCAAATATTACGGAATATGTGGGAGGGGCGTCGTCAAAAGAACGCCGTGACCTGAGACTTTTTGAAAGATCGAATATTTTGAGAGTTTCTGAAAACCATTTTGTTGTCAAAAGATGGGAATTTTGATCAGATTAATATAGCTATCAACCAAGTTCCTATTGAAAAAAATAAATGTTTTTTTGAAAAATTTCAATTTAAAAACCGAATTTTTCCGTTCCACATAATTATATATCAGCCTACGACTTTAAACTTTTTGAACCATTTTTTTATCGGTTTTTTTGTATCAGTTATCATTTTTCTCATCATTTTTTTGTTTAAAAAAATAAAAAAAGAATAAGAGCAAAAAGGTTTTCCAAAAAGTTGAGGAACCTTGGATTTGATCAGAAAACGGTCGCGGGGCTGTTTTGTACTCTAGCTCCACAGTCATCAACGTGAGGGATGAATTTTCATAATCAGGGTTAACTCAGAAGTTTTGAAAAAGTTTATCACAAAAAAGATTCTTAAATGGGCTTCAAATTTTGAAAAACAATTTCAAAAACCGTGAGCTCCTTTGACAAAGTTATCAGTTTTTTCAACTTTAACTCGCTTTTCTCAGTCATTGAGCGGAGAAGTTCTTAATTTACAGTGGAAAAAAACTGAGGAAGAAATCAGAAATAGTTTAACTCAGAAAAGTCTGACAAAACAAATCTCAAAGCTGAAAAAACTTCAGAGAAACAAGAGTCAAAAAAGGATATTTCGTGATTTCGATTGTTTTGGCTTTCTGTTTATATTTCTTCGCTGAATAAGGATAATTATGGATTATTCAATGTTTTAAAACAAAAATATAACTGTAATATTCAATCATGCGAAGAAAAAAGTAATTTAAAATTCGAAGAAAAAAAAATTCAGATTCCTATGAATTTGACTTGAAATTCCCTTAGTTATTTACCGATTTCGGTCATTCTTCTTTTTTTTGAACTTGAATTGTTGCTCACAAGTACAAAGGTACTTATGAAATCAAATATTCACATCATAATCGATTCAAGAGTAGCTGATGTAATGAACAGCAGCGCGACCTTCTGATCAAATTCAAGGTTCCTCAACTTTTTGGAAAACCTTTTTGCTCTTATTCTTCTTATTTTCAAACAAAAATGATGAGAAAAGGATAACTGATACAAAAAAGCGGAAAAAATGGTTCAAAAAGTTTAAAGTCTTAGGTGGATATATAATTATGTGGAACGGAAAATTCGATTTTTTTGAAAAAAATTGAAATGTTTTAAAAAAACATTTATTTTTTTCAATAGAAACTTTGTTGATAGCCTATATAAATCTGATCAAATTTTCCATCTTTTGACAACAAAAAGATTTTCAGAAACTCTCAAAATATTCGATTTTTCGAAAAATCTCAGGGGGATAATTATGTGGAGCAGTGTATTTTCGTATTGAGGAGGATATTTTCAAAAATTTTTGTTGGAAGACAGGCAATCGGCAGCATAGTTATTAAAGTTAAGCTTATTCCGCGCAATTTTCTGTTGGATTCAACAAAATCGCCATATCTTCTGACAATTGGAACGCGAAACCGAACGGAAAAGTTTCATTTTTGTTGTTTTATTGTGTTATTGTGTTTCCGTTTAGTACACACGTGTCCAAAAGACAGGTAATCGCTTTTCGTGAATCGTGAATTTTCATGAACATATCGTTTTCTTTATCGTTTGCCCATAAAATGGAGGAAAAAACAAAAAAAAATTTCAGATTCGTACTTTTTTTTTATTGGGATTTTTGTAAACTTTTATTGTAAATTTTAAAAAAATCTCACGAAAATGTGAAAGGAATAAAGTTATGAGCCGGCAAAAACGATTTCCGCCAAAAGGATTCGAACCATGGTCACAATATTGACATTGCACAAGTCCACAACCCACTACACCACGTCGCCAGTCGCTAGCCGAAGGCTCCGAGCGCGGGGATATACGCGCTGGGAAAATTTCGACGAGCTTCTCCTCGGTTGCCTATGGGGTTTAGCAGAATTTTATTTCTGATTCCGAGTACTCTTACCTAGACCTACCCACCCACAAAGTCTCAATTCTCAACTCGTTGTCGAGCGGCGACCATGCCCTAGTCAGAGCGGAAAATCCAAATTTTATCCGGTTTGGCATACTTACTTTGATACTTTGATGGTCCTTCTTCGCTGATGTTCTCAGCGTGGACCACACGTTCTCCAGGCGGCTCGGTCTTGCACGACGGTCCTCCAGTGGCGGCCTGGCTGACTGATGTTCTTGCGGAAGTAGTCCGTCCATCTGGTCGGTGGGCGCCCGAGTGGGCGTTTGATGTTTCTCGGAATCCAGTGTGTTAATCTCGTGGACCAGCGGTCGTCTTGTCTGCGGATGACGTGGCCGCCCCAACGATGTTTCCCGCGCTGTATGTGCTCTTCTAGATCTCCGATGTGGGACAGTTGACGGAGTTCTGTGCTCCTCTGTTCTTTTTTCCACTGCTCGAGTGGTGCCGATGAGAGCACGTTCCAGTGCGCGGTAGTTCGTAGGGCGGTTGCATTTTTCTTCGTGTCAGGCCAAACTTCGGTACCGTAGGAGATGGCAGGGATTATCGACGCTTCAAAGATGTGAGCTCGCAGTTTCGGGTCTTTCAGCTGGCTGGTGACTTCTTTGATGGAGTTGAAGGCGGCCCATCCAGCGCGTTTGCGTCTGCCGATCTCTGCTTGCAGGTCGTTCACCATGTTTACTTCGCGGCCAAGGTAGATGTAGGATGTGACCTCTTGAAGGTCGCGGCCCTCCAGGGTGACTTTACCTTGGTCGCAGAAGCTGTTCTTCATCCCCTGCGTCTTCTTGACGTTCATCTTGAGGCCGATCTTCTTGCCGACTTCGTCCAGATCTTTCAGCATGGAGGACAGTTCGGTGGTGGAGCTGGAGAAGAGTACGATGTCGTCGGTGAAGCGAAGGTTTGTGAGGACCTTGCCGTCGATGTCGATGCCTCTGATGTCTGCACTGTCTTCCCAGTCGTGCTTTTCGTCCCATCCAAGTTGGCGCATCGCGTCTTCTAGTGCCGTGGAGAACAACTTGGGGGAGATGGTATCTCCCTGGCGAACACCTTTCCTGATGGGGATCGAAAGCTTCTTGTCGAACAGCTGGATGGTCGTGTACGTTCCCTCGTTGCTGTTGGCGATCAGCTCGACGTATTTCGTGGCGACTCTGGCGGAGACAAGAGCATTCAAGACGGCGTTGATCTCCACGCTGTCGAAGGCCTTGTAGTAGTCGACGAAGGCCAACGCAAGTGGCATCTGAAGCTCCCGGTGCCGTTCCACCACCTATGTCAAGGCGTGGATGTGGTCTAGGCAAGAGTAGTTGCGTCGGAAGCCAGCTTGCGAAAACGATTGGAAGTTGTCGAGTTGCTTCTCTAGTCTGTTGACGATGACCTTGGTGAACAACTTGTAGACGACCGATAAGAGGGAGATCGGTCTGAAGTTGTTCAGGTCGGTGAGGTCGCCCTTCTTCGGAATGAGGATCGTCTTGGACGTTTTCCATTGTTCCGGAATAGAGGCTTCGCTCAGGTACTTGGAGAAGTGCCGGGCAAGTAGTCGGTACAGCGAGTCTCCTCCAGCCTTCAGCAGTTCGGACGAGATGTTGTCGGGTCCTGCGGCCGTTCCGACCTTCAGCTTCCTGATGGCGTACTTGACTTCTTCGGGTAGGATTGGGGGTTCTTCTTCTGGTGGCGGCGTTGGTGTTCTGGGGACGGGAACGTCGCTTCGGAAGAGTTTCGTGTAGAAGTCGACGGTCAGGCGCTCCATCTCGTTCCTTGACGACTTCAGCTGGCCGTTCTCGTCCTTCAGTGCTGTCATCACCGTTCGCTCGTCGACGAGCTCGAACTTCTTCTTCTTGAGGCTTTGACGTTTCTCAGCTGTCTGAAGAAGTGCACTCCTGCGTCGATTGGCGAGGGACTCTTGCACGGCCACTCTGCAGGCTTTGTCGATCGTCAGACGTTCGAGGTGCGTGGCCTGCGGGTCTCGTTTGACTTCTCCTCTTTTTTGCAGCAGATCCACATTTCATAGCTTTCACATGAAATATATTCAAAATTGAAAAAAAAACCTTCCAAAAATCTTGAAAAACTTTCTTTTTAAAGGTTACTTAGTTTCCAAAAACTGCGTAAACCAGAAAACAAAACTAACTTTAATGTTTGAAAAAAACGTGAAAAACTGATGATTCGAATGAAAATTTTCGAAAGTTTTGAGGTTAAAAACGCGCCAAGTAGCAGAATGACGCAATCCTACACCAATCCTACACATTTTTTCAAAACCTTTCTTAGAAATATGGATAGGGACCGCAACCAAATTTTCAAAAAAATTTTCGAACTTCAATATTACTATGGTTGGATAGCTGCTCTAATTCACTATTCAAAACAGTTCAGTTTTTCGAAAAAGGTTGAGAACAAAAAAAGTTATGGTCATAACAGTAGTGAAAAAAGTCGCGAAATTTAGTACTGAAAGTTTAGATTTTACACTTTTGGTCGTTCATTTTGTTTTCATATTGGATTTAAATTTTTTAGGAGTTTATTTCGGTTTTCAAAGTCATAATTAGTTATTAAAACAGTATAAAACCACCAGTTTGAAGAGAAAAGCTATTTTTTTATGAAAAATAAAAAAATGTCCGCTGCGAGGATCGAACTCGCGATATCAAAACTGTCTGCAAGCGCACTTGCGCTGCTCCACGCCCATCCCTCGGAGATGAGAGGCGTTCGCGCTATACACCACTTCACCTCTAAGTACAGCATTTACCGACTATCTTGTTTTAAAAAATGTTATGATAGTTGAACAATCCCCTTCAAGTACCACCTCTACGCGGTGATGGGGAGGCAACGCCATTTATGGCGGCTAACGGTACACCGGTCACGCAATTCGGCTTGCTTCTGCTAACAGAATGGGCGGTCTTTTTTAGCCCTGGCAAGGCAAAAAGGATAATAAGACCACAATTATGCTATAACACGTTCAACACCACGGATGGATTTTTTTCGCAAGAATACCAGTCAACCAGGACGACAACACTGGATGACCGATTGCATAAGATCTCCTGGAAAACGTGTGGTCCACGCTTCGATCAATAAAAGACAATAAAAGGTCGAAAGGGAAGATGGGCCATCTAAGTTTCTAAGTAAGTAAGTAAGTTGAACAATTATTAGTCACGTGTGTTCGGACCACCTTAAAATAATTTATTCATAGAGATTCCGTTCAAAATGCTTCCGATTTCGGTGTTTTTTTCTTATTTTAACGTTGGCTTTAAACTAACACTGATTAAACTTCTAGGCACCGTGGAAATTTTTTTATTTTATTTTTTTAATTGATCGAAAATTGAGATACGCTAATATTTAAGAAATAAAAAAAGGCGCCAACGACATCTGACCATGCTAAAATGAATTTCGAAATTTTCACTGTCTATTTTTTTCTAAGAAAACAAAGTTTTTCGGAATAAGTTTTATACTAATAAAGTTTTTAGTTATAATTTAATCCACAAGTTAAAAATAAAAAAATTTTTTTACTTACACGCTCTCGAAACTGAGTACAACATTTTTCAACTTTGCGCGGCCTCACGAAGATTAGGCACCGTAAAAAAATTTTTAATTTTTTTGTTTTAAAAGATTTGTTTTTCACTTAAGAATCGAATTCGAAAATAAAAAAGGCGCCAACGACATGGAACTAGGTTAAAAACCCGAAGAAAAAAAGTCGTTTTGGTTTTTTGTACGACACTCCGCTAAAACGCTACGAAAATCGGGTGAAAAATATATCAGATTGGAGAGGAAGGTTTTCTCTATGTTTCCACCAAATTTCTCTGTGTTTGATTGAGTATCGCACTTTTACGAAAACATCAAACACGAAATCTAAAAAACCATCGCATTTCACCATCGCAAAAATGGGCGTAGATTTGCGGTCTCTAAATATGGAGCTTCGAAGAGTCCGAAAATCGAAAATATATTTCAAAAATTTTCGGCGATTCCCTGCGGAAATTGCCGATCAACCGGCAATTCAAAAACTCTATAATAGCCGGCAAAAACCGGCAATCGATTGCCGCACAGCCCTGTGTGTGGATCTAGTTCTTTTACTCATGACACAAATTCAAAAGAGAATGTGTAATGTCTCGAAATTATTTACTCAACTTGTAGAATTTAGGACTCTAGGTTGAAAATGCGAGCAAAAAGCTGATAGTACAAACAATTACATTTTAAAGCAAATTTCCGTTATCAGGAAAAAATTCGATTTTTTAAAATTTCTTCTGAAAATTTATTCAACCGGTTTTTTTATCTTGCAAAGAAAATCATAAGACTCCAAGGTGACCACGGAGTTGGATTCGATCAAAGAAATTCATGAATTATGAGCAAATCATTTATAAAATGTTTCCATACAGCGATTTCGGTGTGATGTCGGGGGAAGGCTTGGAAGTCTAGACGCTCAGGTACATCTGGGCAGGGGCTTCTTCAGGTTGGACGTGTTGTTTCAGAACTGTGAAAGAAGGATCCAAATCCGTGGTCACCTCCTGGAGCCTTTCCTCACCGCCGCAGTTTCTTCCTCTCTCTTCTTTAAACGAATTCTGCGCGCTACACTCATCAACCTTCAAAAAGTAGTTTTTGATCAAAGTTCAAAAAATTATCTTCTTACACTATCCCGTTTTCGATTCCTCCTCTTCAATACGTTTTTGAACTTCACAACTAGGCAAGTTGTAAAAATGATCGAAACAATAAGTAAAAAACCCAAAAGGACGGCAATGTAAGCGACTGCGTCTGTAAGAAAATAGTCTTGAACGAATTTTTGATCTTATTCGAAGGCGCACGGTCAGTATTTAAGTTTTTTTGAAAAAGAACGACGAAAAATAACCTTATTTTTTTTTTAGGAAAATGAGTTCAAAACTTGAAAAAAAACATGCTAAGCAAAAAGTTCCATGTGACTAACTACATAAACTTTCAGCAAATTTCGCAGCGATCTGAAAATTTTCATTTTTTGAGATGGTCAACTTGCTTTGTGACCAAACCCAAAGAAAGAAACTCCAAAGCTGACTAAGAAAGGTTTTTTTCGCTTTGATTTATGAAATAAAATTTTTACTACATTCGTTGTCTTAACCGTCCAAAAAAAGCCCAAAAAAGGAAAAAAAATCAACGATTTTTAAAAGAAAAAATGTTTTTCAAGGTGAAAAAATTTTTTTTCCTTAGTTTTTCAAAAAAAAATGCTTCGAAATACCGTTATTTTTGTTTTGAAAAAAAAAGTTTGCAGTCGATCCGTTAAAAAGTTAGAAAATTTCACGAAAAGTCCTACCGTAACCCAGTGAGGGGGCGGAGCCTCACAGTAACTAGCCTAAAAGTTCACACATTATGTCTAGTATTTGCGATGATAAATTCAACACTCATAACAAAACTTGAAATGTTTGTACTAACGCTTCACTGCAGCTCATCGGCTATCTCAGAGAATGAGCTGAGCCAGGACAAGTTCCCACCGTTTAAAGTTTGTTTGCAGTCGCTTCTGTTGCCTTCCATATTGGTCGTCTTTTCTCTCTCTTTACAAGAACACTGGGGAATGTGAGGAGTCGTTGTTGTTGCGACCGACGTCGGTGTCATCCACTCATCGCATTTTGACAGCGTCTGAGGTTTTCGTTCGAAATTGAACTCAACAGTAGAAATATTCTCAGCCCCCGGTTGACCTTTTGATGAAACGTTTCTAGACTTTCCTTTAAAGGGCATATAGCAGGGAAAAATGAGGTTTTGAGACAGATATGCCATTTAGTAGAGCTCTTTGTCGAACGGTATACTTGAAAATGTACAAAAGTTCCTATTTTCAAAAAAAAATTATTCTAAATCAGTTTTCGCTCAAAAGGCGTTTTGCAATAAACTGGGAAATTTTTTTGCCTTAATAGAGGCTTGCAAAGGTAGGGACCGCAGACGAATTTTCAAAAAATTTTTCGAATTACAATATTACTATGGTTGGATAGCTGCTCTAATTTACTATTCAAAACAGTTTAGTTTTTCGAAAAAGGTTGAGAAAAAAAAAGTTATGGTCAAAACAGTAGTGAAAAAAGTCGCGAAATTTAGTACTGAAAGTTTAGATTTTACGCTTTTGGTCGTTCATTTTGTTTTCATATCGGATTTAAATTTTTTAGTAGTTTAGTTTGATTTTCAAAGTCGTAATAAGTCCTTAAAACAGTATAAAACCACAAGTTTGAAAAGAAAAGCTAATTTTTTCTTGAAAAAAAAAAATGGCCGCTGCGAGGATCGAACTCGCGACATCAAAACTGTACGCAAGCGCACATGCGCTGCTCCACGTACATCTCTCGGAGAGGGGAGGCGTTCGCGCTATAGACTACTTCACCCCAAAGTACAGCATTTACCGTCTGTTTTGTTTTAAAAAAAGTTATGATAGTTGAACAATTATTAGTCACGTGTGTTCGGACCACCTTAAAATAATTTATTCATAGAGATTCCGTTCAAAAATGCTTCCGATTTCGGTGTTTTTTTCTTATTTTAACGTTGGCTTTAAACTAACACTGATTAAACTTTTTAGGCACCGCTAAAAATTTTTTTATTTTATTTTTTTAATTGATTGAAAATTGAGATACGCTAATATTTAAGAAATAAAAAAAGGCGCCAACGACATCTAACAATGTTAAAAATCAATTTCGAAATTTTCACTGTCTTTTTTTCTCAGAAAACAAAGTTTTTCGGAATAAGTTTTATATTAATAAAATTTTTAGTTACAATTTAATCCACAAGTTAAAAATAAAAAAATTTTTTTACTTACACGCTCTCGAAACTGAGTACAACATTTTCAACTTTGCGCGGCCTCACGAAGATTAGGCACCGTAAAAAAATTTTTAATTTTTTTGTCTTAAAAGATTTGTTTTTTTCACTTAAGAATCGAATTCGAAAAATAAAAAAAAGGCGCCAACGACATGGAACTAGGTTAAAAAAACCCGAAGAAAAAAAGTAGTTTTGGTTTTTTTGTACGACGCTCCGCTAAAACGCTTTGAAAATCGGATGAAAAGTATATGAGATTGAAGAGGAAGGTTTTCTCTATGTTTCCACCAAATTTCTCTGTGTTTGATTCAGTATTGCGCTTTTACGAAAACATCAAACACGAAATCTAAAAAACCAGTGCATTTCACCATCGCAAAAAGGGGCGTGGCTCTGCGGTCTCTATGCAAAGGACTACTTGGAGAGGACACTAACGCCTCTTTTTTTTTTTATCATGCCAAGATTAGAACACTTTGCAGTATCTGTGCCGACTTGATTTCTACTCTCCGTCGACTCCAAAAAGAAACCATAGATCAGATACTACTAAATTCAAACTTTGTTCAAATCAAAATAATTTTTGAAAAAAAATTGTTTTATCGCAATTTCAACCGGGCTATGAACATTTCTGTGAAAAGAAAATATTCTTCAACCTCATTTGCCACTTTGTACAGCCTCATGACAATTTCCTTCGATGACAACAAGGTTTTGGTCCTCACAGTAAAGTGAGACGTCCTTCACCTCGATTTTTTTCAAATTCACGAAGGCATCTTTATGCAAGTCGACATCTTTCAGGAGCACAGCCGGTCCTGCAAACACAACTATATGAGCATGGAAAGTCAGGACACAGATTTGAATCAGAGGAAGAATGAAACATTTGAATAATTGTCACCTATACTTGTGCAACCCATTTTTCCAGGTGAGGTGGACTTAAAAAAAAACTCGAAAATTGGAAAAAAATAAAAAAATATTCTTTACGTCAAGGAGATTTAACCAACAGTAGAAGATGATTTTCAATCTCAGAAAAAATAAGTTTCAACCTCTAGAGGTAGTACTGTCTTCAATTTAGGAAGACTTGAAGACTTGTCGGCCTTTATGCCCTGTTCTAAGTAATATCCGCAAAGTACAAATGAACTTCAGACAGTAAGAAAGATAATGGAAATTTTAGAGAAACTGAGATCAATTTTCAATCGCTGTAGCTTGATTACTTTGAAAACCACATTAACACGCTGTCTCCGTTATTCTCAAAAATTTCTGAAAGCAACGGGTACAATAAAAAAAATATTTTTTAATTTGGATGAAACTTCATCCAGTATAATTGTCCGTCATCAGAAATGCGGAGCCAACTTTTTGAGCCTTTCCCTCTTAATGTAGCCGGGTTACGGTAGGCAGGTGGGCACCTGCGTATCTCAGTACTGAAGAGTTTTTACTAGGCGAGTGATATGTCAATCGATAGGTAATCCAATTTCAGAAACTTTTACAGTACATGCCATCTTGGGTTACGGTGGAAAAATTTTGAATTACGGTACTTTTTGCGTCTGTCGAGTTAGTTTTTCGACCACCACGAGCTTGAGCCGGGAGATCCATTCTTCCTAGCTCCTCAAAAGATACCTTATGAGAAGCTGTACAAGCTGGTACTAGTTTGAAGAAATCCTAGGTGGCCATCATTTCGAAAAATCTCCCCGAAGGCGCGCAATCGTGGTCTTGCGGCGGCCAAATGGGGGAAGTCCATGACGCCTGACGGCTCATTCTTCACAGATCCATTCTAAACTTTGTTTCCATTTCACTTACAGATATCTATTAATGGTTTTTATTACAACTTGAGATGGTTTCAGGTTGACCATCATCTCAAAACCTCATTTCGAACCCAAATTTGGTCTAAAATGGCCGATTCGGCTTTTTTCACGGGATCCCTGACCCCGTATGTGACCGTTCTCAACTTTTTTCTTTCTTAAACATAAACAAGAGTGTCTGAACAACAGTTTTATAACAATCGGAAACCGTTTTGAGAGGACCATCATTTCGAAATATCGATTTGAACTCAAATATCGGCTTAGTTCCCCATTTGAAGTTTTTATCATTTACATAGAAATCTATTCTGCCAATTTTTTTTGAAAACAAAAGTCAAAAATGAGAAATGTGAAATACCAAGAAATTTTTCTCATAAAAGAAAAAAACCCGACACTCTGACCACCGGTGAGTTTGAAACTTAACTTTCAAGCTGATGTTTTTATAAATGTTTTTTTATTATTATAACCTAAATAATAGTTCTGGATCTTCAGAATTTTTTTCATACCTAGAAAAACAAGACATTGTGACTATTTTTTTGTGAAAAAACCAAAAATATTTCGATTTTTCAAGCGAAATTTTATTTAAAAGTGGGTTTCCCAGGTAAACAGTCATTTTGGAAATGGTCCAAGATAGGAATTATTTTTTTAGTTCTCATGTTTATATTATCTTTAAAAAGTGAAAGGGCCAAGATCTGTATTGATGGAACGAATAATCTCATTGGAAGGGTAAACCAAAAGTTTTCAAGCCGATATTTGGGTTCAAAATGAGATCTCGAGATGATGGTCCTCTCAAAATAGTTTCCGATTGTTATAAAACTGTTGTTCAGACACTCTTGTTTATGTTTAAGAAAGAAAAAAGTTGAGAACGGTCACATACGGGGTCAGGGATCCCGTGAAAAAAGCCGAGTCGGTCATTTTAGGCCAAATTTGGGTTCAAAATGAGATTTCGAGATGATCGTCCTCTCAAAATAATTTCCGATCGTTATACAACTATTGTTCAGACACTCTTGTTCATTTTTAAGGAAGAAAAAAGTTGAGAACGGTCACATGCGGGGTCAGGGATCCCGTGAAAAAAGCCGAGTCGGCCATTTTAGGCCAAATTTGAGTTCAAAATGAGATTTCGAGATGATGGTCAACCTGAAATCATCTCAAGTGGTAATAAAAACCATTAATAGATATCTATAAGTGAAATGGAAACAAAGTTTAGAATGGATCTGTGAAGAATGAGCCGTCAGGCGTCATGGACTTCCCCCATTTGGCCGCCGCAAGACCACGATTGCGCGCCTTCGGGGAGATTTTTCGAAATGATGGTCCACCTAGGATTTTTTCAAACTAGTAATAGCTTGTACAGCTTCTCATAAGGTATCTTTTGAGGAGCTAGGAAGAATGGATCTCCCGGCTCAAGCTCGTGGTGGTCGAAAAACTAACTCGACAAATGCAAAAAGTGCCGTAACTCAAAATTTTCCCACAGTAACCCAAGATGATATGTACTGTAAAAGTTTTTAAAATTGGATTACCTATCGATTGATATATCATTTGTCTACTAAAAACTCTTCAATACTGAGATACGCAGGTGCCTACCTGGCTACCGTAACCCGGCTACAGTAAGAGGAAATGACTCAAAAAGTTGGGTCCGCATTTCTGATGATTGGCTATCACACTGGATGAAGTTTCATCAAAATCAAAAAATATTGTTTTTTATTGTACCCGTTGTTTTTGAGAATAACGGAGACAGCGTGTTAAAAGGTCTGTTAATGTGCAAAAAGATACATTCATTTCTTTGGACCAAGTTTGAAAGGGCAGGAATTTGAAAGTTCGAAGAAAAAGAAAAACGAACCCCGTTCTTCATGAAATATTCTTTCCACATTGAGCATGTTGAACCGATTACCGTTATTGATTACAGTGAGCGTGCTGATGTTGACGGCATTGTTCAAAAAATAAGCAACATCGTTCGCGCTCGCGAGAGACTTTTCGACGTGGACCGGTGCTTCCGTGCATTTAAGTTTTTCGCAGCCGGGAGGTATTGCGTCGCCTGTGGGGTAACTCAAAATCAGCCTTTGGCAGCATTCATCTGAAAAAATTGCTATTGGTTTTTTTTTTATAATTTAAGATAGGTTTGAAGTTTAAAAACTGTTAGCTATAGGTAATTTCACATCGGCTATTTCCGTTTGGAAATGCAGAAAAATGTTTACAGTCGTTGTGGCTCATTTTTGGAGAAAACTAAATATTTATAACACCGTTCTCCATAGTATCTTCTAAGAAAAGAAGAAAGTAAGAAAATATTACCTTGAGCAAGTGATATTGATGCGAACGACGAGAAGAAGAAAATAGCGTTAATCAGCTTGACTGGAAAAAAATTTTTTTAATTGAAATTTTAAATTTAACATTTGTAGTCTGTTCAGATTTTTGAACGACAAGTAATCGCTCAAGCCCCGCCCCGAAATGCACGACAAATCGTATTCTGAACTATTTTATTTATTATTTTTCTAACAGTATGCAGTGAATGAACCTATGATTATGAAACAAATCAGAGATCGTTTTTGAATGGTTTCATTCTATTTGAAATTCAAAATCTAAGCAAACTATCCCAATTATTCAGTTTTTCAGAGTAATATGCTGAATAATGAGATTTTCGTCGGCTTTTAGTTGAAAAATTAATTTTTTTAAAGGAATATTTCTTTTCGAAAAATGATCACAGACTTCAGACAGAAAAAGTTGTGTATTTGTGTTTGTATGAAGGAATTTATTAAGCTAGTCTAGTTTTAAAAAAAATTGGAAGCTCTGCGGATTTTTTTACAAATTTTTGGCTTTTTGGTTCGCGAAATTAATAAGTCCTCATTAAAAGAGATTTTTTCCTCGGGCAAACCTTTCTAAAGCGATTATCAACAACTATTTCATACAAAACTTGAAGAGTTTCTACATGGTGTCACCTATGTTCTCGGAGCAGGAAAAACGGACATTTATTCCAATCTGGACGAACTCACCCATCTTTAATTCGCAATATGATGAAATGAAAGAAAACTCCAGCCGTTTCTCACTTTTATGAACATTCTTTATCAGCACGTTGTTTTCAAGTTTTTTTTTTCTTATGAACAGGATTTTTTTTCTTTATTAATGACCTTTTTTTGGATATATTAGGAATATTTTTCAAAATCTTCACCTGGAACCTTTTGACCATTTTTTTTCTTGTTGTCAACCCGAAAAATTTCTTTCCAGTTTAAAAAAATTGAACAAAGTTGAAAAACGACGATTCTTTTCAAACGTTTAAGCTTAACTAAGGCGCATCATAGTCTTGTGACTACGGAAAAATAAACTACCAGCTCTAGTTTTGGGTGGAACAGTTGAACAACTTTTCGGAGAAATTAGGCAACTTGAAAATGGCAAATCTTTGAAAATTCCCAGTTTTTTTGAGAGCAGGATTTCTCACTATTCTCCACTGTAGAGCTTTCTCACTTGTAAAAATTTTTGTATAAAAGTTTGGGCCAGAAAGCTAACTTTTTTTTGAATTGTTCAAATTTTCTTGATTTTTTTCTTTTTTTCCAGGGTTTCAAATTTTTGAGCTTTACTAGGTCAAGTATTCCGATGGGCAAATTTATTTTCCTTTTAATCAACGTATCAGATCTTTGTGAATGCGAAACAATAACCGCTAGTTGTGAAAATTCAGGGCGCGGCGTAAAAGGTTGTGCGCTTGTCTACGGTCCACAGGGTCCCAAGTTCGATCAACGCCTCGACCCATCCAAGGGGCAGCTCACTGATTATCACTGATATCAGGATAGGACCTCGGCTAATCTACTGCGGGCGCCGACGAGACATCGACACTTTACGGCTTGAAAAAAGGTTTGAGATCTATTTAAATCACTGATTTGTTGGTTTTATCAGTTTCCTCGGTGTTTCTGAAGAAAATTTGCTGAAAACTTCGCAGGCAAGTTTCTGGATAATTAAAAAGTTTCACTTATTTTTTTTCTTCTGATAGTTATAACTGAAAGTAATGAGCAAAATAAGGGAATATGGTCGGTGAAGCTTATGTTTCAAGATGCCGACGCCATCTTCTAAAGGCTTTGCGTCGAATCTCTAATTTTACAACTTTATTCACTTTTTGAAAATAAAAAAACGGCATTTCTTTGCGCCAAGTCATAAGAAAATTGATTTACCCAAAGATGCTCACCGTTTTCTAACATTAACACTCAAAATCGCCGTGCCTTGCTCTACTTGCTTCCGCAATCTTTGATTAGGAGTTTAGTCGCGGTAATTTCGGGTTCCCTTCAAGAAAAAAAATAGAGGTTCTCTGCAAAGTCCCGTAGGTTTCTAGGAGAAAAAAAAATTTCTTCATATAAGCCTGGGCCTACTGTTCCATACATAGCCTTTTTTTTCAAAAATGGGACGTCAATCGTCGTACAGTCGCCTTTTTGAAAACATACTGTATGTAACGTTCGATTACTGTCGAATGAAAATCATTCCGAATCAGAATAAAACTTCATCAAAAGAACTAGTTCAAAAAATATAAATAAAATTAAATAATTAAACTCGAGATTGGAAGAGCGTGTTGATAGTAGACGTTTTTTTCGCGGCCTTGAACATGGATACTACCGTGAGAAGGACTTCACTGCATTTCGATGTTAGGGATTTCTTTCTTTCGGTGGTTCGTTGCAAAAAAACGACAAAAAAGCTTTTCGATACGGTTGGATGAAATATAGAAACATCGGAGGGTTGACCGTTGTTGGAATCGACATAATAATGGGCATCATGTATTCACTGAGGCGTATGGTTGTCCCTGAAACAATCAAAATTGGAGAGAGATGTTAAAAATCCACGAAAACCTGTGTACTGTCTGTAAATGAAGAGCGTCATTGTGAGGACATTGCAGACGGTCGGAACTACGGATTGAATGGATAAGGTCTGAAAATCATTTCATTTTTTATTCCAAAAACCGTTCGATTAAAAGGGTTTAGTCAGGTTTTAAGGTTTGCAGGTCCAATAAGTCATTTATTTCCTCACCAGTATCAAAGTTCTGGCATGTTTCTTCGTAAGTTCCGAAAGATGGCTACTTTTTTCTTTGAAACTTTTTTCTATTCTCCTGAAATGTAATCATTTTGCTCTGAAAAAAGGATCAACTCACCTTTTGCAGACTAACGTGAAAATGGTAGTTCCATAGAGGACAATGACGAGAATCACAACAGAAGCGACACAGATAGGATTCCGCATTTCATGGTAACCGACCAGTACTGTATTATCAGTTATACCGTAATCTGGGTGAGCAGCTCGGGTCTCGGCACGAAGAACCGGCAAGTCCGAAGGGCTGAGTGTAAAAGTTGTCTTAATTATTGAAATGAGTTCTGAGCATGTCAATCGAAACATCCTTACAACCAAAGCTATTAAGGGGAGCACGGCGATACCAGTTTGCCATTGAAATTGAAAAAATGGCGGTCCTTTCGACAAGTTCAACGCGTTTCGATATTTGAAATAAGCTGTGTGAGCGATTGATAGTGAGACTTCTGCTGTGGCGATCTGAGAAAGGGAGATGATGTTTATTCGGTTGTTTTATTTTATTTTATGATCTTCATTTTAATCATAGAATGGATAACGTCTTCGAGAGGGTTATTGCCTGAGAATCCAAAGTCCATCGTTTTGAAGAGTTTGTACAAGGTTAATGAATGAAATTTCATGATTTAAAAGCATGGTCCTTTCTCCTTTTGTATGCGCCAATTTTTAAAAGATTAAAATCACATTTTATGTGTAATTGGTTATTATAGCCCATTCTCCGCCAGCTTGTCTTCTCCTTCCACCTACAGTACACGTTATGTTCGATACGCGCGACCTTTTTCTGCGCATGCTCCTTCATTCAGCACCTCTGTTCTTTTCACAGAAAAGCGCCAAAAGCGGACAGGTGAATGAACCAGTTACGCGCTTTCGATTTTTTGTGACAAGGACAGAGAGGCTAAAATGAAGACGCTTGCACAAGGAAAGGTCTCGGGCAGCGAAGTCAACGTGTACTGTAGAATAGGATATATTAAATATATATTTTTGGCAGGTATACTAACCAGGGACGCATGGAACGAATAGAGGCAGGCTTTAGCAGAAAAATTCGTCACAGGTCCGTAGCAAATTATTGCCAATGAATTGTGGTTAGTGATATTGCTGAATACAGTAATACAGTTTATCTTGTCAAGGACCTTTTATCAAGTACCCAAGCCAGCCGTCAACCCGGTTTTAAGGAAACACGAAAAACTACACGGAAGAGTTACAAACCGAGACTGAGCGAAGAACACCAGAAGCGCCATAATCATTTCCACAGTACACGACTTTGCCAAATAGTATCGAAGCCCTTGAAGCGCCTTCGGTGTTTTTCGAATCATGATGTAGAACATAATCAAATGCATCGCAAGAACTATCAAAAAGTGAATAGGGAAAAATATAGAAAGTGGTAAACGGTACTCGTCATCCATTTTTCAATGAAAATTCGCCTAAAAATTGGGGTGATTTGGGAAGCAAATAACTTTTTTTCTAGTTGAGTGACAAAATTCACGCAACTTGAATAGTCGTTTCTAGCTCGAATGGCTTTTTTCCGTAGTATAGCTGTTAAGTGATGGCTTTGATCTCGATAATAACAGGGTTTCAGCTCAAAAAAGTTTTAGCTTAGTGTATAATTGATGGCTTTTTCATTTTCATTGTATATTCTTGTAAAACGCTTAGGAACTTCAGAATGGTCCATATATAAGCAATCTTAGGGGCCCTCCCAGGGCCCCTTCTAGGAACCAATTTACCAATCCCTTCCCCCCACTCAGGCTTGCAAAAGTGGTCCTTATAGAGTTTTCAGTGAGTGGCCCCTACAGGACTATCTCAATTTCACCCCTATAGCCTATAGGGGTAAAGTTAGAGACGACTTTTCGGCCCTTATGTAGGGGCTTTTTTCTTCCCTAACGCCTATAGGGACCACTCTGGAATCGCTAAGCACATATTGTGAAAATCGCGAAAAAATATGTTCAAAACCCATTTTATTCACGAACTTTCTGTACTTCCAGTATGACTCAAAACTTACAAAAAAATTCTAGGGAACATTCCTCATAAACGCTTGAAACACAAAAAATTTCTTTCACTTAAGTTTATTTAGGAATTGTTGAACTCTCAGCATGACTTTATAACTTCCGAAATCAAATCGTGTAAAGTTAGGAGCACAGAAAGTTTGTCCAAAATCTAATTTATTCACGAATTTTCTGTATTTTCAGGCTCTCTGGCGTTTCTGGAGGAGCTTGCTGAATGTGGCACGACTTCTGACATTTCCGTCTCATGGCTGGGCTTTTGGTCTTCTAGTCGAAGTTTCAGTTCTAAGTCACATCGCCAAGAACGAATGTAGGCCGCTCTGGCACGTCGTCTGTCCATCTAAAGCGTTTGGATTTTATTTTAAAGTTTCAGAGTGGCTGAAACCTCGAATTGGGAATATAAAAATGGTGCGACCAGAAGCATGACGATCGCGCAGCCGAGTCCGACTGACGAGAAAAACCTGTGTTTTTTTTTTTTCGTTATTTTTCAACTTTTTTCTTAATGTGAAAGTGGCTTTTGAAAGCTACGCGGCGCAGTTTTTGATATGAAAATTGAAGTGAAGATTTTTAGCTTATAGTGTTTTTCATGACTGATCTGAACAGAAAATTGGAGTTACAAAATGTTTTTTTGTTCTGCTTCTGAAATTCTTATTGATTCTTTTTTTCCTGTTCCGAAGATAATTTCAATCGAACTGACAGTTTTTTTAAACTAGATGTATTTTTTTCAAATTCCTCTATATTTTTTTATATACATAAGAATTTTTCGCAGGATCGTTTAGTCCTCACCAAGACTTGAATCGCCTGAACTCGAACCGAACGAGTCGCACAGCCTTCATAATGATTTTGAACACATCTTAAGCCCTTAAATAAGAATATTCTTTCTTTTAAAAAAATTTGAAGCCAAACTTTTTTTCGAAAAATTTTTTTGACGGGCAGGTAAAATTGTAGTCGCCGATCAAAACGGATGAGTTGTGGTCGAAGCTTGGCTGAATTACGATCATTTCGAGGTGGAATGACTTGAGAAATCCCGAAAATCCGTTCTGAAAAAAATTACTCACGAAAAATCCTTTGAAATCGTTGGGAGAATCCTTCCCACAACAACAATATCTTTTTTGTACTTCAAACACTTTTTCAGCGCTTCTTATTCCGTCTTTCTGAAATGATAGAGAAAAATATTCAAATCATCTGAACAATCCGAAGTACCACTGGAACATAGGACTTGTTGTCTTGATTCAGAAACATGGCTACTGTGTCAAAATCAAGCCTGATTTTCGTATCCATTTGAATCACGTTGCCAGCAACTGCGTATAAATATATCCCTGCAAAATTTCCTAAGAACTTGATGATAAAAGATGAAATTTCGAACCAGAAACGTAGAAAGGAACGCAAATGATCAAGTGAAATAGGCTGACCAGAACCAGATAGGATTTTTGCCAATGTGAATACTTAACTTCATTTTTTCCATTATAAACACGTTTTTGAAATGAAAAACCTTGCTGGCGCTGAAGATGAGGAACACTAGAAGCACCACTGTCGATATGGAAACGATCGCGAGAAGCCAGGCGAAAAGACGCAAATCATCGGTAAAAGCTAAATGGCCGAAATCGTCCAAGCTCAGCCAGACAATCACTTCGAAAATTACTGGAATGAATTATTTATTCAATAAATGGAGTTTTTCTAATTAACCTGTGTATAAGAAGCATAACTGAAGAGCTATGCAACACAGAAGAAGCGTACGCAACTGCATCTTGCGGTGCAATTGTAGAAAATGAAGTTCCACGTGACATTCGAAATAGATTGATAATGAAATGTATTTCTAAGCAAAAAGAATGTTTTTCTTTGGCTCACTGTATTATTTTGGTCTAGAAAAACCATAACTTTTCCAATCGATAGATCTCGATGAAAAATAACCGGAGGTTAGTTTTTATCTCCATAGGTAGCAACTAAGTTTCGGGCGATCGAACTTAGAGATAGAAAATTGGAAAATCGGTGAAATTTGGTATCAATCGATAGAGGAGATCAAGGAGGTCAAGAAAAATAGGTCTCTGAGTTTCTGACCTCCTAGAAATCGAGTTATGATTTTTCTAAAAAAGTCAATATCCTTTAAAAAATCGTAACTTTTTTTCTAAGCATCTGAGAACTTTTTGACCTGCATATTTGGACTTCTGACGTCATTTCCTATCGATTGATGTGAAAATCTCGAAAACTTTGGTTTTCGGGAAAATCAAAAAAAAGTACAGTCTAACCCCTTAAGATTTTTTCGAGCTTCTGAGGTCACGGAAGCCGATCCGGACGAAATGTATATCAATCGATAGATCTCGACGAAAAAATAACCGGAGGCCAGATTTGACCTCTGTAGGTCAACTAGGAGCCAAGTTATATGCGATTAAACTGAGAGATCGAAAAATCTGAAAATGGTCAAATCTAGTATCAATCGATAGGGGGAATCACGGAAATCAAGGAAAACTAGGTCTCTGAGTTCCTAACCTTCTAGAAGTCGAGATATGATCAATAATAAACTTTGAAAAATCATATCTTTTTTTCTAGAAGGCTAGGGACTTTTCGACCTGGTTTTTTGAACTTCTGACGTCATTTCCTATCGATTGATGTGGAAATCTGGGAAACTTCGATCTTCTGAATAATCGAAAAAAGTGCAGTCTAAGATTTTTTCGAGCTTCTGAGGTCACGGAAGCCGATCCGGACGAAATGTATATCAATCGATAGATCTCGACGAAAAAATAACCGGAGGCCAGATTTGACCTCTGTAGGTCAACTAGGAGCCAAGTTATATGCGATTAAACTGAGAGATCGAAAAATCTGAAAATGGTCAAATCTAGTATCAATCGATAGGGGGATCACGGAAATCAAGGAAAAACTAGGTCTCTGAGTTCCTAACCTTCTAGAAGTCGAGATATGATCAATAATAAACTTTGAAAAAAATCATATCTTTTTTTCTAGAAGGCTAGGGACTTTTCGACCTGGTTTTTTGAACTTCTGACGTCATTTCCTATCGATTGATGTGGAAATCTGGGAAACTTCGATCTTCTGAATAATCGAAAAAAGTGCAGTCTAAGATTTTTTCGAGCTTCTGAGGTCACGGAAGCCGATCCGGACGAAATGTATATCAATCGATAGATCTCGACGAAAAAATAACCGGAGACCAATTTTGACCTCTGTAGGTCAACTAGGAGGTAAGTTATGGACGATCAAACTTCGAGATCAAAATTTTTGAAAGTGGTCGAAATAGGTATCAATCGATAGGGAGGATCACGGAGATTAAGAAAAACTAGGTCTCTGAGTTTTTGACCTCCTAGAAATCGAGTTATGAATTTTCGCGGAACAAAGAATTTCGAGAAATTTTGAATTTTTTTCCTTGAGGCCTAGAAATTATTTCCAATGTTGTGTTTGTGAGTCTTCAAAATCAAAAATAACGAAGTATAATGAACGCAAAAAGATGACTTATGGCTGTTTGCCCTTGAACTTGGTGTGAACTTTAAATTCGGCGTATACGTGATCTATCAGAACGCGTGAGCCGATCTCACGAGCTCTGCGTAGTGAGACTCATTCCCCGCTGTTCGAAGCTCTTCGTTCCTTACGCGTACTTTTTTTACTAGAGAAACCATCGAAACAAAAAAAGAAACAATCTTTTTATTAAAAAAATGCGAAAACAGGCAAATTAAAATTCAAAAATTAAAAATCTATCTCTATTCAAAGCTTGTATGCGGCGCCAACCCGAGACTTGACAGTTCTTCCCATTTTTTCATTGAACCAGTTCGCAGTTTTGATGACTTCTTTGAGGTCAACGCCCTGTAAAATATTGTTTTTAGTGAGGACGATAACGAAAAAGTAATTCTTCGATTTCTCATCCCATTTCGATGTTTTCTCCTCGTTCTCTCACTAATAGGAATTCTTTCAAAAAAATGGAATACCAAAAACGAAAGTTTTTTTTTCATATTTGAACTCAGCGATTTCGGATAAACATGGTCCTAGAACATGTGTCAGGTGATTTTAGTCACGAAATTTCAATTATGACAACAGAAATTCATAAAAAACAGATTGGCAAAAAAGGTTAGCGGTAAAAGGTTTCGAACATTCATCATAACCTCAGTAGGCTGCGACGCTAGCCACTGCACCATGCTACTAGCTGCCATTTGGTGGATGCCGTGGAAGTTACATTATTTAAAAAGGACGTGATAATCATAGACTTAAAACATTATGCTTCAAAAAGTGAGCGCAGATATCCACTATGCGCGTTAAATTCTCAACACCTCAAATTATTCTCGAGAAAATTTATAGATTTTATTGTGCTATAATTCTCATTTTAGACTCAAACTTGTGAGCTTAAACTTCGGATTTAGCTGTGGTGGACATAAAAGTTCGTGTTAGAAATTTAAAAAAAAAAACCGTGTCGAAGCCGAGGCCGTCCAGCATGTAGAGCAAGTCCTCCGTGGCGAGGTTTCCGGTGGCTCCTTTGGCGTAGGGACAGCCGCCAAGTCCGCTGAGGGAAGAGTCCGCGACGCGAATCCCTTTCTGCACGAATAATTAATCAACGATTGCTTCGGAGTATTATGAATGCTTTTTTTTTCTTAATTTTTTAAAACTTTAGATTTTATTTTCTCTCATCTTAGGAATTTCAGAGCGGTCCCTATAGGAGTTAGGGAAACAACCAGCCCTTTTAGAAGCCGAAAAAAGGTCAATGTAGGGAGAAAAATGAGGCGGTCCGTGGATTTAGGGTCTGAAGCGTTAGCTCCTAAAGCTCGAGAGGTCCCTATAGGGATCTCTCAACTTAATTAAAAATATTGATTTTTTAGTTTTTCGCATGAAAAAGCTTCTTCTCATAGGGTTCATAACAATAACCGACTAGTTTGTCACCTAAAGAGACTACTAACTCCTATAAGGGCCGCTTTTGCCAGCCTGAGTGGCCCCTATAGGGGTTGGTAAAGTGGTCCCTAGAGGGCTCTGAAGATTGAGAGCTTACTTCAATGGAGACAAGGACATTGGCGAGTGCTTGTCCGTAGGTGTCATGGAAATGAACTGCGAGTTTTTCGGCGGGAGCCGATTTCAGAACAGTTTCCAGCATTTTCCCGACGCTTCCCGGAGTTCCAACGCCAATAGTGTCTCCCAAGGAAACTGGAATCCATTTTGAGAAAAGAATCTTCACTGGGTCCCGGTTGGAATATTGATAAAATCCCTTTGAAGTGTATTCGAGGATCTTGAAATTCTAAACTTCTGTTTTATATTGCTGTGACGCTACAAAGTTTTCAAAATACACAAATTATAGTAAAAAAAAAGGTTAATAAAGCTGTATTACTGGTATAACTAGATAAAATAATAAAATTGGAAGAATAGTTCATTTTTTCTGCAGTCAGGAGGTCCTGAAGTACACTTCCGCCAATTAAAAAAAAAACAAAGTCCTTGTTTTCAGTTCGAGTTCATCGGAATAAATCTTTCTCCTTGAAAAAAAAAATTCCGTTTGACAAAAAAAAATCACTGAAATTAGGGAAGTCCTCACCTTCATAACAGCCAACTTCGAGCAACTTCTCGGTGACTTTGGCCACGATATCCGGCTTGATGTTTCCCTCGTAGGGGCATCCAACGACGCAAGAAACGTATCTGGGAAGCACTTATTGGAATTTCTAACGAGGAAAAGATTTTCATTCGAAATCGGAATTTACTATCACATTCCCCAGTTACTCTCTGACGTAATGGATTTTTAAATTCTAGACCTACGGAGACTTTTTTTGTGTTTCAAAGTCAACCAAAACCAACTTTCAGCCATTAGGTCCTAACACATTTTTGAAAAATAATGAACTTCTAGCGAACCCTCGGACACGAATTCCTTCTTTGAGGGCTGCCGAAGTGACGTCACACAGTTTCTGGAGGCTTTCTTCGACGTTCGCATTCACGTTTTTCCTGAACGAACAAGTTCGAAAACGGTCTTTTGGAAAAAAGACAGCCAAAGACCCAGTTTGAAAACTTATTGAAACATTTCTGAGATGTCACTAGAGCCTAAAAAAATTTATTCTTGATTTTCGCTTCTAAAGTCAAATAAAGACACTGTGATGTGTTTTTTTTTCTTCAGCTTCTTCCAGACGAAAATTCCTCTTGTTCTCAGGTTGGTTCCATTTTTGATTTGCTTGTGAGAACGAACTTGGAGAATGAATCGGAAGCGGCGCCAAACACGGCGATTTCCTCGACAGATCCAGTGGCCAACTGAAATTAGTCTCAAAATATTCATCAGTGGACGTGATATGGATATTTTTGTTTTTTCGGAAAGGAAACGATTTTATTGATTTCTTGGTCCTATTTCAGAGCTGTTCTTGGATATTCCGCGTACGAACTTATTTTCATTTGAGAAAAATGAAGCTTTAATTTTGTGCCAGGACAACAGAGAATAAATAAAATTTTCAACTGCAAAAAAAAAAGGAAAATAACTTTCGTCCATAAACAACCCCACTGAAAAAAGAAATTTAGCGGGAAAACTTTCAATTTCTATCTTTCGAAGTAACTTCTACCCAAAAAAATTTTTAACATGATTTCAAGTAAAGCTATGGACAAAAAGTTGAGTTAAATGACATCCTATTTCAGACCTCACCCCGTCAAAAATGTCAAAGGGCAGACCTTTTTGAAAAACTCTCCTTGCAAGTTTTTCTGATTTAAAGCCATTGCTATCTCCCAAAGGTCCAAATTATTTTTTTGGCCTTCCAAAAGTATCACCCGGAGATCAAAATCCAATTTTAATTCTTTTTTTAAATTTACTAAGTCAAAACCCCCTCCCGCACAGCTTTTTTTCGACGACGCCTCGCCCACTTTTTCTCCGTAAAGTTTCGTGTGTCGTGTGCATGAACTGCGCCGCTTTCGCGCAGAAAATCGCGTTTATGTAGAGAATTTTCGATTGTCTCAAAGACCTCGGGCAATACGGCGGCCTGCGCCTTTAATATGCGCTTTTAGAGCCGAAATCTCTCCCGTTCCCATGACGCCACATGGGAACGGCTGATATTTTGGCCCCGCCCACCGTGTTTTTGGTTTCGCATTTTCTTCCACTAACAAAAACGATTTACTTGCCCACGTAATATGTCAATATTCACGAGTGATAAGGTGAAAACCCTACCGCATTTTTAAGGCCAGCCAGGTTGGGAACGAGGACCGGATAGCTGACCGAGGACTTTTTCTTGATTCCATTGATGACTTCCACCTGATCTCTCATTTGTGGGATCCATTTCGGAGACACGAAACTTGTCGATTCGACTACCTCAAAAAAGAAATTCACGCGATTTCTGATCTGATTTTAACCTTAAAATTACAGTCGCTCAACCTGTCGATGAGCTCGACCTTGACCTCGGTGGGTACGAAAACCTGGAAAATTCGATTATTTTCAACTTTTGGTGTGGAAACCTTCTCGTTTTGAAGTCCATCTCTTGGTCCAACTTCCACAACTTTGAAAAACTCTGACTTTTTCGTGGAGAGCAGACGTCTAAGCATTCCTTGAAAATCATTGAATTATAGACGGAAGCGGTAAAAGTAACAAAAATGCGAAGAAAATAAAAATAAAACTTTTTTTGAATTATTTCACTTGGATATTATTCCTCTTCTTTCACACAGAAATCGATACTCATTTAACATGCTAGTAATTTATTCTACTAAAATATATGAAAAGAAAAGAAAGAGATTCGTATGTAAATTCTTGTTTCTGTGGGGGGAAAGCTTCTCTCGTATTGTTAAAGTTCGAATCATAAGTAAGGCTACAAAAGATATCACAATCGATTAAGGAAACAAAGGCACCTGAATAATGCAATAAGTGAACAAGAATATAACAAGTATATCAGATCTTTGGGCGATTTTTTGAGCTTTTTTATATATTTGAATCTGGGACCTAGAAGGAAATCTATCTACAAGGGTAACAATGAAGTAAAATCAAACTAAAAAACGCATGCAATTTGAAAAAAAAATGATTAAATGATGAATAAATCATATAGGGAGCATTTTAGTGAGTTCTTGGCCGTTATTATCACAAAAGTGGTCCCAGCCAAAAACATTGATGCAGTTGAAGTAGGAGCACCACGGACAATCGACCTGAATCGGATAAATCTTTTTTGGATTTCTGAGATTCTTTCAAACGAAATTATCTTTTGAAACAACGAATTGCAGCTACAATTATGAAAAAAGAAATGGTCGAAAGATAAGATTTGAAACACGCCGGTCGCATTTGGAATGGCTCGACACGTTTTGGTTTGAAGAGAACTAGACATTGATCAGTTCTCGGGCCTTGGTATAACGCAAACCGGCCGTTTCAGAGCATTTTAGTGATCCCTTTTGGGACATCAGCGTTTTTGAGTGATTACTAGAAAGGCTTCCAGGGCGCGTCCGGTTTCCCTGAGGGGTCCGAGTTCAATTCTTTGCGATTCAATTTATCTTCGGAGCACGTTCACAAAAATTCCTTTTTTCGGATTCTTGATAAGAATCCCTCTTGGAATCCATTTCATAGATTTCGTTCATTTTACTTTTCAAGGTATACGAAAATTAGAAGAGAAAAATTATTTCCGTGAAAAAATTAAGTCCTGTGTCGCTGAAAACGTGCTTCAATTCTCCCTTGACAAAAACTAGCTTTCCGCGTTATTTAAAGCCATGGAAAACGTCTGCAAAGGTTTACTAACGATCCATACCTCCTTATTTGCGAAGAAGACATAGGAGAGCGTGAGAAAAAGTGCGACGAGTACTACCGACGACAAAAAGACGGCAATCTGAAGACCAAGAATTAGAATGCGTAATTTTTCTTCGACAAACAGTTCTTCGGTTGGCAGTGGCCAGGAGGCACTTGACGGCCTTGTAGAAGTCGACGAGGGTCCCTGGACTTTCCGGCGTTCCGTTGATGTCAACGATGACACCTCCGTAGGCGAACGTTGGCGTAGAAGGCGTCATTCTCTGGCCGTACGGCGGCGTCAGAAGCTCCGTCGTCGAAGTCTCCGATTTCGAAGGCTCTTGTTCGTGAAAGTCCAGGTAGGGGAAGGTGACTGAAAGAGGTTTTTTTTTTCTTGGACGAGCGTTTCAAATTAATTCCTGTGAGACCTAATCAATGAAAATAAATCTTTCTAAAAATTTAGATCGAAATGGTTTGCTGAGGTTCACAGATGAATTATAATTGAAAGAAGGTAATTCTGATTTCACAACGCTTCAAACCATTCCACGTGCTGCCATGATCATCATTTAGTCTTTCGCAAGGTAGACCGGATAAAAATATCCCAAAAAGTCTGTCTTCCAAAAAAAAAAACTTCGATTTTCACTTTCTCCTTAATTTAATACTCGGAAAGCTCTTTTTGCTGACTTTTCTCGATGAAACTCACTTATCGTGACCAAGAGGCCGAAGATGAAGCCAAAGATATGAGCCCAATTGTCGACGTAGGGAAGAGCTCCGGCGAGGAAAAGAAAGCAGAGAATGAGGCCGTAGTAGACGAATCCCCTTCCGGAGTTTTCAATGATCGACCGATGATGGTAGAGGTCGACCAGAAGAGCTGCCAGCAGACCGAAATGCGATCCCGAAGGGCCGAGTTCAGGCTGAAACAGTAGAGAACTCCATAGAAAAAATGTCTAGGTCTGGACTGCCTTTTGAAGTTTGAATTAACATTTTAACGATAGTCGGGAGAGTTGAAAAGCTTTCAAAAATTTCAACTAATACCTTGAAATAGTAAAAATAGTCGGCTTTTAACCTAGAATTTTCGGTCAAAAAGGGTCCTTGAAATCTCGAACCAAGTGATGAGAGAAGAATTTATCGGATATTTTTCACTAAAAATTGTTAGCGTCATTTTTGTTGAAAATAATAAGTGATGAATATTGACATTATAAGGAACGAATATGGCGCTGGCGAGATTTCCGCCGATTCCTGAACTGAAGTAGAGAAGGGCCATCCGTGGCCAGCCAATCAGCATCTCCAAATCTCGCATCAGACACATCTGGAACCACACCGTCAGAGCGCAGTGGAAGATTCTGAAAACGAAAAAATGTTGACAAGGAACTTTTTTCAATTTCGATCTTTCCTTGTCTTAACACGCTGTCTCTGTAACTGTCAAAAACAACGGGTACAAAAAAAAATTTTATTTTTTGATTCTGATGAAACTTATTCCAGGG